ACGAATTGGCTGAATATGTCACGAATTTCGAAAAATTGGCTTCAATTATTTTTTGAATTGAGCAATCCTTCTTCGTGCATTTTCTGGTAGATAACTCATTGTCTTGGCGGGGCCCAACTCTTACTGCACGCAAAACTCAAATTTTTCGGCCTCTCTCACTGACGATGTCACGAAAAAAGTGGTCAATTTCTTGACATTCCTGACATTCGTGACATTTTCAGTGCCATCACAATTTTTGGTATTCTAACCAAGCGCCCCCGATTTTAACCCCTAAAAGACTGATCTTGGCCGTTTGATTCTGATAATAGTGACAAGAAGCATTGCTCTCTCAAACACTCAGTATTCGATACTGTTGGAAGCAGAGGGAAAATTTCTGACTCTAGGCAGCGAATGGATGGGATCAATTGTTGAATACGAAGATAAGGCAATTTGTTTCTCGAAGATGTTTTCTCAAGATGATACAAGCTATATCGACCTTATGGGGATTAAAAGCAACGAATGCAGCTATTTTGCAAATGCTGTTGTTAACAAAGAGAAATTTTACATTACAAATTATGTTTTTGAAGTGAATTTTGCAATCGAATTCGATTTAGGAAAAGATTATACGAAATTAATTTCATTTTAGGCTGAGTTCAGGTTCTCTTACTAGGTTTCTAAAATTAAGTGTTTTGTTTGAGCGCGGATCTGTCCTGATAAGTATGATAAAACTTATAACATTTCTTTAAATCTATAACAAAGAAAAGATCACACTCGATTTTACCCAAGTTAGGACGAACAAGAAGATGCACGTTTTAAGCAATCCGAATTTTGCTTTTCACGACGACGTTTTTCCGGTCTTCGCCAAAAACGCAGCTTTCCAGCCTTTATTTTCTCGTTCAGCTTCTTCTTTCACGCGACCGTTTCCGAAGACAATAATCCCAAACCGTTATTTTGAGTCATTTGAAGAGTCTCAACACATATCAACCCTCAAACTCAAGTTGAATGGAAAAGAAAACTTCAAATTTCAAATAGAATTCGAGGCAAGAACTCATGGAATATAATATTTATTGGCCGTAAAAGACGCGTAAAAGACTGTTTTTCCATCAGGTTACAGGGTTGAGGGGGAGAGTCCCTGTATCTTACAGAGATTCTTTTCAAGAGTTTTCTTTTAAGACAGCTATCAAACTGGCCCTTACCTCAATGTTTCATTTCATTTTTAGAAAATATATTACAAAGGTTTAGTTCAAAAAATATACTAATGAAATCAATAGGAAAGCGACAAAATTGAAAAACAGAAAACTATCATGGATTTACGATTTTTCGACGAAAAGACGTTTCTCAGCTTTGGTGCTAATCAAAAGGGGCAACTTTGGATAGATTCATCTTTTTCAAGCGAACGAGCATATTTTAATCGTAATTCATCGAAATCAGCGGAATTTCAATTTCAAATTCATTCAAATTCGTTAATTACGACGCTGGAAATTGTCGAGGAAAGGAATTGAAAAAAGTTTAATTTTATATCTCGATTTTTCGAAAAAATGAAACTTTTCTAGAATCCGAATTCAATCGGTAACGAAATCGTCTTGAATAAAACTGCTTTTGGAATGGTTGGACTGGAAAGAATTTATGACAAAAGAATACGCATCTTCAAAATGGACAAAAAAACTAAGATAAAAAATCTTATATATTTCAAGAAAAAATCGACCCATGTTTATGTCCTGAATAATTTTAGAAATCCCTATATGCAAAGAGGCGACGGATCAATGCAAGAAGTATCTCTAATTGCTAATGATTGGATTGGTACATATATTCTCGACTCTCGACAAGCTCTTTTAAATGGCCAGCTTCATATCTTTGGAGGAAGTGGATATAGCACGCGTTCTCCTTATCAAGTAAATAATTCAATCCAAGCAGAAAAAATTTTTTAAGATTGCTCGCTTGGAAAGATGTTCATTTACCGAACTATCAGTCAAACTCAACAATTTTTATTACAGTGAGCATCAAGCTCTCTCAATAGATAACGGCACCAGAGGTTAGCTATACGGTTAAGTCTATACCAGATTCTTTTATCTGAAAAAATCATGGTTTCCTTAACCCTTTAGGCGAACATGGCGTTTTAAACGCCACGGGATCTTTGGCGGACAATTTCTCTATGAATTTCCCGATGACTTGATAAAATTTTTATTGTTCTGAAAAATTCAGACATTTTTCTACATAATGGTCACTTCAAAATTAAATGAACGGAAGAAATACTTCTTCTAAAATCAAAAAGAAAAAATCCGATTCCCCAAAAATAGGCTCAGTCACGCGCTTTTCCTTTCAGAAAGGGAAAGGAAAGAGAGAGCGCGCTGCATTTCTCTGTTTTTCGGTATTACTTTGCTGATCATTTACCTAGGGTCGGCGCCGACACTCGACCAAATCGACATTGTCGGGTGTCGGTCGGGCTTTGGTCGGTACCGACCCGACCCGACATTGATTTTATAAAACAATTGGTCGGAAAGTGGTCGGAGGTGGTCGATGGTCAGTTTTTGGTCGGGTCGGTTGTCGGAAACCTACGCTTTTTTCATGTGAGAAAATGACTGAAATTAAAATTCTGCCTTCTGAATCAGCGAATATGCTTGCGAAATAGTCATAATCGCCGGCCAGACCCACAGACTCCGTCGTGAGATCACCCAAGGTATTTGATTCGTTTTCAGTTCATTTAATCAGGGGGCCTCACAATCCGGACTACGGAAAAACAAAAAAAGCGGAGAAACCTGATTTGATTAAAGAAATTCGAATTTACGGGTAAATAGAAAAGGGTTGGAATAATTTATTGGTAAAAACAAGAAAAAATATTAGCCAGGAAAACGACAACCCGGGTACGGGTATCTATTTTCAAAAGGGGTTTATATTGCCTGTAATATTTTTGTCGGGCAATTCTTTCTTCTTACGATAAAACATTATAGCTTCAAGCTAATACGCTTTTTCTACGTTTCTGGTCACAACTTGTGACTCACAAGAGAAAAGAAGAAAGACCACTTCCTGCAAAACCACTTGAGTTAAATATAAAATTCTAGCACCTACTGCCTCAAGCGCTCGTACACTAACTTTTTTGATTATTTTTTTCTGAAATTTTCTTTAAAAAAACCGACAACCGACCCGACCAAAAGGCCGACTCGACCCGACCCGACCCGACCATGACTTTGGCCATTTCAAAGTGGCCCGACCCGACCCGACATTGAAAAAGGGTGGTCGATGCCGACCCTAGTCATTTACAGATATTTAGGACTTAAAAATTGTGAACCAACCGATTGTGAACCTGGGCGCCCGCCACCCCCCAAAGGGTTAAGCTAGTGTTTCTAAAAATAATATCAGAATTCTGGTTATGTTTTTAGTACTTCTTTTTTGCTCACATTAAATATATTATTAATTATTAAATATATTAACTATATTGATTTCAGTTATTGTTTGTTTCGACAGCACAAATGAGGCCTGGGATTTCACAACAAATCAAGCTATAAGGTATCCACCTGCTTTAACATGCGATCTGTTTGATGGATCTAACATAACGACCTCAAATAAAACGAATGTCGACCATAAATTGGGTGGCTTGGAGCTATACAATGGTAAACCTACCGCTATTGGGGGAATAGACAATTCGCAAACCGTGGAGACACTGACTGAAAATGGATGGAAACTACTTTCTCCTCATCCACAGTAATGCCGTTGATAGTTGATTCCAATAAGTTTTAATTCAGAACTGAAAACTTCTTATTTTCAACAATCGGACTCCCATCTGGAAGTCTTTTGACTTTTGCGAATAATTTCGATTTTGGTCCTAATCAAATTTACAAATTAGAAGGCAACAAATGGTTCTCAATGGGTTTTCTCCAAAAGGTAAACATATCTGAGCTTTTTTTTCGTGCAGCGATCACATCTGCCAATAAGACAAGCTTCTTCAGTCAATTTGCCTTATCTATAAAGAGTTAGAAAACTTCCCCTGAGCTAAATTTGTCCTTTCTTTCTTGTCAAGAATTGAAAAATTACTACTGTTTATAATGAAATTAGTTTGTCAAAATAATAATTATCTTTTTGCGGAAAATTTTGTCAATCATAACCGCATCTGCCGCACTTAGGAAGTAAAAATTTATTTTGTAAATTGCAAGATCAATTAAATCATAAAAGTCTGCAAAGAATTATTCCCAAATAATAACTCGCCAACAGTTTCAAATTAAGTCTGTTTTCGCTGACTCAGCGATAATGATCGACAACACGATTTACCTTTTTCCCGGCGAATCCTTTTCAGCAGATCTGGCCATACAAAGGGTACATTTAGGTCAAGGTTCTATTTAATAAGTTTTACAATAGCCTTAAGTCTCTTTTTAACGACATGAAGCGAAATACGAGCACTTTACCTTAAACCCTCAATTCACGCGCATCTCATAAACAGTGAAGAGCGTCGAATTGAAACTTGTTTGAAACCTTGATTGAGATTCCGAAGAAAAGATATCGAAGACTGATATATTTTTACCAGTGGAAGATTCAAAAGAACGTCCCATCATATTTTTATCTTCTGATGATTTTTGCTGATTTTGATAGTTTTCAAAAATAAAATTAATAATTCACAACATTTGATATAAATTTTTGTTAATTCTGCGCAAAATGCGTTTAGCAGGAAAAAAATTCGTGCGTTCATGCGTTAAGAAAAATTATACGATTCTCGACGAAATCTGATGGTTATTTTGGGGAAATATATAAAAGCAGAAAAAAGATGTTCGACTTTCAAAATAGCCTAAAACTAAATTTACCGCTTTAGTTCTTTTTAAAGAAACTTTATCAATAAATTATATTAAATTTGAGCATTAGCATTTCGCAAAACCGTATGTCTCGCAGGAGGGATCGGAACAACGGGCGTTTTTGCATGTTTGCGCATTAAGGTTAGACTCTGCTTGTCTGAGTTTCCGATATCGTCAACCTTCTTCGAGGATTAAAAGGACATTCGTTACTTGCAAAAAGCGACCAAGACGAACAAAACCAGAATGACAAAGACGGCGATGATGAACAGGCGGCGAAGCGATTTTTTTAACCCTCAATTTCAGATCTGGCAGTTCGTCCCTCAATCTGATCATTCTTCGCTCGGAACAGGTAGATTATTAATCTAAGATTAAAGGAATAGCTTTAAATCTTGGGTTCTTTAATTGCTCCCCTGACTAAGTTTTTTTTTCAGTTTCTAAAATCATTCTGCAGCATTCACATCAAAGCCAACCTCCCTCGCCCCTGGCTGCCCGACCACTTTCTCTGGTTGGTCTCAAACGACCATCGCTGGTCGACAGTCAAGAACTACGCCCAATGCGTCAAGATACAACCAACGAGGACAAGCTAGCTTACGATCTCTCCGAGCGAGTCTGTCAAATTATGCAAACGGCTGTTCCTTCGCTTAGAGCGAGAAAAATTGCCACGCTTTGCCAAAGAGCTAAATCCATCCCGGAGGTGAGTTTTTTTTTTTATAAAATTCTCATATAAGCTGAAATTGATAAATACTGGATGCTATAAAAAACTATTGTAAAAACTGAAAATAAGCAAGCCAATTAAATGAACTCCGCTCAATTTGTTTTTCGCAAAACTCCGCGTTCCAACGCGTTTTTTTGCGATATTTGATGATGATTGAATTAGGCAGCAATTTCCCGATTTCCGCCAATTTAGTGTTTTGTTTTTGAAAATTCAGCTTGTTTACATAATTCTAGCGCGTCATTAAACAACGATCCTGCGCCGCCGCACTTCTGACCAGAGTAGACTCGAATTTGGTTCTTTCGCTCGAAACTCTTCGTGAATGGAGGTAACATCAGGACCTTCTCTCTCTTTTCCTTTTGCCCCCTATGTTTGAAGAGTTTTAAGTACAACACTTTTGTATTCGTCATTAAAATTCGAACTTTTCGGGTTTTTTTCGCAAAATTTTTCCAATTTTTCCGCTGGTAAGCGATTCCCTTTATCAAAGTAAACCCCTCAAAAATATCATAAAGTTTCTTCGCCAGAGGTCCAAGCTTACTTTCGAGCATAAGTTATGCGGCATAACTAAATAATTTCATTTAAGGTCATCCGAATGATACCCTCGTTTGGAAAAGTCTGAACTTAAAACTTACGAAATGACACCCTTAAGAGCATCTAGTAGTGAGCGAGCAATTTTTATTTCCTTAAAGACCCCCCCTCAGCTTTTTTCGAAAAATCTATTTTCGGAATTTTAAAATTTTGACCCCGGAAATGGATTCTAAGGGTGAAAAAACGATTTTGAGGCTTCATTTTTTGGCGGTCTATCTCGACTCTAACACCCTCGAAATCGCCTTTGAAAATTGGGCATTTTGCGAAAAATTGACCAAGTTCCCATAATTTTGGCAAAAATATTGAATTTTCCTGGTCATATATTCGTATTATCAAATTTCTGAATAAACTTTAACCTAAGGACGCATTATTAAAAAAAGATTACGGGGGGTCCTTAAAAAATTTTCTTGCTATAGTATCGACAAAAAAATTTTTGAAAAATCAATGTTGTTTTAGTAATTTCAAGATGTTAAAACTAATTTTGAAAAATAACACAAAAGCAAGTCGATTTGGTTATGTCTCCATTTTACGGTTAATTTCTAAAAAGCGATAACCAATTAGTCGGGTTATTTGGGCAACTTGTTCTTTTACAAAATAGTATTTATATTCAAATAGGCGCTGCTTCATAACCCACGTGGATCAACGTTTATTTTTGATTGCAATTTGAAAAGTTATTTTCAATTTTGTAATTACAAATTTCTAGAGACAAAATGATGGCCATAAACGCGCAGCGAAATGAGGATTGCGAGAACAACGAAGATTTGGACGGAACGATCGGCCGTTTTTACAGCTCCATGACAAGAAAAATCACGAAGGCGCAAAGAAAGCCGAGAAAATCGAAATCGAGAGGAAAGAAAAACTGAAAGCTTCAAAAACATCAATTGACGATTTTTTCTTCAAAAAATATTTGAAAAGCGATACCTTGACTAAAATAATTTTCGAAACAATTTTTTTTTGTTTAAAAATTTTGTATATTTTTAAAATTAACTATTTATCTGACGCTATTGATATAACCTTACTGTACAAAACTCTCATATTTACTGTGAAAGGGATATCTCAATAAATGATTACAAATAAATTTACAAAGATAAAATACAAATTTGAGGCAAAAGTTTTATAGACAAAAATATTTAGAAAAGAAATTGAATATTCCAGCGAATATAACCAGCTGGCCCGACATAAGGAGTTGAAACGGACTGTTCACTTCCACCGGAGCTGTAAATTTCTTCAGTTTTGTTTGTTACGTTTCCAGATTCTGGACAGATATTTTCTGCAATTGCGCGAAATTTAGAAGATCCTAAAATATACAAATATAGAAAATTAAAGGGCGCTACCATTTCTTTTCGTAATGTAGAGATACCAAATGGAGCCATCACCTTGTTTCGGGCATCTTATTCTGAGTTCATTGCAGGTTCGATCGTACGATTCATTCCATGCAAACTTAAAAGATATTTAGTTTATACTCGGAAATCGCTAACTAACTTTTAAATTTATTTGGCGGAGGCCATTTTTGACTTTTTCAGCAATCGTCGAATGGCAGAATTTAACGTTGCTATACGTATTTCCATTTGAATCTGTGGTATTATGAGACAGCTTATATCTCGTATCATTATCATCCTTTCCATAATAAAAACCTAAAAAAAATAAATTCAAAGCAAGATTTCAAAGCTCAACTTACCAAGTCCCTTCAAACTATCAGAATTGCAAAAATAAACTTTGCTGAAAGTCCTCGCTTCTCTTAATTCCGCTTCGAGGCTTGAAATCGAGCTCTCTAATCTGGCAAAGAGCTGAATGTAACATTCAGAATGTTCCATCTGATATACCCAGCTGTTCCAACAAAAGGCGTTGAAACACATTGTTCGCTTCCACCAGAGCTGTAGATTTCATCTGTTTTGCTTGTCACTTCTCCGGTTTCTGGATGTATGTTTTCGGCAATTGCTCGAAATTTTGAGGAGCCTCAATTTTTACGAATAAAGAAAATCGAGAATTATTACCATTGCTATTTGTTATGTACAGATACCAAGTCGACCCAGCGAATGTTTCATCTTTAGCGACACATTTCGGGCTTCTTATTCGAAGTCCATTGATCGTTTCGTCGTAAGATGATTGAAAATGAAACTTTAAGGGTACCTAGGTCGAGTTTGGACACCTCCTTAAATTATTTTCTGACCGTAAAATCGAATTCTTCAGGTTCTGAGGAACAAAAAACTCTACAATGACCCTATAGATATCTTAACGTTTTCACCGTCAAAATCCACTTCAAAGTTTAAAATCTAAAGGAAATGCTAGCGCCTCAAATTTGGACGAAAAATTTTCATCTCTGATTTTACTGATTAGGGGCTTAAATGAAAGCTTATGGCCTGGTTAACATCGTAATCAAGCTTAAAATTGCCCCAGAAAATTAAATTCATCTCAAAATCGGGGAAAATGAAAGCTTACCAAGCAAAAATGCAGAATTCGCGAAGACTAGTCCAGACTTTTGGAAATTTAATTAAGAAAGTTTTAGAATTTCATCAAAAGCTACTGACAAAATTTAGATGAGGGTCTGAAATTTATATTTCAGGCTTAAAAAAGGGGGGTTGCTGAGGCAGATATCTCGGAATTTCGCCATTTAGTTGGTCCATTTTCGGCGAGATTCCAACTTTGACGGGCTAGATTTCCAAAAAAATATTGACGAATCATTAAAAGCTACTGACAAAAGTGAGATCTAGCTTAGATCTTTCAAAAAAACTATTGTACGCATTTTTTGCCCTTCCAGGTTCCCAAGAATAAACCCTTAAAGTCGGCCATCTCGACCCAGGTACCCTTAAAGATTTGATTTAACTGAAAAAGCTCACATTTTACCTTGAGATTGATTTGACGAAGACCATTTCTAACGTGCTTTGCGATTGTTGAATGACAAAGACGGTCATTTGTGAAATTTCCATTTGGCAATGAGTTTCGTGTATCGCAATCATCTTTGCCAAAATAAAACCCTGTAATATATTATCGAGCTATTTCAAATTGAATTTCCCACCGAGTCCCTTCAAGCTGTTTGACTTTGAGAATGAAACGGTACTAAATGTCTTTGTTTCTTTTAGCTCAGATTGAAGATTTGAAACTGCGTTCTCTAATCGGGCAAAAAGCTGAATGTTCCATCTTATATATCCAGCTCTTCCAACAAATGGGGTTGAAACGCATTGTTCGTCTCCGCCAGAGCTGTTGATTTCTTCCGTTTTGTTGAGGACTTCACCCGTTATTGGATGTATATTCTCCGCAATAGCGCGGAACTTTGAGGATCCTATTCAAGTGAAAATTACTGATTACCAAAATCAAACAGAATGTTTTTACCATTGCAGTTAGTGATGTACAGATACCAAGTTGTGCCGGCGCATGATTCATCATCCACATTAACACATTTTGGGCTTCGGATTCGGAGTCCATGGATTGTCTCGTCGTAAGATGATTGAAAATGAAACTTTAAGTTTTTTTTCTATTTTTTAAAAGAGAATTTCATACTTTTAGATTTATCTGACGAAGGCCGTTTTTTAGTTTTTCAGCAATGATCGAGTGTGACAAAAGATTGTCATTCGAGTTTTCCTTTTTCATGAAACTTCGAATATCTCTGCTATCAGGACCGTAATAAAAACCTTAATTTTCTCATACAATTTTCATTACTTGGCTCTCTTACCAAGGCCTTTTAGACTTTCAGTGTTCGACATAGAAACACGAGAAAAAGTCCTTTCTTCTTTAAGTTCAGATTCGACAGTTTTTAAAGATTTTTCTAAGCTGCTGATTGTCGAGGTTTTCGACTTGATTGTTCTTTCATGATCAATGATTTGAGATTTATTTCTTCTAACTTCTCTTTCAAGAGTATCTTTCTCATCTGTCAAAAATTGATTTTTCTCATCAAGATTTCCATTTTTCACCACTTCGTTTTCAAATTTTTCTTTCCAATTATTTCGATCATCGAATTAATGCTGATTTATTCGCCTCACAACATCAACTGCTTCTTCCGAGTATTCAAGCGTTTCCTGATCGACCCCGAATTCCAATTGTTCGATAAGACCACTGATTCTTGCATTTTTGGCGAGTAAAGAGGCATTTTCAACTCGTTGAAGCTGGTCTTTTCTCAGACAAACATCAATCAAGTCCTGGCATCGAGAAAAAATAGTTTCTGGTTCATGTTGATTCGCTAACAAATAAAAATAAGAAAAAACAATGAATGTTTTTGTACCTTCATAAATATTGAAAAGAGTTTTGATATGTTCTTCGTTTTTGTCCAAAAAAGGATGAGTCAAATAAGCAGTTTGGTAAATAACCACCCCCATCGCCCAAATATCCCTCGCAAAAGTCAGCTGATCGCCCTTGTTTCTATTAATCACCTCTGGAGGCAGATAATATTCAGTTCCGACGATTTCAAGAAGATTCGTTGTCGTCATACCGGACGCAACTGCCTCGTCATCTTTTAAGTGATTTTTTTTAAGATTCCTTTCGAAAATTTCTCGTGTTTTTTTTATCTCATTTTATTTGGCAGAGACTGGTTTCGGAGTAAAACTCCTTCTTCAGGCTACAGATCAATAAACAGTTAACCCAGAAATATGATGTTACCTTGAGAAGCGAAAAAGCGCGTCTGAGTTAGAGCGAGATTACAAACGAGATAAAAGCGCGTAACAGAAAATGACAAAAAGGGGCGCCAAGATCTTGGCTCTTACTCAGACGCGCTTTTTCGCTTCTCAAGGTAACATCATATTTCTGGGTAAACTGTTTATTGATCTGTAGCCTGAAGATGGAGTTTTACTCCGAAACTAGTCGCTGCCAAATAAAATGAGATAACGACAAGGTCAACTAGAGAATTATCTAATTTTTCATAAATCATTCCTGAAATACCGAAATCGCCCACAACCACCCTCATTCTCTCTCCGATAAAAACATTTGAAGGTTTAATATCTCTGTGCAGAATTTCTTTCGAATGAATGTAGCTTATTCCATTCACAAACTGGCAAATTATCTGAAGAGCTTGATTTTCAGCCCAATTTTCGGGATTTTCCGCTTTTCTTTCGATGAACGAGCCAAGATCACCTAAAAAAATATTTTTTTTCCTAAATCTTTTTCAAAATATCACCAGCGGTCATGAATTCCATCGTGATCGCGAAATAGCGAATATCTTCGTTGCTGAACGAAAATCCTTCAAAAACTTTTAAAATGTTCCGGTGATCGAGAGTTTTCATGATTTTGAATTCTTCTTCCGCATCTTTGGCATTTACAAGTCCTTTGAGACAAACCTGCTTTCTTTCTGAATAATAATTTCAAATTTCGCCTTTTTTTGTTTAAAAAACCGTAAATATCTTCGACGATCCAAAAAAGCTTCGTTTGATCATTCGATTCTCGAATATTTCTCAAAAAATTATATTTTTCATTAATTTCAATCGCCATTTCAATAAAGAGGCAAGGCTTATTTCCCGCGAGAGTATTTATGCCAGCTATTGCAAATTTGCAGAGAAAATCAACATTTAAAAACTGACGAATTCACATTGATGAGCAAGAATTTGTGCTCATGCAAACAAAAAAGGGAAATTTGAATCAACAAGCAAATTTTGCTGTATTTTTCACAATTGCTTAAATTTTTCATATTTTTTATCTACCTATAAGTGTTCTTTATAATAATTACGAAGAATCTTGAGATCAGAAGAAATCTGATAAATAATCTCGCCATTTTATTTCATTTTAGGGGGAGGTGGTCGAAAATTAAGATTTTTCAAACCAAGATTGAGAAAAAACCGAATGGGACAAGAAAATCTATATTTTCTAGGGTTGAAGATAAACGTTGAAAGAATGTGGGCGCGTGGAGAAAAAAAAATTTTTTTTTTGAAAAAATTGAGGAAAACTTCATGGAAGTGGACCCTACTTCAATCCAAGATTACGGGCAAAATAACTTTTTTTTCAAAGATCAAACCTCATATGATGATAGAATAGACCCTTACGGATGTGGGCGCGTGGAGAAAAAGTAGGGTTGCTATGATAATTAAGGTCGTAACGGCCGATTTAAAAATGTCGTTTTTGCTAAAAATGGTCAGTTTACACTTAAAATGAAGTTTTCCAAAAAATCGCCAATAACCCTAATTTTTTAGATATTTACAATTCTGACCTGATAAAAAAACTATATCTTCCAATAAAAAATGAAGTTCTGTTGGTTTTAGTGCGAAAAACAGCTTCTAAAATTCCGAAAAATCTCGACTTCATGACCTAAAATCAAAAATTTTCTATGTTAAAGTTTATCCAATCAAAAAAAGCTGGACACCAAAAATGCTTCTTTTTTAATGGAGAATTCAAAAAAATAATCAAAATTTTGAAAATCGAAAAAAAAATTTTTCGACCACCTCCCCCTTAAACGCATGTTTGTTTATCAGCGCCAGGAAATTATTACAGTGGATAGTCCTATCTTGGGTAGGTCACTTTAACGCGTCGCTACCCAGTTTAGGATTAGGCCGGCGCGGCCTTTTTTCTCTTGAGAAATAGAAATTTCTTTTTCAAAATATGGCCTCGCTACCCAGTTTAGGACAAGGCGGGCGCTACCTTAGAAAGGATTATCCACTGTACTTAGACCATTTTTTAAAAATAGACTCAGTCGACTTTGCTTTTTTATCAAGAAGAGTCGATATTTTTAAATAAGTTAGGATAAGTTTGTACCCTTGAATGTCTGAATTCTTTTCCCTGAAGACAATAGATGATAGTTCTATAAACATGCATACCATTTGCTCTTGAGATTTTCCATTGGAAATTCCATGCTTCTTGTAGTCTGGGTTCTCAGAAGAGTGTTTCCATCCGTACCCGAAGTAGATAGCGTATCCGGCTAAAAGAAAGATATTTCCCGAGTTTTAGTTCTTTATCTACCTGCAAGCCAGAAGGTGAGCTTGACCCAGATCGTCCATCGCAAGAACACCATCAGATAGACATTGACAAGGATATTTACAACAGGGATGAATGGGATGAGGGGCACCTTAACCCTAGCCGGCCAGGTATTTACCTGCAAATAAGACTATACAAATGATAAAGGTCAAATTATATGGTCTTGGGGAAATAGATTAAACCCTGCCTATCAAGATGCAATAAAAAAAACCGCTCCAGAATGAGTTTCTTAGAAATTATACGTTAAATATTGTGAGGTACTTGGAAATGAGTAAAAACCTGCTCCATATTTGGAGTACCTTGACCGGCTAGGGTTAAAAATGACCATCTTGATATAAGAGCAACGATACCTTGAAGTTGAGAACGGCCTCCGACTCCGGTTGGCGCCAGAAAAAAATGGAGAATACGATGATTAAAACGCCGAAAAGGAGCATTCCCTTCGTCCACTCGAACTTTGAGCACACTGAGAAGAGGATTGAAAAGATAGCTGAATGCGGCTTTAGAAAGGATGTTCAGCATCTGCACTCATTACCAATAAAAGAGGTGGAGTACGACACAGCCTGTGCGGACAATTTGGTGGGAGTGCCATATCGACGCGCGAAAAAATTCTTGATGGCAAAAGTCTCCGCAGAAGTATCAATCACTGGATCAGCGGATGTGTCCAATCTGTAGCAAAGTACCATGACCGACGTAGCGACAAGAGTGTAAGCCATAAGGGTTCCAATCGACATGAAGTCAACAAATTCTTCGAGATCGAAGACGAGCGCAAGGCGTTCAAAATTTTGAACGTAGCCGCCCTACACCCGCTAAAGAACCAAATGAACAAATAGAAACGGAAAACTCATTCAAGTGAAGTTTGCAAATTTTTATGTCTTTCGTACTTTGGATCAAAGTGGAAAGCTGAATAGCCTATTCACTAGCTTCATCGAATTACTTTTCATCAATCATTTAAGGAGCCGATTAGCCTTTAAGGGGGTGGTAGTCGAGAATACTTTTCTCGACTTTTTGAAATTTTGATTTTATTTTTGAATTCCTCGATGCAAAAGGAACATTTTTGGTCCCTACCATTTTTTGATTTGATCAACTTTATTTTAGAAAATATCGATTTTAAGTCGGGAATTTATGATTTTTCGAAACTTGGAAATTTGATTTCCTTTACTAAAACCGATATTAACATGATTTTTGCTGCGTGATATTGTCAAGATAAAAGATTTTACTAATAAATAGGCAATAATTGAGAATAGTTGTTATTTTTTCGAAAATTAAAGTTCAAATTGGGTGAAAATTGACGATTTTTATGAAAACTACATTTTTTAAATCAGGTTCTGCGACCTCAAAATGAAACAGAACCTTTTTTAAACTTATTTGCCCACACGCCTAAGGGTCTGAACTATCTTAAGAATAAATTAATTTTCGAAAAAATTTAAGGGTTTTCTCACAATTTTGTCAAGAGATAGGTCCACTTTAGAAGCATATTTTGAGCTTTTTCCGAGAGAAAATTTTTTAAAAACTATGTCGCCCACATAATTTGAACCCTTTCAAACCCATTTTCGATGAGAAAAGAAAAAATTTTTTTGAAAAATTTTGAGCTAATTTTGTTGAAAAAAATCCGATTCTCGACCACCACCCCCTTAAGAAATAATCACGAAATAAATTCCTTGCAAAATTTGCGCGCACTAGACTTTCATCTGCATTGTACCGCTGTACTTTAACCTTACCCCGCCAGGGTACACCTCCTCATACACAGAGGTCAAAAAATTAATTTTTCACAGAGAAGGACTTTGACTTTTGGAAAAAGAAAAACTGTAGAGCTCTTTATCGATAAGCTTTCTTCTGGTTACCCTTTCAGCACTCAGGGTTAGGGTTAGGGTTCGGAAATCGGCGTTTTTGAAAATAACTGCATGCACCTCCTGAGGTCTATAGCTTAAATAACGGATGCACCTCCTGAGGTGTTTTTGTCGGGTAGGCTAGTGATTTTCCGCCAAAAAGAAAATCTCTTCCCCACTCACAAGAAATTTGGAATCAACTAAATATGCTCCTTACATAAAATATGCATAATTCAGAATTATTAATTCTAAAATATTATATGATCTTGCATAGTTTTTTCATGTATCAAATATATTTCTGTATCAATATGTGATTATTTAATATGTGATATTTTTGCGGGTAAGGACAAAATGACGATTTGGCGGGGTAAGGTTAAGGAAAGAATTGCGCTGGTTCAGAAATCGAAATTAGACAGAAACGTTAAAAGAAAAATTTTTTGAGAAATATTCATATATAAGTCTAATCAAAGCCATGTTAATCGGTCTTCTTCTGAGCTTACAGTGGTGTGAGGAGTTTCCGCACACCTAAAGAGCGGGTAAAAGGTGCGGCAACGCAGCACTCACAAAGGGTGCAGAAACTCCTCACACCATTGTAGATAGATAAGGCCGCTTCCGCCGAGAAGCAACCGTGCTTATTTTCTATCAACTGTTTTCCCTCGCTCTTTCTGTGCTCTATCCGCAAGGATCACTTAATCATGCAAAAGTCACTCAGCTGAAAAACACCCAAGCAAAGCTCAGTATTTTACCCATTGTGTAATAAATATGCTTCAGTCACAAAGAATTCAGTTCATTGAGTACGGGAAAACTAATAAACTTGTAAGTTATAATCGACGTTGAACTCCTAAGGAGCAATGAAATTTTCGTTTGAAAAGATTTTATTGGGAAATTAGCGGTTACTTTGAAGATTATCAGAAAACAGTTGGTTTCCTATTTTCTTGAGGGAATTTTTCTTGACAATTTTTGGATTTAAACACCGTTGAAGTCAACGAGAATTAGAATTTTTAGAACAATTTTCCCGATAAAACGAATTCCGCAAGTACAGTGAAACCCCAACTTAAGGCCACTTTTTGGATGACAGCTAATTTGAAAAGTGGCCTACAGTTGGGTGATTCTCCATCTAAGTTGGATGACGCTAAAATTTTTCTATTTCTGGAGTAAGGGACTGAATCATGTGAATCAAAAATGAAAAGTGGAGGGTCTTATGAGAAATTTGTAAAGTATGAATTGTAAAAACTGAATGCGCTAATTGAATCAAACTTGAGGTTATTTTTTTATTCTCTTAAAAATAAATTTTGCCGCAAGCATGTCGCAAGAAGAAAAGAGAATCCACATGACACTGGCCGAGAAAAAAGATATGCAGAGATTCTAGTGAAGACGCCGAAGAAGTGTGATGCAAAGAAGATTATCAATTGGCTATTTCGAAAGAAACATGATGGAAAAGACATTCCGACGCGGACATTTTCTCGGCTTTATGATCAGCGGTTCAAAATATTGGATTCTAAATCGAAACGAAGGTTTCAAATGTCTCAGCATTTCTTGGCGCTTCAAATTGATGAAACACGAGCTGCAACTCCGATGGAGGTTGAAGAAGTACCACAACTTGTGGTCCACAAGTTCAAGTGAGAGAAGATGCCGACGCTGAAAAGCCATCGACATCAAAATCGCCAAAGAAGCAGCAGAAGATAACGAGTTTTTATAAAAAGTGAATTAAAAAGCGATTTACTCACTGTGAATAAAAATTGAAAAAAGTGGCCCTAAGTTGGATTTTTTTCGGATGACAGATTTCGGGGATTTTTCAAAAAAGTGGCCTTAAGTTGCTCGGCCTTAAGTTGGGGTTTCACTGTATATTATGACTAGTCGGGTGAGAATTAAAGGGTATTTAGAGGATATCGGCAAAAAGATTCGCGAAGATTTGTAAAAATTTCGTGCACTCCTTTACCAAATGTGACCAAAATAAATAGCGAAATAATCAGAAAACTTGCCGAAATCAAGGGGTTTGGCCCATACGGCATCATTGATGCATCATCTCGACGCGAACAAATGCATCAACGATGAAATTCTGCCGCGGATCTTTGATGAGTTCACTGCACTACATCGAGCGATAGATTTTTCGGGACCGAAATCAACGAGAACCGGATCGCAGAAATTTCAAGCTATGGTGAAGGTTGTTTTTGAAGAAAAATGATGAGTTTTGTTATAATTTTTCGCTGGAAAAGAACTGATGCGATATTGGTGCAGAAATTTGACAAAACTTCCTGGCTGGGGAGGAAAACATCTTCAAATTTGTAATAATTTTGTTTCAAAGCAGCACAGTCCAAGAGCCATGATGATTTCAAAAAAAATTTCGCGGGCCCGGAAATCGTCAAAAAACTTCTTGTCTATTTTTGTAGAGCTCGTCGAGACGAGTCGAATGATATATAAAACTCCAGATAGTTTTAAGATTTTCCGCCAAAAAAGTGATAAGAAGGTGTCTTATCAAAAATTTTCTGACCAGCGCCGTTTCTGTTCTAGAAAAGCTCAGGTGATGCTTGACCCCGGAAAATGATGCTCATGGTCTGTTCTATTCCGGCAAAAAATTTCAGCTCGTCCTCACATATCCTGCTGTGCTTATCAGCGAAAATCAAAAAATTAGTGCATTTTGTTGTCGCTGCACGTTCCTAGTTTCCGGCCCATTTACAGTCCCATTTTCCTTGGAAAATGAAATTTTACGATAAACTCGGCTGGGTATACGATGACGAGCTGAATTTTTTTGCCGGAATAGAACAGGCCATGAGGATCATTTTCCGGGGTCAAGCATCACCCCAGCTTTTCTAGAACAAAAACGGCGCCGGTCAGAAAATTTTTGATAAGACACCTTCTTATCACTTTTTTTGGCGGAAAATTTTATAACTATCAGGAGTTTTATATATCATTCGACTCGTCTCGACGAGCTCTACAAAACTAGACAAGAAGTTTTTTGACGATTTCCGGGCCCGCGAAATTTTTTTTAAAATCATCCATGCTGAAAGTTTGGTTCTTTTTTGTATATTTTTTATTTCGAAAAGCAGTATTTATGCATCAACCGTGTTGTTTTCTGTTATTCTGCAAAAAAGCGAGTAAGCTATTTTTTAATTTCGGCGGGGCAGAAATAAATATTTATCCGTCGAATCTGCTTGTGCTCTTTTGGTGAGTGCTGCTCAAATCAAGTAAAACAGGCTTTTTTCGACTAATTAAAATAAATTCTAGCGTTGTTTGATGCTTCCATTTCACTTCAAGAATTTGATTAAAAATATATTAAAAAACAAACTTCGTAATTATTATTATTTTCGATTCTTTTGAAGCTCAGTTCTTTTTATTTAAAACAGGTACGCAAGAAACAGATGAAAGCGAGTAGATATTTAAGCGCAGAATCCTGCGGAGACTGGAAACAAGACTGGCACAACTTGGCTATTGCTATGAGTGCCAATTATTTCGGAGCTTTTTATTTCGTCTCCCTCCATGTCGATTCTTTCAAGAGAGTGATTTGGTTCTCCATAACCGGGGATCAGGAAAATCGAATCGTTGATTTTTAGAGACGAATGCACGTACATAGCCTTAGAACACATTAAAAATCGAATAAATAAAAGCAAATCAAAACTTCAACGAACTCATCAATCCATCAAGTGATGAATAATAAACTTACGCTTTTCAAAGTTCCAGTTCGCGACCAGGAGTCGTTTGAGAGAAGCCAGACATGATCCAATATAACATTTCCATCAGTCCAGCCACCAAGCATGAGTAGATTTCCGCTTTCAAGCCCGACCAAGACATGACCCCAAAAACGACCACTAAAAATAACTTCGATGATAAAAAATAACTCATTTTACCTTATTGGTGGATCTCCAATCACCCTCCATTCATTGTTTGTTAGTGTTTCCCCTTTTTCCGTGTCGTAACTAGAACCAACAGTGGTCGGTTGATTTTTATACATCCCAAGTTTTCCAAATGCATGCCCGTAATTCGAGGAGGTCGCGGACGTTGAACTCGATCCATCATAAATTTCGCAGTGGTTCTTATTTTCACCATTAGCGAAGCAGATCAAGACTGAAATTTTTATTTTTCATCGGATATTTAAAATTTATAATATGAAAAAATTTGCTCATTTACCTCGCGAATTGCCGTCAATAGAAAGAGCAGCGCTTCCGTTGTCTATGTCATTCAAAAGCTTCGCCGATTTTTCTCCAAAAGCGCAATTTTCAAGAACAGCAATCTGAAATTCAAATTTTCATAAAAATAACAAGTAATTATCAAACCTTTCTTTTGTCCGATATTCCACCAAAGATATAAAGTTTATTTCCAATGAGCGCATGCTGAGCATCTTTAGGATAATTCCCAACTGGAGCTGTGATTTTTGCAGAGACTTTTGAATTTCCTTCTCGAGAAATCACATATGCGTCCAAGACCGAGTTACGAAGAACGAGAATGGAATTTCTCTGAACAAAAAATTTCTTGTCTAGTTTTGTAGAGCTCGTCGAGACAAGTCGAATGATATATCAAACTCATTTTAGTTTATAGATTTTCCGCCAAAAAAGTGATAAGAAGGTGTCTTATCAAAAATTTTCTGACCGGCGCCGTTTTTGGTCTAGAAAAGCTGAGGTCATGCTTGACACTGGAAAATCATCCTTATGATCTGTTCTACTGCTGCAAGAAAAATAAGGATAAGATAATAAAAATCTCTTCTGATAAATTTATACCAGCTAGTATTTTTTAGCGCACAAAATTTTTCCCTGTGAGTGCACGGCGCTCCGAACTCGGGGCAACCCCTTTTTCTGTTCTAGCGCAAAATAAATTAAAAAATTATTTTGACTAATTAGTTTCGAACGGTCAGGTCCATTATAGACTATAATAAAGGCTATAAATTATAGCCTATAATTTATAGCCTAATATAATTTATAGTTGACAGCTTTCCCTGCGCGGAGAGACTTCTCTGCGCAAGGACGAAAGTATCTTCTCCCGTAACGAAGATCGCTTGCTCCCTCCTTGAAACCCTTTCTCCCTGTGCACGGGGAGGGGCTCGAAACAATTCTGCATGCAGAACTATTCTGCAAAAAATAGAACTATTCTGCAGAAAATGGAACTATTCTGCGTTTCGCAGAACTATTCTGCCGAATGCAGAACTATTCTGCAAATGTAGAACTATTCTGCAAAATACAGAACTATTCTGCACAGATGCAGAACTATTCTGCGAAAAGCAGAACTATTCTATAAATCCAGAACTATTCTGCATTTCGTGAATTAAGCACGCGACAGGCCTACGGCCCTTACGCGTGCATTTTCTGGTAGGAAACTCATTGGGTTGGCAGGGGCAGTCTTTCTCTACCGCTGGGACTCCAATATTTCGGTCAATTGAGTCTTTTGGTGTTTTTGTGCTAATATCCGTTTTGGCGGGTGCAGAACTATTCTTCGAAAAATGCAGAACTATTCTGCATGCAGAATTATTTCGATCGAATAAGGGCGATATTTGATCGAAACAATTCTGCATTTTGCAGAATAGTTCTGCATGCAGAATTGTTTCGATCGTTTCCCTGTGCACGAGCTTTTTACGCACGTAAATATGCATTCTTCCTACGTAACTCTCTCTCTCCTGACGCAACTGTCATACTTCCGTTCGGACAAAGCTCTGTCCGTACGCACAGAATTAGTACATAGTATATAAGTCGTTTTAGATTTTAGTATATAAGTCGCTCTGCTTCGCAACTCGACACTTACCTTCATGATAGATCTGACCGTCCGAAATTTGTCGAAATTAATTTATACGACCAATTTATTTTCAGATAAATAATTATCCTCGATCTTAGAAAGAGTTCGACGGGGTGACGGCGGGTTTTTGGCAAAGATCAGCCCGGCAAAAACTATCCGCTATTTATCATAATAGTGATTTTCCAAAGATCCTTTTATATTGGAAATTTTGAAGTCAAGATTGGGTTACACTTAGTTCTATTTTTTCTTGTTCTTCTATTTCAAAGGAAAAATTATTGAAATTATTATATTACGGAAAACCAGTGTATTAAAAAATTTTCAAAACATTTGTAAACTTACCGGGCCACTATCCTCATCTGATGCAGAGCAATCAGCAAGGCAATTTGGGTCATCCGCCTTGCAAAAGTCGATCTAAAGAAAACTCGTAAAGCAACTGTAAAAATGAAAAAAAAACTTACGTTGCATGATATCGTCATCTTTGCCGAATCTGCGCTCTGGGGAAATATAAAAATTGTGAAGGAGAATTTCAAATCAGATGTTGTTTTTTCTCCCCAGACGAAATTCAGTCCATTTTCGAGGGGACACTTATCTTCAACAAGAGCGAGACTGGTATCAGTCAAAGCCTCATCTTCTACTGTGCATGTTTTAACGACGAAGCTGGTGTCCGGAATTGAAGCTGGGGCTTTTATCTTTCAAGAGTTACTCACTTTTCCCGAAGTTTTATGACCTATCTCGAGCACGAGCATATTTTTAGAGCTTGTCTTGATTGAAAGACATTGTAAATAGACATTTTGAAAAAAAAATTATTTTTATCTGGCTGTTTAATGATAGTCACTGATAGTAAGGGAAACTTTCGAGATGATTCTGCATGCAGAAAAGTTAAGCATATAAGAAAAAATAATCTTTTAACGAAGGAAGCGCGAGAGTAGAGAAAGTTGGCAACCTTCAGAAATGAGTTCCCTACCAGAATTTGCGCGAAGGGGCCGTTTGTCACTAGATAAAGATCGTTTTTCCGGCACTATGTAGAATGCCGATGAAAGATGGGGTTGCCCTGGACTTGAGCCCGAATTAGCGACACCATGTGTGCGTGTTTCGCTTTTTCATTAAGCGGAGGAACCCGCCAGGTGGAAGACTTCGCTTTTACGAAAAGAACATCCTCTCACTGAACTAATGAATTTTTGGATTTTTTCAGGTGAGCCCCTAAATTTAAAAATCAATATATGGAGATAATCTTTTTTTTTCCGGGCAATACTTAACTTTCATCGGTAGTTCTATATTTTGCAGAATTCTTTATTTGCAGAATTGTTCTGCATTCTGCAGAAAATTTTTGCGGAACGGGGGGAGTTCTTATGAAAAAATTTGCTAAAATTGTTATTCATAGTGCATTATTGAAGAAATTTTTGCTGTTTTTATCAATTTTACGTTGAAAAGGAAAAATCATTTTCAAATGAACCCCTTAAGGATATAAGCTATGAATTTGAACTTTCGTAGCGCCTAAATGCGACATAGGATCATTTTCATTTCAAAAGCAGTCCTACCTAAAATTGCACGTAGAACTCAAATCTGGAACTTTTGAAAAAAATTTATGGAAAATTTTCTCTCTAGAGCGATTTCAAATCTTACGCTCTCGATTGCTCGAAATTTTTCCACTAAATCGGTCGAGTTTTTTCGATAAATAACTTCTCTTAACCCTTATCTACGAAATTGACGGATCAGTTTTCGATAATTCCGACCGAAACCGATTTTCGAGCCATTTACATGAGGCTTACCCAGCGTGTGAATAGTGTAAAAGCGGCGCGCTGGGCGCTCGCTCTCTCAACTCCTCTTTTCCGTGAGAGTGGCGCGGTTGAGCGTAGCGCTTTGATTGGTTGCCCGCGACAAAGCACAAAAAGAAGAAAAACTCGAGCAAGAAAGAGGAAAACGCTAGAATGAAAATTTGAGAGAGTTTGGAAATAAAAGCCCGTCAATTTTCTAGCTTAACATCATCAAAATAAAAGAAACGGTTTAATTTTAGCGATTCAATGGAAAAATTCGAGCAATCGAGAGCGTAAGATTTGAAATCGCTCTAGAGAGAAAATTTTCCAAAAATTTTTTTTCAAAAGTTCCAGATTTGAGTTCTAAGTGCAATTTTAGGTAGGACTGCTTTTGAAATGAAAATGATTCTACGTCGCATTTAGGCGCTACGAAAATTCAAATTCATAGCTTATATCCTTAACCCGTTGCCGAGCGCGTAGCATTTAGGATGCTACAACCTGCCCCAGGGCTCGAAATCCAGCTTACTATTGGCGTAGATGGCTTTTATACACTTCGCGCTCGGCAACGGGTTAATATATCTTTATTTTTTCTTCTGATGCCCTCGATATCAACCTAAGCTATATTGAGAGTTTTTAAAAATTTTTGATTGTTGAGGTCATCTCAGAAATATCGATGTTTGAAACTTGAACGTATTGTTGCGACACCCTTAAGAAGCGCACGAGCGTGCATTTTCTTCTAGTCCCCTAGACCAACTATCGGGCTACCCAAAAGCAAAAAGTTTTCGGAAATCTTAAGGGGATCACCTCGAAATCACTGTTTGAAAAAGTTATTCCCACATGACAAAGGAGGATAGGAGCACATTAAATAAATAATTTTCCATCAAGTCCCCACTTATTATGAGTAGAATCTTTGATCAAATATTTTTATAGTTAGAACTCAAGGGCTGTCCATAAAGAGTGCTTCCGACTTGTAATTTCATCGTAGTAAAATCGACTTCGTTTTCATATTTTGAGGTATCATAGAAAGAAATCGGAACATCGAACTCGATGAGCTCATTATTAACATCGCCAGCATTGAACGTGAGAGAAGTAACAGCGTTGCTTTGGTCGGGTTGCTATTGCCATCAGAAAAAGTAGGGCAAAAAGATAACTGGAAGTTCAATTTGAGCAACTTTCTTTCGCAAATTTTTTTTTGGTTCAATTTTGTCAAAAAATAAATTATCAAAAAGTGAGTAGTCTTATATAGTCTATTGTATTATATTATATAATTTTATATATATAGAGAGGCATAACGCACAGAAAAATCAATTTTTTCCCTGTAATAGATACAAGTTTGAAAATTTGGGAGCAACTAAAACACCAAAAATGAAATTTTTGAAATTTTTTTTGTTGAAATGTTGTCAGAGCACAAAAATCTATCTGATAGGTGAAAATTCGCTTCTTAAGGACCCCCCCCCCCGTCAACAATTTTCGAAAAATCAAATTTCGAAATTTTTTTAATTTTGACCCCGGAAATGGATTCTACGGGTCAAAAAACGATTTTGAGGCTTTTTTTGGGGTCTATCTCGACTCTAACATCCTCAAAATCGCGATTGAAAATTGGACTTTTTCACGAAAAATGATGAAAATGGCCTATTTTTGCTAGAAAATCAGGTTTTTCTTGGTCAAAAATTGCTCCGAACAAGTTAATATGATGTTTTAAACTTCCAGGAATACTCAGAAGCCAAAATATGGCTGTTTTAAAATTTTCGATTTTTTGAGGAAAATTGTTGACGGGGGTCCTTAAGACTTACAGATAAAAAGTCGATTTTTGTGCGTTATGCCTATATATAGATAATATAGAATTTTAATATATTATTTACTATAAATATAATATAATGATATAATATTACATTATATTATATATTAATTTGGGGTTAAACCAATTTACGGAAAATTTAATTTTGGAGGGATTAATTTAGAACCGATTAGTGTGGATAGAATAATTTAGAATCAATTAGTATGTCTAGAATAAAAAAGAACCAATTAGTGATGATGGAATAATTAAGAATCAATTAGTGTGTCTAGAATAAAAAAGAAACGATTAGTGTGTCTAGAATAATAGAGAACCATTAAGTCCTTGGTTTAGTCCTTAATTTGGGTCTAAACCAATTTTCGGAAAATTTAATTTTGGAGAAATGAATTCTGAAACGATTAATTTAGGAAAAATGAACTTTTTTGATTAATTTTTAAAAAATAATCTAGGACCGGTTAATATTGGAAATCCAAATCTCCAAAAATCATTTTTGGATGACCAATAAGATTGCCGTATTTGGCCTACCGGCCAATCAAAACCCTGTCTATAAAATCACTTCCAAAATTAGTTCTTCCAAAATAAGTCGTTTCAAAATAGTTTCATCCCCACTATTTGTTTCTCAATTATTCTATCCCCACTAATTGTTTCTCTACTAACTTCTCCAACACTAAACTTTCCGAAAATTGGTTATACCCTTAATTTGTATAATATGTATAATTTATATATTTATAGACTAATAAAAGATCATCTAACAATAAGATACCAAAAAAACAAGCGAAAATCAAGGCTTCATGCCTTGATGGATTCAGAACCCTTTCCTTGCAGTAAAAATGCTCCTTGCAGTTGCTGAATTCTTGTAATTGCAAGAATAGCTGATTTTCGCACTTCGTCCAAAAACGATTCCATTTTTGACTGCACTTCCTATATGAAGCGCATTCTCCACGATAAAACGCTCGTCGTTTTGAAAGGCTACTGTTGCACCACAACCGCCGACGGTCGAGCTTACGATTTCCCATTTATCATCATCTCCATCGACTGCAAGACAGTTCTCATCATTAAGGTGGATTGCGGCTTTAGCAACGTCGGGGACAACGCATTTGTCGATCAAAATCGAGACGCCTTCGGACGAGCATGTGACTGTTGCTTTTCCGGGAGAAATAACGCAATCTTTTTTGTTGCTTTCTTAGAAATTTTTAAAGTAAAAATACATATCCGCGTCTATATCTACATGATAAGAAACTTACTAAGCTCCCAACAAGGTGGGCAAGAGCATATCCCGTCGTTGCAAAAATGAGAACAGCCTCCATTTAGCAGCTTAAAGCAGCTTGGCGCCTCGGGTATAAATTGACATTCGACAAACGCCGCAAATATGAGTATTCTTATTTTTGTTAAAAACCTTTTTTAAATATATATGTAAATTATTTCCATTTTTCGCTACCTTAAAGTCATAGACAACTTATTTACTAATCAAATCACAATCAATAAAACTCATATGGATGTGGTTCATCTTTGGAATCCCCGGAATCGTCAACTTTACGTTGTAAAAATATATAAGACAGATCTTTAAATCTAGGCCTGAAGGACACTCTCACTATTTACAAACAACGTATATTTTGGATTCTATTTATTTAATCTGTATACAAAAATTTATCTTCCCATTTTAATTCTAGCGTAGGAAGTGTGGGGCGGTTTGGCGAAAATGCGAATTCCAAAGTTTTCAAAAAAGGCCCCTACGTTTTTTTTATCAACGTCATTTAACGATAGAGTTAATTATTAGCTCTAAATTAATCACTTAATTAAAGCTCAAAGTAAGCCTGAGCAATAACTATACCCATAATGAAGCATTTCGCGGAAAATCGTGCAGGTCATTATCATTAGTTCTATCGGTAAGGATTTTCAAAGGGCTTCATTTGTTATTGAAAAGATTTTTTCGATAGAAATTATCAGGGGGTTTTGGCGCTAGAGAGCCTCCAAGAAACACCAATTGTCAAAAATCGTGATTTTGCGTCATTTTTGAACACGATTTTTTCTATGAAAATACAGTGAAACCCTTACCTAAGGCCCAGCAACTTAAGGCCCCTTTTTAAAAAAAATAAATTTTTGTTTACAGATTAAATAAATAAAATCCAAAATATACGTTGTTTGTAAATAATGAGAGTGTCCTTCAGGCCTAGATTTAAAGATCTATCTTAGATCTTACTATTGACAAGAGCTTTTTAAAAAATTCCTTCATTTTTGCCATGTAAAGACCCCTCAAAATTGGCATCTCGGACTGTTTTTATGTACGTAAAATGATTTTTAAAAAATGTAATTCGTTGTTGTTATGAGCGCCGGTCAAAAATGCCTAATTTCGGATAAATCGTTGAGGACCCTCTCAAGGTTTGTTACCTAATGATTCTGTTGAATTATTTTATGTGGCATCCCAATGAGCAATAAGTCTAGGACTTTCTATTGAACTATCTCTTTTAGATAAATTTCAGTTTTTTAATTCCAACTTACTAAATAAATATCTGAATTCTGATCTGCCGAAAAAAATTATTTTTAATTAAACATATCAAATTTTTATAATCGTAGAAAATAAATATGTCTTGAATAAATTTTTAACCGGAATCTGAATATTTTCTTCATCAATCTCTTGCTGCCTTGCTCAAAAATGCTAAACGTTCTTTTTAATTTAATGCTCTTTTGGTGGTGGTGTACGGGCTGTCAAGCAAGTTAACTTTTCAAACCTCGGGCGATTTAAATAAAGCGAATTTTGTTAAGAAGCTCGCTGAGTGAGTGGCGCTCGAGAGCTTTTCCTCTGAAAACTGATAAAAGTTCATTTCTTCTTCTATAAAAAGTCTTACACGTTGCTTAAGAACTTGAAGTGTACAGAAGAGCCCGTCGAATTATTGAGATTTTTGACTTTCAATCGACTAATTTGTTAAGATTTATGAATGCTCAAGGGGCTTCGTGATAAGGCATTTCGAGAAAAGGTTTCGAAAAAGATTAATGTTTATTTTAATGACAGAAAAAACGAGGCGGAAATCGAAGTCAAAAATGACCGAGTCAAGATAAAGGGGAAACTAAGGTTGTATTTTTGTGATTTCATAAATTTTCTGAAAAGAGACCATCTTCGAACATCATTCGCTGAATTGTTTGTATCATCTCGAAAGCATGAACATAAATTCCGTCTATAAAAATTTAAGAAAAATAATTTTTCAGTAAATATAAAAAGGACCTAAAAATACCTTTTCTAATGATAGTTTTCTCCAGGCATCTTTTCGTTGATGCGCATCTTTTTTGCTCTCTTTATATTGCGGATCGGATATGATCGAGAATTATTTTCAATAAATTCTTCATCTTCTTGATCTTGCTCCAACTCTTCTAATTCACGTCTTTTTCAAGAATTTTATCCTCTCTAGGAACTTCAAAGTCAAAAAGCATAACGTCATTATCCCGGGATAGATCAAAATTATTTGGTTTTCTGGTTGATGAAATAAGCGATGATTCTTGATTCTTTGAGAGTATCATCATTTTTGATCTCGTCGATGTTGACATCGTTGTTGAAGTTGTCGTTTTTGATGGTTCACTTGATCTTGTTGTGTTTTGCGTTGTGGATTTTGTCGTTTTTGGTTTGGGAGTCGTCGACTCGATCTCTTCCGTCTTCCACTTGCATCCGGTGAAGACATTGAATGGTCCCACATTTGTATGACAGTAACACGTCCTTTTAAAGGCATAAAGATCTCTTATTTATAATCCAAAATCAGGCGTAAACCTTTTCCTTTGATATTCTTTTGTCTCGGATTCGCTGAAACTCCGCGCAAAAGCAGTGCAGCTGGAAAATTCAGAAATACCATTAGGACAGTTCCATTCCCCACAAATCCGTGAAGAATCGCTTTCATTGCAAAAGAACTCTTTCTTTTCAGAGCATTGGTCACGTGATTCGACGAATACGTCATAGCCATTGTATGACGCTTTTGGCGAATTTTCTTTTCCTTGAACTGAATCAGAAATTAAATTACAGATCCATCAGACTGGTTTATTATTCAAATTATCTTTTTAAATAAATTGTGGAATTTTAAGCCTTGACTGAATTTACAAATAATTTTTGCATAAATTCTGCCATGAAAAACCAAAGGAGCAGTTTTTTTATTTAAGACTATCATCCGTATCTCGTAAAAGCTTACCTTGAACAGCAAGAGAAAACAAAGCAAACAAAAACATGATTTTGTTCTTTATTAACCGATTTCCTCTTTGACGAAAACAGGAAATGAGCTTGATAGCGTTTGACAACGCAATTTAAATTGAGCTGCTTTGTTTATCTACAAACCAACGAAATTAGGTTTCAGGAGGAATTTTCAAAAAGACCAATCAAAACAAACTCAATTTATCCGCATTAAAAGGTTTTAAGATTAAAAATCAATTTGTCACTGATTCAGAAGGGATAATTTCCGGAGCGAATATTTACAATTTTTTGTTATTAAAGCGCCTGGAATCGACAAAAATCAAGACACGAAAACACCGAATTGCAAATTTACCATGGTCTATGGTCCAATTTGTATATTCAGATAACTGAAGAAGAATACTCATTTCACCCACCAAAAATGCGAGTGTGCGCTCCGCGCCTGTTTGCGGGTGCCCTCCTTGTGCCGGGAAAAACCTTGAAATCCCGGCACACGGAGGGTCAAATCCCAAACGTTCTAGAAATCCCCTGTTTCCGTCTTTTTAAAGGTTATGTAAAAGGTTTTCTTTAATGTTTGGTCAGGGAAGAGAACGATAAAATACTGGCGATGCTCTTCTAAGTAAAAATTCAAAGTATTTATCAATCATATATTTGGATAGGAGTGCTGCGAGTTTTTATCCATGAAATTAGTTTTATCATCTGTTTTTGACTCTTTTGTCGGCCAAGCAGATTATTTATCTTTTTGACCGTATTCTTCTTTTATTTGGGTTAGGGTTAGGCAAAAAAAAATTAAAAGACTGTCTTGAATTTTATTATTCGATTAGTTTTTCTTCAAAAACACTCGATTTGAAGAGTTTCTTGGTCAAAAATCAATGGCTTTTTGGGATCTCTAGAACGCCACTTTAGTTTTTTTCAGAAACTGTCTTAGGTAGACCCTTAATTTCAATTGCATCCTTTTGACGAAACCCTCGACTACACCCGTTTGATTAATAATGAATTTTCGATATCAAACTTAAGGTTATACAGACCGTTAAAGGTAAGGTTGGAAAATGAAGGTTTTTCGAGGTTTTAATGAGGGTACAATCTTTATTTTTTCCAGGTTAAAAATAAGGCCCTGAGCTTTAATAATTACCCTTTTGACAGTTTTTGCTAAATGAATTTAAGAAGGTCAGCCCCTTTAAAAATTTATAAGGCGAAAATAAAGCAAAATTTTAGACTGTCATTTTAGAGTTTCCTGCCTTGAATCATTTTTTTTTTGACAATTTGTATGAAAGAAATGCATTAAATAATAAGAATTCCCTCAATTTTCATTAAAAAAGAGCAAATCAAAGATTTTCAGAAAAAAATGAAACGCAAATTTCCCATTCATAAAGCCAATCTTAACTTAATTTTCTAAAGCAGCAAAAATTGTGTAGGTAAAAGTCTTTCTTTGTTGTCTAAAGAACCAAAAAGCCAACAAATAATAAAAATTTTGACATTATCCATCTTGATGGGGGGGGTCTTTTCCGAGGTTAACTTCAAATTCAAAAAGCATTTTGACTTCCGTGAATAATCAAAATTCTACTTCTTAATCAGGTTTCTTCGCTATTTTGCTCACTTAGACTCTTAATTTTGACGACCTCCTCCTTCATTAGCACTGATTAATCTCATTTTCATTCCTTCTTTGGAAAATTATATTTCGCGGTTTCGATTTAAACAAAGACTCTTTCAGTGTCCAAAATCATTAAATTAAATATAAAAGCATAAAAACAAAACTTGTAGAAAGATCCAATAGCGGTTTAAAGTTTTTAGGTCGGAGGAAGTTACCTGCAACCGCTTTATGATTGCAAATGCTTAATTATTTGCTTAATTTATACTGCATTACAATTTTTGGCCATTTTTTGGCGCTGAAGAGCAATTGAATACCAAAAAACCGCCAAAAATCGCTTCAAAAAGTATAAGAACTAGGAAATTTTCGTTCGCAAATCAGATTATGCTGGTTCTTCCAGAATAATAAGTTCAGGGTCACAACTTTCTTCTACAGTTAAAAGCTTTAAAATTAAAAAGCCAACAAAAAAGAAGATACCATTTCAAAAGGGCCTAAATGGCCATTTTTGCCAACCTCAATCACTTTGACGGTCTCTTATGCATAAGCCAATGGCGAGAAAGAGAGCTTATTCAATCAGAATATCTTTATTTAAAAATGAGCTTCCCCAGGGGTAAACCAAAATAAGTAAGTCTTAAGCTAGGACGTGACAGCAAAGGAGCGAACAAGAAAGTTTCATACACAAAAGGATGAAATAAGAAAGTATCATACATTAAAGTATCAAATAAGAAAGTATCATACACGAAAGGATCAAATTATAACGGAAGATCCAAGCCAGTACTTTGCAAGATTGGATCGGGCATACATTTGAAAATGATTGAGGATGGGTTTCTTATAGGCCGGTAGGCCTTATACGGCAATCTTATTGGTTCCAAAAAAATTTGATCCTTTAATGCTTGATACTATTTAATTTGGTACTTTCATGTATGATACTTTCTTATTTGATCCTTTCGTGTATGATACTTTCATGTTTGATACTTTAATGTATGATACTTTTTTATTTGATCTTTTCGTGTATGATACTTTCTTGTTCGCTCCTTCGCTGTCACGTCCTATCTTATTACTTCCTTATTTTAGTTTGTGCCCTTCCCCATGAGCGCTTGATCAGCCTCGTACGTAAGACCAACAAAAAAAGATACGGGTTTAAGTTTCAGAAATCGGGGAGGGGGGGATCCCTTGCTGGAAATTCTAATTTGCTGGAAAAGCTAACGGCTGGAAAAGCTAATGGCTGGAAAAGCTCCCGTCTCCCTTAAAAATGGGCAAAAAGAAGCAAAGTTTCCTTCAAAAGAAATTATCGAAATCCTTAGTTGATGCTGAGAAATTAAATTTACATTGATTGATCTCATTAAAATATTCCCCCTTATGATCGGTTTTCGTGGTTTTTTAAAGTAAACATTGCTGTCTTATATAAATTGCGATGGTAACGGACATCTCCTTCATTTCCGGTTTTTTGTCACAAGTGAATTTCCGGACACAAAAAATTTCGGAAGTAAAAATAATCCTTTTTGGTCTCGAACAGGTGTAAGTTAAAAAAAAATCGTCAAATTTTTCAACAAAAAATCAGAAAGATTTACTCAGCTCATTTATACCAATTTTCGAAGAAAATGAAGATTTTTATTTTTCAATTGCTGTGTCTTTCCGTAAAAGCTTCCGGAAGCTACAATCTATCAAATGACCCCAAGCCCGAGATAAGTCTCCAAGCGTTGAACGATAAAACAGATATCATTCCCGACGAACTAAACTGTTCTCTGTCCAATGGACAATTTCTGAATGCTGGTAAGCGTCATTCACGTTTTCAACAAGTTGAATCATTACGATTTGCACTAATTCATATTTCTGTATGTTTAGCCGACTGGGTTTGCCGGAACTTAAATCGATCAATCAAGCGTCTTCAACCAGAGATCCCTGAATGTGAGCAATAATGATTCAAACGCCATTTTAGGCTAAAAAAGTCGAGATAAACCCAACTAAAAATTTTGAAATTCCGAAAATAAATTTTTCAGAAAGTATTGACGGGGGGGGGGGGTTATTAAAATTCAAAAAAAGTTTGTTGTCCTAGATTTTTCGGAAATATTAAGGAAAAGAATTTTAAGCGATTGCTGAATATGTTTGCAGTCCGCTCCCTCCTCTTTTAAACGGTGAAATTTTCTGTTTCGACGAATGGAAGATCGGAACCGTTTGCATGGGTGTTTGCAAAAATGGATGGATTCTCGGTAAATATAATAATTTTTCATTCAATAAAATCAATGAGATTTGCCTTAACTCGATAAGGATATTTTGACAGTTTGTTATTGAAGAGCCTCATAAACGAAAAAAACGATGCTTACCGACGAGAAATCGGAAAGAAAGGAGGACAGAAGAGAGTCCCGTCAAATGGAATTTTGCTAAATCAAATTTTAAATGCGTCAAAGATTACCAGGGTAAGCGAGAAAAAAAGTAATTTCTTTCTTAAAATATTCAATAAGAATCACCTTGCTCAAATAACAAGGGAGGCTGCTCTCACGAATGCATCGACAAAGGAGACATGATTCCGATCTGCGTTTGTCCCTGCGGGCATACTCTCGCGAACGACGGAAAAACCTGCATTGATGAGCGAAAGTGTCCACTAGATATTTCGCTTTGGCTTGATGGAACGACTTCAGCATGCGCAAAAGACGGATTCAATCACGCTCAAAAAACTATGATGGCGAATTTGGTCGGCTTTTTGGATCATGAGGTTCGTAAGAAATTCAAAAATAACAAGTGATTGTCTTTCGTTCATACTTTGGTATTCAGTCTCATAACTTCGACGCGAAAATCTTCGCCGCGTCCTACGGTGACGGTCAAGTCCAACAGAACGCCTCTCATTTTGTAACGCCTCTTCTTCATGAAATTCAAGAGTTTCTTGATGCTCTGACAATTTCATGCGCAAACAATTCGATTGCAGACGTCTTTCAAAAAGTAAATAAGATAATGATTAAATTTATCGCCTAAAAATTCCTTTTTTCTTCAGAGACGTGATCAAGCATTTGATTCTACAACAGTCTCCGTTATCACCCTTGCTGCCGAGTTGTTGGACCCGTCAGAACTGATAAAAATGAACCGACCGAGAACAGATACAACGATTGTCATAGTTGACAGACAAAGGGCAACGAAACAAGCACTGATCCAAGCTTCTATTCTTGCCTGCAATCATGAAAATACCCAAAGATGCGAAAATATTTTCAACCTTAACGAAGGTAAATTATGATAATTTATAAAATTTTAATAATTTAATAATTTTAAATAATGTTGATAAATGACATCGGTGTAAATGAGTTTGATGTGAAGTTTTATTGCATATCGATTTCGGCTTTAAGCCATCGTCAGTGCAGAGAACTAGAACAAGTGGAAATAAAATCCAAACGCAACTCCTTACCGTCTTGGGATTGAGGACGAACTAAAATTCCTTTCAGCAAAAAACTGACTAACAATAGTATTCTAGAGAAATTATAAACGAAAGATATTTTTGATTTTTCAGAGGCACCTTTTGCGCATTTATCCTTCTCGAAATTTTACGATGAGAATTCCTTACACAGGTCATCGAGTTTCGAAAATAACTCAGGGCTTACGAAAACTCATCAAATCTTTTATTCCGAATTTTAATCTACACTTTCCCCACAAGACACTCACTGTTCGAAACACTTTGATCTCGCACTTGATGCCCAAAATTGAACAGACTAATTCGCTAAACTCAGTTTATCTTTTTACTTGTTATTGTAATAATCAGTATGTTGGGGAGACGGAAAATTTGAATCAACGCTGTCAGGATCATCAACAGCCTTCAAAACAAACAGCGATTTATACACACACTTCTGAATGCCAACTTTATCAGACTAAATTTGCAGAGTTTAGTCAGACAAATAATTTCGAGTCTCGGTTTAATTTTCTTCGTAATAGAATTGAAATTTTACATTCGAATTTAGATTATAGAACCCGTGTTCAGACAGAACCAATCGAAATAAGACTCAGACGTCCACGGCTGAATCGACAAGTCCAACATAAATCCCTAGTGATTATTTAATGTTAACCATTCAGAGGCTTCTATAAATGCGCAAAAGGTGCCTCTGAAAAATCAAAAATATCTTTCGTTTATAATTTCTCTAGAATACTATTGTTAGTCAGTTTTTTGCTGAAAGGAATTTTAGTTCGTCCTCAATCCCAAGACGGTAAGGAGTTGCGTTTGGATTTTATTTCCACTTGTTCTAGTTCTCTGCACTAACGATGGCTTAAAGCCGAAATCGATATGCAATAAAACTTCACATCAAACTCATTTTAAATAATATATAATAAATATATATAATATTAAATTATAAGATAACATTTTGTTTTTCGGGTTTCAAACAAAAATAAAATCATTTAAGTGTTATCTCCCGGAGAAATCTTAAACCGTGTGAGCCGTGAGTCTTGCTTCAGCAGAAATTATATGTCAACAATTTCATGCGGCGATTTCTTCATGGAGCTGGATGTGCCTATCTGTTCGTTAAGAGGACTTCAACAAGAAGATTTGATTTTAAACGCGGGAAAGGATGGGTCGTGCACCCCGACTTTGGAAAATAATGGTAAATAGATATTTAAATAAAAAATACTTTTTTTTTTAATTTCAAAAGTAATAAGCTTTGCATTCTTGAATTCGATTCTAATCAAATGAAAGGAACTCACTACAAGTGGATCATTGGTTACGAAGATTGCGGAACTAAACGGACTGTTGATGAAAAACTTGAAAAAATCACTTTTACCAACAATATGCGGACATGGATCAACCGAGATGCTCCCGTTTTTCCAGTCCTTCCTGAATTCAATATTGATCTTGAATGTGCTGTTTCGACCAGTTTCGAATTTTTCTCTCAGGGCGACTTCTACCCTGAGCTTAGCTCCTTCAGGGGAGTGGCAAACTCAATCGGTACGTTGAATATAAGCTTGTTGTCATGAGGCCGGCATTCATAAAAAATGATTTTTGACATATAGAAAGAGAAATCAGCTTTCAGGATCCTATTGGAATGATTTTTATTCTCTTATTTTCTTTCAGGAAGTCAAACTGGCAACCTGCAAATATACGCCGACCCGAGCTTCACAGAAACTTGGGACGAGAAAATCATGGGAACAGGCGTGGATCTATTCGTCGAGTCGAATTTCACTTTCGTGGATGCGAGCAGGGAGCTACAAGTCACTGATTGTGTCGCCAGTTCAGGAGAACTCATCGACCTCGTATCCGTGTCGGATAAGCCAGTCCTGAAGATGATTGAAGGCGGATGTTTAACCGATAGGACTGTAAAGATTCTTCCTCGAGGGCCGAGAAATCAAGTGCGATTCCAATTTAAAAGCTTCCGATTTCATGGCGAGCTGAGTGGTGCAAAGGTGACTTATATAAAATAATATTAGCTCAAATTTTTTTTAATTTTTTAAAACTTTGTTAATAAAATTCAAAATATGCGATTTTCGGCGCTGATTCGAAAATAATTCTCTTATTTAGATAAATATACAATGCAAATTTAAAACCTGCGAAACTAAAAACTGTGCCTCGATAGCAAAATGTACAGGAGAAATCAGAAAAATACAACGGAGAGCTGCAGTTACTTCTCGCTTTCAATTTTCCCCAGTCTGATTGATACTTTTTGCATTAAAATATAGGTTGTTTATTTTTCTTTATTTCTTTGAAATTTCGTCATATGTCATTTGACGAGTAAAATTATCTGTAAAGCTTCTTTAATATTAAATTGAAAATATAAATAGATCACAACTTAAAATTCTGCAAGATTAGCGCTGAAAATTTCTTGTCAAAAATTTGTGCATTCTTCCTTTAAATTTTGGCATAAATTTTGATTTTTTGTCAAGTAGATTGCTACTTTCCCAAGTCTTTTTCAAGCTTAAGGCCTGTTTGGATCTTCTGGACCACGTTTTTTCATCTATTGTGAATTCAAATCGACCCTCGTTGAGTCCACATTAACCCTGTTTAATCTGCCTGAGCCAAAGTCATAATCAATTCCTCGATTCCACATCCCTCAACTTGCTAAAAAGCTGCTTTTGTCAGCGCAGCTTTCTTCGCATGCATATTTGATGCGTTTTAAATATTTCTGGAAATCGCGGACAAGTCTCTTGGGACTGCTCTAGGGGCGAAGGAACTGATTCTAGAGCTGAAAAGATAAATTTAAACGTATTGGAAAGAAAGAGAGACAAATAAAATAAGAAATTAAAGCAGAAAATTATGGGAAAGGATTTACAAAAAATTTTCTCGTTTTCTTAGAAAATTACTCTTGTCAAATAAATTCTGAAAAATCCGTGCAAAAGCGAATTTCACAGAAGCCCGAGTCGGCACAATCGACCCGTCTCGCGCACTCGTCCTTGCCTCCATCCTTCAGGTTCATTTGTCAGATTCACTTTACGTTCCATTTGCCCTTCTGAATTATTTATCTACGTCTCGCTTTTTCTACATAACTTGAAAGCTGCATTCGCCACTTATAAAAACCGCTTTTCATTTTTTCCCGAGATAACAAGAAAAAAAACGCGTAGAAAAATGATGATAAAATACATGGTTAAAAAAAAAGGTGTTCAGAATCACAAACCAGTGGATTATGGAATTCCGGCTGGGATTTGCCCGACGATGGATTTTAGGAAAAAGTTTGAAAGTCAATTTTATGAGAACAATACTCCATTTACAGAAAGCATATTTGAAACAAATAAAGCCCAAAAGCCAACGAAACCGAATCATCTGGTCGCTTCTGCGAAGTCGATCCGTACAAGGCAAATTACTACACGACTGGAACTGTGATCAAAAAAGTGAATAACTTCATCTGCTACGATCCTGACTTCGGCCGAGTCTACCCCGTCCGAGGAATGGTCAAAGCGGGGACGAAGGACTTAGAGAGTTATTGCCATATTTCCGTTAGTTATATCCATTCCGGATTGGAGGATGGAACGAGGGGTCCTGGGGGGAAGGTCTTTGTTGATACCAGCGTGTCCATCAATGTAAGTCTGTGCATCAAGTTGTTTTGCTCCTGACTAGATTATTTTTCTGAATATTTAAAAAAAATCCGCTTTGCAAATAAAAAAAAAAACGCTTTGATGCTGGCTTTGGCGCGTAGTTGACTCTTTATAACCTAAATTGACGACATTTTGACCCCTGCTCAGCGAGTGCAAAGAAGGCGTCTCAGGACTCAAGTGTACGCATTGTGCCCCTGGGTACATTCAGACCAAGTCACCGATTAAGCCATGCGAAAAAAGTAAGAAAAAACTGCAGCAGCTCCATCAGTTATCGGTAATGTCTTGTCATTATGACCAAGAACTTATTCTAAGATACGATGGCTCAGAAATCCTGGAGGTTTTACCAGAGACTACGCGAAGTCATTTGTATATCGGTGGTCATATTCCACTTTACCGAAATCCTGATCACCCAGGCGACCTTTTTTCGATACTACTTGGTGGCTATGATAGTAAATTTGGTATCTACAGGAATTCAGTTGAGTAGCTAAGGTGATTAAATGTAGAAAAATCTCCAGAAAGGTTGAGAAAATTTGTAGCCCGGATAGTGGATGGATCGAAGATGAGAGTTTGACGTTTCCTGAAGAAGATAATACTGGAAAAGGTCTAAGTGCTTATTGCGCTGTTTCGGGGGAATTCGGACTGGTAATCATTCCAGGAAGAACAAGGTTAGTGAATATATGAAGCAAGATATTCACCAATTTAAAAGCTCGAATCGAAAAATATGGCGGCTTCACAAAAATCAATGGGAAAATATCGGACTCGTTCCATGGTAAGATAATCGAGAGTTAATTAAGTCCTTTTAATTTCTTTTGTAATTTTTAGGACATCATTCAGAGGATACGCAAGAGCTGTTCTTTTTCCTTATAACGAGGTCAGTTGATTCTATTTGGCGATTTTGTTCATTTAATGTTTCGAAGATAATGGTCCTTGGAGGATATTCGGGAGATTGGAAGTTCACCAAATTCATATTCAACGAAGATTTCACCTCGATCGAAGGGGAAGATCTTACCCATTTGCCCGCACTTAAAAATTGGGATGATCTTTCTGCGATGCTTGTGCTTGAAAATTAATGTGTGATCAACTGAGGAATAAAAAAGAGCCTGAGGAAGACCTACAGGCGTGGACTAATTTTGAGTCGCGAAAGGCGACGTCATAGCAGCGCCTCAGCCAGCTATCAAGAATTCCTATCGTCCAGCCCACGAATCAGCAGGGTCACATTTGCGCGCATTTTAAACTTCATCTTCGGGCCAGATGATAGGAATTCTTGATAGCTGGCTGAGGCGCTGCTATGACGTCGCCTATCGCGACTCAAAATTAGTCCACGCCTGTAGAGCCTCTAGGCTAGAGGTTGAGTAAAAATTGTCTAATTGAAGTATATTTTTGAAAAAAAAAAGGGTTCAAAGAATATTACAGTGCAACAAGCTCATCGCCATTGATAAGAATTCCGAGATCGATTAGTTCACGAATGACACTTTCAGCTTCGAGAGGAAAATCATTGATCGTAGCCAGGCCAGAGCATTCAGCTAAGCCAGCAAGACGAGCGATAGTGAAATCGAGACCGCAGAAGATTCGTTTCTCCCCGATTTGGAAGAAAATTCGCTCGGACATTGGGACAAACCCGGGTCCTAAAATATAGAAATTAATCAAGTGCACATAGAACAACTGAATCGTTATTTTCTGTTTTCGAAATCGTTAATTTGGAAAGAAAATAGCGTATCTTCGAATGCACAGAAGAATTATGGCTTTCTTCTCGTACCTTTTGCCGTGGCCTTCAGTTTCATCAGTCTTACTTTCGCCGCCATGGCTCTTTGTTTGTCCGAGAGTTTCTTCTTGCTCGTGGCGGTTTTCGTCGAAGGAGTTGTTATTGTGGATACGAGGTTCTTCAACGCTTCTATTGTTGCTTTCGTTTCTTGTGTTATCACTCCTGAGAATTTACAGAAAGAAAAAATGGAATAGAGGCATTACCTTTCTCAGCGCGCTTGGCATCGAGTACTTTTTCGTATTCTCCGCAGGAATGATCGTCTGTATGTCTGTGTTGGAGGCAAAACAAGTTCTTACAGAACTCGCAAGTGACTTTTTGACCTAAAGTATCGAATAGACTTTTGAAAAAGCGAGAATAATTACATTAACTGGTGATATAAGCGAGGATAAACCTTCCTTTTAAGCCGCAGCCGTCAACTGAGCATTTTTCAGAACTGTATACAGGCATAGGAGGAAGGGAGGAGGAGGAATCTGGTATTTTTGAACATTTATGGGCATCTGTATGGGAATGGTTCTCGCAGAAAACCTCTTTCGAAGCGTTTTCGAGCTGATTTTCCAGGAAACACCCCTCTCTTTCTATCGAAAAACGCTTTCTTTGCAAAAATCACATGTTATCGGGAGGAAATCATGCCTTCCACAGCTCTCTAGCGAGCAATTTGCGCCTATATGATCCATTTTTCGCGAATTTTGCTACGATTTCTGAACAGAAAGATGCTTGAATTCAACTTTGAAGAAATAAACAACGAAAAAAGAGAAGCTTCAGCAGTATTTATTCGGAACGAGTTCACGACTGTATAATAAAGATGGTAGAATGTTCAACTTTCAGAAAAACAAAAGAAAAGAAATAATAATTTAAACTTTAAAATTCTAAACTAGCTTTTCCCGTCGCAATTTCGCCCTTCGTCGCAGCATATTAACAGGCATTCTTCAGATTTGTTGTCTTCATAGCTAAAGCAATCGTTATTGCATCAATGGTATCTTTGAGAAAGGAGCGAAAAACTCCTTAGGTCCGAAAGTTAAGATAGATACACCCTTATTATTTCTCCGAAATAAGAGTGACATCTTTCAGAAAACGGTGGTCGAAAAGTTACTCTTCGCGGAGAGACTGTACTTACGTTAAAACATTACTGTCTCCATTCGACGAAGTTTCCGTGAGCGAAGTATCATTTGTACTTAATTCTGGCTGAATTGTGAGATGGTGGATTCCGTTTTTATGGAATATTTGCCGAGCTTCAGAGACGATCTACGAATTTCGGTATTGAAAAGGAAACGGGGTTAATAATAAAGATAAATGTTAGTACTTTTAATATAACAGGAAGCTTTACTTGGTTGAAGTTTTGAAGGTCGACGTTGAGCATTTTGAGATGAACAGTGCCGACGATTTGATCGCCAGCAAGAGTCCAAATGTGCAGGTCGTGAATTTTTACGATGGCGTTATATTTACTCCTGATTTTTCGGGTTAAACGGGATAGAAGAGGGCAGGTTTACCTAATTGTAGAACAGACATCTTCTTTGATCTTCTCCATGTCGATTCCTCGCGGAACTGTCTGCATCAAAATCATTACAGGAACTAAATAGAGCATTCAGAACAAGTCAGTGAGTACAGTTTCTTACCTCTGAGAAGTTTGAGCGTCGTGTAAAGAATCAGCATCGTTAGCAAAAATGAAGTAGCGGGATCAACGTACAGGGTCCAGTGCTTCGGCCCATTGGGAAACATAAGCGAAAGATAGGTCGACGATGAGGAAATATTGCTGGAGGTGAACATCGTTTCGATCGCGTCCTCCGTCAGTCCTTCAGAAACATATCAAAATAATTTCAAAAACATGGAAAGGCCGAATAGGTAGCATTGTCCCCTAAAAATCCCCAAACGCCAGGACAGCATTTTTTTTAAATGTCACAAAACTGGGGGGCGAAAAGTACCTGTCGACAACAAAAACTCGCCACTTTCGACAGCCTCAGCGTGATAATTACAGTTCTCCAGCGATTCATCGTTACAGTTATTGAAGAAGTACATCAACAGCGCTGACAGACAAACGACGACGGAGCCAAAGAAGTCACCAGCGACGTGTAGAAAGATCCCACGCATATTCAAAGCAGCAGCGCTTTTGGCCATGTCCATTTCGACATGAAGGTTGCCGTCGTCTGTGGCGTGGCTGTGGCCATGTCTGAATAAATAAACGTCAGACAGGGGTAAACTGAATAATCGAGGAACTGGGATGAACTTTTCTCTTTGCCTTTTTTGTCTATTTTTTTAGCGCCTCAGACAGGAATAACTTGAATCATTGAAAGAGGATTTTTTAAAAATTTAAAACTTTAGTTTTTGAAGCAAAAAGACGTGAATATTGAATAGGAGAGAAGGGTCCTTAATCTCGGCTCGTCAACAAACCTGAGTCAAGGTCCTTTCAGAGCCCTGACTCAGGTTTCCACACAGGTTTCCGATCCCGAAATAAGTAAAAAATAAGGGAGGAGCCCCCTTAATTTACTGAAAAACTCACCCGCCTCCAGAATGAGAATGTCCATGTCCAGTTCCGTCGCCGCAAAATATCATCAGCCCGACGATATTCATGACGAGTCCTCCTAATCCGACGTAGAGGACTAGCAGCGGATTCTCCACCGGCTCAGGCTAGATTTATTTCAATTAGAAATAATGAAATCGAAGAAAAGCGAACCTGGATAAACTTTTCTATCGATTCCAAGATGAGGATGACACAGAGAGCGAGGAGAAACACTGCGTTAATTAAAGAACCTGAAAATAGATCATCAAAAAAAGCATTAGTATTTGATAAATGAAGGCTTTTAGCGGTTAATGTCCTTTTGGAGAATAAAACAGAAAAAGGCTAGATATAGCTACCTATACGTACATAGTTAGTTACCTAAGATTTCTGAGCGACTCCATCCAAAAGTGTTCTTTTCCGAAAGAACCTTTGCGTCGACAGATTTTTTCGAAATTTTGATGGCAACGAGGGCGACGACCAAGCATAGTCCATCGGACAGCATGTGGCAGGCGTCGGCGACCAGCGCCAGCGAGTTGTTTAAAAAACCGACGAAAATTTCGACAAAGAAATAACTTAAAACGGAAGTCAGTAGGGTTAGGGTTAGTGCGGTTTACTCACGATAAAACTAGGGAAAGCATGAAAATAATACGGCATTCTTTTGAGGCGATGTTTTTTGAGCATTTTGAGCTGTCTTCTGAGTGGGAGTGACCATGGTCCGAGGAAATTGTGCGATCCTGAAGAAAAATATTAAGGGAACAGTCATCTTTATATTCTTTTAGAGGGATGTTCTCCCAGGAAATAGTTTAGCAAGAGCCTTTTGCTGCTGATTTTAAGGGTTTAGACGTCGATAAACTGGATTTTAGCTAAATTTGTTTCTTTATTTTTACAATCACCCCCGATTTCTCTTTTACCGTTGCTTTTTTATTAGTAATGGTCTCGATCATTTTCCAATTTAAAAAATCGGTTTATTTTTTATTTCTCAAGTCTGTATTTTGAATTCTGAGTACCCCTTCTGTCTGAAACCCGTAATTGCGCCCCACAAAAAAAGGCTGGAGCCGGCCACAAATTATTAATTTAGCTTATCATGATTACCTTTCGACTGAACGAGCAGGTCATTTTTTATTCACTAATTTTCTCGTAAATTATTTAGCCCTTCTATCGAAAAAAATAATAATAACAACAAAACAGGACGTTCAAGAACGATCTATTACTGTCGTTTACTTCTCGAGCTTTCTCTAGAAAATTCGAAATAAGAAGAAGAAAAATCTTTTTGACCCTGACTCAGGTTTTCTTCTCAGGAATCCTGAGTCAGGTAGTCACGCGCAGGGTTAAACTTCTATGAAAATTTTCGTTTTTTGTGAAATATTTCTTGAAGAAATATGGAAGGTAAAAAGTGAACCTGTAGAAACTCGACATATTCTTCAGATAAAACGGAAGGCTTCCTCATCTTTTTTTTCGTCAGATAAAAATCTCTCTATTTTAGCTGCTTCTTCTGACTACTCTCCCGTTTATTTGGAAGTTAGTGATTTCCCAAAAGACTCTTTTCAATATCACCCGTCTCGAAAGCTTTATTGCTGCTTTGGCTTTCGCAGTAAAAGACGAACAGTTTTGAAGCTTCTACTAATGGATGGGAAAGGAAGCTTTTCTCAGGATTGAGGATTGTTTTGAGGATGAGAATAATCAATATCATTTCTTCATCGAAATCGATTACAACTAAATATAACTCTGCTTGCAATAAATTCAGATAGAGCGTGAAGAAAGAGATCGGGCGGAGAGACTGCAATTATCTTGATAATTGTAGAATAAGCCTACAGTATCAGAGAGAGATTACAGTAGAAAATATGCAAGCAGTTTTTCTAATGAGAAAATGGCCCCTGGACTTGATCCAGAATCAGGGACCTACGATCTATGAGTCATAGACTATGACTTGGTAGCCTGTGTAGAAGACAGGGTCTGGAAAGAGCTTCAGTGAAAAGCCGCGGGCGGCTTTGCCTTAACCCCTGTGGGAGTTCCAGAAAAGCCGCTACGCGGCTATATATTTAAGACCTTTCTGGCCCTGACCCATCTGTTCTACACAGGTTACTGAGCTCAGATGTTTAGCCACTGCACTGTAGGCTTGCGTTATACATACTGTAAATAATGGTGAACTCAAGGAAACTTACATATCGGACAGATTCAGCACTGGTATCAAAATAAGCTGGGTTTTCAACCGTCATTTGATAATTATTAAATTCGAGTTTTCTCTTGAAATCGTTGAAATGTATTCTTTTTCGCCTCAGAACTCGGTTTTGTCCTCAGATCAAATATTTAGCCGCGCTTTATTATGCAAAAAATGTATTCAATTTCGCAATAAATGCGAATTCAAGAACAAAAAAACGCCTGATTTCAGGATTTGAGAAAATAAACTTATTTATTGAAATAGTCGAGCTACAAAGGTCAACAAGACCAGGCACTAAAGGACTGTTTACTGTCCAAATCTTTCAAACAGAGACTGATGTTTTTGAGACGAAAAATAAGATTTTCAAAGGATTTCCGAGATAATCGGAAAAGCCGCTTGCGGCTCCAAATGGAACAAAAAGTCGCCAAATACGCTGCTAGAATTTTCGTTCCATTAAGCCACAAGCGGCTTTTCGTTTGAAATAGGGGGTCCCCATTTCAATGGATAATTACTTTTGGTTGATACGCAGTTTAACGAATCTATTCTTCCTTAAGAGAGTCCCCTTTTTAACGGATTTTCTGAAAAGTCAATTCAACAAAATCCGTTAAAAAAGGGAACTTTTTGAAGAAAATCAGATCCGTTAAAATAAAACTTCCCAAAAGTATTTTCCGTCGAAATAGGGACACCCTATTTCCAAAAAAATAAAACTAAGACACCTTATTCGGCCTCATTATCATCAAAAATATCCTTTCGGTGAACACCAAAACTTACAGATAATAGCCCATTTCCAGTCTCGTCTAATTCCGAGTCATTTCGGCTTCCGGCCATTTTTTTCTTCAGTAATTATCTCTAATTCGCTCCTTCCCAAAAACAAATTGAAGAATTTTCGCCTCGCTATTTTTTTCTCTCCAGAATTTGAAAAAGAGGGTTGAACTCGTCACTTGAAAAAGGAAACGAACGAGCAAAGAGCAAAAAATTAAAAATTAATTTTTATCCACCATTTCAACTCGGCTAGTGATTCATTTTTCGCGTGGGTTAGTTCGCGCGGAGGGAAAAAGGCGAATTTTTGTGACCCGAAATTCGCTTTTCGTCTCAAATATAGAAAAAGAGAGACAGTTGACGTGTTTTGACTCGAAAAAACAAGGATGAAAAAAGGTGTAATTTCGCAATTGTGATGAGTTTTGGGGATAAAATTACAAAACAAAAGAAACAGTTTTCTATTAATCATCATTGATATAAATTGCGACAAAATGCTTGATTTTCGCGACACTTTTTTGTCAATCAGATTCAATGATTGGTAAATTTTTTAATAATTTGGTCGAATTTTGGCCAAAATCGTCGTATTTTTTCTCCTGTCGGCCCATAGAAGCAGACCTTTTCCTGTCCTTCTGTTTTCGAGCCAAAATCATGCAGCTCAATTTCAATTGAAAAATAAATTCTGAAACAATTCACGATCAATCATCGTAAAACTAAGTCTCCCGCGAAAACCGCTCACCCAAAAAAGAAGTCGTTAATTTTCTTTTTTTTTTTACCTTTGAGCATTTAGAATCTTCATCGAAGAAAATACAGGATGCGTTCAATTCCATTTTCTCTTTTTTCTTCTCACTTGACCATTTATCGCTTTCTCTCTATTTTTAGGATTTTTCGATCAGATCAAACGGCCAATAAAAAGGGTCGAAAGAAAATTGTCATAAAAATTTTCCGCTTCAGATTCTGAAGAGTTGTATTGGAGTTTTTTCGTCGAAAAACAAACTCGAGACTTTCAAATTTGAAATTGCTAAAGTCATAATACCGGGTAGGGTTGGCCAAAAAAATGAAAACGATTTTTCAGTCATTTTTTCTCGAAATAAATGTTTATATAAAAGTAAACATTTTTGTATTTATTGTGATACCCTAGCGTTATCGGAACATACTTTTATCACCCCTTAAAAAATTTGAAACTTTGAAAAAGAAAATTGCGGCGCTGGGATTCGAACCCAAAACGTCCGTTGGAGCGGTCAACACCACTCTCCACCAAGCCATGGATACTTGGAGGAGGCTTCAGAAAATGAGTTTTTATTTGAAAATATGAATCTTTCATCAAATTGAAAGAAAAGGACCAGCGTTTTCTTCACTTTGTTCGGAAAAAGCACGATTCCGTCGATTGTTTTCATCACTGTTCCAACTTAATTTACTTATTTATTACTTTTAATAATAAAATATCGATTAATTATATAAAATAAAATAATTCTCCCTAACCAGCCGTCTGCAAGACCGAGAGAAAATTGCACTATTTTCTCTAGCTGCTCGGCATTGGCGGAAATTCTGGCATAAGAATTCCAGCCGAGGAAGAGAAGTTGGTGGAGAAGGGAAAATTCGGTTGTGAGGATCGTGGAGAGTCGGAGGCGAAATAGAGGAGGTTGAGGAGGAAGATGGCGATGAAGAAGAGGAGGAGGAAAGTAAAAAAATATTTTTTTAATCTCTAGGAGGTAGACATAATTTCTTCCTAAAATTAACATAGTGACACCCTTATTTTTATTTTCTTATTTTACATGTAAATTAATTTAATCATATTAATTAATTAAATAGTTTTTATATTTGAAAATAAAAAAGACTCAAGATCAGGAAGGGGCGCCCACAGATCTTTTGCCAGAAGAAGCTGTCGGGCGCCAAGGGGGATCCCCGGCGGATCGACGGGAAGGGACGAGGCCTTGTCCGGGCCGGTGACTGGCAGATGGTTCAGGGTACGCCGCGCTGGCTCCTGAGGCTACCCCAGCCCGACCCGGACTAAACCCTAAGTTCGAGTTTTGCGAGACTGCGATGACTTTGTTTTGGGAGCGGATGGATCAAAAATTGCTTCGACAAAGTTCCAATCATTCACGATCAGATCCGGAACAGAATGCTATATTTTTCAACTGGTCGCCATTCCTGATGAAAAGTCTGAAACCGTCCGCGAAGCCTTTCAGTCTTATCTCTCAAGTTTTCCAGACGAAACTCAGCAGCATTTCGCTTCAAAGGTTTCTTTAGTTTCAGAAACGGCATTAAACTCTTTATAGTGCATGGCGACAGCGAGCGATTCTGCGGCGAACGCACTTAAAAGCTGCAAGCTTATTATGGAAACCTTGGATAAAATCACGCCAAGAGAAAGGCTTCATCTGAAATGCTCGATGCATAAGGTAATTGTTTGCGACATGTTTTTCGAGAAAATGAATTATTCCGTTAGGTCTGTCATATGGAGAAGTGTATCCGAGCTTGCATCCAGAACGTTTTTGATGATATCTTGCAGTTTTGTGAAGCATATTTGACGTGTTCCAGGAGCCATGGACTTCATGGTTCCCAAGGCAGCAAGCTCAAAATTTATCTTGAAGCCCTTCGATCTCGTGATGGTCTACAGAAAGTGACAAAGCCGCTTGAAATGCAAAGTCATGTTCGGTAAATTTATCTTGATGAAAACAGTTATATTCATTTTTCTTAGTTTTGGTAATCTTACCAGAAATCTCCAGCGAATCGCAACAAACTACAGCGATATTGTCGATTTCATCCGGTTCGAGCTCGCTCTCACTGACGATGCGAAGGTTATGGAAGACAATAAAGCGCAGGCGATCATTGAATTCGCCAGCTCGGCGATGGTTTATTCCGTCATCGTGAGTCCTTACTGGTCAAAAGTGTCCGGCCTGATGAACTCAGAACAATATCTGTCTCTTGAGGAGCATTTCAAGCAAGTTCTTAAAGATGTTCTCTCATCTTCTTCTCCTGCTTTATTCCTTTTGAAAAGGGCGAAAGAAATCGACAGTTCCTCTTGGGAACTTGGATTCGAAGATGTTGTATTGGAAATCTCTCGAGATACATCGAACTCCAAGTTCCTCGACGAGTGCATCAAAATGCGTCTTCACGCTGTTGAGAAACGGTTCGGCGATTTCGTGAATGAATGCAGCTTTCCATTCGCAAAAGAAATATCATTCACAAATCAGGTTTATATTTGTCCGCATACAACAAAATACATAACTTTAAATAAGGACTGCGAGAGAAGCTTCGGATCAGCTAAAGACTCATTCTCCTCGAAGTATAATATGGACACGTTCAAGTTCCAACAAGCAGTGATGAGTCGCTTCAATATGACCTTCTCTTTTTGGCGACGACAGACTGACTTCGAGCAGAAACTCGGCCAGTTCATGGCAAATGCCTCTTCCAAAGAAGCTTCTATCACGGAGAGAAGAAGATCCGACCATAATGATTCTATTGCGAGAATGCTGTCCGATATTGAAGAAGGTGAAAAAAATCGAACACAAGTGGCAGTTTTTGAAGCCGTTATCGCAGAACATAAGCTTTGGCCGTCTCCCATCAACGAGGTTGAATAGTAGTTCGATCTGATGCATCATTTTTCATTTAGGCTGACGATAAACAGTGCTTGAAAACATTCACACAGCTTGTGCAGCCAAACTACCCAGTGAAAGTTTCACTTCATCAGTTTCGAGGTCATGTTCTGGGCTATATCAACAAACAGCTTTCTGCAGAGGACAAAGAAATCATTCAATCAAAGTTGAAAAAGAAAAGATCATTGAAAGAACTGTTCAATCAAACCGTTGAACACTTCAATAAACTCCAATAATTGATCTCGAAAAAATTAGCGTGTTCAAAAAAATGGTCTCACTGGGATTCGAACCCGGGCCCCCTTGGTTCATGGGTGATGTTTTAGGGCATCAAAACGTTTTTCAAATTGAAAAAGCGGATTAAATTGATAATACACTAAAAACTATAAAAACAAAATTTTTATAATTTTAGCCCTCTTCCTCACACCTTCTATGAAAAAAGTGTCTTCCGATACCGCTAGAGACTCATCCGACGGCTCAAAAGACCGCCTTGATGAGCTCTATCTAAATCTAAAAGAAAAACTTCTGAAAAGTGGTACTAGAAAAAGTTATTGCGAAAAACCACTTTTCGGCTACTTTCAAGCCTCCAAAAATGGGTACCCGAAAATTTTTTCCAAATTTTTTGAAAAATATTATTTTATAGACCCAAATATACAATCAAGGAAAGTTTTAAGGAAATCAAAGGACCATCCTTTTTTGGCCAACCCTAATACCGGGTCGTCCGTCGTCTATTTGCTCTTTCGTAATGTCTTTCATTTGGCAGGATCTGTCTGTTTTGTGTGCTCTTCTGAGTAAAGAAGAGGGTAAATTTAGGGCGTTCCCAGCTTGGATACAGTCAGCTTTGATTTGAAACAAGGAAGAACGGAAGAAGAGCTGATTTTGACTTCATCTTTAGATAAGTTTCGAAAAATGTTTTCAGGCCAAAAATCACTTTTTAACTGTTAGTGCCATCTTCACCGCCGTCTCAAACCGAGTCGAACGGTATATGTATCTCTTGAAAATTCTAGAGTTTCGGGTACTTCCGGTCAAATTTACGAAATTCTAGTATTCCACTGCCGTTTTTGATACAGAAATGGTACTATGGCATATAGCATGTCAAAATGACCGCTAGGACGTGAGGAGTGCAGGGGTCTCAAAAATAAGTACTTTAACAAAGAAAAGTACCTAAAAATAATTATTTTGTGATTTTTAGCACTAAAAATATCAAATTTCAAGAAATTTTCGATTTAAATATAGTTTTCTTTGTAGATTAGTATTAATAAGAGATAAAAATTTATTATACATCTGCTTTCTGCCCGAAAAATTAATAATTAATATTTTTAGTGCTAAAAAATGACAAAATAATTATTTTTAGGTACTTTTCTTTGTTAAAGTACTTATTTTTTGAGACCCCTGCACTCCTCACGTTCTAGCGGTCATTTTGACATGCTATATGCCATAGTACCATTTCTGTATCAAAAACGGCAGTGGAATACTAGAATTTCGTAAATTTGACCGGAAGTACCCGTAACTCTAGAATTTTCAAGAGATACATATACCGTTCGACTCGGTTTGAGACGGCGGTGAAGATGGCACTAACAGTTAAAAAGTGATTTTTGGCCTGAAAACATTTTTCGAAACTTATCTTTATTCATTGCTTCTTTAAAAATGCCGCTGATTTTTCTAAGTTTCAGAAAGGTTCATTTCGGTTATTTTTGTTGCTACAAATTATGAGCATTATGTAAAATTTTCAATTGGGTTTCTGCCCTACTAACAAAAGGCTATTTGAAATAGCTATTTCAATAGCAATTCATGGTCAGCTTAAGATCATATGAAAAAATCCGTACAAGGAGACGGCTCATCGGGTAGTCGATAATTGATGAATTTTTCCGGCCTTTTTCTAGTTCTTCGTCTTTTCTGAGTCGGTTCAAAGCCAGAATCGACGATTATTTGCTCAGCTGCGGAAAACTATAAAGTGAAAGATCTTTCACACTGAGAGTCTCTTTAATTAATAGCAATTAAAATAATCTGTAGTTTTTGAGTTTTGACCAAATGATTCGTTGATTTTATTTACAAATTCAATATTACTCAGTGATTTTTGTAAAAATTTTTTGAAGACACAGTTCGAAAAACAATTTTGTACAAAATTTTATTGATAAGAACGTTGATCATGGTTCGCGGTGCAAACATTCGACGGCGATATGAACAGAAACGGGTAGTAATAATATTTCTCATGTTCTCCAACAACCTCGATTGCGACAATATTGTCTCCGTCTTTAACATCAGTTGACCACTTTTTCCTTCAAATTATCGAAAGCTTTCCGAAAGAAGTTTCTTCGAAAATTGGTCAACCTTACCTAGATTTAAGCGTTGGATCATTCGAATTGATTCGTTGCTATCTCCAGGGAATAAATATAGAGCGGTGCCGACTTGAACTGTCGATCCAACGGCACAAGGCTTAAAAATATAGATTTTTAAGATAATTAAGGGGAGGTCGACGAGAATCGGGATTTCTGTGACCAAAAATGCGGAAAAACCTGCTTAGATAGGCAAATTCTGACTATTTACGTGGAAAGAAAAGGGTCTCAAAAATACAGCGGCGAAAACGAGAAAAAAAATTTTTTCCAAAAAATTTTGTAAAATTTAGGTCAAAGTGGGGGTGTCTCGTGACCAAAAAATCTCAAAAACGGGATTTTTTTTTCTTCATCAAATACTTTTAAAAGTAAGTTTAAACCCTTAAAAATAAAGCGGCGACAATGAAAAAAGGGATGCTTATCGCGAAAATTTTTTTACTGTTGATTAAAAATATCCGATTTTCCTAAAAATCGTCATTTGTGCTCATTTTTCATAGGGAATTTTACCAAAATCGCGGAGACTCAGAATTTTTTACTGATAATGATTAGAAAATCATTAAAAAACAATATCTAGCACATAAAAATTTCATAAGGATCATTTTTGGGTAATATAACCAACTTTTTAATTTCGTAAAATCTCGGAATCCAGACACAAAATCGAAAATTTTGTTAAAAAAAGTTAATAAATCCGCGAAAAGCTGGAGACCAAAAATGCTCCTTTTTTAATAAGGAATCCAAAAATATAACCAAAATTTTGAAAAAACGAAAAATTTTTTCTCGTCGACCCCCTCCTTAATTTTATCGAATTTTCAAAATCCCCCCAAATAAACTTACTTGAAGCAAAGTTCCTATTTTTGTCCATTCAAATTTTTTCAAAACGAAAATCTCCTTGAGAACTACTGAATTCTCCGCATCAAAACCTCCCAACGTAGCAATTGATCCCGACGGCAATCCAGCAATAGAGAATGTCCGTATCTCTCTTAAATCATGCTGAATAAAAAAGTTGCAAAATAAAATAACATTGGATGACGATGCAGTTTTTCCCAGCCATTTTCAGTCAGGGTTTCCGTGTATCCTTTGTTCGAAGTAGGAAAATTTTCACCGCCGACTGCTGTTGGCTGTCCTTTAAAATGAGCAAGTCCACCGTCCCAGTGCCCTTCTCTTGGTTCGAATGCGAGTTCTTCAACAGCGGTGCCGTTAAAAATATCGCACTTTTTGTCGTTCGGATCATCAAAACAAACAAGAGCTGAAAAATATAAAAATTATAAGACATTCTTGCAACGAACCTTCAGTTCCGTTTGAAATTGTGAGCACTGCGCTTCCACCATAATATCTATTCTGAAGCCAAATGGGGAGAAGCTTCAATTCGCAATCGACAAGAATAATTATCTAAAAATAGTAAATAAGGAGTTTTAAAGAGCAGTCTACTAGTTTTTTATTCTGACGGCCACCGAAAAAATGCAACTGGCCTTTCACAAGAGCAGCTTTAGATTCGTAGATTTTATCCTGAAGAACCGTTGGAACAATAATGCCTGTATTTTCGTTTTTAACGCCGTCTCCAAACAGAGCATAATGATGTGGTAATTCAGTTGGGTCAGATAAAATAACAAGAATCTGACTCGGTGGATTTTGATAGAAAAAAACATTTTTGATTTCGGTTTCGTCGTCGAATTTGAAAACTCTGATTTTCTTTTCTTCCATGGTTTGAAGCTCGTTCATTTGCCTTGTTGCTATTTCCTCGCCCTTTTTCCTCACAGAAAGGGAAGATAGTGAGTCGTCTTCGACTCTGAAGACGAATTCAAGAGATGTCCAATTCGTGCTTAACGGATCGTTCAAAGCGATCGATTTCTCGAAAAAGTCGGAAGAAATCGCAATCGAGCTGTTTTCGTAAGTTTTAATTGCGAAGATAGATTTTTCATTATAAGATCGAAACTCCAGACTTTTCGCAGCTTTTGTGAGAAAAGATTTGCTCTTCTGAGATAATAGGGCACAAATAAAGTACCCTGGTACCGGTCTCCTGACGCTAGTCGAATTCCTGCTCGGGTTTTTATACTTGGGTCTATGCGTGTACGACTAAATAGACAATACACTGCGACTACAAGATTCAAGACTCAAAACAGCTCTACTAAGGCGTAGACCTGAGTTCGCAAGTACCCGTGAGAGTACTTGTTACCACTGATTGCTCAGCGGCCGTTGTGGTTGCTGCTGCTGGTGTTGTTGCTGCTGCTGTTGTTGCTTCTGCTGTTGTTTTGCTGGTTTCTTCTGCTGGATAAAAAGACAAGTGTTTTTTGTTTGGTTCGTTAGAATAATTTATTGAGGCGAAAGTCGCCCTTATATACTCAGAAAGGGATAATAAGAATGTTCGAGAACTTTCGTGGAACAGTAATAGAATAATCCTGTAGCTTCTTAGAACAGTAATAGAACAATCATGTAGCTTCTTAGAACAGTAATAGAACAATCAAGTATCTTCTCCAATATGATGTTATAATTCGTCAGCGTGAGTCATTGTCGCTAGAAGGTTCCAGGAGTATCTTCGGATGATGTCATTCAAGCGTCAGAAGTGAGTCATGGACTCATACATTGAGTCAATACATTGTAATGCGTGAACATATGTATTTGTGCTCACCATAGGTGGCGCTAGTGTGTCACCACTAGAGGTCACTAGAGAGCCATTCCTGAGTGTCCACTAGGTGGCGCTAGAGAGCTGACACTAGGTGGGGCGCGAGAGCCAACACTAGATGGGGCGCGAGAGCACACGCTAGGTGGCGCTGTTACAAGTGAGCATTAGCTCAGCTATTCTCTTACAAGGTATATGAGTCGATGCGCACTTATAGTAATGATCTTGAGGTGAACCGGAAGTGAACCGGAAGTGACCGGAAGTGAACGGAAGTGACCGGAAGTGAACCGGAAGTGACCGGAAGTAACCAGAAATGATCACATGCGTTTGCTAAGGGCAAGAGCGACTCTTGCCTAACATCTTCACTCAATTAGCGCCCTCCGGCGACCAAGCATAGGGAAAATCATATAAGCTGAGCTTTCTGCACTCAAACACTATTGTAAGGGATATTCTCCCTTACATGAGAGTCGAGAATATTTTTCGATTAGAAATTTTTTATCAGCGTTAAAATTGAGACTCTTTCCTTTATGTCAAAAGTGAGTTTTCGCGTTTCGTTAAAATCCAGCTCGAAAGAAGAAATATGGAATAGTGACTCATTGAAAGACGAAAAAGGAAATCGGGCAGAATCGCCATTGGATAGGGTGGAGACAAACTACTTGCTTTTCGGGCTTCGTTTAGCGCTGTTAGTAACGACTACAAACAGATTATGCTCGGTTGCTCAAGAGCCTCGCCTGATTGCGGAAAAGCGGTTTGATTTTCGACAGCGTTTTTTGCGAAGTACGGAAAGACATCTTTGTGGAATTCGAAATACGGGTTGCTAGTCACTAGCATTTTGTTTTCAGCACTTTGTTGTCGGAAATTGAGCTCAATGCCGCATTGACAATGCGGTCTTTTAGAGGATCAACTTATATCTAGTCAAGTAAAACAATGGTGAAGATCCTCTCCGAAGTCGAAATAAATTTCAAAAGTAGTGTCGAAAACAATATTCTGGAGATAAATACGATCGTTGTTTATGAAGCCATTGATGAAATACTCACACTCGTCGTTGTTGGTTAGTTTTCAGCAGTACTATTGAGTCTTTTTTTTTGTCTGGTCAGAACTCGACTATCTTTTTTCTTAGTCATTTCTTATATTTATCTTCATCTTCCTCATTTTCTTTCTTTTCGATTTTTTTTGCCTTTTTTCTTTCTTCTTCATTTACAATCTTCTTCTCTTGTTTAATTCTTTCATCTTTTGAATTCTTTTCTTCTTTCTTCTAACTCCATACTTTTCATAAGTTTTATTTTCTTTTTATTGCTCACTCCATACATTTCTTTCAAATTTCTTCTTCTTTCTTCTTATTCAATTTATTTTTTGTTTTTCTTCTTTTTTTCTCAATTATCTTCTCTCTTCTTATTACGATCCTGTCTTTCTTCTTACTCTGATTTTTTTTTCTTGATACTCTTTTCGTCTCTTTTATCTTCTTCTTTTTTTCAATTTATCTTTTCCATAAATCTTGCTTCTTTTCCTCAGCCAAAAATCCAGATTTGGTGCACCGTTGGATAGATGACCGATTTCATAGCGTTGTCTCAGTCTGATTCTTCATCTCAAACTCATCGCGGTGGAAATGCGATTTTTATTGTAAGGGAGAAACTTTCGGCTCAAGCATGGCCAGTGCGTGAGGGTCGAATTCTCCCTTGTTGAGCTTGCTTCTCAAAATGAGACATAGATTTTACAATTGCTATATAAGAAGCTCGCATGCGATATAAAATCACTTTTCATGTATCTTTATCTGTCATGTCTTTAGCTCTTCTCTTACATTGTATCTTATTCAATCTTCTTATTAATTTCAATTATTGTTTATGTCTTCCATAAAGTCTTGCAAGTTATCGATCGATATTTTCTATTTTTTGTTTTCTTAAATTCAACATTCATTTTCATTTTTCTTCTTCTCTGTTTCAAATGCTTATCTCTCATTCATTGTCTTATTTTTAATTAAATTCTCTTTTTATTCAACTTTTTAACCAAAATTTAAATATCATTTTGTTCAACCACTTTTTTAATATAAAAGATAATTCCTTTATGTGTTTTTCGATGCTTCTGAGCGTCGCAGAAATTTCTTCTCTTGTGTAAATTCGTCCTCGCTTCCAAGATTCAAGTTCGTTTGAAGAACTTAGTTAACAACTAACAATGACATTTCCTTTTTTCATCTTTAGAAAGTCGATCTATCAATCAAATGATTACCGACCGGCATTTGTGGTCGTGGTCATCAAACCACATACAGTTTTTCTGAAAGACAAAAGTCGTTTTATTCTTATCTCTCAGTTCGCTTGATTTGTGGACAAACAAAGTTTTTATTTTTATCTTATTAAATTCGTCCTCACAGGCGAAATTCAAAAAGGAAACCATATGATTATTTTATCCTTAACATTTGTTCTGCGTTTAATAACCGAGCATGAAAATTTGCAAAAATAGTTTTGCAATCCTGTCTATTGATTCAATTCAACATTGCGCCATATCCAATATACAAATTTATTATCTATAGGGCACACAAAATAATTGAGACAGGCATAGAAATACATTTTTAAACAGTAAGGTTTAAAAATTCTTCGTAAAAGGGGATTCCAATTTATTCATTCTCTCTTGGGCATTGTGCTCGTTTGTGACCTCGTCGTCCACAAGACCAACAAGTTATTCCTGATTCGTAACCATCCTTGTTGTCTTCGTCACTTTCCGATTGCTGTCGTTCACGAGTTCGATATGGACACTGGTAAAGTTTGTGGCCTGCTTCACCACAATTGTAGCACAGGCCAATGTCGGCCTTTCTTGCTCGCTCTTTCAATTTTCGACAATCTTTCTGGAGATGACCGTATTTACCGCAATAGTTGCAGTCGGTTGTATCACAGTAATTTGCCTTATGGCCTTTTTTGTTACATCTGTAACAAATAGCGTTTGATTTTTCAAGCTCCCACGCAAATCGGTTCTTGAGTTTTTGGCAGTCAATTGTTCGATGACCGTTCATTTCGCAATAAATACATTCGTAGTCTTCTTCTTCTCCTTCTTCTTCATTCTCTTTCGTTCGATCCGTGTTTACATTTGAGAGTTCATTCTTATCATCCTTTTCGTCTTCGTCTTCGTAATCTCCTCGTCATCATATTCGTCTTGACTGGAATAGGTACTGTGATAATCTTCGGGTATATCGGACTCATTAGATGAAATTTCATCGGAAGATTGATCAGTCTCATCTCCCAAAGCATTAACTTCCTTTTCTCGCTCGCCTTGCTTTTCGTAAAGCTCAGCGCATTTATCAACAATATCCATATTGTCTGATTTTTCCTTCCTGTATTCCAAAAGGAATTCGGAATTCTGGATCTTTTTCGGAAGTTTCTTAAGAAATTCTTTCATGGTGATCTTTTCAACCATGCTATCGCACTCATCACCGATGGTCTGTTTGACAAGTTGATTCACTCGATAGTAGAAATTTCTAAGATTCAAATGCTCTTCTGGGTCATATTTAAGTTTATCAAGCAAATTCTCGTAAACGAAAGGATTCTTTCGACATGCTCGATTGAATATGACCAAAAAGTCCTTGATTGAAATTTTTGCTTTGTCTAATTGTGCAAGTTCGAGAATAACTGTTTCTTGGATCGGGTCCGGTAATTGACTACACATCTGACCAATCTTTGCAGATTCGTCAGTCAGACCGTTCAATCCGAGAAGAAAGTCGCATTTGTTTACCCATGCTTCACAGTTATCATTCTCCTTAAATTTTGGTAATTTTAACTTGCTTGACATAAGCGAATTAATTTCCGAATTTTCAGAGTAGCCAATATCACCGTTGAAATCAGACTGACTCATTGTAATTTCTTCTTCTCAAATTTATCTGATTAAAATGCTAAATGCTACTGCTTATGCAAATGCAAATGCGTTAACTAAACCCTATCCGGGTATTACTGGGGAATGTGGACGTTGCCACGGGAAATCGTCTATACGCTAGACTGCGTTCGGGTAGTTTTTCGTCTATACGCCGTAGACGGATCTTTTTATTCCCCGCTAGGTATAAAATACCCTTAAGCCGAGAACCGAATCAAAAAGATTCTTACTGAGTCCGATATAGATCAGGGCAGACCTTGACGTAGCCACTCCAGGATGGCGACTACGCAAGTATCGTGTTAGCTACCGTGTCTGATCTATTCTCGTGGAATCGATAACTTCAGTCACCAATAATAGGGCACAAATAAAGTACCCTGGTACCGGTCTCCTGACGCTAGTCGAATTCCTGCTCGGGTTTTTTATACTTGGGTCTATGCGTGTACGACTAAATAGACAATACACTGCGACTACAAGATTCAAGACTCAAAACAGCTCTACTAAGGCGTAGACCTGAGTTCGCAAGTACCCGTGAGAGTACTTGTTACCACTGATTGCTCAGCGGCCGTTGTGGTTGCTGCTGCTGGTGTTGTTGCTGCTGCTGTTGTTGCTTCTGCTGTTGTTTTGCTGGTTTCTTCTGCTGGATAAAAAGACAAGTGTTTTTTGTTTGGTTCGTTAGAATAATTTATTGAGGCGAAAGTCGCCCTTATATACTCAGAAAGGGATAATAAGAATGTTCGAGAACTTTCGTGGAACAGTAATAGAATAATCCTGTAGCTTCTTAGAACAGTAATAGAACAATCATGTAGCTTCTTAGAACAGTAATAGAACAATCAAGTATCTTCTCCAATATGATGTTATAATTCGTCAGCGTGAGTCATTGTCGCTAGAAGGTTCCAGGAGTATCTTCGGATGATGTCATTCAAGCGTCAGAAGTGAGTCATGGACTCATACATTGAGTCAATACATTGTAATGCGTGAACATATGTATTTGTGCTCACCATAGGTGGCGCTAGTGTGTCACCACTAGAGGTCACTAGAGAGCCATTCCTGAGTGTCCACTAGGTGGCGCTAGAGAGCTGACACTAGGTGGGGCGCGAGAGCCAGCACTAGATGGGGCGCGAGAGCACACGCTAGGTGGCGCTGTTACAAGTGAGCATTAGCTCAGCTATTCTCTTACAAGGTATATGAGTCGATGCGCACTTATAGTAATGATCTTGAGGTGAACCGGAAGTGAACCGGAAGTGACCGGAAGTGAACGGAAGTGACCGGAAGTGAACCGGAAGTGACCGGAAGTAACCAGAAATGATCACATGCGTTTGCTAAGGGCAAGAGCGACTCTTGCCTAACATCTTCACTCAATTAGCGCCCTCCGGCGACCAAGCATAGGGAAAATCATATAAGCTGAGCTTTCTGCACTCAAACACTATTGTAAGGGATATTCTCCCTTACATGAGAGTCGAGAATATTTTTCGATTAGAAATTTTTTTATCAGCGTTAAAATTGAGACTCTTTCCTTTATGTCAAAAGTGAGTTTTCGCGTTTCGTTAAAATCCAGCTCGAAAGAAGAAATATGGAATAGTGACTCATTGAAAGACGAAAAAGGGAAATCGGGCAGAATCGCCATTGGATAGGGTGGAGACAAACTACTTGCTTTTCGGGCTTCGTTTAGCGCTGTTAGTAACGACTACAAACAGATTATGCTCGGTTGCTCAAGAGCCTCGCCTGATTGCGGAAAAGCGGTTTGATTTTCGACAGCGTTTTTTGCGAAGTACGGAAAGACATCTTTGTGGAATTCGAAATACGGGTTGCTAGTCACTAGCATTTTGTTTTCAGCACTTTGTTGTCGGAAATTGAGCTCAATGCCGCATTGACAATGCGGTCTTTTTAGAGGATCAACTTATATCTAGTCAAGTAAAACAATGGTGAAGATCCTCTCCGAAGTCGAAATAAATTTCAAAAGTAGTGTCGAAAACAATATTCTGGAGATAAATACGATCGTTGTTTATGAAGCCATTGATGAAATACTCACACTCGTCGTTGTTGGTTCCAAAGGCATTTGAATAGGCGTAATCTTTCGGAGCGTACAAACCAGAGAAACAAAGCGATTCTTGCTCGTACTTGACCAAGGAGCCGATCCATTCATTGCCAAGCGTCAGAAATTTTCCCTCTTTTTCGAGTAAAAGTGAGTATTGCGTGTTTGAGAGGGCAATGCTTCGAGTGACGAGGATCAGCATCAATTGACCAAGGTCGATCTCTTAGGATTCACAGAAAAAGCAGAAAGGGCAAGTGAAAAATATCTTCTGAATCCGTTCCAGAGGAATCACGTGCACTGGATCAAAGTCGCGAAACATAGCTGGAACCGTGATCTCGTCTTTTTTCCAGCCCTTTTCCAACTGCTCCGTTGCTCGGATCGAGTTAAGAGCGACTGTTTTCGAAATGGTGATCCAGTTTGTGCCGAGTCTCAAGCTCATCAAAATAAATTTACCGCCAAAGCTGATTGAAGATGTTCAAGCGTTGACGTGGTTGCTCGCGATGTAGCCTTAAATGTCAAGGAACAAGGAAAATTTAAGGGCTGATTCTCACCTTGGGCTTCCTCGAGTCTGTTAAGGTTATAATCCGGCGCGTAGTAGTAACACTTGTCTGGACGGTCGTTCGGGGAGCTTTTATTGGTCAAAAATTTATAATAATCTTTTAAGTGTTAATCTGATTTTCGACCGTTTTCAAATAACAACGACTGGGAAGATCTTACGATCTCTGTCTTTCAGGCGAATCTCAATGTGGTGAGTTCCGATCGACGATCCAAAGTGGAAAATGAAGCGGCCTCTTTAAAACAAAAATTATATTCGCCTTGGCGACATAATTTTATGCCAAACAAAAGCGTTGGCTGTTGTCGCGATCCAAACATTGATCTTTTAAGAATATATAAATGCGTACAAATCTTTGCGTCGATTTGGAACGTAAATCGGAGCATCGCCATTTTCTTTCATTTTCATCAAGTTTCCAAAGGCATCGACCAAGTAATGCTCACCGTTGAGAAAAGTAGTACCGGTCGACTTTTTTTGGTTTGAAGGATTTTTACCGGGAGACTTTTGAATGTTAAGGGATCCTCTCCTATTTTTTCAAGTGTTTGATTAGGGTCATATTTGATATTTTCGGATTCCTCATGTTCTAAAAATCATTTTGATGTATCATATGACCCCTTGACGAGCATCTTACCTCAAAATATAACTTATATTATATAAGCCTTCAAAAATTTCGAAAATGCATGTAAATTTGACTTTGCGTAAAAATCGGATTTTTTTCGGTTTATCAATGTCATCGAAGAAGGACATATAAGGGGTTTCTCGAAAGCTTAGATCGCACTTAAAAAGAATATTATAACCGCACTTGAAATATCAGCCTTACGTTGGCGCTAGAGAGCAAAAAAATCACTCAAAGACGCCATAAATGGGTACATTTGGTTGTTCTTAAGAAAATCTTTTTATTACTTGACCAAATGAGTTCTCTGTACTAGAGATTTACGATATGGCTTCATTTTATTTGAATCTCTTTTCAGATCGTGTTTTTCTTAGCCCAAATCGGCTGAATTTCGAGTCAAAAATGGCCTAAAATGGCCTTTTTCGAAATTTTCGAACTTTGACGCTTCCTTCTTCTGTCTCTGAACTTCTCTGTACTAGAGAATAGCGGATAGCACCTGGACTATCCGTAAAGCTATTAATAATACGTAGGTAGCTTATTATACGCCCCCATTCATGAGCCTAAGTCGGCTGAATTTCCAGTGGAACATTGCCAAAACGGGGGATCCCTTTACACAATTTAGCTTTGATGACACTCTTTTAGATTCATCAAAACGGGTGACCCTCCCAATCCCTGGACACCCTCCGAATCCCTGGATTTTAGCCTGAAGTCCAGGGATTCGGAGGGTGATGTTCTAGAAACTCCCTTTAAACGATAAAAAAGCATCTTTTATCTATCATTATTCTAAATATTTGAATAACAGTTGTTTTTATGAGATTATTTATGTAGCAAATTGGACTTAACACTTAACCTCAGAGGGATAAAATTGAATGAAAGCAAAACCGTTCATAAGAATACAAAAAATCTGAGGCATTTGTCCTTTTTGGTTGATTTCTTTCATAGAAATCGGCCAATAAAATCGCAAATTTTGGTTCTTCAGGTTCACTTTCTGTCAGCTCTGCGCTTCCATTTGATTGGGTAGTTGAGTTGATCCAAGACACCGTTGACGGAGTTGAAGTTGTTATTGGAGATGTTGTCGCCGGAGTTGCTGACTGGGTTGAAGAGCACATTGTTGACCATGTCGTCGAAGTTAAGTCAGTTGATGTCGACTCAGTCGAAGATGACATGTTAAAGATGGGCACCGACGAGTTTGAAGAAGTAGCCATTAGCTCAGAAGGTATTGAACTGTTTTCGGATTTTCGGAGATCAAAAACTGGAACAAATTTTTGAGGCGACTCCAACTTCTCGCATTCGTAATGAGGACACGGACAACCTTCGAAACAGTACTTCTGAAATGGGCAGACTTCTCCGGCGGAATCGAAACTTCTAGTCAGCCCAAAACAGATTGACTCGCAGGGCGTGATTGGGTTGGTCCTCGTTGATTTCAAAACCAGCGTGTTCGAGCAGAGATGGCGGCAGACTCTCTGGTCGTAAAAGCGTTTCTTCTGACAGCGGCGGAGATTCACTTCGTTTTCTTCCTGTGAAAAAACAAGCGGCGCCGCTTTGACATGCTCGACCATTGCTTCATTAGATGACCGCAAAAGTCCATTGTCGAAATTTTAACGCATTTCTTGTAGTTTCGGTGACAACTCGACGTCAGAAAAGTCGTTACGCCGCGGGATTTTTCCAAAGAGGCGAAGTTTGCTTGCAAAAGTAGATATTTAAATTACTCGAGAGGTTACCTATGAGCATAACAGTGACCCAGAAAATGGTGCCAAGAGTCAAATAGCTGAACTGCTGCGGATCGGTGGCGTTTCCGTGTTTCGCCAAGCTCATTTTGGCAGTGACCGTTTTTTTTCCATGTTTTCCTCGTCTTCTTGATATCGTTTTCTTGAGTGCGAATGCTTCGGGTTGTCAGAATTTCTTCCGGAAAAAGATAAACCTTCTTGCCCTTTTTTCTTAGGGTCCCGATGCAGTCACAGTCGAGGCACTAATTTCAAAATTTATTTTTAGTAAGATGATTGAGCTGACTTAAGTGCCCATTTAAGCCCCCCCCCGTCAACAAATTTCCTCAAAAAATCGAAAATTTCAAAACAGCCATATTTTTGCTTCTTAGTGTGCCTAGAAGTTCAATACGTCATAAAAACTTGTTAGAACCATTTTTTGACCAGCAAAAATCTGAAATTTCAGCAAAATTGGGACTCTTTCGTCATTTTCGTCAAAAAGTCCAATTTTCAAACGCGATTTTGAGGGTGTTAGAGTCGAGATAGACCCCCAAAAAATGAAGCCTCAAAATCGTTTTTTGACATGTAGAATCCATTTCCTGGGTCAAAATTATGAGATTCCGAAAATATATTTTTCGAAAATTGTTGACGGTGGGGTCCTTAATTTTGTTTTTATAACTAACACAGTATTACCCTGATTTTAGTGTTGAAAATCGCATTTTTAATTCTTTCATTTTCTTCTTTGATAACCATAACGAGTGATCTCTGAGAGAAAAAAAGCTATTTTGCGAAAAAAGTGAAAACAAGCTCGTTTATGAAGGGTAGTATGGAAAAATGTTTCGGTAAAACAGCCGAAATATGGTGAGCTTATTTTCTGATAAATATTTCGGTAACAGCCGAAACTTTTCTCACTTTTTTCCCCATTTTGAGGAAAAAAGTTTCGGTAGGCTACCGAAATCTTTTTCACTTTTGAGCTCGTTTCTTGCAAAAATATTTCGGTAGAAAGAGGCCAAATTTTTCAGCAGGAAATTATCAAATCTAAGTGCCCCTTACCTCGGGGCTCCGCCCCTTCGGGCCTAAGATGTCGGGGTCTAGTCTAGGGTTAGTTAGGCTTACCGAAGCCTATCCCCCTCGGGTGAGTTTGTTCCGTCATTTTGCCCAGTGCCCCTAACCCTAACCTCAAATTATAGAAAGTACCTTAGGCTAAACTTAGTACTTTTATCTACAAAAAATCTTTTGGTAGAAGTAAAATGAATCTCCACAAGTTTTTCTGTTTTTGAGCGGAAAATAACTCGAGATTTTGGAGGAAACAAATTGATAAGGGATATTCATTCGATGTAATTACCAGATCAAATCAGGATGAGAATGGAAAAAGCTACCGAAACTTTATCGCTCGAAAGACAGCAAATTCTGATTTCTGTTTCGGCTCGTACCGAAATATTTTTCCAAAAAACGAGTCTTATTTGTTTAATTCTTTCGGTTGCCTACCGAAATATTTATCACATTTTACCCTTTGCAAGTGATTTATATTTGGGTCGCTTTTACCGAAACTTTTTTCCATACTAAGTTATGAAGACTTCGGACATTGCTTGTCTGACAGCTGGACAGTTTACTCTCCGTTCGTTTTCTTTTTTTAATGTCAGAGCTTTTTCTTTGTTTTAAGGGTGTCCCCAACGATTTTTTTGAAACAGGATCAAGTTTGAGTTATTAATTCTACTAATCGGATAGTTTCTACATGAAAAATCTATTTGAATATTATTATTTGGACCCTTCTTTCTGCATTAATCTTGACCGATTTTGTAGATTTTGATCCGTTAATCCCCTACCGCCGCTTCAAAGAAGTTCGATTTCTGTAATCTCGGGGAACTTTGAGATCGTTTTTCTCGAAATGTACTCGTTCAAATTTCAAATTTCGAAAAGAATAATGTTGCTTAAACACTTTTCTCTGCATTAATCTTGACAGATTTTTTAAAATTATATCAAATGCATATATAAATATACAATATATATAATGATGATTTTAACAAAATTTGTACCAAATTTTAGGGCTCTAATCGCTTGATTTTTTTTCCAAATTTCAGTCTGAACATAGTTCGATCCTTCAACAAGGCTCCCATGAGCTCAGATTGTGCACCGATAAGTAGGTTAATCCCCTTTTCCGGCGCCAAAGAGCAGGTGTTTTCGAGTTTTGACGCGCTCTTACAATAAGTAAAATTCATCGGATCTTTTTGAAAATGGTATCAGCAGAAAGGAAATTTGTAAAGCTTTCAGGAGATATTTAATTTGCTACAGTTAATTGAGAATTTCAAAATAGCCATTTCCACAGTGCAAATGCATAGAAATTTCTATCGAAGGCTAATGCATTAGCGCGCTCATAGAAAAAGCCATATCTCGAGAAGTAGATAAGATATTAAAGATCTGAAAAAAGGTTCGGAATCGGAATTTCCTAAATAAAAAGAAAAATTTGAGTCACCGAATTAGACAGTCTCGGCCTCGATCGTTGGGGACACCCTTAAGGGACCGCCCCCGATTTGAAAAATAACATCGAGAGCTTTTGAGTGATATTTTTCCGAATCTCCGTTGTCTGGCAAATAAAGTCAAAATAATGGCAAAAATCAGTTAAAAACATCTTGTTTAGAAAAATTCTACAATCCTTGACGGAATCACATGCCTGTTCTAGAGATTGTGAATCAGGGCTCAAGAAAGACAGTTGTTATTGATTGAGAGCTCAAAAATTTATAAATATAATAGAGTTTCTTCATTAAGAAACGGGCTTCAAATGTTGACTGTACATTGTACAATTAGATTCCCTCAGTTTCTTGAGTTTCTTCTGCTCAAAATTCGTTCCGGCTCTCCTTCATCTAAAAATGTGATTTTTCTCTAGCTGCCGTTTCGAAACCAAATGTCCTTAGTAAATTCATCCTTTATTATAATAAAACAGTCTTTTTATTGAAAATTTTGCAGTGATTATTTCCAGCTTCAAAATTGATGATTTTCAGTTTTTAAAAACTTCCCATTTTTTGTTAATATGAGGGAAAAGATCACGATTTCTTGATATGATAGCCTTTCACCTTGGTTTTTGTTTGTTTTTTCGAGAAATAAAAGCAAACAAAAACCCTTTCCTGCATTTCTCGAACAGCATCTTGCTCTTGACTGATAAAATCAAAAACAGCGTTGGAAAACTCGGTGTCGTAATAAGCAATTCCTTGCTTAAAAAATATAAGAAAAAGGAATAGAATATTCATCTCGAGCTCTTATTTCAATTATGCGCCAGTCAATTTATTTCATTCTCAAAAACACATCCAATCCGCCTAATCGGATAGAAAACAGGATCGATTCTTGAAGGAGCACCGAATTCGAGCAAATTGCAATTTGAATGTGAAGGAATTTGAAAAACGGTTCATTCTTTACTTCTTTGTCGGGGGGATAATTACACTCGTTTGGCCAGGTAAAGCAGCGATAAAATGACCTTCTGCTTATCGCATCCGTCTGGGTTACACCAGGTACTCGCGAACCCTGTGGATTCCAACCCAGCGCTTATTTTTTCTGCAGAAAGATAAAAAGGCTAGATCTTCGCCTGTCAAATGCATTACATAATTTGTTCAATACAATATTTTCTCGAAAGAATAAAGGTAGCTTAAGGGTACAACCTTCGATTTCCCCAGTTTTCGCCTTGAATAACTCTGAACCTGTAAATGCTTGAGCTAAGTAAAAGGGCTCTATAAGTGGATCGAGCCGTTTTTAGGGTTCTCCACAAGAAGTCGGCTTAATTTTGAATTTAAGAATCTCGAAAAGCGGATGTTGAAAATATCCCGAATCCAAGCTCTTTGGATAATGAATTGACCTCGCATAATAACGGACCGCACCCTTAGTTCACGGAGAAGCTTATCTCCGTCTATGATCTTAATTATTCCGTACAAAAACATAAGATAAAGGATAAGCCCTTATTCTAAGTGGTTTTTCTACTCAGTTTTACAAGAAAAAGGATGAAAAAGAAAGGTCCCAAGAAGTTCCCAAGAAACTGTTTGATCCCTAGTTTCTTGGATTTTAGCGAGAGGAGACCCTTTATTAACAAGATTTCTCGAAGTTGATCGATTTGCACGCCTCTATTTGAAGAAATAGTGAGTTACGCTTGTCAAAATACTCAATTTTTCGCCACCAATAATTACGTTTCACACTTTTTTTCTGTTAGAAAGAAAAAACATCGTTTTTTTTTCAAAAATGATACTGTACTTTGCATTTTTTCTGTTACTTTCGGGTTGTTTTGGAAAAGAAGAAAGAACTCTACGGTAAGAAAATTATCTCATCTTTTATGCAGAAAGAAAAATTCGGAATAATGAGATAAAATTTGAAAATGTGCAAAAAGACGTCTTTGCTCAAGAATTCAAGAATTCAAGAACAGATGTAAATTCACGAGAATATCACGATAGGGTGAACTCGCAAATTCCAAGCATGAAAAATCTCACATGACGAAAGAGGAACGAAGTAATTAATTAAGGGTGTAGACATGGAAAATGCCGATTTTCGAGATTATTCGAAAAAAAACCAAGGCCAAGATTTGGTTAATGTCTCATCCCAATAAAACCTCACCAACACTTTGATTTCTTGGGATTCTTTACTAAATTTATACTGAAAACAGAAAAACCACGATACACGAATAGCTCGGCCTGTTATCTTTCGCTTACGATAATGAATATTTTCACGATACTGCGTTAATGATACAGTATTATCGTTTTTCTAGCTGGAAGAAGGATGCAGTCTTGGTGCCTTCTGAGCGATGGAACGTGCCTGGAATCGACACGGTGAGTTAATTAAGGCATTTTTGCTTCTAAAATGCTTTATCAATTGTTAATTTGCAAGTGATAAGAAAAAAGAGGCTATCCGGCTTATCAGTTTCCCGAAAAAGTGCGCTTTGTCAGCAATTATTTGAGATAAGGCACTTTCTTGGCTCGGGAACCTGTGTAGATATCCTGAGAAAGGGTCTTCCGTCCCCAGAGTCAGGGTGTGAGAGGTTCTCCAACCCCTGAATCAGGCTCTGAGAGGTCTTCCACCCCCTGAGTCAGGCTCTGAGAGATCTTCCGTTCCCTGAGTCAGGCTCTTAGAGGTTCTCCACCCCCTGTGTCGGGGTCTGAGGGGTCCTCCACCCCCTGAGTCAGGGTCTTAGAGATCTTCGACCCCCTGACTCACATTTTCTACACAGGTTGCTGAGCCAAAGGAACGTCAAAACGAAAGTTGTTTCATCTCGAATTCTTCGAACTGCTCATTTAAATCTCAAGTGCTCGATTCCTTCCTCGCTCCATTTCAAAAATATTTCAGCTTTGCTCAGGAGACGCGCTCACATTCTCAGCATCAGAGCCGACCTCAATCCTCGCCACCGCCTCCTTCAGTTTCGGGTACTTATCAAGCACCTGCATTTGCTCTCTTTAGAGTTACTTTTTTAAAAACTTTTTCTGTAGATCAATGAAGCTGCCGACCAACGGGGAGCTGATTCTTGGTAAGCGAACATTTTTAAAAAACGTGAGAATGAATGATTTCGTTTTTTTAGGGAACAATGTCCAGTTTGGCAGCAGTGTAAGGTATGTAAGATTTATTCATGTAAAGATTTGAAAAGGAAGGATTCTTTGGAAGATTTGGATGAAGAACATAAAAAAGCTTCATTTTCGGAAATTATAAAAAATCACAAGATAAGATCATTTTCCACTCATTTATTTCTTCATTATTCTTATTTATTAAAAGCTTGACTAAAAGGAGTCACCAAGGAGTATTGCTCTTATGGACTCATTATTTGCATAAAGAACATCATTTCATAAAAAATGACAAGAGTCGATCGTTTTTAAAGCGATTTTATTTTCTAGCGCCACCATTAAATTTATCAGGTGCGAATAATTTGGGAACGGTAGATAGGCAAGATGATGATGATTGTTATGTTTTTAGCCAATCTACAATGGGGTCCTCTGCTCCCGCCCCCTTGTACTAGAAAAAAAATAGAACATAAAATGAATGATTTTCAACGTTATCTATTTTTAACAGTACAGTGTTTTTTCACGAAGAATATCATTAACATTTATCAACAAAGAGAAGATGTAGGGCTCAAAAATAAACGAGGCATTCATTTTGAAAATATTTCTCTAAGAACGTAATTCGACGTAAAATTCGAAAGTAATAATTTGTTTCATTTCGTAAATAAATCAATGGGCATCCCTCTATATTGCCATAAATAGTGCGCAAAACAAAAAAAAAACAGCTGATTTGCAGGATCACATAGATCAGCTGTCTATTCTGATGCATCGGCCTCAAAATTGAGAATATTTGAGGCTGGCCTTGGCAACCTGTGAAGAAAACCTGAGTCAGGTCTTAGAAGTTTTTCGAGACCCTGACTCAGATTTTCCACACAGGTTGCCGAGCCAATATTTAAGGATAAATGGTTGTACCGAAAATCGCCAACTGTCATATTCATCGGTGCCGGACGAATGGTACGACATCGAGAATTGGCAAGTACCAAGTGTTCCCGGAGATCATTTGCTATTAGGAAACGCTCTCACGTTGATAATTTATGTTATTCATAAAAATTTAAAAATTTCCGGATTATCGATTCGAAAACACGATTCTGACGAAATTTACAAAGTAACGAATTTCTCTAATTGATATCGAATAAAAAGACGAAAAACTGGTGCCCTGCCAGAGCGATGGGGTTATCTTCGAGCCCTTTTCGACCTTTATGGTCCAAGGACTCGCCGCGGTCAAACAAATTGAAGTTGCTCAACAGGTTAGATCAATTCTTGAATCAACAAAAATGAAGAGATTTTTAGACGATCAGCAATGCTCCTGAGTTTTTTGACTACAAGCAGAATGCGAAATCGGGAGAATATCAGTTTCAGGTTTGCCAAAAAAACAATCAAGCCCAAGATTTTCGACTAAAATTCCGAATTTTCACCCAGTATCGTCCATCCAATCGTTGAATATTGCGGTAAATAGTCAATTTTCTAATCAAAATTCAGTCAACAAAATTTTTTTCGCGAATCAAACGGGATTTTTAGCTCGAAAATCGATCTTTTTCGGCTCCAAATCTTGATTTTCAATCGCAAACTTGGCAAAATCTTCTGCCTTTTCGAGTTGCCAAGAATTCTTTTTCTAAATGACAGCGCAATTAACTACATGTAGCATTTGGATTTGAAATTCTCGCCGTCTTGTCCTGTCTCCGGATGCCCTTGCCATCCCGCCGAGATGGGTCCAGTTCTTGACAACCTCTGCGAAAAAGTCAATTGCACTTCTCCGTCCGAACTGCCCTGCTCGAGGTTCCTTCAAAATCTATCAATCTCAATATCAAGCCCTTACTCTCACTTCAGCCCTTTTGTCGCTGCTGGAACTTGCTGTGCGACTTGTGGCGCGCGGATCAAGATTGATTTCAACGATCAGATGAACTTCGATGAGCTAAGCGAATTGGTTTATCAAAGCGTGTCGCAAGATTATGGCCAGGGCTGCTCATATTTTTAAGAATTCCAGAAATTGAAATTTTAAAAGGTCCTGAAATAAGCCCTAGAAAGTGATAACACGATCAGAACTTCGATTTCGAATCATTTAAAATCCGGCGAAAGCGCTAGAATATCTGACGAGTTCATTCAAATATTGTTTCTTGATGAAATCGGGGATGGAAAAGCTGCAAAGGGAAGGAGCTGAATACATTGGCTACAGAAGAAAATAAAATTTTATTATGAAAGTCACAAGAAACACAGTATTTTTGTAAAAACGTAAATTTTTCTGAGGAATTATGGTTTTTGAGCTCTAAAAAGTCCGAAGCATCTAGAATTGAAAAAATTCTCAAGAAAGGTTTTTCCCACGAAACGACGATTTTCCCAAATTTTTATCATAATTATCCCTGAGAGACGTAAAACCGTCTTCACAGCTTATTTTCTTTTACCGTATTTTCGTCCATAACCGAAAATCAGCGGGAAAACCCGAAAACAGAATTTTCCGGGAATAGATTCCCTCGAAACGGAAACTTCAGGAAAAACAGGAGCGTTGACGGGAGGAGCCATTTTTGGGATCATTTTCGGTAACTTTTGAAAATCTATTTTGAAAGCAAAAAATTGAATACGTTTTCTATTTTTTAGCGATTATTTTCGCCGCCGTTGCTGGATTCTTCGTTTTCACCAGAAAAGACCAGCTTTTTATAAGAAGGCAAGTTCTACCGGGAAATCACTGTTTTGAGTAAAAACTGTAATTGAAGGGGCGATTTCTCGAACCCAGTCCACTCGGACGGCGCTGTCAATTTGTCGGAAATGGGCGATACCGGTAACCGAATGTCCGAAGCCTCTTCAGCTGGAAAGAAGCGCGCTCCACCTCCACCGACGACATTGACATCTACTCCTGCTGAAACTATCATGACGCTGCAGACAGGAGCCGTTAAACATCTCACGTTTTTTTTTGTCTTTTTAGGCGAAAAATATTTTTTTTTTTCAAAATTTTATTCAAAAAATTTTCAAAAAATAAAAAAAAAATTAATTAGAACTTTTATCCAAAAAAATTTTTAAAAAATTCATGAAAATTTTGATCAAAATTTTTTGCTCAAAAATTGAGATACGAACTTTTCCTGGTTCAAATTAAAAGTCCTAAAGGAAGATAAAACGGTGACAGCCGAGTTAAAGACCCCCTTCGCTAGAAAAAAATAACGTTATCACAAGTCCATTAGAAATTTAAGTCCTGACGCCGCCGTAACGCAACCCTATCAGTTTTCAACGAAAGCACCGGTAATTGCCAAAACTTTCAGCTCGTTTTTGACCCTTTTTCCAAAACATGACGCTTTGTAATGTTGCTTCTTGTGGCTCAAAATACTGCAATTTAGAAAATATATAAGACGGATTTTAAATGTATGACGGCGCGAACACGATCATTTTTTATGTTTTTCTACAGATAGGATTAGGTTTTCGAGGGCTGATTCGAACGAGATAGGATAACAACTTCGCCCCGCGTCAGTGAAAAGTTTTCTCAGAAAACGATCCACAGTGTCTTTAACGTAACAAAAAAGAACAGTACAAACAGGTGGATGGAAAGTTTGGAACTTCAGCCGATGGTGTCATAAACGTCAATTTTGAAGAATTCGACGAGGAAGAAAATAGCGATGAAGATGGTGATGAATATTCTCCAGAAGAGGTTGGTCAAAAAGGGATGAACGGGGCTAAGCAGATAAGCAAGGGGATTGCATAATGAAATCCTCCAGCTCAGCTTCGGATGAAATTTTGGAACCTGTTTTATTTACATATTCCGGGTTTCATAACTTTTTTTCAGAAAACAGGGAAAACAAAAACATCCGAGGAAGAGGAAGACCAAAAAGTTGAGCCACCAGAAAATTCTGATCAGCTACTTGACATTCTGTCTGAATAAATTGTAAAAAACAGTTTGTTTGAAAAACCCGCTTTAATTTTTTTATTGAAAAAACGGGTGTAGGGCGGCTACGTTCGAAATTTCGAACGCCGTTCGAGATTTTTCGAACGCTGTTCGAAAAATTTCTGAAATCGCTTATAAAAATGAGCTTATATGCGCTCCGCGCCTGATTTGTAAGTAAACTCTCCCATGATGATGCCAACTTCCTTTACTTACTCGATTTCAATGATTTCAGCTCATATTTAGCAAAGATTCTTTGGAAATTTCGAACGCCGTTCGAAAACTGGGCCCAAAAACCGATTTCGAACGTAGCCGCCCGCCACCCGGAAAAACTTGTTTTAAAACATGGTCAAAAATAATCCATCATCGAGAGAATAACCGAAATATGCTCCTTGTAATAAGCCCCTGAGAAAATCGGTTCCATTAGCCCATTTTTAAAATTCCTTCCTCAATTCATCATTTGCACCCCGGTCTAAGTATACATCTCCCCGCTCCATTTGCGGTTTACCATTTTCGCGAGTCCGCCGAGTTCTCAGGTGGCGCTCGCACTACCCCGCCACCGCGCCCCTATAAAACCCTTTTTTCATTCATAATTCTCACTCAAATACAGAGAAACTCTGATCGAAAAAGAAAAATGAAGCTTTTGTCACTTTTCCTCGTTGGTTTTGCTGCTGCTCAGACTGTAGCTGAAGATGGTACTACTGTAGATTCGCTTGATGCTAGAGGAAGGAAAAACAGAAACAAGAACAAGAATAATAAGAAAAACAAGAAAACAACCACGACAACTACTGAAGCTCCTACTACAACTACCGATGCTCCAACAACTTCAACAACGACCACAACAACCACTACGACAACAACAACGACGGAAGCTCCCACAACGACAACCAGCACCGCCGCCCAAATCACCGATCTTCGAACCAAGGCCGCCAAAGACTCTTTCGCCAACCTCCTTTCTGGCCAGCAAAACTCAGCTTCTTCCGCGAGTCAAGTCGCTGCCAGCTCCGCCGGACGCGCTGAATCCTCGAGCTCGAGCGTTCCGGAGACGAATGAGTGCTTTACCTGCGCTGTTGACAATCCCAACGCAAGTGACCCATTCGAGGTGATCCGGCAGTGCCAGGATAACGGAATGGTACTCACGTGTAACAAGGGAGATAGCTGCATGGTCGAGTCGAGAATGCGAGGAGGAAACACTTATCAGGTCAGTTCAAAACTTAATTTATCAGAAAATTATTACAAAATTGCCTTTTTTGTCAATTTATAAAAAAATCTCGTTTTTATTTCTTAAAATATCATTTTTATAGGTGATCATGTCTTGCAAACAAACCCAAGCCTGCCTTGTGCAGCGATCTAACAACGGAAACGACTGTAAGTGGGAGAATGGAATCCAAACTTGCCGACAATGCTGCAACGAGTACAACTGCGCCGCCGACAAGTATTTCGGAGCCCTTGATGCCGATGCTGACTCGCTGATGGGCAACTGGTGGTCCGAAGACTTTATGATTCCTAAGTAGAAATTTACACAACTGAACACAAACAGACACCGCTGGAAATAGTCTAGTGGCTTTAAATTCTTCTCCATGTACATGCTCATTCCTAAATAAAATAAAATCAATAAATCAATAAAGAAACAAAAGCGTTTGCGAGTTTTTTCGATCAAACGAAACAAAACAAAAAGTAGACGACCAATATTTTTGTCAAAAAAAAATGCCAAAATTAAAGAAAATGCGCATCAAACAGCTTCAAGATGAGCTGTGCCGTCTGAACAGTGAACAGGAGCGCCTTCAAATCGAGTTAACAAGAGTAAATCGAGAAAAGAAATTGATCGAGAAACAAATCAAAGAGGAAAAGAAGTCGCATGAAGAAAAAACCGAATTGGAGGAGAAAATCTATCAATCAATGAGTAAAATTGTCGGTTCAATTAAGCGAACAACATCAAGAAACGATCAAGACCGACTTATTCTTTCTGTTGAAAGAATGGACTTTTCCGAAGACTCTCTGGCTGGCTGGACTCAAGTCATGTTCATCACTCGTAAGAAACTCATTTTATTGAAAAACGAAGAAAATGAGTTCACTGATTCAGTGACTGAACGCATGACTTCCTTCCAGCTCAAAATTCTCGCCAAAAACTCGTCCTTAGATCAAAAATGGATACGTCGATCCGATTTGAGTACAGAAACTGGAAAATGGGAATATCTAGGACCAGCTGATCGTTTGATCTCCTGTGGAGGTGAGGCAATCGTGTTGAAAACAGAGTCCGTCCAATACTCTTCTAAAAAATCGATGGCAGTACGGGTGCAAGCCTTCGACCCGAATTTGTTTGTTGATGACTTTAGTCTTGACTCATTTTTGGTTGAAATAAATGTTTTCTCAGGTGAGACAAATTTTCATATATAAACAATTTTTCATTCTGATAAGATTTTGCAAATGCTGTGGCACCAACAAAAACAGAGGCTTTTAGAAATGGAAGAAAGCCTCCTAAAGATTCTCGGCCCTGCCACAAAAATGTGTTGAAGCACTATTATAACATTCGATTTTTCGATAAAATCGATGACGGAAAACAAGACTGTCTTGGTTGGATCACTTTCATGGACTTTCTTCCTTATTCTCTTCGTGAATTTCTCAAAAACAATTCATTGAATTCGCTAGAAAGAAAACTAATTCTTCGAGAAGTTTTTCGAGGACTGAATTATTTGGAGGACATTGGACTTCAGCACTACGATTTGAAACCAGAAAATATTCTGCTTGACGAAAATCTAACTCCGAAAATTATTGATTATGGACTTGTCGAAGATTCAAGTGGGAACATGGGCTACCGAAAAATGGGCTACTGTAGAGACGGAAGCATGTTTAGAGCACACAATCATCTTTGTAAGAGCAATGTTTTGTAAAATAAATTCATCTGCATTTTTAGACGCCGGATCTCCCGCATTCTCTTGTGGTCAGCAGTTGCTCGAACGTGGCGAGTTTCGCAATCGAAATATTTTTGTTTTTCTTGCTTGTGATTGGAAATCTGCGTGGACACTTTTGTACAAACCACTTGAGGACGATCAAGAAAGATTCTCAGTCAATGAAAGACTAAGAATTAAAAAAATCCTGCAGGTTTGAGAGAAACAACGATTGTTTTTATTATCTATCCATAAGGAATCAGGTGCTTCGTGGATAAGGAACTCATTCCCTACCCTTGAAGACATCGATGGCCTTCAAAAGACTGTTACATTGATAAATTGCTCCTCTACTTTTTGCCTTGATGATCCGAATTTGACGAAATCGCTTGTTGCAGCTTCGATGAAAGGAAGACTTACACGAAAATTTAATTTTGACTTTAAAAATGTAACAAAAAATGCAATAGATCAAAAAGACAGTGATCTTTGCGTTCCTATCACTGTCGCAACTCTCGTCAAACATGCCATGGTACACGACCTAAACGTTGACCAATCGAAGTATCCAATTGAAAGAATACTCACACACATAACAATGGAAATTTATCATCGGAGTATGGCTGGACTAGATCTTAATCCAAACGAAGCAGAAAAGGACTTTCAAGAAAACGATATTGAAACTCTCTTAAAACGACTTGTTTTTCCAACATATTTGAATCCGAGTGGCTGGGACATTATCCGCGAGTGGGAACTTCCAAAGACAAGTTGTAGTTTTCAAAAAGGTATGGTATTCAAAAAATAGACTCTGATCCTTCTAGTGCGCTTGAATCAAAACTTCAAATTTACCCGCCCCTTGACAGTGACAGGAGCTTATTTCTCCCCTGAAACCGGAGTTTTCTTTCACCAAATGGTTCTCGATTACATTGATGAGCAATCAAACGAATACGTTCTTCAAAACACCCTGCTTTCCGAATGGAACTCATCGTTGAAAATCAAAGTAGACCAACCTTATTACGTGTCGGAGACGAACATCAGAGAGTATTTGGATCTTTACGGTAAATATGAATTTCACGATAACGGCGTGTTTATGCGGTTGGCAAACGAAAAAGTCGGTCAAACAATGGACCCATATAAATGGTATCTTCTTCCTCAAGCCTACAAAATTACTCTAACAAAAATTGAGTGACTTTTTATTTCTGTTTTTTTGTAATTTTGATTTCCTTCAGATATTATTCCTGTCAAAAAATAAATAAATAATAACGCTTTATTAATCTTGCTTTTGACAGAAATTTTCGGAATTCCATTGGTATTTTCGTCTTCCTTTTCGCTCGCAGACAGCTCTTTCAATCCATTCAGTCTGATTATCCGAGCATGTTACTTCGCAAAATTCATACTTTGGCTTCTTTTTCTTTCCCTACGAGAATTCGAACCTTTTTCGTCAACCAAGTGTGTTACCTTTCCGCTGGAACAGTTTAGCATTTTCACTAATGAATCTTTCGGCGGCGAGCATTTAGATCTACTACTTCGGAATCCAATCACAGAAGAAGGTTTTTCTTGAGCCCAACCCTTCAACTGAAGTATCTTTCTCTGATAGTCAGGCTTCATACCCTTGCAGGAAACATCTTCGCTCAGATCCAAATGACACTTATCTGGTCCGCAGTAACAGTCGACAGAAAATACATTTGCGGGGAAGAAATCGATTTCATCTTTGCAGGCAAATCCGATTCTAGAGCAAGTTCCTGTCAGACAAAATGGAGTGACCTCAGAGTCGATTCTCCTGTGCTCCCGAAAGGTTTCCAGCGAGCATGATGAAGATGTCTCTTATTTATAAATATTTATTTAACGCTTTGTTAATTAATAAAAACCTGAATAAGCAAGTTGTAAAGAAAGAAAAGAGATCAAAAGTTTCATCTTTTTAAAAATCAAAATTGAGAATTGAGTTCAAACAACGGGTTTTATACCAGTAGCCATTTTTATCTTGTTTAGGCCTAAACATGATAAAACAACAATCTGCGAAAAGCCACTCCAGCTGCTTTGGATCACTTGTGGTTAGATTTTTTTCAGCTTTATTCAAGGAAATCGGTTTTTGATCAAATTTTATTCACAGAAAATTTAAACTTATCATTGTCTTCGGGCTTATCTCTAAAAATGAAATTAAGAGTCTATTTTTGCGATGATTTGTTACCTTCATGAAGAGGAAAACAACGGCAGCAGCACATAAAGCCCAAATAAACGAGGCTAAAACAACGGCGCCGGCGATGGACATTCCCGAGCTCGACTTGTTCTTCGAATCCTTGAAGCAGCTGATTGCAGCGGCAGGATCATAGCAGCACTGGAAGTCGAAGACGCAGGAGTTTTCCGTGATACCAGCATATCCGCAAGGCTCCTTATCCAAGTCTAGAAATTTCCTAAAAACTCATCTCTTTACGTCCTTCCTACCAGTTTGGCCCCAACAGTATTCCTGTGGCCGTCTTCGTTTACAAACATAAGGCCTTGTCTCCTTACACTTCGCCAGCTGCCAGTAGTTATCTCTCCAAAGCTCAGTACACTCATCATCGACACTCTCACTAGGACTGCCTCGCCAGTTCGTATAAGTCACTGCCGAGCCATCAGTCCACTGATATCCTCGAGCTCCATTTTTCGTCAAGCCAGTCCAGATTTGATTGTCGCCAACTTTGTTTGACGCAAAACTACGAACGCGGGAGTTGTAAGCTTCATTGTGCATCGAGACCAAATGAGCTCCGTGGCCATTGCAGCTGTGTTCTGCCTCGTGCCAGCCGACATTTCCGGCGAAGGCTCTGACGCAATGATGCTCGCTCCAGTCATCGTTTAGATTATGCCAATCTAAGGAATGATGCTCAAGTCTCAAGACGAGTCTCACCTTCTCCGAGAACTTCGCAATCAAGAAGCTCTCCTCGAGGATCGCCATTTGACCAATCTGGTGGTTTGATGCCGCCAACATTGGCTTTGCAAATAAACGGAAGCTTGTCATTGCATTTGTCACTCAGATGCCATTCCTTCTTGTTATCTTAATAGTTGGATAACGTAATACCTTTCTTTTTGAATCTTACCGATGTAAGCACAGGAGAATTCTGGATCATGACGGATCGAGTTCATATCCGGCTCAGCCTTGGCCCATTCCGTATACGCTGTTGGAAAGCCATCAGTCCATCTTGTCTTCAAATACTTGCTTCCGCTGCTGCTTTCCGCCCAAGACATGGTCAGGCCAATCCAAGCAGCGTAGTCTTTATTGATCGGGTTCTCCCCGTTGAGACCGAATTCTTCGTAAAATAAGGAGGTCAAAAGGCTGTTTTCGTAGAAATCTTCGACGCTGGCCAGATCAATCTGCATATTTTTGTCGATGCTCTGGCAGTAGTCCCGAGCGCCTTGGAAGTTTGTGTCCGTTGTTGAACTTGAGACGAGTTTATAGCAAAAGCCTTCGGGTCGACCACTTGCATCTTTGTTTGATATCCACCCAGATGGGCAAGAATTCTCCTCAGGTGTCTCTGAAGTGCTTTGATGAAGATTTCATAGGTTGCTTTTAAAGAAAGGCTTTAAAAATAATTTATTTTATGATTTAATCGTCAGTGCGACTCGGCACATATAATTTATTGTTATTGCAAGAATCTGATTGTCAAAAGCAATAAACTAAAGTCTTTTTTTATTCGAAGCTTCGTAAAACCACTTCGACTTGCTCAAAGTCGGAGCAAAACGGCTTTGGCTAGAGAAAAGGTAACATTATCTCGATTTTAGAAACAAGATCTCGAAAAATCTTTAGGCAACAATGAAAAAATTCGGAGGTATTGACAACGACGATGATTTTGTACTTGAAAACCAACACGACATAAACAATACCGGAAATTGAAAATGATGTGAGGCTCATGTTATTTTCAGCCATTTTCTGACCTTTTTTTAAATTTTGCGCATGAATAAATTTCGATCCCTTAAATAAAGTGAACTTTATTAAACGCTTGCTCAAAAGTCAGAGAAAAAATTCCGAAGCTTGATTATTATTCAGAGACTCTGAATCAGACCAATTCAATTTTTCAATCTTTTCCTTAAAGTATGAGAACACATAAATGGCTGCTTTCTTGACCCCGATCGATCATTCCATTGGCCTGGATAGTAAGTTCCAATGCCATTGTAGCCTCCCGCCCAGAACATCTCAACATAGTCTTCAGGGTCAAGCTCTCCAATTGGCGCTCCATTTGGCTCACCGGGAAGCCAGTTCGTGAAAGTCAGCCGGCTCTCATCCAGCCAGTGGAAAGTCATGTCTTGGGTCGTAGAAAGAGCTCCGATCCAAAGAGATCGCTGAGCGCCGAGATTTTTCGAAAGAGCAGTGGCGAAGTGATTGTAATAAACATTCGGCAGAATTGCCAGAGACGCTCCAGCCCAACCACCAGCAGATTCCTGCCCGCATCTTGTGTTTGCCTCTTCAAAAGTCGACTGAATTTGATGATCCGGGTCGTCGATTTGAGCTCCAAGGACTTTGAAGCAAGCCCGACCGAATTTCTTCCAGCCCGCTTTGCAGTTTCCTGTACTGGGCCAGGATTGATCTCCGCTTGGAACTGGACTTGGTTCATGGTGATATGCTTGGCAGACGAATTTGAAGAGACTGTTGCAGTTGTTGTCGTTCCAGTAGCCATCTTCGTAGCTCTAGAATTCTATTAAACGATGGACTTGAGGGCAAAAACTTACAGCTGCTCCCCATTGATTACTGACTTCAACACAATCTTCTCCATCGCCCCAGTTATTCGGCTCCCCAGGAGTCCAATTTGAAAAATCAAAGGGCGTATGATCCGACCATTCAAACTGGCAGTTGTTGCAGAATTTTCTCGCTCCAAGCCAAAATGGCGGAAAATAATTCCCACCAGAAGCAACTACCATGTCGTAAAGTCGGTTGTCTTCGAATTGGGTGTGCACTGTAAGAAGGCTTCCCCGACAAGTTGGGCAGCCAATGACAGACGCTTCGCAGATTGCCTGAGCATCTGACCAGCCTCTTTTTGTCCCTTCATCGTCGATCAAATACACGCATTTGGCTCCATCATTACTGGATGCTTCCCAAGGCTCTCCGGGAAAGGTCTTTTCATCTATCGTCGCGGATACGCAGGAAAATTTCGCATTTTCAATGTTTTCTCGGTACTTTTTAAAGTAATCGAGCTGGTAGCTAGTACTGTTGTCTTTTCGGAAAACTCGTTTGCTTCCTTTGTCAAAGTAAAAATTTTCAGAAAGCTCCAGAGAAGCTGACAAGCTTCCTAGAGCCGCAAGAAGCTTCATTTTTCTCTCTTGAAATGTGAGAAAAATGAAGAATCGAGGGAGTTAGAAGTGATAAATTTGTTTTTCGCGAAGAAATTATCGAATATTTGCGCTTTTTGAAAATAGAAGAAATCACGAGAATTCCAGGACAAGTTTTTTTTATTGAAATGTTTCTTGATTACTGATTAACAATTAGTTCATCATTCTGAGAAAAATTCAAGAGCGCATACTTTGGCCCGCGGTCATGTTTCGCTTCTCGTGCATTCTATTCTCCATCCCTTCTCCTGCTGGCACGAATTCTGCACAATAATGACAAATAGTAAAATACTGAAATGATATTCTTTTTATTTCTATTCCTGCCCATACGAGGGCAAAAATGCGAGAACGGGAAAGGAAAACATGAAGAACCAGTGACTTTTTGTGAAGAATTAGAGAGATTTCCAGATGTTGGGCAGATTCGAAAAACCATCAATTTAGGTAGTAAAACGTCTTTTTTGCTGATTTTATCTTCTAGATTTGAGAGTTATTTTGTGGCAACCATAAGTAGCCGTCTTTATTGAATTATATAAATTTTTCTTAACTCGTCGATACGAAGATAGAATTAAATAACAACCAAAGTGAGGTACATTGTAAGGGGGATTATTGATGTTACTTAAAACGATTAACAAGAACAATCAGGGACCAATTCATTCACTCGATAATTAAGTTATCCAAAATTCCTCCATAACCGAAATCCACGGCCGTGCGATCCGCCGTCTACCTTTCCTAAAATCCATCGTTTTCGAAGACACACCCCTCTCGAAAATCCATCATCGAGCATTTATCAACCAGCCGGAAAAACTTATCTTTATCCGCAACGATTTTCAATCAATCCCACTCAATGCTTTCGAAGCAAGACTGCAGAATCTCACTCTTTCGGAGCAGAAAATTTCAAAGATCACGAATTCTACCGGCTTTGAAATGGCAAAACGATCTTCTCAGCTGCAGAAACTCATTCTTCGGGACAACCTTATAAATACGATAGAAGAAGGGGCTTTTTCGAAATTCGAAAACTTGAAAATTCTCGACTTGGGATTCAACAAGCTGATGCAACTCGACTTTCACCCTGGAAAGGTCACTGATTTGCGCCTCGATCACAATGAAATCTCCCACATCACCCCACTCTTCAGCTTGAACTCAGAAAACATCGAAAAACTCGTCTTGCGGAACAACAAACTCATCTCAATTCCAGTCTTCAATTTTCAAAAAATCACATTTCTCGATTTGCGATGGAATTCAATTTGGAACACGCCATTCAATGAGCTTGAATTTTCTCAGTTTGAGGAGCTATCTGGTGAGTTTCTCATTGGCCAAGCGAAGATTTACTGCAATTGTGAGGCGAGATGGCAGAAAAGAGTGCAGAGAATCGAAGGATTAGAGATAGAATGTCGGCCAGAATCTTCAAGGGGTTGGAAAAAACAAGTTCAAATGAAGAATTATTTTGAAAATAACTGTCAAGAATCATCCTCAGATTTTCTCGAGGAAACAACAACATCAACCCCAGCAACAACGACAACAAGTCTGATTCCAACAGACTTTCCCTACGCTACGATATCTCAAGATTCTCAAACAACAGCATTTTCGGACGGAATACCTGTAGTCCTTGATGCACCACTCTGGAGATCTGGAAATCAAGAAGATGATGATTCTGATTTCGAACTCTCCGGAGATGAAGATGTTTCGCTTGAACTCAAAGAGCCAGAATCTCAAATTGTCGAGAACGATTTTTGGTTCTGGGACATGATTAAGGATCTACAAGAGCATGATTCAAACTCTGAAATTCTAGAGCCGCTGCCAGTTGACACGGAAGATAAGAATATTCAGAGTGCTCCTCTTGAAACCACAAGCACAACAACATCTTACGATGGCATAACAGCAATTACGCTCATTTCTACCTCCAAAAATGAGGGCTTCTCAGAATTTTCAAAGACAAAAGTTTCTACATCAACAGAAAAATCAACGGAAACAATATCAGAACTGGGCAAAACAACAAATCCTCATCATGAAAAAACTTTTCAAACAGAAGCTTCTGAAGTGGATACAAGAATATCGACGAGTAAAACAACAACAACAATAACAACAACAAAAGCATCAACATCATCATCAACGACTACAGCAACCACAACAACAACAACGACGACGACAACAACAACCACGAAACAAACAACAAAAACCTTAAGCGCAAAACGGCTCCGCCAACTGGCCCGGCAAGAAAACCAAATCAAATCCCGAGTCAACAAAATGAACAGTCGCTACAACAAGCAACAGTGGAATAAAATCAAAGCCGTCCGTGAAAGCGCAAAATGGAAAGCGAACCAGAAAAAACGGCTCAATGAATATTACTCCAGATCAAAGAACTTGGCGAATATGGCGCAAAGAAAAATGATCCTTGAAGATGTAAAGGTAAGTCGGCATCATTTAGTGGGGAATAAATAAATCGAAGATGAAAAACTTTTGTTTTATGGAGGAGAAAGAATCGACAGAGCGTGATATCTTCGTCTAGATGACAATTAAGAATATCTTTATTCATTTAGAGTCTTTTTGACGCCGATAAAAGAGAGAACACATTTGTATCTGTTTTTATCGTTTTACCATACGACAATATACTGAATACTCAGACACTAGTCATGATTCATGAACCTTCGTTAACACTGTTTTCAAGGCTGAAAAAGAGTTCCGCGATTTGATCACAATGCTGAATACAACAACGACCACCACTACCACAACGACGACCACCACTACCACTACGACAACAACAACGACAACCACAACGAAAAAATTCCTCGACATGAAGCATCTAATCGAAACTCTCAACCGCGTTGCTTTGGAAGATCGACTCTGTCTCTTTTTCTTCGCCGAGGTGAAAAACTGGTTCAGCAATGGCGGCGGAAGAATGACAAAGTCTACCTTTTTCCAGTTTCTCAAGAGATGCGAAGTTTACGAATACAGAACAAAGATTTTCGAGTATTTTGGTGGTCGATTGGTCCTCACAGATGAAACGACAACGGAAGGTCCATTGACTCTTCCAAAAACGACTCAGCAAAGTTCAACGAGGCGGAAATTTTTCACTCTGAAGCCTCGGCCTTTCACTCCAAGAACAACCCCGTCATCAATTTCTCCAGCTCGAACGACAAGAAAAACCATCGGTTTTCCTGCTCCAAGACCAACCAAGAAAATCGAAGATGAGACAACAGTAGAAACAACGACTGAACAGCTCCGACTTCCAACAAAACCGGCGACAAGGCCTTCCGAAGTGACTCAAAGACCCGGAATAGTTCAAGCTACAATAGGATCGGATTGAAAAAATGGATTTTTTAAGATAAATTTTCAATTTTTATCAAAATATTATTTTCAACCCTTCAAGAAACAAAGCCATCTACCGAGGAAACATCTACCCTCGACGTATCCGGCCAAGGCGCCACTATCAAAGTAACAACCGATTGGAAATTCGGCAACTCACCAGCCAGCACCACCAAAAGACCATTTTTAAACAACTCCACTTTGCCTGAAGAAAAAAGAATCATCATCATCGTCACCATTTCTTTCGTAGCTATCAGTAAGTTTGAGAACTTTCTCGAATCTCATAATCATTATAAACTTTTCCAGTGCTCTTTGGATCGATCGGAATAACAATGATTCGCAACATGCTCTGTCTTGAATCGCCAGCAGCTCGACAGGCTCGGTAAGAGAACTTTTCAAGGCCATTTTTTATCATTTCTCAAAAGCGAAATCCGGGAAATGGAGCTCAACGAGCAGGCCCAGGCTCGACTCTTTGCTCGCCGCAGAAGAAGAGGTCGATCTGATGCCCCTCCAGCCTACAATGATCTTTTCCCAGAATAGAATGATCAATTCGTGTACAGAACTATTTATTCCTCTTCTTCAATCAATTATTTATTCACACCATTCACTGCTACAAAATAAACGGATACATTGAGCGATAAAGAATTTTCAATTAATAATTTATAAACAAAAAGAAAGTCAGGGAAGAATTTTTACTTCATTTTTCTCAAATACTGAGCCAGACTTATCCCGGCAAAAATATTCTGACGATCGTGTTTTGGTATAGAAGGGAATCGCTTGAAAATCTTTTGGAGCTCTTCTGGCTTTGCTTTGAGATACAAGTCGATTGGTTGGCCCAGGCCGAATTTTGAAAGAGCTTTCAAAGTCACCTTAAAAATGCCGATTTCCGTACGCCAAAATGAAGGTACCTTAGATTTAATCGGCAAAGCCTTAATGATTGTCCTCGGAAGCGAAACGCTAGAATCTTCATAACTCGAGCTCGTCCCTGCCTTGGTCGAATCAATTGACTTTTCTTCTTCTTTCTTCCGTTTTTCCTTAATTCATAAATGATCTTTGACGATGTTACAATTGTACCTGTATGCTGAGGGAGAAGACAACCCGTAAATCATTCTTGTCCAGGTCAAACTTGAGGAAGTCTGTATATGTAAGAGTTCGCATGACGTTTGGGGAGTGGCAATTTGCCCGGACGAGTTTCGACTGGCCTTTTGGTGAGATCAGATTGAAGATGTGTTTGAAGTCCCCTTTGAGCGTCATTCTTAAAAGTTGCTCTTTATATATCGTTCTTATTATACCAATTTTCGAAGCAGGTAGGTCGTAAAATACTGTTACTTACCGTCTATTCTGCCTTGGATTCAAACTCTCCGCCATATTTTTCTCCATCTGCAGCACCAAATAGCTTCGTTTGCCAGCTTTCCCTGAGAAGTCGTTTTTAAGCGGAGAGGTGACTGTAAAAATACGTGCTGACGGAGGTTTCTCTATCATGTTTGGTGAGACTTGAACATTCGAGGAATTCAGTGAGGCGTTTACGACGCAGGCTAATTGCTCCAGGATTTCGAACTTCTCGTCTGTTGTATAAACTGTCGACTAAAATCAATACTTCAATCATGATCATAAAAAGTCCGAAAATAATGTTTGAGTTTAGGGTTAGGGTTAGGAAACTAACAAAAGAGTTCTTGAGGGAATGATAAGGGTTAGGGTTACACCTAGGGTGGACAAAATTAGGGATTGAGGGTTTATGACAGGAATAACCTGACGATAACTCTCCTTTACTCACTGTTTATCGATTTTTAGGATTTCGTCCACCCTAGGTTAGGGTTTTACGATCACCCTTATCATAACAGGGAGGTGTCAAGAACTGACAAAAAGTCGACAAATTTTGGGTGGAAATTTATGACCAATCAGAAGCCTTGATTCAACTAACCGTCCAATTAGCAGCCGAGTAGCCGCCCACGCAAAATTTGTCGAGATTTTTTGTCGATTTGTAACACCAGCCGCCGAAAAATCTTTATTTCCTAATCATGAGAAAACTAGGTTTCTCTCTATTTCATGAAGAAAAAACATGTTAGGTTGATATGTTACCTGTACAATATTTCTTTTGAACATCTCCCCTGAATCTCTCATCACAGACTCGAGCCCTCCGTTATCTTGAAACGCGCTTTTCGCCAAATGTGTCAAATTAATCTCTGGAATCATAACTGCTCTTGAATCCATTGTAAAATCGCTAGTAAAATTTGTCTTCTCGATCAATTAATTTTTGCTTGGTTTGAGCGGGAAAGGCCTGACGCTAGATGTCGCGGAGCGCGTTTTACATACTTTTTCATACCGCAGCTGTAGTATTTTACGTGAGATGCGCTTCGACTCGTTGTGCTTCATCGATTTTATGATAATGGAATGCGATTCAAATACGTTCTTTTGTGTTTATTTGGGGAAAAGACTCATTGGTAAATGTCTAAATGTCAGTTTTTATTGATTTTAGTCCTCAAGGATCTCGGAATAGTAAACAAAAACGAAAATATATTTCTTTTTTTGAAGAAGAAAATGAAAAAATACTGAATTAAAATTTTCAAATGAACAAATCGGTGCTTTTTTCTTTCATTTTTCTCCAATTTCTAATTTTATATGGATTTTATCATGTTAAATTCCTTCAATTTGAGACAACTTATTCAAAAGAGACAAGTTTACAGGCTCAAGAAAACGAAATCAAGGAAGAGAATCGATTTGGAACTTGGGAGTTTCTTCAAGGGTCGTATCTTTCCGAATGCATTTCAACTGGTTGCGAGGATTTTAAGGACTTTGGGAAGGCAAAGAAATTATGCGAGATGCTTGATCATTGTGAGGGAGTCACCCTTATTTCGAAAACTCGGCTATTTTCACTAAGCGAGGGTGGGCAAATCCTCAGCGATTATTTCCAGACCCTTAAAAGAATGATGACAATGTTGAATTAAAGGCTTCTGATTGGTTGAAGCGGGAAATACCAGCTTCTTATTGGTTCTTTCGTTGCTCCTCTACCTCAATCTCTTGTTATTATGAGCGATTTGTCCACCCTAGCGAAGAAAAAATATTAAAGAAAAGACCAAATTACATTTTGAGCAATCATGGCGTCTCCATCGCTCAAAAACTGGCATCTCTGATGATGATAGTATTTGGGAGTTTCACGAGCATACGTATCTACCCGACATGATAAACAAACCTTTCTCCACATTATCGGAAGCAAAAGACGCTTGTTCGGAGCAAAAATTATGCTCCGGCGTGACTTATCAGCTTGGAAAATTCTCAATGAGAACTGGTCTTCGTCTTGAAAACAGTGCAAAAGCAGTTTCTTGGGTTGATAAAACAAAGCTAGAATGCATCAGATCTTTTTCAACAGAGAAGAGGAAAAAATTAATCGAATGGGATCAGTTTAATTCAGAATTAAGGAGCTTCCGCGGTCGGGATGATGATGGAAACTGCTTGTATCCGAAGCATATTGATTCAATTCTAGAGTTCGACCCGAATCTTGCTTTTGATATTTTAGAGTCGCCCGGAAAATGCAGAAAAACGACGAGAAAATCGAGCTTGATTCTTTTTGGCATCAAGTCGATTCCGGACAATTTTGAGCAAAGAGCAGCGATGAGAAATACCTGGTTGAATCCTCAAATCTGGCGGGAACTCGGGTAGGAAGTTTTTCTTCTAGCGAGTATGAATGGAAAGCTCTAGGTATGATATAAGAGTCGTCTTCCTCCTTGGAAACCCGGGTGATATCGATTTGTCAGCGGAAACACGCGTACATGAGGATGTTCTTATCCTCGACTTTACCGAATCACACTATAATTTACCCTTCAAGGATAAAGCGTTCTTACAGTTCTTTGCGGAAAACTGTTCTCATGCTGATTTTCTTTTCAAGGTACTTCAGTACTTTCTCGGCTCGAAAACCTGTGCTGAATTCCTGAGACAGGACTTCGGCCTTTCAGCACCCTGACTCAGGAATTCTGCGCAGGTTTTCGAGCCGAAAATATTTTCTTGTTAGAAATTACCTTCAAATTTAGGGCGACGATGATATTTTTCTCCGACCCGAAAAGTTTGTCAAGATTTTTGAAGAAATAGAAGATGACGAAGCTATAGGATGCTGCCATGCTAGAAGAATTGATCTGAAATCGGAAAATGCTGGCTACCCCGAAGATCAAAGCCTTTGCGAAGGAAGCAGAGTTCCAGAGCCAGTTCGTGATCCGACATCTAAATATTTCATCCCTCGGCAATTGTACAAAGCTGGGCTCGACAACCTGTGTTGAAACCTGAGTCAGGGTCCTGAAAACGCTTTGACCCTTATAAAGCCTGTATCAGGCCCTGACTCAGGTTTCTACACAGGTTTCCGAGCCTTGCAACAAAGGTTCTCATTACGGCGATTATTTCTCCGGTGCTGCTTACGTAACAACAAGAAAATTCACCGAAAAACTGATTTCTCAAATTCCGAATGTTCCAATTATCCCACTTGATGATGTCTGGATTGGCTTGCTTATCGACGATGCAAAACTGCGATCGAAGATGCGATTTTCAAGAGGCATCTGTACTGCGCTTCTTAAATTTAATGCTCTGAAAATCGAAGATGTTTTGGAGATTTTCAAACTGCCAGTTTTTCATGGACTCAAAAATCACATACTTATTGAAGAATTATTCAGCTTTTTTAACGAAAAAAAATTGCTATGAAAAACACTCAAATTTACTGCCTTTTTAAAAAATAAAATACAAAAGAACTCGAAATTTTTTATTGCTTTCTGACCCCGCGAAATTGTATTTCAGACACAGTGACCAAAAATCTGTTTGTCCGAGATCTCCGGAATTTTTCGATTCAAAATTTTTAAGGTTGAATTTCGCTTTCCGGAACTGTGCGTTTAACTCTAATTAGAATCAATCATTTCTCTCTCAGGGGCAAATCAAGCTATCTTTCATGATTCAGAAACGAGATTCCATTTCGTCGCTTGCCGTCTAGAGGGAAAATGCCTGCGTTTTTTTTCAAGAAAATTTTTATTCAAATTTGAATTAAAATCATCCTGCTAAGGGTAATCTTTTATATTGTAATAGGGATTCTTGAAGCATAAATTCATCATTTTTAGGAAGATTTTGACGTTTGCCTCGTAAAAATGAGTTTTATTTTTAAATATTCTCAATGCCCTGCCGTAAAAAATGAGTTTTTCGCCCACTAAAATACTCTCATCATTAGTTGCCTTCAGACTCTGCAGCTTATATAATTGCGATCGTCCCTTGATTCTCACATTTTACAAAAGAGGCCAACCTCATGGTAATTTCAAGTTATAATATATTATTTTGATGGGAATTTTGAGGAGAAAACATACTCACAATCCTTCATTGAAGAACCGAGTCGGAATTCTAGAGGAGACGAAAATGCGAAGATCGTTGTAAATCATGATAATGGTGATCAAACGACAAACATCTCCTTAGAAAACCAGCGTGAGAAAACTTCAAAGAAATCGTGTTTTCAGAGATTGAAAGAGACACATATTGTTTATAAAATTCTTGCCCTCCTGGTCGGAATCACGATTATTTTTGGGCCGATAGTTGTTTTACCGCCAATAATGCTAAAGGTTCACTGAAAAATAAGCGTCAAGATTGAACCACTTCAACTTATGTTTTAGCAATCAGCGATAACAACTCAATCTACTCAACAACGACCAGATCCGGTTAGATGTTTTTTACATATGACAGACCTGATTTTTTCATTCGAGGAAATTTCAGTTAGTTGGGATAAATATTTCAGTACAGTAAGAAGAGACTTTTAGTTTCTCCCGAAGGCCTCCCAAAAGTAAAAGTACTAGTGAGGTGTAGTTCCTAACCCTAAGGCCTAACCTAGGGGGCTTCACCCCATTGGAACCCCCCCCTTAACACTAACGAGAAAGGAGATTACCGAAATATTTTTCCATACTACGAAATTTCATTCGCCGACCATAAATTGATTTTTCAGATTGATGCTAACATTGTGGTTCTCCAGTCAAATGAATTGTCCTATTCTTACTTATTCTCTGGCGATGGACTTTCAAAAAGCCCAATAAACATCCAGCTAACTTCAACTTATCCAGATCAACTTGTCCCTGATGTCGATCAATTTGGCAGCGCTTTCGCGGTCGTTAAAGGAGAAATACACATTTTTGGTGGCTACAATAATCCTCAAATGGTAATTACCAAAAAAAAAATATTTTTAAGGGGGTAGAAACAGTTTCCTCGATTTTGGACTGCAGCTACATAGAAGAAAACATAAAATTTAGTTATGTTCACGAAATTTCCTCATGAATGTTCCAAGAAAAAGAGTTAAGCTTCACAAAAATGTGAATGAAATTTGTATAACTATAAGGGGACTCGAAATATACATGTTTAAAAATTTAGGAAAATCGAGAATTTCGGAGAGATGAGCTGCTTCTGAGCCCGTTTACTCAAAAATTTGATGACTAAAACAAATTTCGAGAGAGATGTTCCTAGATCTAAGATGTATCTATCTAAACCTGAACAGAAAATTTGAAAATTTAAGATTCTCTTGTCTGTAGCGCCGGTTAAAAATAGTTCGGAAAAAAGCTGTTTCTACCCCCTTAAAGACCCCCTTAAAGATTTGACACTTTAGTAATTACAGTTAAGATCGCAAAAGTGTCAGAAGAAGCGTGCGAAATTGATCATGTGCGTCAATGGGATTTCTTTCATATTTTTCGGTATCCAGTCGAATTGGTCATCGAGTACAAAAATGGATTTGCTGCAATCGCAATTAATAACGGAGAGAAAGGTAGAATTATGTTTTCTTCCGTTTCTAACTCTTTTCAGCGCTGATCTGCTTTGAGAATCTCGGTCAGAAAAAGTGTGAAATCTTTGATGGAGCGCGGTCAAAATCAACCCACTTGACAGTTTTCAAGCATTTTTATGGCAGTCTTGGCCATTACGAAGGCCAGCCGACAACAGTCGGAGGCGTAGAATACGGCAAAAAAGAGAGTTTTTTTTCTTTCCATTATTGGCATAATTCAATTCAAGTGTCAATATACGTTCACACACACTCATTGGACTGGAGTCTGGAGCGATGCTGATGCTTGGTGGATACAACATTGAGGGATTTCTGTCAAACGATTACGAGGGATCTACCAAAGACATTTGGCTGCTTAAAGATAAAATTTGGACGCAAATTGGCGTTCTGAACGAGGTGAGAAAATATCCTTATGGAAAATGATTTTCATCTTCGACAAAGTATTGTGAAGATGGCTCAGCATTGAAGATTGATGATTACATCTACCTTGTCTCTGGCGGAATAAAAGATTCGAATGGCCTCTACCCAGTTGAACGAATCAAAATTGTCAACGACGAAGTCATCCACACAAAGGTCATCGGGGGACACGAGTTTCGCAGCGAAGCTCCAGTTATTTTCGAAGCATCTGCTAATTTTTGCGTGTAAAACAAGCTTTTTATCCATCCCATATTTTCTGTTTTTCATGATCTGACTAAATTAATTTTTGAAATCAAAGAATAATGCCCGCGTCTGTTTTCTCAGTTAACTGCCATTTTATTTCTAGAAATTCTTTTTAAGTCCATTTTAATAAACAAGCACGAACTGTTATAAAAGGTCAGGTAATGCTACCTAGGTTATATCAATAATTAGCAAACATAGAAATCTACAGTATTCTATTTTCACACGATTGATGCTGCTGATTTGATCATTTTGTTAAATAAATAATCAGATTATAACGATAGCCCGTCAAATTTGCTAACTCATTCGGTGGGCTCCGCTGCTTTCGGCCATTTTCATAATTGAACAATTTTCAGCCAAAGAGGAACAAAAAAGAAAAAAAGAAAGAAATCGGCTTTCAAAGAGGATGAGTTCAAATTCAGAGAGGAAAGAAAACTACAAAACCTTCGGTAAGTAAAATAGATCTCAGGCCTCTATTAGCTTCGCTTTTCGTAGCGAAACGAGGCGACTCAAAAATATCTTCTGTAGCTGATTTTTGACTCGCCTAGCTTCGCGTAAAACTTGACTTTCGGCAGCTTCCCCCGGGTTAACAAAGTGACACCCTTATTTTATTTGCATGAAAAAGATTAACAAAAATGCTTTATAAAATTTCGCTTCAAAAAATATTCTTTTTTCGAGCCGTAGCGAAGCGAGGCAACTAAATATAATTTCTGTACCTGATTTTTGACTCGCCTCGCTTCGCTGCGGCTCGAAAGTAGAATATTTTCTGAAGCGAAAGCTAATAAAACATTTTTCTTAACCTCTTTTGTGCAAATAATATATGGGTGTCACTTGGTAAAACTGACAAAAGTGCTGTTGAAAGTCAAGTTTAACGCTCGATAAAACCTTAATCAACTCGATGACTCTTTTTCAGTATAATGATTAATTTATGTTCAAACCGAGTTGTCTCCCCCTCGCTTTTTCTAATAGCCCGTCAGAGCGGACAAAAATCAATATCAAAGTAAACAGACAGTTCTTTTATTAAAAGTCATCGCTATTTGGCTTCTTGCATTTTGAAAAGTCGCGCGAGACAATCGAGAGCGAATCGACCAGCGTGGCAGGCCCGCTGGCTCAGTACTCGTCATCTTTCTTCCCACCAAAGCGCTTTTTGAGATTTTTTAATAGAGAGCTTCATAAAATCATAAAAAGAGAATTCTGAAAAAAACAACAGAATATGACCGACGAAGGTAATTATCTTATTCAAAAAAATTCTGTTAATTATTTAAATGATTGGAAGTTTTTTCCACTCATTCGACTAAAAATCTTTTCATTTGATGAAAAAATTTATTTTTGATTGAAAAATGAATCTTATTTCAAGAAGGCGGCTCGAATCGAGAAAAAAGAGCGCAAAATTTGACCAAAATTTTGGTCAAATTTAAGACCAATCAGATTGACGCATTAATTTTGAGCCAATAAGATTAAAGAAAATATTGATAAAATATCAATTTTTTCTTAAATCTGATTGGTCTACCGGTCGAATGCGACAATCTGACTGGTCTAAAGATAACTCAAAATTTGGTCATTATCTCCGCATTTTTTGTAGATTCATGGCGCGGCCCTCGTTTTTTAAATGAATAGTTATTTTTTTCGAGTCACAATTCGCAAATAAAACTGCGCGAAATGAGTCAATGATCTTTTGTTTGACAGGCTCCGTAGACGAATCCGCGAAAGCGAAAAGACCCAACTCCGCTAATTATTTGTTTCTTTTCAGAAATGGGAAACGCGCAAGATGCAAATGAGAATATGACGCTGACAACAGAACAGGAAAAGCCGCAGACTTGTCTACAGAGAGCATTGAGCTGTTCCTGCACGATTTTGTGCGTCGTATTTGGTAAGTTCTCTTTTACTAATTTTTATAAAAGAAATTTTTTGGAAATGGTTTTTAAGAAACCAAGGCCTGAGTTCAGAAACCTGTGCTAGGAACCTGAGTCAGGGTTTCGAAAGAGCTTTCGATACTCTGACTCAGGTTTACCGCTCAGGTGCTCTTTTCATCTTTAAAGAAGGGTTAAGCCAATGAAATTGCTCGAATTTCTGCCAAAGCCAATAAGAAAGGCCCATTTTTTGCTTTTATTTGCTGTACAAAAAGGGCGCACTTTTCATTTGAAAAGTCAGCCCAAAGAAAGTCACGTTTAATTATCATCATTTCAGGAATCTCCCTTGGAGTCGGATTCGGCCTGCCCTTCGGCTACCTCGCTGCCTTCCTCTTCGCGATCATCGCTGGCCCTCTCTACTGCTGCGGCTACCGATTCGACCCGGCGACAACTTCCGTCTACAAAAAAGGCCAAACTCCTCCTCAAGCTCCTGCTCAAAACGTCTAGACTAAAACTATCTTCTTCCAGCACTCTCTCCAGACAAAACTGACTGTACATGTTTTGACATACGATTCTTCTCCTAGCAATTTTCGATGAAGGCAAAAAAAAAGAAAACTGAAGCTGCAATGATTTTTGACAAATTTAAAATTCATCTTTTAATTTTTGTAAATAAACAATTAAAAAATGACAATTGAAGAGATTTTTATTGGAGGATAATTTGGGTCAAGCTTTTTGAGGTTCTTTTGGTGCCAAATCCGGTCGGTCTTTTCGCAAAAGCAGATTATATACATCATCATCGGTATTTTTAACTTCGGCATTTTGGGAGTTGAAAGAGAGAAACGGATCCGTGGTTGAAGAGGACTTTTTGGCAGAGGGAGTTTTTTGAACTTCGCGGAGTGAAACTAGAAATGTTGAGGAGAAATGACTGTAGTCGATTGCAAACCTTGAGCTCGTTGAACAGTAGTGCCTCGAAGACGGTTGACGAGAAAGACAAAAGCGCCTGGAAGATCGGAGTTTTTCATTTCTTCGGAGGACCCATCTGGATATCGAATATTTGCTTGACGGACCTACAAAATTGAGATTTACCCTTTAATCTTTCATCCTGGAACTTACGTTTCCAGCTCCAATGGATCGATCACCGACGAAAATTCTCAGCGATCCTCCTGGCTTTTGCTTCTGACTCGCGTCATATGTATTTATCAGATGTCCGACCCTTAATTTTCATCAAAAAGGGAGGAGTTTATAAGTAGTTACAGAGGATGACGATCTTGGACGAACAGTTCCGTATCGATTCTCGGGTCTCCATCGACAATTTCATCGAATCGAAGGATCAAATGGCTCCCTAGCCCTTTGGAATCGTTCGTCGAGATGTCTGTGTAGCTTGCGGTTCCGTCTAGTTTTCCGGAATCGAAGATGAAGTTGAGAATGAAACCATCTCGGAGGCAGAGGATAAGCGATCGAATTCCGCCATCGCGATCCGAATCGTCCTGGACGGAAGCAAACACGCCTCCGGTTAGGAATAACTCGTCCTTTGTCAGCATGCTTTGATGGACTTGATTTTTAAATCAGACCTTTTTTTATTTCAAAAGACCACAACTTACTTTCTCGTTCCCCACGAAGGCCCTTTTCATCACCAGTTTTCCACATTTGCCTGACTTTCGAAAACTAAATCATTAAAATAAAAGTTCAATTAGCACCTTGAGCAACTCACATTTTGCGGTTTAGACTTGGCCCTCATCGTGTTGATTCGTTGGCTTTCATGCAGCTCTAGATGATCTGGGTTGTCTTGCACAGTCTCTTCTTTTCTGGCAACCACTTCCGGGCGGATCATGCTTTCGTGCAGGCTCACTCGGTTTTCTTTCGAAATATCGTCCACGGATTTTTTCGCGAATCGTCGGCGAATTCCGCTGAAAGAGAGATTGACACCCTAAAATCTAACCGCAAATACCTAAAGCCCTTGGACCTTCGTGGAGCGGGTTGGTTCTCTTCCGTTCCGTTAGGGTCACCAGAATTTCTTGAAAAAAGAGTATCCACTGAGTGATCCCTAAATTTTCTCCTCGACTCTTGAAACTCCTTTGAGCGTCCTCTTGGCTGCGCCGGAGGAGACATAAAGGAAAGATTCTTCGAAGCAGATTGAGGTCGAGGTTCCGAAAGTTTTTTCGTCGAAAGATCGGTGAAATCGCTTCCTTGGCCTTTGAAATTGTTCATGTATCCGTAGTACCAGGCGCGGCCGGGACCGGTTTTAGAGATTTTGCGCACCGCTAAGAAAAATTTCAAACAGTAAAATTTATGAAAATGGTACATGAATCGGTGCTGACGATGGAACAGGTGTCATCGTCAGGAGTTTGTCTGCCAGACATCATCATTGACTGAACTCCGACTGGTCGAGGACCGGGGGTTGTAGAAGCTGTGCTACCCGCTTATCATGGTTTTTCAAATGCCTTTTCCTTCAAAAAAAAGGAAAGAAAAACCCGTTTCCTGATTTTCTTTGCCTTGTTGGTGACATCACATGACTCGGGCTCGATGTTCTCGGCGGGAGCTCCTTATCACTAACCGCCATTTCTTGAACTTTTCTAACAGGACTTTGAGCTCTTGATCGAAGCGTCTTTACATTGATTTTCGGCTTTTCCCCTGGAGTTGGTGGAGCAATTTTTCGCGGAGTGATTGAGCCAATTTTCTGAAATTAAAATTTCATTACTGTACTTTTCTGTTTTGGGAATTTTTACCACGATATTTGTTGCGGCCGGTTTTCGCTGGACTTCGTTGACTGTTGGTTTGATTTGGTTCTGGTCGTCTGCAAAACCGGAATCTGTTGTTATGGTCGAGCTGGGAATTCTAGCGTGGCTTTCGATAGATCTTTCGCTCTCAGATCTTTCTGGTGGGGAAGGTTCTTTTTGACTGTTGATTTTGATCGTTGTTTGGGAAGTTTCGGGCATTTTCTCTTGAAAGTGCGGCCAATTCGGATTTCTTCGTTTTTCCTCTTTTATTCTCTCTTCTTCGACTTTTGAAGAAGCTTTGATATTGTTGAAATACGGCTTGTAGGAAAGCTTGAAAAACAGAGAGTGAATGCAGAAGATGTGGAATATTGTTACTTGAGGACGTTTTTTAGGGCTGATTTGCCCTGTCGCCGGATTTGACACTTCTATCCGCGCTTCCGGGGGCGAGACAGCTGCTTGAGAAGTTCTCGTTGTCGTATTATTCAGAGGAGCCACGTGATTTTCTAAGGGAAACGAAGTTGAGTAAGTTTTTTGGTATGTTGTTTGCTTGTTTTTGAGTTCTTGAATTATTATTCTCTTAAAAAAATGATTAAAATCGAGTGCAATTGAGGTCAAAAGAGGTCAAATGATATCAGAATCAACAAATATGACCTTTGAAAGATATTCAGTGGCAAAAATTGGCATTCTTTGAGAAATTTTGTTAGAAAAAATATAATATTTACTCTGATTTTCATGAAACTCTAAGCTGGGGATGATGATGCCAGTAAGTCAGCAAGCTGCTACTGTAAATAATCGGTGATTTGGGTCGTTGTTTCTTTGACTCTCTTTTCTCTTCGCTCTTCAAATCCATATCCTCTTATCAATCCCTTTTTTGCATTTCTTATCAGTAGTAAGAGTATCCTGCTGAGGCTCTTTTTTGATAAGAATTTGTCACGTGACGTAGAAGAGCGAAGAAAACAACTCGTCTCGCTCATAAAGATGCGTGATTTAGCGATCGACATTTCATCCCCAGCTTTTCGAGTTCAAACTTACTTTTCTGAAAAGTTGATTTTCTGAAAGAAGGCGATGGTTTTGGGGACGGTTCTGAATCTTCCTGAGTCGTGACTTTGAAACGGGCTCAGTTCTGTTTTATACAGTCAGGTGATTAGGCAAAAGGCTACAGTTAGCACCTGAAGGTAATGATCAATGAATTTAGGGGGGTGAGTAAGCGCTAGAATTAGCTAGGTAGTGAGCCCAAGACTGAGTCAGACGCCGAACTCACTGACTTTTTATGATGAGAAATCTCCTGAAAGTCCTCTGCTGGAGCAAAGTTTTCTTCACAAATGCTCGCTGGAGAATAGACGGACTCCCGAACAGAGGAGGAGTCGAAAATTTCTTCCTTGATTTCATCCGGCGTCAGGGTGCGATTCGAGTCCGGGCAGATTGTTGAAGAGTTGAAAGAATTCGAAGAATTGATAGAACTGATACTAGAGTAGACGGAAGAGGAGGATTTGTATGCTTGGCGGGCGGTTTTTGCTGGAGCTGTTTTTGGACGACCTACTTTTGTTTAAGAAATTTAGCCAAAGAAAAACCATAAAAATTGAACAAAGAAAAAGACCTGAGAGAGAAATGTTAAATGACGATGACATTTTCCTGTTTCAATTCTCTCTTCTTCAATAAAAACACTAGAATTTGAAGCTTTTTTCTAGTAAAGAAGTGCTCATTTCCGTCGTTGGTTGTGTTAATAGGGCCGCGTCACCCAGGTCAGTGCTCTGGCTGCTTTACTTTTTTGGTGATAACGATTTTATTTCACACGCGCTTGCGGCCCTTTTTTAGCATCTTTTTAGTTAGACAAGACTTTGGTCGTCCAATGTTTATTCTGTTTGGAGAGGGTTTAAAAGGGTTGAGTAAGAAGAGTTGTCCAAAGCTGGCACGATTTGATTTGATTGATTTAGACGAGGCGGATTAGAAGCTCCGACAATGACGTCACCGCAGAATCGGCAGGTGGCAACGGGAAGACACCTGCCACTGACCGCACTTGTCTCCCAAAACCGACCTTCAATACCGCAATTGCGCCACTTTGAGAGGTGCCAAATTTTGGCAATTCTAGAGCTCTAGAATCCATAGAAGCAAATGGGTTCAACTTTCAACGAAAAAAACTCCGTCTCTTTTATTTATTGAGAAACGTTTTTTCTCTGTAAAATCTAGCTGGCTCTAGAAAAAGGCAGTAAATTAACCTTTTCCGTTGATTTTCAACTCTACGTGACTGTGATGTTCCTGTTTTAGAGTCTAAATGTCAGCTGCCTCTAAACTGCTATTTTGCATATTAATGTGATTCTGACAGTAAGAGAACAAGGTCAGTAATGAAGATTGCTGGCTGAATATCGCCGCTAATGAGCGCGACCGATCGGCGGTCATATAGAAGGTGATTTTGATTATCCGCCGCTACCCCAGTCGGAAATTATGTCACCAGCTCTAAACGACAATCAACGCCAAATGGCAACACTCTTTTTTAACAAAAAATCTAAGACCGGCTCGCTGAGAGTTTCCAGTTCAGCGGATTTGTTGGAAATCAAAAGCCGCGGGCGGCTTTTTTTTCCAGTTTAGCAGCTTGATTTTTTCATTGAAGGTTCAATGAAGTGTAAATGAAACTGAGTCACTAAGTAAGATTAACATCATCTTCAGGGGCGAGATTAGCAGTGGATCAGAATGGTAGTAAGAAATGAGTGTTGTGAGGAAAAACGAAAAAGCGAAAAGATTCAAGAGGATTACTCTCGCTTCATTGGTCATTTTCGGACTTTTAGGATCTTCAATCGGTACAGTTTCCTTTTTCTTTGATTTTTCATTTTCTAGCCTTCTACCAATGCGTCCGAGAATACCTCTCCTTCGAGATCCATACCGAGCAAAAGTTCGTTGAAGTCCGCGAGGTAAGCATTCTTGCTTCATTTAACAAAATTTATATCGGTTCGTAGCAACCATTTCCAACAGTGACGCTCTGCTTGAACTCGATGCATTCGAAGGAGAAAATCAGGGAATATTATCCCGAGTTGGAATATATTCTTGACTTATTGTACTTCAATCAGCAGATGAATGAAGAAACCCTCCAGGAGATCAAATCTGGTCACTTGGCAGGTTCAAAAACCGGTCTTTTAGACTGTTTTATTCATTAATGCCTTTAGGGAACAGTGACTGGAGAAATTATGATGAGGTCATTATCGTCGAAGAGTTACTCCGTTCAACAACGATGTGGGAATTTGTTAACAAAACAAGTTCTCATTTCATGGTTTCGGCCTGCCGTGCTGGCTCAGTTGACTGTTCTGAGCGGACTGGTGTATGGAAAGATGATTTTTTTGAACAAGGAAGATGCAAGACCTTTTCTGGTTCTTCTGCTAGATATCTTGATCTCAGTTAAATATAACTGAATTACATCGTCGATGAATAATTTTTTAGTCATGATTTACAACAGAACAGATTGGACAGTCGGCTGGTCAAGTTTCTACGATGGAATAACGCTTTACTACTCAGAAAATACCTACAAAAATGATGCCATATCAAAGCCGATGATATTTAATCGAATGATCACAAATCCGACAAATGCAGCTGTTGTTGGGCTCTCGAAGACAAAGAATGCTAAGCTTGGAAAACCATACTCACAGTGTGTCAAAAATGGAACGCTTAAGTACAGCAGTGCTGAATACACTATGGATAGCTGTCTCCATGAGTGCAAGGGTAATAAAAATTATCTGGTTCATAACTAAGAGCTGAGCCTCTTAGTGGATATAATCGTGGAAACTTGCGGCTGTCGGGCTCCATTTTTTCGAAAGCATGAAGACTTTTATTCATACCCTGATTGCACTGTCTTTGATCATATTTTCTGCGTCAAAGAAATTATGCAGGTAAAACAAATACAAGAATTTTAACTTACTTATGTTAGAAATTTAACTCGTTTCTGCGATTTGACTGCGATTGCACGACAACTTGCGAAGACTCTACCCTTTCAATATCATCAGTCAAGGTTGAGACTTTGAACTTGAAATTTACAAGTCGAAAGAGTGACAGAATTCTTTTATTATAACTCATAATTGATAATCGACAATGGTTTTTTGCTCCTCTGATGCACTTTACACCTGTTCTGTACCTGTTTTCTCTTGCAACAACCAATCACAGTCCAATATGGGTCTCCAACCGTTGCCATAACTCTTCCAAAAGACATCTCCGTTACTACTTTTGACATCATTATGAGTTCAAATATCGAAACAATTCGCGAAAAACCTTTATATCCATTTGAACGATTTATGTTAGATATTGGAGAAATTATCTTCATTCTCTTTGGCTTCTTGGCGATGATTTTTCTTTTTGGAAAAAAACAGGCAAAATCATCAACTTAAACGAGAAGATGGTGAGTTGGAATCGACGGGGGAATCTTCTGAATGATATTCGACGAATGCAATGAACAACGAAAAACTGAACAATTGTGAACTTTCACGATTTTTGTAAATAAAAGCTTTACTTTTATTGGTATTCTGTCATCTTTGTTGAAGTCTTTGATTTAACAACTTACGGGTTGAAAAAGACGGAAACCGCAAAATGAAAATTTGCTTGCAACAGAAGCTCCCTAAGACGGCTTCACCTGCTGCTTCTAGAATTGGACTAATTCAGAACTGACTTGGTCGAATAAACAGATTTGGGCGTTGCTTGAACGCGGATTTTAGTCATTCTTGGGGGTATATTTCTGATTTTATGACTTTTATCGTTTCCTTTTACGACAATGCTAGATAGCTTGATGCGACTAGCAATAATTTTTCAAGTAAAATGAGCACGAGCGATTCAAATTCATCAGAGAGCACCCTAGGAGACTATCGAAATGAGCTATTGGAACATCCCCTTCAGCAGCATTTACCTGGAGAAGGTATCGAAAAACTTCATTTTGAATACTTTTTCAATCACAAGATGCAGCGGCTAATAAAAGATTTTTAAGACGAATCACCAGTATCTCAAAGTTCACCTCGCGAAAATCGAAGTGATGTCGCCTCCTTACTCCTTCACTCTGTCTCAGTCATACATCAACTTGCCGACGATGTTGCTGCCATTAGGGCTGAAATGAAAAAAATGAAAGAAGAAAAGAAATATACCCTGACCGAAATGGAGAAAAGTCTACTTGCTGAGAAATATATGCTCCAGAAAATCGACACATTTGATACAAGGGAAGCAAGCTTAAGAGAAGATGTCATACTCTTCTTAAAAGCACTATCTGCCGGGAAAAAAATTGTTAATGTAAAAATTAACTATTTCAAAAGTGATTTCGACTCAAGATGGGGCATCCCACCAACCAGACATTTCGATAAAAAGAGGTCGGTCTTTCCATTACAGATCGTTGTTAATGAGTGGGGTGTACTTTTTGAAATGGAAAATGACTGGGATAGTGATTGGAGTCATTCTGGTAGGTTTAGATGCTCAATGACATTGACTATTCCAGACGAACGGGAATTGACAGTTTTTGCAATGCATAATTCTCCTGAAAATGATTCTTCTGAAATGATTATTGAAGAATATCTCGTATATCGTAAACCATATAAACTCAAGTTTGAGCTTTTCTGTTACGGTGGGGTTACACTTATTCCAAAAATTGTTGGTGTCGTTTCCATTCCTTCTGTAACTTGGACAGTAATAAATGATCTTGACTGAGTGACAGCTACACCATTGTTTCGTAATGCAAAGGTTAGAACTGCTTTCAAGCTAGCTAGAAACAAACACGATTAGTTTCTGTGCGAGTCTTCTAAATCTGATCTCGAAAATGAAATTGTCTCAAAGGTGTCGGACAAGGCGACATTTGACGCATTTAGAAGGAGCTGACCCAAATGGAATTTATAAATGCGGTCTCATCTGAAGCTAAAATCCTTTCTTGGATAGGCATTCTTATATCCAAATCCAAAGAACGCAGTTTGAAGCATTTGACGTCAGATATTTTTTTTTATTTTTTAAAATTTTTCATTGATTCTTGAATTATTCTTTGATCTATAAAAGAATATCCAAAAATTATTTTGCATATTTTTCGTTCAGTTTTGACCCGATCAAAACAATGGTCCCATATCAATTCAAATTCAGATTTCATGCAGGGACCTTTGATTCAAAACCGCAAACAAGAATCTCTATCAATGAGGATTTGCATGACTCAGAGCTTTAGAAAATGGTCAAAGTCGAACAACTCGAACTTGCGCTCTGAAACCTGATCTCGGAATACAGGATTCCGACTCTTGTGTAGAAAACCTGAGTCAGGATCCTGAGAAAGCTTCGATAAGCGGCTTTGGAAGAAATTTGAATTAGCAATTTTAGGATCTTTACTGAATTTTCGGCTCGGCAACCTGCGAAAAAAACCTGACTCAGGGTCTGATTGAACCTGTTTTTGATGATCATCATTTTTTGTTCAAACTTTGATTAAACAATAATACATATTTTGCATAGAAATTTGTCGAGAAGAAAAATGGTCGATTGCGATTTTTAATGAGCTTTGATTTAATTGTCGATCCACGCTGGCGCTATTTTCATAAGATCTCATGATCGCGCGTTCCACGTGCACTCGCGCGCCACCTCTTCCGCTCAACCTGGCGAATCCAAATGAACATGTTACGCTCCTAACCGGTATTTCCTAGAAACAATCCGACTTTTTGAAACGCTCAAAAATAGCTGTCAAAAGAAAGAGAAATCGAAAATAAAAAAAACACGAGTCGTTGTTGATTTCAGTCGCTCAAAATCGAATTGCAGAGCAGAATGTGCATTACAGAAGTTTTTCGACCGTTTGAGATTGAAGATGAAAAAAGAACAAGCGAAAGTGAAGATTCTGGGGTCAATTCTTCTTCAGGTAAAAATTCTGAAAAAAAAATTTTTTTTTTGAAAATCGGAAAAATGACGATTTCTTGTCGAAAATTTTTAATGTTGGTATTTTTTTTAGAAAATATAATTTTTCGTTGTTCTTTTATAAAAATGAAATTTTGCCAAATTTCTGAAAAGAAAGAAGAAAATCAAATTCGGTCATATTAATCGGCTTGTGTGGCTCAACTGTGGAGATCTAAACTGTGGTCATTCAACGTCGTTTACGCGGTTTTACAGATTCCGCGCTTGAATAATTTTCCTATTCAAAGTTGCCAGCGTTTAATTTGACCGTGACCTTTTTTTTAATTTATCCCCGTTATAATCAAAAATGAGAAAAATACAATTTATAAAAAAAAACAATTATTTTTAATTTCTCCATCATTTCAATTCAGAAGACAAGTCGATCCCTTCACCGACCTTTTTCATCCCCAGCTCTTCTTCAAGCAACACAGACGAAGAAATCGAAGAAGAAATCGTCAGTTCCGCGCCGATCCGAAATTCTAGCGTCTGGCGGCCGCCCGTCGAGGAGTTCAACTCTTCTCCATCCATTCTTGGTTCCAAACAACCCATTTTTCGGAGACGGGAAAATTTACATTTGAATTCAGAAAATAGTGAAAACGAAGCAAAACTCCGCGTGGCCTACAATTCCCACTTCCACAATAATCATCGCGCTTCTTCCTTATTTTCCGATATTCTTTCCCAGCGGCTTTTTCACCAGGTATTGTCAAAAGAAAAAAGTTTTAATCAAGCAAATTTTTAGAATCAGATCATTCATCAGAACTTCCTGGCCAGAGCAAATATGGGCTACTCTTCGCACCCTCATTTTTCCATGATTTCTTCAGCGGCATCAAGCAGAAGTATCAAAAAAGAAAAGGTACATTTATAAAAATAAGGACCTCCCCCCTCCCACAGCCAAAAAAACGAAGCCTGCGGGGGTGGGGGGGGGTTGATTTCTTTAGGCCCCAAGGCTTGGGCATCAGTGTCCTTTATTTGATGAGAGAAGTTGATATTGACTGATTTCTTATCATAAATTGTGGCGAAAAAAGGTTTTAAAAAGATTCACGTAATAAAAATGGGATCTGTCCAGAAATGTGTTTAGAACTTTCCAAAGAGACCCTAATGAAGTAATTCGGTTTTGGGCAAAAGGTCGCCGCGTGCAACGGGCGCCGCGAAAATGTCACGCTGCCCCACCGCCGCCGCCCTAGCCAAAAAAAAAGTGATACTTAACAACTTCATTCTCTCGCATTAAATAATGCATATGAAGATTTTTTATCATGGCAAAGGTCCAAGAAATCAAAAAAAAATAAATTTTCGATGGTTTAATTAGTGACACTAAAGAACCATTATCTTGAAAAAAAACACTTACTTGACCCCAGATGACCCCAAGTGACCCCAAGTTGACCTCTACTGATCTTATATATATTTACAGTTAAAACTTAACCGTTACTGTATTTTGATCACTGTAGAATGTATTTTGACCGGATTTCTGGCTTTGACCCCAACTTTGCAACACCTCCACCACTTTCAAGACCCCCGGGACATATTTTTCTGCATTCCAAAATGATTGTCAGACCCTTCGCTACAATCTGGTATACACAATCTCGTCTTAGAACCCTTGTACGCCCTCAAAAAATAAATCGCAACGGTACTACCGGAATTTCTTAGATTTTTGGACTTCTGGGGTCCCTAAATGCCCTTGGGGAACCAAATGACCCCACACTATTTATAGTTAAAATGATCCCCAGGTTCTGGAGATTTAAAAACTGTATTATGTTCCCCCTCTAATTGTTTGTTACATTATTTTCAGGTTTACGACTGCCACATTTGCCACAAGCAATTCAAGCGCTCCTCCACCCTGTCAACACATTTGCTGATCCACAGCGACACTCGACCTTATCCGTGTCCGTTTTGCGGCAAACGCTTCCACCAAAAATCCGACATGAAGAAACACACTTATGTTCACACAGGTTACCATCTACATTTCTAAAAATCAAATATTCCCGGCCCTGTTTTATCGACTAAAAGGATTATGACAAAATGATGATTCTAATCCAATGAAGATTAGGCTCCATCCAGCCGAGCTTTGAGCACCTAGAAATATAAACACTCTTTCAGGGGAAAAACCGCATTCTTGCAGAATCTGTGGAAAGAACTTCAGCCAGTCGAGCAATTTAATAACGCATATGAGGAAACATCAAGGTAAAGACACGATAGAAAAACGCTCGCAGTTAATAAAAATTTTTTAGTCAGAAATTTAGGGGTAGGGTAAAAAAATAAAGTCAAAAAATAATGAGCCCTAACCCTAACCCTAAAAAGAGGGGACTTGTCAGGAATCGACAAAATATCGACAGATTTTGCGTGGAAATTTTCAACCAATCAGAAGCCTGGATTCGGCTAGCCGGCCAATCAGCGGCCAATTGGCCGCCTACGCAAAATCTGTCGAATTTTTTTGTCGGTTACTGACGCCAACCCTTAAAAGTCACCAGAAAGTGAACAATCATTGAAAAAAAAACAGATTTTGAATAAATTTTTGAGAAAATATTTTCAGGTGTGAAGCCATTTGCATGCGGATCATGTGGCGAAACTTTTCAGCGAAAAATCGACCTGCGAAAACACGAAGATGCCGTTCACATGAAAGAATCCTAAATCCATCCCCTCGCCGGCCTTAAAAATGCTCAATGCTTTATGTTCCTGTTTTTGAAATCAAGGAAGAAAAAAATCGAACATAAAAGTTGAAAAACAAACAATTCGCTTCATTCACTGCTTCTTTTTTCTGTAAATTTCAATAAAAAAAAGTATTTTATTCGTTTTTGGAAAGAAGTGGAGTAACGACGCCAGAAGTACTTCCAGGATGACCAGCGCTAGAAGAGCTCGGGAGACGATGGACCGTGGAAGTTCTAGATCTTCGTGGAGGAATGACCCCTTCGTGTTCAAGCTCTATTCTTCGCAGTTCTCGCTTGATTTCTGCTTTTCGCTGGATGATTTTTTTCTCGTAGCCGTCGAATTTCATCCACCAGATCATGACAGCCCCGACTAAGCGGAAAGTTGAAATTTTAACTTTTAAAGGAAAATGGTTAAATTCCAAATGCGCTGAAAACTTACCAACAAGAATGAACCACAAACCAACTCCGGCAGCAAAGAAGACTTGCCAGTCCTAATCAAAGCTTTAAAATTTTACTGATAAGAAAATTGAAAATTTAGATTTTTCGCGAAGGCTGCTTGCTTTTTCTCTTTTTCTAAGCTCCGTTCCTGGTAGTAAGAACTGAAAGTATGGCTTTTCTCAAAGTATCTCATTTTCCTTCAATTTCGTCAAATGTTTGAAGGTCAGCCTCAATGGTATAAATAAATCTGAGGGCAATGGGCGGCTTTTGTCCGTGACGAAATCGTAAAATTGGTCAAGATGTATTTTTTATTGATCAGAACCGCCTAAAAATGGAAGACAAGGAAATGCTGAAAGATAATTTGCCCGGCAGCAATTATTTACTCTAATGCAGAAAAACTCTGAAAATAATTAAGAAAGATAACTTAAATGTTTTAAGTTAAAACTGTCTTTTTTTTTAAAGATAAGTAATGTTTTCTTTTATTTAGAGTAAATCATATGAGTAAAAGCTCATGTATATATCTGACTGGCGAAGCTTCAGGTCATGAAAATAGCTCCAAACATTGAAATGCGTGAACTCGCTCCAGAAAGAAAATCCATCATGGATTACCCAAAATGTCGAAAAAGAGAACTTTGACCTTCTCCTTTTCTCTCAATTATTATACTTGGCTTTACTTGTCAACCAAGAAAACACTTCTGACTTTCAGAGAATGGTTGTTGACGAGGAAACTAATATAAATTTTGGGCAAATAAGCCGTATAAAAATACAGGTATTTGAGTAATACGAAAATTAAGTATTAGCAATAAAAAAGTGTATGGATTGCAAATGCGTTGGAACCTTGCGAAAAACTGGTGACAAAGTCATTCTTTTGACCGAAGAAGTTCTCTCTTCCCGCAGTATCCACACGCAAAAGGCAGATCTAAAGAACAAACATTTCAAAAAGAAGATAAATGGAAAAATTAGCCTTGCTCAGCATGGATTCGCAACGAATAAGCAAATGACAAGTTACTTGACGCTTGGTTCTCTTTTTTGGATAACGATCATGATAATAGGTACCGCTTTTACAATAGCTTGCTAAAGTTAATGACTTCCGCAGCGAATTTAATTTCCTTGGAGAAATCCCGAGGAGAAACTACTTTCCTTACATCGACTTGTCATCGAAACTACAAACAATGCGTTCAAGTAGAATCCATGGACATATGCGGCCATCTGATGAAGCAATGCCATTTCACTCAAGAGTTCATCCTTCCAAAGCCGGTGGCGGTGCTGAAACCGACAGAAAAAGACGATTTGCAATTCTCCAAAGAAGAAAACATGGTGAACCTGCGCCGCTGCAAAAAGAAAAAGTTTTACGACCAAAAAGTGTGCCGCCATCTCTGCGCAAATACGCTGATTTTGAAATCAACGAGGACCCATCCCATCACGCCTTGTGAATCCATTTGTTTTGAGCTGACCCGATCTTCAGAGTCTGCTTGAGACGTTTGTCCAACGGAAAAATATTGTAGACTGGGATGCCCTTGTCCTTTTTATCAGTGCGAAAAAACTTCGAACGACCAGAAATTCGTCCCTTTCTTTGATTTGAAAATTGATGATTATAGTCGTAAAAAATTCAAAGGAAGAAAAAGTAGAATCAAAAAGAATGCTCTTGTCTTATTTGACCAATCACGTGTTAAAAAGAGACAAATAATGCTGAAGCCAGAAACTCCTTTCACACACTATGAATGTTTATCATACAAAAAATTTCTAACTTTAGGGGGTCCCTTTGTATTTATAAACGAAAAAAAGGCGATCGGGGCTACTTTTCTTAATGGACAACATTATTTGGTCGATCAAGGAGGGAATCTGATGCGAGTTGGAGAAAACGGAACCGCCTCTCTTTTCATTGAAAATCGTTATTTTGACAGGTTATTTTTCAAACGAATTAAAAAGTGGTTAAATATTCAAGAACGGGTATTTTTGCTTTTCATTTCGGCTCGTCTATTGGAACTCATACAATAACGATAAGAAATGAGGAGAAAAACACGACGGATTTTCCGGTCATTGTGATCTGAAAACGGTCGAAAGAATGAAATATGGTCCATAATTGACTCCATTATTATATAAAATGATGAATAAAAATTTTGACCGCGTAAAGCTCCCCCAAAAGCAGGCCAGATAAGTGCTTCTATTACGCACCAGATTATAATTTAAATAGATTCGAAACTGCTCAAGGTTTGTTTAAAAAACCGAATTGACTTACCCGCATTTTATTTTTAAGGGTATATCGCTAGCAACCACTTGAATGGCAAAGTTTCTTCCATCAGCTTCGGTGGAAATTTTTTCTTGATGAGCATGACACTTGGTCATAATTTGATTACGCTCTCAAAGACAGTCGCCTTGAACCAAATAAGACAAAGTGAGGAGTTACAAAAAGGATGGCGGAAAGACAAAATCGCTCTGCCAGCAATGTTCAGGGACTTTGACCCGGTTCATGTGATTCCTTTGGAATGGGTTCGCTTTTATTTTTTGATACTTCGACTTCTAGAATTTCGAACCTGAGCTAGATCGACCTAGGTCAACTTATGCTTGTTCTTGTTACAAGAAGTATAACACTCTCAAACATGCAATACTCACTTATGCTAGAAAAAGAAGGGAAGTTCCTTGCTCTTGCAAGTGAGTGGATCGGTTCGCTGGTCAAGTACGACCAACCTTCGCGCTGCTTCTCTGGCTTATATGCACCGAATGATTTCGCCTACTCGAATAGTTTTGGAACCAACAACGACGAGTGCGAGTACTTCATCAATGCATTTTTGAACAATGATCGGATTTACCTTCAAAATGTTGTTTTTGACGCCTCCTTTGAAATTTATTTCGATTTCGGAAGGGATCATTGCTATGTATTATAGTAGAAAATATGTGAATCTACAATTACAACCTTTGATACCCAGAAAAGATCGAATCGAGCTTAATTTCCGGCAGCTAAAAGCCAATAATAAAATGCACGTGACAAGCAACCCATTTTTCGCTTTTCATGACGATGTCTTTCCTTACTTCGCGAAAAACGCCATTGGTGAAATTTCTGAATTTCCGCAATCAGCCAGTAGTCTTTCTCCCCCGTATCCTTTGGTTATTATTCCGAATTCACCGTTTCGATCGTTTCAAGAGTCATTACACCACATTTCTACGTTCGAACTCGACTTTGATAAAACGCGAAAACTCAATCTTGAAATAAAGGAAAGACTGTAAAAAAGTTTTTTTAACCCGTTGCCGATTGCGAAGTGTATAAAGCTACGCCAATAGTAAGGCTGGATTTCGAGCCTCGGGGCAGGTTGAAGCATCCGGTATGATAGGCGCTCGGCAACGGGTTAAGAATCATCGATACCATTTGAGAAATCATCTTATAAGTCCTGATAAGAAAAAATCTCTCAATCAATTGGACTCAACTAGAATTATCGAGTTTCGATCATTTTCGGAGAAATCAATCTTTGAATTGGAGATTTCCAAAAATTATCAAATCCGAGTAACATCTGATTTTTTCGAAGAAAGTATTGTCTCAAAAGATACTTTGGACGTCGATTGGACATTGATAACAGTCATCTTCCAGGTTCAAAAGGACTTATCTCTTCTCTTTATTGTGACAAGAAAAGGCAAGGAAATCGCACGGAGAGAATTAAATGATCTTCGAAAATTGGAGGACAAAAGAATAAGAGTTTTCAAATTCGACGACAAAACCGAAATCAAGAATATCTTTTTCTTCGAAAAACGACCAAGCCAGATTCTCGTCATTTTACATCACCAATTCGAGTCTCCTAAGTCCTACGCGCTGTTTGGGGATGGTTCTAGAAACAACAATGCAAAAATAATTTCCAAACGATCTACGAAAAACTCTGTATTTATCGAAAGATGCAGTGGTGAAGGGTCGATTGCATCTTTTCGGTGGATGGAGTGATCCATCATTGGTAAGTTAAAATTCAGTAAATCTCTCTTTTTTATTATCTCTTATTCTTTCAAGATACGGAGAATCGATGATTGCAAGCTGACTCGACTTCAAAATCGACTCGAGGGACTTTATAGATGGGGCAGTAGTGCATTGTCGATAACAGAGGGAACCGAAGGTAACGTCCTATATTTAGGGAGGTGTCTGGAAGCGACAAAAAAATTTTCAACCAATCAGAAACCTGAATTCAGCAAACCGCCAAATCAGCAGTCGAGTAGCCGCCCACGCAAAATTTGTCGAAATTTTTTTGTCGGTTCCAGACACCATCCGGGATGGTCCATCCCTTATATTTTCATCCATGATCTCATTTTTAGCTCTCATTTGCTTTGATTCGGCAGATCAAGACTTGTGCGAAGTGTTTGACGGAAAAAATGTTCGCTACCTCTCTTTCCAACCAATAATTGAGCACTATGATGGCGCGATGAATTTCTACAAAGGTCAGCCAACAGTGATTGGCGGTGGAAATTATCCATATACGAACATGGGAAATACTGAAACACTAACGAAAAATGGCTGGGAGCAACTTACGTCACATCCAAGGCAATTTTTTTAAAGATCTTTGGATCATTTTTATTTAGATGGATAATGGACCATTCTGCTATCGGATTGCCATCGGGATCGATTCTCACTATAGGAGGTCATGATGACGAAGATTTAGGATTTATAAGAGAAGTTTGGCGATTAGACGAGTTCGAAGACTGGACAAAAATAGGAGACTTGAAAGAGGTACAAAATTTTGTCTTAAAAAAATTTATTCTGTAAGGTTTTTTACGCTGGATCGACGATTTTGGTGGATAATGTCATTTATATGTTTCCAGGGGATACTGAAGCCGCATCTTTTGGTTTACAACGCATTGAACTAGGAAAAGTTGTTAAATAAAGAAATGATGATGGTTTTTTCGCTAAAAATGAAATTCTCAACTGATCAATAAGATGGTGATGATATGAAGGACGTGGAGCGTATTGGCTATCATAATAAAAAATACTACAAACCAAATCTCTTCGTGACGCATATAAATCACTGTCATCTGTGATTTTTTGAGAATAAAAATGGCTAAATCAGTCAAAAATACCTATTTTTATTTTTGCAAGAAATCGGAAGCAGTTGAAAAGAGTAGAGTGTCGTATTGATTTCATTTCAATTGTTTAAAAAAGCTGCAAGATATGAATTATTAACTTGATGTGTCAAAACGAAATTCTTTTTCCTGCCACGTATTTGGGTGTAGTTATCATTTTAAAAATAGAAGAAGCAAAACAGAAAAAGGGAGCGTCAGTTTAATTTTCAAATAGTTCTGCCAGGATTCCGCATTTCAATCTGCCGAATTCGCTTGAGCGCCAAAATATCGGCTATTGAGATTCTCTGGCTATTGAGATTCTTGCGGCCATTCAACGGGAAAGGCATCGACCCTCTCGTCTCTGACAGCTCGACGGAGCTCTGGATGTTCAATTTTCTCCGGATCTTGGTTTAGCGGATCGTCCTGCAAAAAATCTGCGAAGAGCTGTTTTCGGGATCGCTGCGAGTTTTCAGTTCAAATATTTAAATTTAAGGATATAGCTAGGGCCCGGCCGCAAAAATTAAAATCAGTGAGCGCACCGATGAAACATCTCTTTTTTGAAGTCCAGATAGACTAGTACCCGCTAAAGACTAATTTTGACTTTAAATTAGACTAGTTTGGCTCTAGAACACTTAAAGGAGGTAGTCCTTGCTTTTTGCGATCTCGACCCTTTTTGAACAGCGCTCTGTCAAATATCAGCTTGAGTAAGAGGATAAAACCTTTATAGATAGAAAGGTCAAACCTAGATGAAAGTTTGAATTTTCTTGGAATTTTCTTTCGATATTGAACTTCGAGAAAAGACATGTAAAATTGCTTTATAAGCAAAGATCTCGTGAAAGACTTTTCGACAGTAAAAGAGTCTCTCTTTTTCTCTTCACAGAGTTTTATTCGAATTTAAAGCTGTCTTTATATGCGTGTCTGAATTTTCATTTGAAAACATCAAAATTTTATTCTTTGAGATTGAATACTTTGCAAAAAATATTTCGGTCAATGAAACGAGGAGTCTAAATTCAGATCTCGCCAAAATTCAATTTTGAGCGAATAATTCTTAAATCTGCAGAATTTCAGGGATCACTGTGACTTGGACCGGGCTTTTAAAGGACCAAGTTCATCTCAAATGGCTTTTCTCGGCTCTTTTTTTACCTTTCATTGCTTCTATTTCTTTAAATTGCCCGTTTTTCCTGAAAGTCAACTTTAACTTGATTCTTTGAGAATTAGCCAAAACCGAATCTGTTTGTTTGTTATGCCCTCATTATTCTTTTATAGCCAAGTTTTAATTTTATAGATTTTAAATAGCTCGAATCAAAAACTCGAATCCCTTTTGGTTCAAACTGGAGATAAAGGGGACAACCATACACGGTGTAGGTCAATTTCGAAGAATTCAGAATTGAGTCTTGTATTTTTGCGAGCAATATTTTTTATGGAATGTGGCTTTAAAAATCTTGAAGAATGAAAATTCCCAGTATTCAAAAGAAAGTAAGGCAAGCATATAAAGACAATTATGAAACGTTTCATTTCTGTGATTAAAAAAGAAGAAACGAAATTTTGAATACTGGGAGTTTTCACTTTACAGGCAATAAGAAAACGTGCTACAATGAAAATACAAGAGCCCTGCGCCGCCAAGTCCGGTACAAACTAGGTCTCGTCTGATCAAATCATGTACAGAAAAACTAATCGGAACAACCGCATGAGTTCTCTTCCCGAGAATGCGCTTCCCGATGAAATGACTTCTATGGTGGTTTTGAAGGGGTTTCTGATGGAATTTTTCGGCCTTCTTTTAGAAGGATTTTGAGAAATTTCAAGAGAAACACCTTTAAACCAACCGGGAAAAAATGGTCAAAAATTTTTGTCGAGTTTTTCCAAAATTCTTGAAAACCCCCTCAGTTTTTGACGGAGGTTCTTTTGAGCTATTGAACGTCCAATGTGAGCCTCTGATAAAAATTTTTCGTATTCTAACACCACGAACCTTAGTGATTTCAGCAAAAATAAGAAATTCATTAATTCAAGAAAAGTCAATTTTCAAAACTTGATCAATTACGAGTATTTCGCAAAATTTCCAAAAAAAACGCTATTATTGCCACAGTTGGCTGTACTCAAAAATAAGTCTGCAAATAGAACTATTTTTCAAGAGCGCCACCACAAATGATCCCGGGATAAAAAACGAAATCACGAAGTGCTCTTTCTCAGATACATAAGATTATAATTTATAAAGAGAGCTTATATTTTCCGTTAATAAGATTATCCTTAAATAATAATCTTAATTAAGACAGTTTAAGGACGCCAAGAATCCGGGCATCATTTTCACAATTTATACTTGGGGATGATGTCGTATCCTGAGGGTATTTAGGGACCTCCATAGTCCGAAAACTGAGAAATTTCGGAAATTGGAATTTTCGAACAACAGGTGTCCACTTTTAGAGCCAGCGGCTTCCTTGAATTCTAGCCCGGGCTCTGACGATCATTTTGAGTGATAGAAAAGTACTGATTACCCCCCCCCCATTCCGGAGGCTTCAGAGGCCACTGAAGTTGGTGAGATCCACCAAAAATAAGTACTTCTCTTAAAAAAGTATATATTTCTTATTAAACGACATCAAAATGATCAATTCGTCCCACGCGGTTAATCGCGCTCCAAAGGCCAAAAGGCCCTGACACGGCCTCGCGCCTGTTAACGGGTTAAGTCCCTAAAATAACCCCTGTGAATTTTGTTTTTGATTTTGTATTTTTTCGGCTCGGACATTCGAAGCAACTCAATCCTTTGGACCATTTGGACCATAGTTAGTGTTTTCGGAAATTTTTATGTTCGGTAAATATTATTAACGGAAAATCTAATCTCTCGATCAGAAAGTAATATTTGCGATTTAATTTCTAACAAATGATAGTTTTTCTTTTGCTTGCCCTAGCGCAGGCCGAAGTGATTTGCGATTACGATGAACCATGTCTTAAAGCTTGCACGGATACTGTGTGCGAATACTACTGGAACATTGAAAACCGATTCTCTCAAACATGGCGGACAACGGATTTTGGCGAAAACCGAAGTTACCCTAAGGGAGCTCTGAGAGACTTTCCGATTCAGTGGAATAAAACAAAGAACAATTTCGACATTATCCAAGAAGGAATCAACGTCGACGTCAACGAGGTTATTGACGAAAATGGAAATGTTCGAGATCCTCTTGACGATCTTGAGAATCTTCTGCTTCTGGACGGGCAGCGGATGCGCAAAGTGATCACAATCAACGGCCAGATCCCGGGTCCAAACATCATTGTCAACAAAGGAGCACTTGTGAAGATTCACGTTAAGAGCACAATGCATGAAGAATCATGTGAGTATATCAACGCTTATCACGTTTCGTTGACAATGCAACTTGTCTAGTTACTCTCCATTGGCACGGCTTGCATCAACTCGACAACTACTGGAATGACGGCGCTGCTATGGTCTCCCAATGTCCAATCGACGCTCATAACGAGTTTACATACGTCATGAGAGCTGAAAACAGCGGCACCCACTGGTACCACTCGCACTACATCATCCAGCGCGCTGACGGACTCCACGGAGCGTTCATCATTTTGGAAGAAGACGAAAAGGACGAAGAGATAAGCTGGATGCCACTGGTTGTGACGGACTGGTGGAACACCGATTCGACTTTTTTGGCTGGAAACGATCCGTACCGATATGGAAATACTCTTGGAAAGCGCATGACTGGTTCAGGGTTGAAAGCTTGCCGCACTGATGAAAAATCATTCATGACGGGCGTAAAAATGAGCACTTTTTGCGTTGACTCAATCGTCGCTAACGGAAGAGGCCAGTATCGAACAAACGAAGACGAGTTTGAATTCAGCGTCCTTGAAGAGTATCGCGTTTCGAAAACAACCACAAGGATTCAGCTCAAAACAATTCATGCTGGTTTCGAACATCCGATTCTGGTCCGAGCCGTGGACGGTCGAAAACTTACAATAACTGCTCAAGATGGTCGCCGAGTCCTTCCAGAAGAAGGCGATGGAATATTTATGGGCGTCGGAGAAACTCTGAATATTGAAGTCGACTTTCCTCTCGAAGAAGAATGGATAGAACTCATCGCTGAAGTCATGTTTGAAGGAATCGGAAAGAAGTCCGAATATCACGAAAAACCCTATGTCAAGATCACATTTTCCCGGGACGCTTCAGTGAGTCAATTTGAAATAAAAAAACAACTCGTCGCAGCATACCCAGAATCGAATGTAGTAGAGCCGTTCTCTTTTCACACAGAAAATGAGGTTTCGGAAAAAGTTCTTCTGAATTGTCCAGCAAAAACGATCGGAGATATGTCTTGCAAGACAGTTGTTGATTTTAAACGAGATCCGAAATACGAGTCGCGTTTCGCAAATCCGCCACCTTCGATCGAAGAGAAGCCTGATCGAGTGATTGATGTAAATATGAATTTCGCAATTGGACCGGCAATCAATGGACTCGAGTTCAAATATCCAGAGACCCCGTTTTTCTTTGGTGTGGAAAATACCGAAAAAACGCAGTGCACAGCGGCGATGATCGCTGATGGAGGACATTGTACTCAGATTATTGAGGTGAAGAAGGGAGAGCTTGTTGAATTCAGGTGGAAAACTAATTTAAAAACAGATATATATATCTATTAATACAGAGTTACCGCAGCAGAACATCTCGAAAATATGGCCCGACGATGGCAGTGGACCTACCACGGAATTCATCTTCATGGATACGAATTCGTTGTCACCGACATTGGCTTTGGAGTTGCCAATCAAACAACTGGCTTTATCGAGCAAATCAACCCAGTTATTCATTGCAAAGATGATCAAATAAAATGCAATCGCGCAAAATTTGACGACCAAATGCTCGAAAATATCCGTTCGGACCGGGATGATCATATTTTAAAGAATACTGTGATTGTTCCTGCGATGGGTTACGTCGTTTTTCGGTGAGAAAATTGACAGTTACAATATGATTATTTTCAGCTTACGCGCGAATAATCCAGGAGTGTGGCCTTTCCATTGCCACCAACTTTTCCATAACTACGAAGGAATGGCAGTCGCCCTTTTCGTTAAAGATGAAGAAGAAAACAAGCCGTTTTCATACTTGCCAAAAGAGATGCCTCGCTGCCACAATTATCATCCAAAAGACATTGCGATCAACGAAGAGCCAATTCTCCGAACAAATTCAATGAACAAAACTCAGTTTTCTCCACTGCTATTTGCACTTACCGTCTTCCTTTTCCATTATATATACTAAATACAGAATATGCAACTAAAGCTTTTTTCTTTGTTGAATAAGGTTATAAGGTAAGTGACCCGATCTGAGCTCAGATCAGTGATTTTTTTTTTGAGAATAGAAAGGGCTAAATCAGTCAAAAATACCAACTTTTATTTTTGCAAGAAATCGGAAGCAGTTGAAGAAGGGAAAATAAAGTTTTATTTGATTTTGTCAAAAAAGTGATCGCAGCTGACAGTTTTACCACGGCGCTCCATATCCGGTTGTAAAACGTCGAATTTGCCAAAAGTTGAATCTCGGAAATTTCAGTTTTTCAAGCTCAAGTTGATCTCAAATTTGACATTTCCTCGAAAAAAAATTGGCAGAGAGAGAGAGACAAGAAAAATTGAAGTTGCGGAAATCGAAGAAAAGGAAAAGTACGATTTATTGATTGAATCTTCGAACCTTTCGGGGATGGTTTTTAATAAATACCAGAGGCGCTAGTGCATCATTTTTCATGAGCATCATCATCTGATACCGCAGGTAAATAATGGGAAAGGTACTCACGACCGATATTTTTGGGAAATTTTCAAAGAAAATTTTTCACTACCGGCCTTTGATTTTTTCTGCGGTTTTTTGGCGGTCTACAGGTGAATGTTGCGGTTTGAGTATGAAACTGCTCGAATCTGCTCACGGCAGCATCAGAATTCCTCCCAATTCCTTTTTCTCAGACGTCTACTTCTTTCTTATCAATTCCGTTCAATTAAAAACGCGGTACATAAGGAAAAGCATTCCAGAATCGGAGACAAATTAAAAGAGAAGCAAATGCTTACAGTAAATTAGAGAGATTAGGGTCACGAGCGCTCAGGGAATACTTGTCAATCAAAGGAATTTATTCCAAGACTAGACAAATACAGATTTTCAAAACGATTAGCTTGCTAAAAGAAATCAAGAAGGAGAGAGAAAAAATATTCTGCATTCCGAATTTAAGGATATAGCCTTGAATATTGAACTTTCGTAGCGCCGAATCCCTGTTACGAATTCATTCATTTTTCAAATTAACCCTACCTAAAATTCATCGTAGATTTCGAAAATGACCTTATTATTAGTACTTTCTATGGTGTTTGTACCTAAAAATCGCCTTTAAAATAAAACAGACCATCGTTCTCTGAAAATTTCCATTAAAAAGGTAAATCTGGATTGATGATATGAAAGATTGAAGCCTTATCTCTAATCTCGCGGTGGATTTTGTAAAAATATTGAAGATTACGGCTTCTAGGAACTGGTTTTTGATTGTACTTCGAAAAGGAGAGTGGCGCGCGCAGCCAATGAGAGCGAGGGGAAAATCTCACTCAGCCATCGCTCATCCTATTTTACGCGAGAAATTTTGTCGACAGCTTGGACGAAATCTAACTGAGATTCTCCTCGCTCTGATTGGCAGCGCGCGCCACTCTCCATTTCGAAGTACAATCATAAACCAGTTAGTAGAAGCCATAATCTTCAATATTTTTACAGAATCCACCGCTAGATTGGAGATAAGGCTTCAATCTTTCATATCATCAATCCAGATTTACCTTTTAATGGAAATTTTCAGAGAACGACGGTCTGTTTTATTTTAAAGGCGATTTTTAGGTACAAACACCATAGAAAGTACTAATAATAAGGTCATTTTCGAAATCTACGATGAATTTTAGGTAGGGTTAATTTGAAAAATGAATGAATTCGTAACAGGGATTCGGCGCTACGAAAGTTCAATATTCAAGGCTATATCCTTAAGGGTGTCCCCAACGATTTTTTTGAAACAGGATCAACATATATAATGATGATTTTAACAAAATTTGAACCAAATTTTAGGGCTCTAATCGCTTGATTTTTTTCTCCAATTTCAGTCTTAACATAGTTCGATCTTTCAACAAGGCTCCCATGAGCTCAGATTGTGCACCGATAAGTAGGTTAATCCCCTTTTCCGGCGCCAAAGAGCAGGTGTTTTCGAGTTTTGACGCGCTCTTACAATAAGTAAAATTCATCGGATCTTTTTGAAAATGGTATCAGCAGAAAGGAAATTTTTCAAGCTTTCAGGAGATATATAATTTGCTATACTTAATTGTGAATTTCAAAATAGCCATTTTCACAGTGCATTTCTATCGAAGGCTTATTCATTAGCGCGCTCATAGAAAAAGCTATATCTCGAGAAGTAGATAAGATATTGAAGATCTGAAAAAAGGTTCGGAATCGGAATTTCCTAAATAAAGAGAAAAATTTGAGTCAACGAATTCGGCAGTCTCGGCCTCGATCGTTGGGGACACCCTTAACGAGATTTTCTCAAATTTGTCCTCAATTTTTTTTGAACTTGTTCTTATTTACCTCCCCAGGGCGCAAAAGAACGGAAGCAATTATCCGCTGCAAAAAAGTTTTTTCAGCAGAGTTTGCTTGTTTCGTTTGCTTTGCGCGTAAAACTTGGCTTTGTCAATCTTTTTAAATTTGCGGTCTTCAATCATTCAAATTTCAGCGCTTTTTCCTGACTTTGAACTTTTCGGAAATTACAACCGCGAAGACCTCATCGATCATCTTTTAATTTTCCCTCGTTTCTTGAGCTCAGAAACAGCTCATCATTTGTCAGAGAAAAAAAAACGGTCCTTCATAAAAATCAGAAAAAACAGGCTTGGGAAAAAGTACTGATCTCAGCAATTTAAAACGGCTTAAAAATTTGGCTGGGGCGCAGCAGCAGGTCGGCAGCGGAGTCAGTAGATTTGTGATTCAATTAGCTCAAAATGTGAAATGAATGTTAATTTAATTTTAAGCCGCCCTCGGTCAACTTTTCTTTTTTCAGAAAAAAGAGAGAGAGCCTTCACCGTCTTCAAGGGTATTTAGCATAAATCCATTTCATCGTGTCAGCAACGGACTTGAAATTGACGAAATGGTGAATTGACTTGTGATGAGATTCGCATCTGTTCAATTTTCTTACCCAAATCGATTCTTCAAGCTCCTGTCCACTGTTTCGCTCATTTTCCTGTCACTCACGTCCGGATCATCTTTTTTTCTCATTTTAGTCATTTTTTCAGAGTTCGAGAATCGCGCTTTTATGAAAGAGTAAAGAGAGAAAAAGATAGACGAGCAATCTTTTCGTTAAACGATGCGACTGTTTCTATTTCTAGCAGGTAATTCGTTACTTCCAAGAAAATTTGTCTACCAAACAACTGTTAGACGGTGCACTTTTGATGCTCTTTTCAGTCGCAGTTCAGGGCTACAGGGAGTCAAAAAGAACATACACTCCTTATGGTCATCACGTGGCTACTTCAGGAGAGTTCCAGAACTACCAAGGTACAGTTCTCTTCGTAAAATGGATTTTTGGGAAGGACACCCTTATTTCAGTTTCTGCAGGTCGAAGTATTCATCGTTCAAACACACAGAGACAGTACCGTTTCGCTCCAACAGAACCATCAACGCGGTAATCTACGGTCTTAATAGTGCTTCCTCGTTTTTAATTTTTGATATTTCAGACAAAGAGGATCCAGTAATGGACGATGCAAAAGAGGTCCTCGCGGATTAATGGGCAAAACAGGACCTCTTGGGCCAAAAGGAGATCCTGGCGTCTGCAGCCCTGCTTCTTGCTCAAACAGTAACTCTGTCAGCTACAGTAATCAACAGTCACCTGAAGATGCTGGTCTAAAAGCTGCTTTTTCTGTCACGCTGTCCGGTGCTGCTTTTGATGACATCGGAGAAACAGTTTTATTCGGTAAAAAACTCAACAAGCTGAGTTAGTTTAATATCTGAATTTAAAGACACAATAGTCAGTGACGCGACGAATAATTATAATTCTCAAGAAGGCACTTTCACTGCAGCGTCATCAGGTAAACATAAAAAAGAGTGTTCTTCAGTACTCAGTAATTGCTTCTCAGGGTTCTATCATTTCGCCGCGTATGGAACTCAAGATGACAAAAATAAACCCCTTCACTTCTCAATCAAAAGAGGATATCTCAATCGCCAGTTTGATGATGTCCTCTGCTCTGCTCAATCCAATGGATCGTACGTACACCACCAAATTTTCCATTCTCGAAATCCGTTCAGGTACCAAACAAGCTCATGCTCAACCACCGTCCAGCTCGAAAAGGGCCAGAAAGTCTACGTACAACTAGTCAAAGGAGACCTCTTTGCCAACCGATTTCACTACACTTCGTTCAACGGATTCCAACTTTAATACATTTCTCATTAAAAATTCTCCAACCGTCCATTTGCAGATTATTACCGAGTAGATTTCGTCGAACAACATCACCAAAGACGCATTCATAATTGATTATTGATATGTCACTGAATGGATAAAAACTCAGGCAAAACGCAATCTGGCATCATCGTAAAGAAACAGGAAAAAAAGCGACAGTAATATGAATTTTTTCGCGCTACAACTTCTCCTTCTGAATTTCGCAGGCGCAATGAGACTGTACAAAAGAGGAGGAAACTGTGCTAGATGCGACCTTGACGGTATTGGAACAAAATTTCTGTATCTTTTGAATCCCATAATTTAGCGGACAATGCGATATTTACAAAGTGGCAGAATATTCTGAGGAATATGAAAAGCGAATCTCCGGAAAGGACGAAAAAATTTTTAATTGATGTAAGATATATTATGAAAGGGCATACCTGGGGTTGCGCCAGTGGGAAAATGGACTTTTTTTGCACTTGACCTGGAGGGATGAAATTTTGTGGACATATTTCTGAGGTCCTTATCAAGAAAAAAATCAAAAAAAATTTTCGAAAAATTAAGGGTATAGGGGTCGAAAAATCGATTTTTTTATTTTTGCAAAATTAAGCCTGAGAAAACCTAGACTATCATTTTAAAAGCTCAAAAATGAATTTTTCGAGTCGAAAAAAGTCGAAGCGAGATAAAGAATCCGCAAATAAAGAAATTAAAATTTTAAAACATTCAAATAAAAACCATAATAAAAAGAAAAACTTGAATAATTTGTATTTCCACCTCGAATGGGTGTGGGTGGGATTGGGGACATAACTGAGATTGATCACCGCAGAGTCCAACGCCGATCTCAAGCCCCTTAAATTTAAAAATCAAGGAACGGGGCTGAGACGGCCTTTTCTATACATTTTTGAGCATTATTTATTATATTTTTCCAAAGAAAGGCGATTTTCGGCCAAAACGGAAATTTTCAAATCGGCCGCATTTTCGTTGCCGGGCGTTACCGGACGAGATTAGAATGGATCTATAGAGAGCATCGTCTGAGCTTTCTTGTGGTGGTCTCCGTTTGGTTGTGGGTCGTTGTGGTTTCGAGTTATTCGACGAAATGTCCAAAATTCGTGGTATTTTTCCGAAAAAATCGCGATTTTACCACCAAAATTCAAAAATTTCTAATTTTAACTATTTTTTATGAAATCTCCGCCAATTTTTATACATTGTCACGTGGTTTCAGAATTTTTTGAAAACAAACCATTTTTGGCCAAAATCCCACCAGCGCAACCCCAGGCATACCATATTCGAGGGGGATTGAACGTATAAGCTAGGGTAGACATAAGTAGAGGGGCGTTGGTGAAAAGAACCCTCTCAACCTCCCCAATAGGGGGCCCTTACTGCCTATCAACATAGAGGATTTGCCCCCTCCCCTCAGCGTAGTATGGCCTAAAAATTCGGCCATCCTCATTTTACGTTAGTTTTAGTGGGGTTCCAAGGGGGCGAAGCTATGCCCCCTCAGTATGCGCCCTTAGAATCAATAAAAGTTTGTCCCGCCACAGCCGATCGAATACCTTGTCTGAGGATCACCTGCAACTGGATAAAATATCCATAATGAATCATAATTAATTATCTGTCCTTCAGTAACCAGAATAAAACACCAAAATGGTCAATCGATTATGAATTAATTAGCTTGCTAATTTACTCCCCATAAATTATGAAGATTATCTCCTTTACTCTAAAACAGTGTCATTTTCTGGCCTATTCAGGAGACATTCACGGATCAGGTCAAGAACGCATTGATCGAAATAAATTAGTTTATTGCTAAGGCTTCCCGGTAAAACAGTCATTTTGCATAAGAAATAACATTGAACTTTGAACGGAAAAATAATCAATAATTGAAGTGTAAACGGAAATCGAGATTTTAAATAAATTAAACTAAATTAAGGTAAGTTGATTCATGAAAATTGTCACATGTGTAAGTTGGTTTTTTTTTGGTTTGAATTAGTCAGTCTTTTCTGGTTGCGGAAATTTCAGGTTTTCGATGGTCTTGGAAAGGGCAGCGAGTTCGGAGGTGTACTTCAAGTCGGAAGATTTTACAGTGTCAGAAAGCGCGGTCAGGGTAGAAGAAAGCTGCTTTATCGCCTTAATAAATGATTATAAAATATAAATGACAATATTCGGTGGAAAATCTTGACAAGATCCTTTGATAGCCTCTTTCATACCGTCTCAAATTCAGCTCGAAGCGGCGCAACATCGTCCTTGTTAACCTTCGACTGCTCAACTTCAAAAAGCGCCTGCTGGATGTCCTTCGCAAGTGATGCTATTTTTGCGACATCTTCAGCCTTTGCCGCGTTTTGAAGAGCACCGAGAAGGTTTTCTACAGTCTGTTTTTGTTCCTCTAACAAAATCATAACAAGTGAAAAAGAAGGATGGATATTCTTACTGATAGAATTTTCAAGAGCGGACAAATCAGAGGAAACGTCACTTTTGGCAATTTCGGCGGCGAGTTTCGCCGAGTCCTAAAACGCAAAATAAACAGATAGACAGAAATCAACAAGGAATATTTTTTTTATTCAACAGTTTTTTCCGCAGTTTTTTCTTCACGTTCATTTTTATCCTCTACCTGCTCAAGTTTTTTCTCAAGAGCAGCGAGCGACTCCTGGACTTTGAGAATTTGAGCTGCTTGGCCGTCGATTTTTTCAGTGTCGACGCCGGAAGTGGAGACGAGTTCATGGAGCTGGATCAGTTTTGAGGCAGTTTCGGTTTTGGCAGATTCGAGTTCGGATTGAAGCTCGCTCATTGACTGAAAATGGGATGAAAACTTACTTTCGTTAACGCGAAATTAACCTTTGTTCTAGCATCATTTTCTTCGGAAGATTTTTCGACAGTTTCTTGCAGATCACCAAGTTTTTGTTCGAGCTAGTTAAAAAAAAGTGAAGTTAACAGTTTCAACTTTATAATAAAAAGTCTATCGACGTGGTGTTCTTTTGCAATTTTGGGTAATTTAACTCTTACAAGTTCGATTGTATTTACGGCGTCGAGCATATCTTGCTCTAGCTTGCCAAATGCCTCGGCTTGTCTTTTCAGCTCTTCGTATTGATCAGACCATTTTGCCTCAATATCAGCTTTGAGAGAGACCTCGGTACTCTCAATGTCTTCATTCAGCTCTTTTAGCTCGTCTTTAAGCTATTTCAAAAAGAATTTTCAATAAGATTTTTGACAGAAATTCAATTCTAGCACCCCTTTCAATCTTCAGCTATCAAAAATTTCATCAAAATATGCCAAAAGCCACGTCGATCCCGAAAAAAGGAAACCTCTTTTTGTACCTTTTTCTTATAGACTTTCGCCCGTTTCAACATTCCCTCAATGCTTTCTACAGTCATTGTCAAATACTGTCGCCGCTGGGGTATGTCCTTGTCGAATTTAATCCTCGACTTGATGATCAGCTCATCTCGAACTTCAAGAGCCCGCTCTCCCGCTTTTTTAAGTTGGTTTCGGAACTGATCATTTTGAAAAACTTTTGAACAAAAAAGTGAATCGACGGCTTTTGCTTATTTCGATGAAAAATGGCCAAAAACACCAAAAGTAAAAAAGAACACCACTTCAATAAAATATTTCCAAGAAAAGGCTTATTTTTATTTCAAAAACAAAATACAAATAACCAGCTTCCAAGTCAGTTATTTGCCAAACAAGGAAACAGCCTGGGCTCGACAACCTGTGTAGAAAACCTGAGTCAGGGTCTGAAAGTCTAGGAAATGTTATCTTGCAAAGCCGCTCTCAGACCCTGACTCAGGTTCGCACACAGGGTGTCGAGCTCAGGATTCAACTTTGATACCATGACGTACAATAGAAATCATGTCCTCATTGTCCAAAGCTCTTGTCTGTTGGACTTGAATTTGAAAATCGTAGTCTCTTTTCAACGAATTATGCCGCCTGCTTAGGTTCCCAACTGACTCGGTTAGGTTTTGTATTTGCTAAATTTTACAATATTCACAAAACATGCGAAATAAGCCGTCTTTCGGAAAAAATAAGCACCAATTTCTATTTACCAGGGCGTTTTTCTCGTGCGTGGCAGTGACTTCTTCTTGGAGTCGTTTGATGATTGAGTCTTTTGCTTCAAGACCTTCTTGCATTGAGGCGATTGTTGAGAGCGTTTTGGCATTGTCCGCTGAAAAATTGGTTAGTTGATGATAAAAAGGGTTAAGGGTAAGGGGACGGGCAGTACCTACTAGGGGTAGCCCCCTGGGTTGGGTTAAGGGTAAGGGGCTACCCGACTTATAGCCCCCTCAAAGAGAAATCTTGCTGTTATACCTTTCAACTGAGCAGCTAAGCCTCTGACAGCATCGAATTCCGCAGCTTGATCCTTCTTCAAAACATGGCATCCAGAACCGGCCAGGATTGCCGCGACAAAAACGACCGAGAAGAATCCCATCCTACAAATATTTCTTCTCCAGAATTCTCCCTTTTCACTTGAAACTTACCCTTGTTTCTGAAAAACAACCTCTTTTTCTGGCGCCTTCGCTTCGGCTTCGCCAGATGCTTTTCGCTTTCGAACTTCGCCCATCGTTCTTTTTTATTTCACTCTTAAATTTTTGACTCTCTTAGAAATCAATGGTCAGAGACGCAATAAAAGTCCTTTTGCTAATCAATTAGTTTTTCTTTTCTTTGTTTGTTCTCGAAATCTCCGAGAAGAGGAGATATTTATTCTGACTTCAGCTGAGTCAGTAGCTCGACTGGCAAGTCAGGATTGGCCAAGCTGATAGGGGAGGCTAAGGAATGACCGATAATTTACCGGCGGTTCACCGAGAACCCGGTTTTGTCAACAAAAACGGGTGGTTTGGCACCACGCACGCACCAAATGATTAACTCTGACCTTTTGGGTAAAAACAGTATCAATTTTGATTGAAAATAAGAAGGAAGTTAGTGACAGATTTACTTGAGAATTAAGCCGGAAGAAAATGACAAAGTTAAGCTAATAATAAAATCCAGTTTTTATATAATCTGGGCCAGGCTATTCTGAAAAGGTCATTACCCCAGTAAGTCAAACAAAAGGCGACTCCATCGTCAAATAAAAGACTCGCCTCATAATTCTATTTTCGAGGCTCAGAAATAGAGGCAACTTTGAAACATGCAGGTTTGAGATTAAAAATCATCACCTTGGCTGCTCGAAATCATCTATCTTTTTTCTAGGCAAACGAACCAGACGATGACTTCACTACTGTCAGTAATCATGCTGAAGAAATGGATGTTGATAACTGTTGATTGTGAAAACCAGACTGTAACTGTCTTGTAAGAATGAAGGCTTCTTTTTTACTTGACGAATAAAAAAATAACCGCTAAAAACACGGTTCTGTTTGAAATTTCAAAGAAGGAAAGGAACTAAAAATGGAGCATGATTCGAAAACTATTTTCAAGTGACTTCATTCATAAGAAATTATTGTTTGACAGTTTTGATACTGCCGAAGCATCAAAAAGCTTTTTGACCCCTTATGTAATCAGACCATGGCTATTCTTAAAAGTTCATTACCTCAGTAAGTTTACAAAGAGACAATAAAAGACAAATCCATCGTCAAACAAGCGCCTCCCCTCATAATTCTATTTTCGAGGCTCAAAAATAGAGATCTTAAAAGAATCATGCAGGTTTGATATTTAAACTCACACCAAAACCAACATTTTTTCAAGGCTGGAGACGGAGATGACGGACATTACACAAAGAATGACTACAGACATCAGAAAGATTTAGAGGGATGGTGATTCTTAAAGAAAACCAGTAACAGTCTTGTAAGAGAGAAGGCTTCTCTTTAATTTGACGAATAAAATAACTGATTGAAAAAGCGAAGTTCTGTTTATTGCGATTTGGAAAGAAGTTTGATTTGAAAAGAGGCTATTTTTGAAGTGATTCGTATAATTTCTGTAGAGCGGCTAAATGTACATCGTGAAGAATAGCATGAGGTCTTCCTTTCTTTATCAGCGAGTAGGCTTCATCTACGGTTTGTCTTTTGTGCTTGATGAAGTACGAGGCCATCACCGTACTTGAGCGTGTTCGGCCGGCTTTGCAGTGGATATAAACTCCTTCGTTCTCTGAAAGATGGTAGTGAAGAGATCGCTGATTTCGCGATACCTGATATGTGCTTATTGATCGTATCCGCCATCGAATTGAGCTCATCTACAGTAGGAGCGAAGTTGAAATCAGCGACATTGACCTTAAAATGAACAGTTTGAAAATTCTGCGAAGAGACACCCTTATTTGAAAAAAGTTACCTTGTATTGATGAATTCCAAGTTTTTCCCATTCCGCTACACTTGGCGTCACGACCCGCTCAAACTCTTCATTACAGCTAATAACTGCTTTGATATTCAGTTCTGGAAGCTTTTTGGGAACATCTCCTAATCGACCTTGAGAGCCATTTGTGGAAGAAGATTTGAGAGGAATCGCGCCGAGGTAGAGATTTTCGCTTATTTTATCAAACCAATTGATTTGGCCGTTTTTGTATCTCAAGATGTTGTATTGGAGGGAAACGCGAAAGGAGGTCGGCTTCATGAAATCGGCCGTCCAAAGTTTCATCAGCGGAGGCTTCATTTTGCCGGCTTTTTCTGAAGGAAAAATTGTTGCAGAAGATTTCATTACTCTGTCATCAAGAAATGAATATATTGAAAAAGACGATCACTGAATTCTAACTTTCTATGAACAGTAAATTGCGAGTAGACATGAAATAAAGCGAGTGCATTTTTTGTATCTGTATTTGTTTTTAACGCATGTTTTTTTTCATGAGATTTTAAGATTTTGAGCAGTCGTTGTTTAAGTTTTTTTTGTGATTTTTGGTTTGAAGGTTTCTGAGTGTACTTTTTGTTGACAGAGACGATCGAATTTGCCATCAGACTTTTTGGGGAGGATGATAATTAACTCGATCACGGCGTTGTTTTTTTTCTTGATTTATGGCCAGGTTAGTGGCACATGGGAGCTGCTGATGTCTGAAAATAATGATATGAATGCCTTTATCTACTGTAGCCCAATTTCGGCCAATCGACTTCGGCCTTAGATTTGCTCATTCCACAATTCGACTAAACTTACAGATGGCTGGTCTTCGGGCGCTGGAACGGGTTCCATACACCTATCAGCGAACATTTTCCAAATGAATCCATCGTTGTCCATTCCATCAGCCCCTTCCGAATCCGCTGACATCGTAAATTGATGTCGAATCGGAGCGACAAGAGTCGGAAGCATTGTCATGTAGCTCGGCTTGAGAAGACGAGCAGCGTCTTCGGCCATTTTGATGTCGAGCTTGAGGCCGAGTTGTTTTTGGTGGAGTTTGAAGAAAATTCGGAACTGAGCGGAGTACTTTTTGAAGGCGACCATGAAGAGGCCAAAAGCAAGCTCCAGAGGAGGAATTCGAGCCGTTTCGAAGTTGGTGAGTTGCTTGGCGAGAAAATGCAGGAGCACCTTCTTGGCGTCAAGCCCAACGACCTTGCGGTGATGCGTAGTGACGTTGATGTAGTCGAGGAGGGAGGAAAAGAAATCCACGGCCGTGGATTCCGACACTTCCCAGTTGAGTTTTGAAAGAATCGTCATTTCCATGCGCTTCAGATCGCGCTAGAATATGAGTTGAGACAAACTGGAGTTTTTCATTCGCCGAAAATAGGCTTTTTCCGACTTACCACAGAAAAAGCAGTCTTTGAAGCCCTAATGAGATGTTTGCCTAGGTTTCTAATCTGCTCGTCTTCGAGCAACTTGGCGGCTAGAAGGAGACAAGTGGTGGCGAGAACGCGGACGTGCGCCTTTTTCACTTTCATTCCAAATATGACCCTATCGAAAATTGCAATCGCAAGAGCAATTGTATCGCTTGATAATTGATGATGGATGCATTGATTGTGGATCCATTTGCATGCTTCGTCCCTTTTTACAGAGTTCATTTTGCTCTTTCTAGCGCTAGAAAGGCTCGATTTCGAGGCTTGAAAAGGGTAAGAAATGGAGAACTCCGTGCCTATCTACGTATGTTGCGTGGATTGATGTTACTTCACTCTCCGTTTCAGGAGAGGGCCGAAAACTCTGATACGATTTCTTCCAGTTATCACGGCGTTTAGCTAAACAAAGAAAGTTAGGTCCGATTCAGATTTTCTCTAGAGCGCGCGGAGCAAAATGTTTCTAGATGGCCGGCATTCTCTAACGCCGGCCATCATTTCTCTTCAGTCTGGAAATTCCAGCGATAATTTGAGTCCGAAAGCGAGATAAAAATGGTAAGTCTTTGATTTCCAAGTAGAAACCTGACCGTTTTCTTTAAGATTTTGAGGTCTAATTAGTTCCGACAGTGACAACCTCCAGTCACGTGGGGACGGAGAAAGCAAAACAAGATGAGTGCGTCGAAAAGCGAAAACTTGAATGGAAAACTTCCTTCATACTGCGCTTCTATTCTCGACTCTCCGAGAATTACTGCGGATCCATAGCTTGGATTCCTCTCTGTACAAAATATTGAAAACTAGTAATAAAATATCCATTCGTTCATTCAAACTGTGTTTGAGGTGTTGATCATTTTGCAGGGACAGAAAGACAGTAGTTACCTGTAATGGCTTTCAACTGATTGACCAGCTTTGAGGCAGGGAGAGTTGGAGCCATTCTGCTTTGCTTGGTGAAAGTCTTATCAACTTAAATCTTCTTCCAAAACAACGCACTATTGCATAACCTTCCGGAACTGTCTAAAAGACAAACTGTCAGGAAAAATACAGCAGGGAGTTGTGCAGCTAATAAATGTATCTGTATCATCGATAAGGGTGTTTTCCGTTAAAAAGTTCTGTGATAAGGCAGTGGTGGACAGTTCTAGTTTCATTTGTCCTTTTTTCTTCCTAAATGACAGGTTTTTGATGCAGCTTTTGCTTGAAAATCGGCTCCCAGAGCAGTGAACTTTTCCAGTGTCAACAACTTTCAACCGTAGAGAGATGCTTTCCTTCTAGCCATACGGTATCTCTTGAATTTGGGCATGTGTTTAGACTTGCTCCTTAGGGGTGTACCTCCCTGGGTAAGGGGCCATGCCTTCATTTTTCGTAAGTTTAAGAATACGGCCCAATTTCGGGCTCCAAAAATAGAATCACCGTATGTCACCTGCCTAGATGATTACAGCGTAGTGTGACTAGATATATCCTAAGCGATCACCATCGCCTCTGATGAGTTCAGAAACCAAATAACGGTTAAAATTTGAAGAAATTTGGGCGTTCTGGTTTCTCAAATTGACGAAAAATTTCTTGATTTTCGAATGAATTCAAAGTTGCTTTTAAATCAATCTTTCTTGTTTCATTGTTTGACACATTCCTAAGTATCTCTTTGGCGGTGTGGAACAAATGAGCCTTGAGCTGAAGTTTGTCTTCGCGATTCTGATGCGATGTGGACAGATGACGGAGCTCCTCAGTTGTCAAAAGACTGCGCCGGACGCATTGCGGGGAAATGAAGTCGCAGGCAATTTTGATGCATGAGTTGATATTCAGAACCTTTAAGATTCACTAATAAAGGGGATTCGAGAAAGAATTACCTGATGAATAGCTCCAGAAGGGATGAAAACCGCGTCGCCCTCGCATTGAAGAATATACTTTCCTTTTACTCCATGTTTTTCAAGCATTTCCCTAGAGTGAAACATAGCCAACAGCGGATGCAAACGCGCCTTTTACCTGATTTCGCTGGTGATGTAAGTATCCTGGTCATGAATCGCATCGTTCCCAGATCCCTTCTTGTACTGCTCCTCGTCTCGTTTATGAAGCAGTTTTCTTATTTTCTCGGTATCGCGGACGGGCCAAATGTGCCAGAGCGCGCCCGGTTTTCGTCCAGACTCGATGAAATTGTCGATTTCTTCGTCGGAGAGACCCCCTTCCACGAGCAAATTGCGCAAGGCTTCTCGTCGCTGCCGTTTTGAGAAGGAATTGACTGGTTCGACGACGTTTGTCATCACGTTGATTGCGCCGGAAATGTCGATGTGGCAATCTGTACTTCCCTGACAAGAGAGTTAATTCAACCGCAATGACCGCAAAACTCACCTGTTTCATCTTCAAGAAGACTTCATGCTTATTTTTGTCGATAAATTCTTCGAGCCAGCCATAAGCAATGTACATTTTCGGTCCTAAATCGGGGATGCAAAAGTACTTTGGAAGGTACTTCGCCAAATTGAGCGCTCCATCGCGGTGGCAGATCTCGTGACAGGGTAGAAATTCCTTGAAGGCCTTGAAATGAAGCGGCATTTTTCGGCAAATGTCGTCTGTTGTCGGCCAATCTACAAGGAAAAGTCGATAATTGGGACTGTCTTGAGCAGGATTTCCAATACCTTTGAGCTTATAAATAGGAGGATCTTCCATTGACTTCGTGTATCGATGATTGTAATTGCTGAATCCGGCCCAAAACTCGCGGAGAGCACCTTTAGAAAGATGTTCGTTTTCACGGCAGTCGACCAGAATCGCTCGCTCCTGGGAGTAGTTTTCTTCGAAATAGTCTACAGACCAGATTTGATGGTCGAATGAAGGATGCTTGTCAAGATCGAAAATGACTATTGGCTCGCGATTTTCCCAATGAGCGTAGATTTCTGTGTCCAGAGCTGACTTTGCAAGGGTTTTACTCTGTTTTGAAAAATAAGATATAAATCAAGTTTTTTTTCCTGAATTTATTCTTTTTAGAATGAAAGAAAGTTGCTTAAATTTGATTTTTTAATTATTTATTGAAAGAAAGATGTTTTTAAAGTATTTTACAAGTTGAGAGAATAATTGTACATGGGAATGTTGGAAGTTTGAGCAAGAGATTCGTAGTAGGTGTTGAAGTAGGATGGGAACATGTGAGCGTAGTTTTCAGTTGTCGAATTCTGAGCGAAGTGGGCGTAGATATTATCGGCGAAGGCATTTGAATTTGAGGCTCCAGTCAGATGAGAAGATCCTTCGTCCTCGGAAGAGCTGGAGTTAGTGTTTGGAGAGCCAACAGAGCAGTCGAGTTCTGATTTCTGGCGCTTGGAATTGGTGACGTCTTGGTCTTCATCTCGTGCTCGCTTTTCGCCGACAATGGATCGAGATGGAATTGGAACTGGAGCTGCGTCACCGTGATGGGCTTTCATGTGCTTCCTGAGGCTCGAAGGATGGCAGTATTCGCGCTCGCAGTCATCGACGGGGCATTTCAGGACGCCTTTCTTGTGGACATTCATGTGCTTCTTTCGGTCGGAAGAATTGGAGAAGGTCTTTTTGCAGCCTGGATGGTAGCAGTCGAAGGGGCGCTCGCCAGTGTGGATTCGTCGGTGAATCTTGAGGTTTTCGCTGCGAGCAAATCGCTTTCCACAAGGGATTCCGCTGATGATCTCGTCGCAGACAAAGGGCTTCTCGCCGGTGTGGATTCGAAGGTGATTGACGAGCTTGTACTTGGCCTTGAAGGGTTTGTCCTGACGGGAGCAGCCGGACCAGGAGCAGGCAGACTCGTCGTTGGTGGGATTGTTCACGTGGTCGAGGTTTAGATGGTTGATGAAGTCGGACATTTTGGCGAAGGAGAAGCCGCACATTTGACCGTTCTCCATCCACTCGCAGAGGTGATGATTTGCTTGGGAAGGTACACGGAGAAAGACGTTTGATTGGGAGTAGAGAGGATCGAAGTTGGCGTTTGAAGCAGCGTTTCCGTGGAAGTTTTGCATATTTCGATGATTTGTTGTTTTGCTTTTTGTTGATTGTTTGTTGAGGATGATTATGTTTTGATGGTTGATTCAATTTCTCTCCTGGTATAAATACCACAGTAGGTTAGTGCGGCGCGCGAGAGCGCATTTCAACCAGCTGGTCAGGCGCTCGCCAAGGGGCAAGTTTCGCTCTGAGCGCGAAATCTAGAATCAAAGCGCTCTGATCTGAATCACACCTGCGAGTTCCGAAAGTTATCAAGATTATCACCAAAAATTTCAAAGAAAGTAAAGATTACACAGAAAGCTCTCCCTACATGAAGAGTAATGAAACCCAGTGCCTTTGATTTTTTGCCGTCGAGATGAATCACAGAATTCGGAGTGTCACGGAAATGCTTTGTGTCGATGATTTCAACCTTTGCTTTGAAGCGTGAATGCACTTTTCCCGAGGAGTCGATTCGTTGCTCGATTTTGTTGATTTTGTCCAAATCAGAAGGGCTCAGCTCATCGCCACTAAATTTCAGAATTTATCAAGAGAAGCAGCCTTAATATTTTTTGATTGAATACGAACCTAGGGGAAATGGCAGGATCATTGTCAGAATCGGAGCTTTCAAAGTCCGAAAGGGGATCGACCAAGATTTTCTCAATGTCCTTGAGTAGATCTGCTTTCATCTTTTCGTCGATTTTTCGCTGCTCAAGCTTCAGGAGTTCTTCGAGCTGGCTTTTGTTGATATCTCCTACCAAGTCGAGCTCTTGGGGAATGACGTTCTTGTCTTTGAGGTAGCGCTCGGTTGACAGTGGATGGCAAACGTCAGGAACATCGTGGCTAAAGTTTCATTTTAGGAATTGAAAGCAACAGAAACTAATACCTCGGATTGCTGGACATGATAAATTGAAGTAGCACGTAGATGTTTTTGAAGGATTCGATAGGTATGAAGGAAATGGGCAGGACCGTGTTTCTGAAAAAGTACTTTTTTAGTGATTTGTCAACTAAAAGGTTCAAAAGAGCCCTTATCCAAAAATTTTGGATTCAAAGCTCGAAATTCAAAGAAGGCAAGATGGCTAATGCATTGTTAAACATTTTCCGTATTGATACCCCGCCATGCATTTGCATCTACGAGCAATTCTAGTGCTTCTTAGAAGGCCGTCTTTGACCCCGCGGCATGACCCCAGCCTGGGGCCTCTGGGGAGCATCTGCCCCGCGCAGATGGACTCGTCTAAAACGGAAATGGATACACATCTTACCGGTCGTCTGGAATTGTTCGATGGTTGTGGCAGAAGCTGCAGTGATGGATTTTCTTAAGATCAGTTCCAGGAATTTTCTTCATCGCGCATTTTGGACAAATCGTACCGCCACAGGAAGTGCAGATGTAGTGCGAGTTGAAGAGGGATGTCTAAATTGACAGTAAGTCCAACTGTTTTGCGAATCCGGGGGTTTACCTTGCATCTATCACATGTTTCCCTGACTCCAGGAATCACTCGCTTGACCGTATTCTTCCCGTATCGCATCCGCAATTGCTTGAAAGTTCCATCCAAATAGTCCTTGTTGCTACTTTTTTCCCACTCAATTTCTTCAAGCAGCATTTCCCGAATATCGCCCCAGAGAATTTCCAACAAATGACGAGCAGTCTGAGGTGAAATCATCACCTCTCGGAACTCGTCAGATGGCAAAAACAAGCGATGATACCACTCTGGAATGATTTTAGAATTGGTGAAGCTCGAAGGCTTGAGGCCGCGCTTCTCCCGGAGAATTTGCTCGATTGACGTCTGCGCCGTAACAGCCTTGCCGGGACAGAGCCGCCGTAACCCCTTTTAAAGCGTTTTAAAACATTTTAAATTTTTAACGCGGTCAAGTTGGTAAAATGGCTCGAAAGCGCTTCTAAGCTGATCTTTTCACTAATTAAGTCGTCTTAAAAATGCACGAGCAGTAATTCTTTTTCCTTATAAAAAGGGATATAAAAAAGAAGAACGGGTGAAAATGTCCTTGAGAGTTCTGTGTTTTCTTCGTGTAGTTGCTCTAGGAACGAGTTTTAGTTTAAATTTGATTCATTTTTTGAGCGAAGCGAAAAGTGCCTATAGAAACTATGCAAAGAAAAATTCTAGTTTCAAGCGAGATTCAGGTATTTCCACGAGCGGGGCCTCCTGTGTCGGCAACCTGAGTCAGGGTCCAGAAAGAGCTGAGATTCTTCTTACAGTGGGTTGCACAGTTGGTTCCCCTTTGCGATTGCAGCTTTGGTTGCCCTTTTGCCCGCACTTTTTCTATTGTTCTAGACTCGCTCAAAGTGATTGCTGGATTGGTTGACCCTTCACCCGCTCTTTAGGGGGCAACTACCTGCGCACCCACTGTAACCTAAGAATGAAAAGATAAATTTAGCGGAGCCGCATTGCGGCTTTGCTTTAAGAAAAAGCCGCCTGGTGACTTTTAATTGAAGCTTTTTCCGACCCCTGACTCAAGGTCTCATCCAGGTTGCCACGAATGTTGACCGAATTTGTTCTCCAGGAAAATTTTTTCAATTGAGAATTTTTTAGATTCCGAAAAGAGCGCATTCGGAATAGAAAAACCGATTTCAATGGCGGACTTGGACCTTTTTATAGATCAATTGGCAACTAAACCTGACCGTATTTACACATAAAGATCACTGACTGAAAATTCACTACTTAGACCAACGTCTTAATAAACCCACTAATGAGTCTCTTTGAAAAAAATCAAAACGCTCTTCCTGAAACGCGCAAGAAATGTTTCTGGTCAAATCGGGCGACGCATCAAACTCGCCATTCTCGTCGTAATACAAGCTTCTCTCGTTGCAATGGGACTTCTGAAAATTGTGAAAATCTTTCCAGTAGAGCTTGTCGCAGACGCCGCAAACGTAGTTTTCTCCAATTCCGCGGCGGATGAAAGTGTCTTTTTTCTTGTTCGCGTATTGACGGGTCAGATATCGCATGCACGGAGAGTCTTGAATTTCGCCAATTGTTGAGAGCTTTTCTTTTGCATCTGCTTTCGAAATTTTCGCCCTTTTCTTCTCCGGCTCTTCTCCGGCATTACTGTTTGGCTCAGAACCGAGAGGAGAAGTAGGAACTTCATCATCCGTTAGTGTAGAGAGGGTTGAGTTTTCTTCAAAAAACGACGTTTCTTCTTTGATTTCTTGGGCTTCTTCAGTTTTTTCTCCGATTTTCTGCATTTTTTGCCCGGTTTCCAGAGCTTGAGATTCTTTTTTCAGCTCTATTTGGTCTTTTACAACCTCTTTTGGCCCTTTTTCCGACGGTTTTTGCCCGTTTTCTTGCGTTTTTCTTTCGTTTTCAGTCAGTTTTCCCTTTTTCGTCGACCATTCATTCACCGACCGGCACATGGCTACTGTAACTCTGAGCGTATGACTGTCATCTTCGAATATAAACGCCGAGTTGGGACATCGCCAGATTTTTATCTTCGACGCTTTTTGAAAGGAAAATTGCTGCTGAAACTGTTTGTCGTCGGGGTCGGCCATGAAGTTGTTCGAATTCTGGATGATTTTTTCGATGTATCGTCGGACGTCGAAGATGTCTCTTGAAACGCTTTCCCGGAGCGTTTTTTCCAGCTCGTCTACAGCGATTTTCGTCAGGTTGAATGGCTGGTAGAAGCTGTTATTCCACACGATTTCTACACCTTCCGGTAAAGCTGGCCATTGAAACTTCCTCTGCTTGACAATTTCTAGCGGTCCCCATTCGTCAACCCTCGGCTTATTTTGCTTCAACAGTTCTTTTTCGATCTTTTCCATGTTAGGAATCGGCCGGACTTTTATTTCTTTCGGCTTTTCTTCGACTAAAATCGCTTTCTGTGGTTTTTGCTTTTGAACCGTAGCCGGAGCTGGAGCTGGATTTTGGACCAGGGAAGAGTTTGTTTTCGACCGAATTTTCTCTTCTTTTGGCGGTTTTTTCTTGCGCTTGAAATCTGGAAGATTCATTTTTCCCTTCTCCTTCTCGGATTTTTCGGATTTTCGCTTTTTTGGAGGATTTTGAGGATCTTTCTTTTGATTCTGATTTGCAGTTGCGAGAAAATCGAATTGGTGGAGGCGAAAAGCAGGTTTTTGCGTTTTCTGTTTTTGAACCTGAGTTGCGCGCGGCGGAGAATTATGAGACAAATTCCGTAGGGAATTGGGGCTCCCCTGATCGATGGCTCTTTCTTTCTTGTTAACATAATTTCAGCATATAATATGCTGAATAATAGCATATAATTTCACCCATTCAAATGGTTTCAAATTTGTTGAAAAAAAGAAGCCATTCCTGATTCAAATTCTGTCCAGTTTTGATGACTTTTCCGAGCTTCCCGTCCGGCATTCTGATCATGTGACCTGGCTGAAGAGGCATTTGATTTGTTCCCTGCACAATCGTCATTTGCGATTGCGTCCAAGGGCGAGCGATCTGAGATGGTGGTCTTTCTGGGCTGATTCGGGGATATTGCGAAGTCGGGAGCCAAGGTTGATGAGGAGGAAGGTTGCTTTGGGGGCGAATTGGGGTCAGCCCGGGCGGCGAAGAATGTCGCAGAGTGGGCTTTTTGTGGTTTTTAGAGAGTTTTTTTCTGATTCTGGGCTCGGCAACTGGTCCAGAAAACCTGAGTCAGGGGCTAAAAAACTTTAATAAACGGCAAAAACCCGCGTAAAAGATCTTTCCGGCCCTGACTCAGGTTTTGGCAAATAAAAATTAATCGCGAGTTTAACCAATGCCTGTATGATAGCTCCACTGCCCAAAAACGGCACTGGGCGACTATGAAACGGCATGTTGGAGCCATTTGGAGAATTCGGATTCATGGAGTTTTCATTTCGCGAGTTTCCGGAAAGAGGGTAGATTGGCGCCTGAATACTTCTGGGATTCGTCTGTTCTTTGTCATCCCGTCCTTTCATCGCGATTTACGATTTTTCATGGCATTTCTGAAGATTTTCAAAAGTGAAAATAATTCTAGCGTAGGATTGGGATAATTATTTATCAAAATTACTCAGTAAGAAACAGAATCATAAAATAGCTGATAAATACAAGAACCGTAACTTTACAAAATATCGATTTTTTCTTGATTTCAAATTCTCGTAAAGCGCTTTTTCTCACTCGAACGTGATTGGCCGAGCGCGCCAAATTTAAAAGAAAAAAACGAGAAACTAAAAAGCTCCAAAAATGAGTTTGGAAGCAGCGAAAAAGCCTGTCTTCGAGAAATCCTCAAGAAAAGCATCACAGGTAAAAATCACTGTAATTATAGACTGTTTCACTAATGTAGTTGTTAATCAATTTGATTATTCGTCGTGATTAATTAACGAAAATAGAGAGAATAGGTTTGGAAAACACTTTCTGACAGCTTGAGGCCGCGAAAATCGACAGTAGATGCCATCGTTCTTCAGTTACAGAGGTAAACTACTGTAAGAAGAAAAATGAAATTACCTTTTTTTAGATTTTTCGAAAAAGAAGAAGTTCCATTTCTCGAGCGCGCTGAGAAATTTCTGAAATCGGCGGATTGCTCTCTTTTTGAAGAAAAAGCCGAATTCGACGATTTTGGATACAAAAGAATTTTGATCGCTGAAAATGAAAAGTTTAACTTGGTGCTCATGTGCTGGCCAGAAGGATCTGCTACGAGCATTCATGATCACACCGGATCCGAGTGCATTATGAAGTGTTTGTCAGGTGAGATCTTGAATTGTCGGAATAATTTTTATCGTTCTTTGGCCATGGTTAGACTCTAACCGTTAGAGCCTCGTCGACCCCCGTAGCTTGAAGATGAATGTCCGTTTTAGAAATTATTTTTAGGAAAAATTCGCGAAACGAGGTACAAATGGCCAGAAAAGAAACGACAGGCGTTGGAGAAAATCGGCGAAGAAGATCTTTTGAAAAACGAAGTTTCCGGGATAAATGACGAAGCTGGACTTCATCTTATCGAAAATCCGTCGACGGCGGAGAGGGCGATCTCGTTGCATTTGTATTATCCCCCGCTTTCTGAATGTCTAGGTAAGAAATGCTCTTTTTTCCATCAATATGAGCTCGGAACCTGTGAAACAGAGTTTGTGCCAGAAAAAGCTTGAATCAAAGGCCAATTAAAAGCTTTTTGAACACGAAGCCGCGAACTTTTGGCCCTGACTCAGGTTTTCTTCGCTATTTGACTTTAGTTAACAGATTTATCACCCTATTATTGATGCTTTCAGTATTCGACGAATATACAGGAAGAGCGCGACGAGTCCGGCTCAAGCTGTCTTCTTGAAAGAAGCCATCCAATATCCATCCCTCTCCTCTCTCTATTCTCGTTTCAACCCCTTTTTCCGCGCTATTTTCCCCCTCCCTCTTTGTGATTTTGCCTTTTTCAGTCTTGCGCTAGTCTCCTCAACGTAATTGCCAACGAACCAACGATAGGAATGTACCGAATTCAAGAGCACATCCGCAAAACTGTGCCAAAGATGGAAAAGGAAACGGAGCGATTTCAAACCGTCGCCTCCAACTTCGATAACGCCTGTTTCACTCTTGATTCCATCTCCGACTCTGTCAAGCTCGTCGAGAAAGGAGAAAGCGCCATTGACCGAATTGAACGCGATTTGGTCGAGCTCAACAATATCCTTGCTCGAGAATAATTCGAAAAAATCTGCCATTTACTTTTTCTAGCGTTTTTCTCTTTTTAGAACATCGGTTTTTGAACTCAAAAATGGAGGAAGAAGTGGCAGAAACGCTCAGTTTACAGACGATTTTGAAGTCGATTTTGGCTTCGATCTTCGGATTGGAACGGATTTAGATGACCCAATAAATATAACAAAAAAAAAAACTAATTTTAAAACATCACATCAGTTGTTTCTCACCTCCTAAATCCGTGAAATAGACCCTGATTCTCGCATTCTGGCGGATTTTCTGGAAGTTCGTGCTCTACAAATTCCCGTTCATCCAGGCAATAGGTATGTTTCCCTTTCAACACTTCTCTCTTTTATGAAATTTAATTATTTTTGATTAGTGGCGACTGAAGGTAAAAAAATCTCGCTGGTGATCATGCAGCATGATTCATGCTATTTTATAAAACAGGATTTTCTCATAAAATTTTATACTCTCGTTATTTGTCATTCTACGGACATTTGATGATTTTCCATCCAAATTCGGAATACAACTCATTTTCGCTACACTTTTTTCTTTTGATAACGAGTTTAACCATCAAGCCGCTGATTGGCTGAGTTTCTCTCCTTGAAAAGATCTTGGCCAATCAGAATTCGTGATGGGAATTTTCGTTATTTCGAGAAACCATTGTAGAATTTATCTATTTACTCTCTTTTTAGGTGTTAAATGTATCGTTTTAGCCCTTTCTATCTTTTTTCTAACTATTTTTCTAGTGTCGGGAGAAGCACAAGCCCCCACCATTCCAGAAGTCCAGCTTACAGAAGAAGAAGCGCGCCGAGAGCGCGAAATTCGAATCGCCAAAAAGCGCAAAACTCGAAAAGCTGAATGATCTAAATTTTAGATTCTAAAATACCGTCCGTTGCTAGCTTTACTTTCTTCCATTGAAAAAAATACTCGACTTTCCGAAAATTCAAACAAAAAAAGCTCGATAAGTTCTGTTCTCTTCTGTTGATAAAATTCTGAAAATACTAAAATAAATAACTGATAAATTGAAAATCGAATATATGGGTCGCTTTGAGAAGTTGCCCGGTTTTTAAGTTTTTTGAGCATTTTTGGGTTATTTACGAAGAATCCACGTGATAGTTTTCGCAAATTCCGAAAGAAGGATTTTCAAAAAGAAATGAACAAATTTATTCTCGGGTCTAAGGGTATCCTGACACAAAGCAAACTTAGCTTTCAGAAAAGACCGTGAAAAGCGGCTCTTGAACACCTTAAAATACATTTCTTTATTTCAAAAAAGGGATAATACAAAACAAGACCAACAGGACAGACGCTATCTGAAACTGTTGAGCTGACGAGCAGACACCCTTAAGAGGCTTACGAGTAGTTTTGTTATATTTGGGCTCAGAAACCTGTGTTAAAACCCTGACTCAGGTTTCCGAGCCCTAAAATAATGATTAGTAGTATATAAAATATGAATCATATTATATGATTAGTAGTCAATTAATAAAAATTAAGCCCTTTTCCTTATCATCCCTTCTGAAGTCATCTTTACAAATGCATTTGAAGACGTAAAAACCATTTTCCTCCACTTTCCCACAGACTTCATTCTGTCCATTGCACGATCTAAATGTTAATTAATTTGACAACTTTTTACTTTTCAAATTGAATCGACATTGATTGGGAAAGAAAAAGACATCATCGACTTTTACCGCATTTTGCAGTCGGCAATTAACTGTGCCCCTACATAACTATGAATAAATTATTGCTTTTGACGAGCTATAAAAAGACTGCTGAAGGGTAGAAATAACAAAATGCGGCTTTTGACGTTTTGCGCCTTTTTTGTTCTTGGATTTGCTCTTTCTTCGATGGAGAATATGATCCAAAAGATCTGGAGGAGTTTTGAAGCCTCTTTGGAATGCCGAAGAGGTTAGAGGAAAAGATTAATAGTGGGTTAATCTTTCATCTTTTTAATTATCACGGCTTTATAAAAACCAAGACGAATAAGAAATACCGTATTCTTCTTGAAAGAGTCAAAAACTCCAGTTTCGGAGGATGCGATTTTCGATTTTAGGCTTATTTTTGACCGCAGGGTTGAGTTTTAACACCGATGTTTTTGTTGAAATGCTCCAACGTTCCCTCCAAAAATATGGCCCTTCAGTCGCTTGCAAAGTGTATTTTTTTTTTCATCGAAAATTTTCTTGACCCCTTTCTTTCTCTTTATGATTTTTTAGATAAAATCAAAGCTCTCCGAAGACGTCCAACATACGCTGAAAATCTCGAAATCCGGAAAGCTGGGCTCGGGAACCTGTGATGACAACCTGAGTCAGGCTCTAGAACAGCTTAAAGAAAAGCCGCGACTTTCAATAAAATCAGGCTACGCGGCTTTTCATTTTAACTATCTTTTCAGAACCTGACTCAGGTTTTCTGCACAGGTTTGCGAACGCAGCTGGAAAGAATGTGAACTGTGACAACTTTTAGTTTCCTTTTTGTCCAATAAAGTAATGTAAACTCACGTGTATCTGCAAGAAGTGACCACCAAAGGTGATGGTCTCCAGGCAGAGGGGTTTCTCAAAGAATCTTCTGTCGAGGTTGAAGTTGTAAGAGTAGTCGGAGCCGGAGTTATTGGAGTGTAAGGTTTGGTCTCGTCATTATTTTCTTGGGAGATCCAGTTTTCTGGTAGCGAGTTTTCCGTGATTTCTAGAATTTGGGCTTCTCCAATCGACCTAGGGGATTAAAAAGAGCTCTGACCTGGCTTTGGACGGAACTACCTGATGGACACCCTTAGTCGATAAATAGAGAAAAGGTCGGAAAGGACATCATTACAAATCGTCACGTAGATTTGTCGGTGAAGTTCAGTGTTGGCCTGATAAGTGTCTTTACGATGGTAAATATGCTGTCTTTGGTGTTGGATTGTTTCTTCGACAATGAACATTGTGATCTACCATTCCTGTGTCCAGTAAAACAGTGGCATTGACCACTAGAATCGGAGATAAGGAGGGGTAAAAGGTTGAGGTCCAGTTAGGGCCATAAAAATTGATTGGGAAGAGAAAATTTCGAGAGTAATTCTCAGCGTTATCGAACTGGTAGTCGAATTAGGGTTGATCATTGTATATTAAGATCCTTCAATAATAATTTTTAATGATAAACCGTTTATCTCAAGATCAGCTTTGAAAGTAACATCAGTTTCTTCCATCCAAGGACTCTCCCGAAGCCTACTTTCTTGTTCATTTTCTATCTCTAAAAACTCCGGGGGTTCTGTAAAAAGATCGGAAAAGCTAGAAAACGCGACCATGATTATGAGCTGGATCATTTTTGAAGGAAAATAGAAGAGAATGGCATGGATTCTTGAGCTTGAATTAAATATGGAGTCGAAATTTTAAATGGCCGCAATTTTGCAGAAGCTACAGATTTAGATCGCAATAAGATTATCCCTTAGATAGACTGAGAATTGAAAAAACTGATTTTACCACAAAAAATATACTGACACCCTTATTTCGCAAGGTAAAATAAGGGTATCAATACTGAAAATTCTTTGAACGAGCTTTTTATAAGAGTAAATTGATGATCGATTATCATTATGCTAGCTCATAAGTTTGGTATTCAAACAATTTTATTCGGAAATAAGCTAGTCAGAGAAACGGTATTTCGTGTCGAAATCTGTGCCGCGCCGCGTGACTTGCTTCCTACGTGACTGGCTCATTCACTCGTCTGCGCCATTGATGCGTCACGTACGCTGGCGCAGGCGGGCGTCACCGGCGCTCTTCCAGCCAATCAGCGGGCGTCATGGCGCTGTGCGTGGGTGGCGCGCGAGTGCATCGATTGCATTGTGACTCAGCAGCGAATCAGCTCGTGCTACTACGCGCCTCACTCATTCAGCACCACCCTTGATGTCCGCCAAAAGTAGTAAGAGATGAGAAAAGAGATAAAAACTCGTGCAGAGAGCTGTAACTGTAAATCATCCCTCGGCCCGTGTCGCGGCACACCTTTACCAGTGCGCTGGGGAGTTAAACTTATGGAACCCAGCCGCATTGGTCAAGGTGCCACCTGACCGGATGGGAAAATGACAGCATGAAAGGAAGCACAAAGCATTAAGGGTGTCCACATCGAAGAGAATCAATTTCGATGTTGACACCCTTATTGTTCACTTCACATGCTTGGCCTTTTCTCTAATGCCAAAATCGACCTCATGTAATCGAACTGGATACCCTTAACCGGGCTGGACGCTAAAAATCTGTCTTGGTAAATCGTTAGCACCAGAAATTGACAACCATCTGAGAAATCTGGTTGTGAACAGACGGTAGCAAACGGCGCTGATGACACCTTCGACTGTAACTCTCCATTCTATCATTTGACTGTTCTTCAGTTGATGATTTTTTCTGCTGAAAATGATCAAAAAAGAATCTGAATAAAACCATATCTTTCTTCCAAGACGAGATTCCGTGAATTGTCTACTAGACGCCGAAACTGACGCCCAAGATTTGAGATAGAAATCGACAATCTTGGGCAGTAATTAAAAACTCTAATTGACAATCTTGGCCGCTGAAATTCGCTCAGCTACGGTAAATGCTGAACTCGCCAACTAGTGATTAATTTTCCATGAAGCGATATTCCTATTCCAGACCGTCCAAATGAACCAGCTGGTTGTTCCCCTTCCGATATCGCTTATCAACTCAGCATGATTTCAATTTGCGCGAACGCATGCCCAACAAGTGGCTCAGTTAACGAGAAAAGGCTAATTCAAGAAGCTGATTTCTATTTTTTTTACTTTTGTACTTTTTCTTTTGTTTTATTTCTGAAAAATGAAGACAAATACTGTTTTGGCGACTGTATTGGCCCAGGCCGCGAGCGGACTAAGAGTTGATTTCGGAAATAATGACTCGAAAAGTTACAGGTAAACAGTAAGGGAAGGGACTAAGCTGGGCAACCTGTGTTGAAAACCTGAGTCAGGGTCTTGAAAGCGTTTTTATGAAAAGCTGCGACTCAGCGACCCTAACCCTGACTCAGGTTTGCTTAACAGGTTGCCGAGCCCACGGTGACCCCCTTAAAACACTATGTTTGCAGATCACTAGACGAGCTCCAGAAGCAACGCGTCCGGGCCGCCTCTAGAATCGCCACCGACCGCGAATCGTTCATCGCCAATCTTCGCAAAAACAACTTTTTCGCCGTTCCCGAATTCGAAATCACAAAAATCGTAGACTTGAATGTCGACCTTCGCGATGTGCGACCAAACGACATTGATGTTGATTTTCTGAAAATGAATCGCGGCTTTGGTTTTTTTGGAGAGTGACGATCCTCAAAGCCGAAGTCCGAGAAAGACGATTTTGGATGATGAGCCGAAAGAAGAGGTTTTTGAGAGCTTTTCAGAGGAGGCAATCGAGCTGGATTTTGAGGCTTCCGGGGAAGGATCAGGAAAGAGTCTTGAATAGAGGACATACTTTGAGTCTAAGACCTAATCTTTTTGTATCGGGCAATTTTCAAAACTCTGCAGGCTCCGATCCATTGACAACCGAGAGTCCACTTACAACCGAAAAATCTACCGTAGAATGGATGGAAGAAAATACCACTCGATTGGAACTGTGGTCAACCGTAAACGGATACGAAAATGAAGAATCGACAACATCAGAGATTTATACAACATCTGGGACAACAACATTGGAACCAACTCAAACAACTCAAAATGCTGAAACAAGATTTAATCCAATAGATAAGGCAGCTTTTTTCGGCAATCCAGGGGCGGTTCTCTTCCTTGATTTTTTGAACTTTATTGAGCAAGAATTGATTTGAACCAAGAAACAGTTACTACTGAGAGCAATCAGCCAATCACTTCCGTAATCAAAATCGAAAATGAAGCTCTCTCAATCGCTCCCTCTGTTGATGTTCAGTGCTCTGCAAAAACCATCTGCGTCGAGTTCACCAAGTCCTATCTCGCCCAACACTGGCACGAGGACAAATGGTGGGGTCTCCACTTCAGCCAGCTCTGCAACGAGCTCCATGTTTATGAAGACGCGACGACGTTTAAAATGTGTCTTGGGGATGAAAACACTTCGGATTTTCTCAACTGCGGGACGAACCTGAACACCAATGCGACCCATGCTGTTTTCTCCAACCACGTGACTCACTTCTTCCCCGATCGATCGAGCACAGCTGGATTGGAAGTCGGTACTTTTGGAACGCAGAAGATTTTTGAGTGGAAATGCACCTACCCGCTTCAGATGGTTCATAGTTCCGAAGTGCGCCAATGGACGAAAATGAAAACAGCGACAAATAATCATCTTCTTCTGAAATGAGAAAAATAATGATCAATAATGTCACATTGTAACCCTTACCCTCACCCTAACCATAAGCCTAATCGTATATGAAAAAAACCATAGAACCATAAAATTCTTCATCTCATCTTTGTTAATGCATCAATAAATAAAATATTTCAATAAATAAATATGTCATTCTCTATGATTCAAGCACTTATTCAGAAGCACCCATTCCTACAGTCGGAGCGCGTTACTGTTCAAACGAAAGTCATTCACGAATTTATGAAAGTGTAAATTGACACAATTATAAAACTGACGATTACTGAATTTCTCGCAAAACTGAATCTTGAGAAAGACAAAATAAAAAAAAAATGGAGCCAGTCAATGATATAAATGATCAATTACAATCAAATAGAGAGATTACTCCGTCAAGAAGTAGACCTATCTCGAGAGAAGAGGTTTCAATTCATTCTTTTGTAGCTTGCGAGAGCGAAAAAAAGTGTAACTACAGGGAAGCTGTCTGGGCTATTCTTGTCCTAATTTTTGCCGGCGGTATCGTTTTGGCCATGACTTTGCCCTTCATTCTTGAGCCATTCAACACGACAACAACTACAACTACGACAACCACAACGACAACAACAACTCCTTTCGACGAAGGTATCAAGAGTTGTCATTTTTTCTATTTTCAAATGAATTCTAAAATTGCCCTCAGATTGGGCAAATTGCGCGAGATGCAAAGAACGAGTAGACATATGGAACCAAACGCGCGGCAATAATGATGACGATGAAGGATGCTTTCAAGATGGTTTCGACTTTATTCAAAGATGCCCGAATCGGAATGATTTATGCTCAGCATCTCTTTGGGCCAAAATGTATTCTGATGGAGAAATTTTATACGAGATAAAACGAGAATGCGTTGGCAAGGATTTTGACAGGCAATGTTATAGTTCAAGCTTAGTTCAAAATTGTACATCTTTGTGTGACCCAATAGCAAGCGGCATCGGCTGCAATGTTGGCCTTGAGGATGTTTCAGATCAATTTGAGTCAGAAAATAATGTGACAAGTTGTTATCAATGCGATCACGTTGGTAATCCAAGCAGTTCGGACTGTGTATATTTGCCCGCGAATCTCACAGGGGATGAATCTGTTGAATGCCCTCGATATGCCAATTCAGCATGCTTATATGCTAGTGCTATAAAAGCCACGGAATTTCATAAACATTACTATCATATTCGATTTTATTTTAAGTATTCCGCTTGAAAGAGCAAACAAAACCAATTTTACAAAGCGGAGTCAAATCAAGAGAATATCATCGAGGATGCGTGCCTTTTGAGCTTGAAAATGTAGAAACTTGCTATGAAGAAACTTATACTGACGGCCGTAAAAAAATATAAAACAACATATTGCAAAAGCACATGTTCAAATAACAAATGTAACGATGAAGACTTGACCTTCATTCCTCCAGTACAAACGACCTCGACCACAACGACAACAACGACAACAACCACCACCACAACAACAACTACCCCATTTGACAAAGGTAAGTCCGAGAAGTTATCGTTAACGAAATAAAATTTATCTACCAATGAGAAAGTTTCCTTTGAAGTTTCGCGTTTCTATATTCATTTGAGATTGGGCGAACTGCGCGAAGTGTACGGAAAAAGTCGATATTTGGAATAAAACGATCGGAAAAGGCGATATTGGATGCTTTCACGATGGCAGCGATTTCATAAAAAGATGTCCGGGTCAAACTGATTTGTGCTTGACATATCTCTTGGCAAATATGTCCATGTCTGGAGAGATATCCTTTGAGATTGGACGGAACTGCGTAAATAATAATGTTGAAGAGGACTGTTATGTGTCTGATTATTCTCGTGGGACTCAGCTCAAAAACTGTACGTCTTTGTGCGACCCAAGAACGACTGGCATCGGGTGTAATTTAAACCTTGAGGAAGTTTCAGAAAAATTCAAGTCAGAGAACGATGTGAAGAGTTGTTTTCAATGCGATTACAGAGGTTCTAACCCCAAATTTTCGAAATGTGTTAATCTGCCCCGGTATCTGGTCGGGAACGAGACTGTTGAGTGTCCTCGATATGCAAATTCAGCTTGCATGTATGCTAGTTCCGAACGAGCCACGGAATATCGTCTTTATCTTTATTTGTTTATCTTTTTTTAAGTATTCCGTTTTTAAGTACAAACTCGGCCAATTTTTCAAATCCAAGAGCTTCCTGGGGAATTTTATCGTGCATGCGTACCATTCGAGCTTGAAAATGTTGATACGTGTTACACACAATATTCTTCTGATGGCCGTAAACGATACAAAAATAAATATTGCAAAAGCACTTGCTCAACTAAAGATTGTAATTCGGAAAGCCTAAGCGCTGTTCCTCCCGTTCAAACCACTTCAACAACTACAACCACAGGCGTTTCCGAGACAACAACAACAAAAATCGGTAAAAATTGAAAATACATCTTTGAAATTGCAAAGCAATAATTGCATTAATAAACGTAAATTATAGGCTTGGCTGTTTGTGCTCGGTGTGCTGAAATACTTGGAATTTGGAATAATACCATCGAAGGCCAACCTGGATGTTTTAAATATGGACAACAATATAATCTCCCCTGTCCTGAAGGTTATGATCTCTGTCATACGTCATTGATTGCAGCTATGGGTCGTTACGGGATGATGACATTCACAATTGCTCGCGGTTGTATAAAGACTACAGATAATCAGCCTATAAATTTTTGTACGAGTGGACTTGGTACTTTTACACAACACAAAGAATGCGCAATTACATGTAATCCCTCAATTGCCGGAAGAGCCTGTAATTCAGGCTTAGAGGAAATATCAGAGAAATTTGAGTCAGAAAATGCTGTCAAACGATGCTTTCAATGTGATCAGGAGAACCTTAATGGTTCCTTGTATGGAAACCAAACTTGTTCTTATGCTCAAAATTCAACTAGTAAAAGTGTTGAGTGTCCCCGATATTCAAACACAGCTTGTTTCTCTACAAGTGCAAAACTTGTTTCTTATCCTCCATTAAAAGAAGAGTTTAATCAGTTCGCTCATCGTGGTTGCGCTCCGTTTGAATTTAAGAATGAAGAGTCTTGCTATGCATACAACTCCACGGGAGAAGAATTCAGCGGCTGCCAACAGACGTGCACGACAAACGACTGTAATTATGAAAATATGCATGGTTTCATCTAATTATTGAATTGTATTTGAATGAGGCAATCGAGACTGATATATTATCACAATAGCTTTTTCATGCAATATTGCTTGGAATAAAACAGAATTATGCAAGAGTCGAGTCTTCTGTTGGGCATTTTCTTGTCGCTCCATAAATTGCAACGAGCATGACCATTGTGATAAGCGTTATCAGTGCGATTAGAAAGTGGTTGATAAAGTTAAACTCGGCATCAAAAGTTGCTTCTTCTCCTTGTTCCCCAACGAGTCCTGTCGCTGGATCAATTATCAAGTACTCAGCTTTGGAATAGCCAGTGAATCGAATGGGACCAAGGGAGACAACATTTTGACCATCGTAAGAAACATCTCTTGGAGATCGAGATTTTGCGCATTCGACAGCGCAGCTACCATCAAAGTCTTCGATGCAGACATTGACTTTGCAGTGCATGTAGACATTTTCAGAGTTTGTGAATCTAAGAAAATCATCATCAACGAAGAAAACTTTTGTCTTACTTGAAAACTCGGGATTGCCAGAGAACTTCGGATTCTTGTCCATTTTCGCGGATCGTCATTTCGATTTGTGAGCCGATTGGAGTTGTGCAAAAATCGTCGTAGAACTCGAAACCATCCTTATCTTTCAAAAAGTTACGAAAATGGATTGCGTTTTATGGTTTTTACCGTTGATGTCTTCAGTAGGAGTTGCCCAGCAAGAGACAACTTGAAGGTTTGTCCCATTCATTGGTTCTTCGAGAACGACTTTCATGTTCAGAAAATTTCCTGTATCCAAAGTCGGGCTAAAAATTGTCTCACTCAAATCCTAAAGAAATTATTTTACCTTGAAAGATTGATCAAATCCGTGTAGTTTTCATCGGCATACAATTCAAAATCCACTCCAAACTTTCCAGAAGCATCGAGTGAATCGATGACGATCTTTTTCGCTGTATTTTGGCCTCTATAAAAGTGAATGAAAGAAGACTTGGAGCGTTCTTACTTATAAAGAGAATCTAGGACAAGGGATTAGCAGCCCGCTAGAAATAGAACGCGGCAGGAAGCCTAGTAACCAGAGGCAGGGATTCCCAGGAGGCAGCGGAAGGTGTCAAAGGCGCCCGAGAGCACCTGGTTTCGAGCGGGTGCCCCGGAATCACGCAGGTTCATTCGAAAGGTTCTTAGCCTACAGCTAAAACCTTAAACGAGGAATTTTAAATAGAGCCTTTTTCTCAGCAGAAGCATTACCAATAAGACTCCTAGCTGAATCAAAAAGACTCTAGGTAGACCATCAATCGATGCTACCTGCTTATTTCACCTCTAAAAGTCCACGGACTATAAAATCATTCAGCCTCAGGCAATTACGCCTCGAAGGCTCTGGGATTCTTACTCAGTAAGCGGCCGCAGCGGCGCGCCGAGCCGAGCCAATCAGCTTCAGGCTTCTTAGATTCAGAGAAACCCTCTTCTTAGAAATTCGGAATTCCTGTTTCTTCCTCGAAGCCCTAGACTTGCTGACCCTCTCATTTAGACATGATCGAGGAGGCCTTCGTCAAGGCAGCGCTGGAATTCGGCCCCAAATGGGGAGTGGCTTTGGACTCGGATCCAACACGCCCAATCGAGAACTCCCAAAGAAGACTCCAAACCCTCAATGAGGAAATCTCTAGGAAAGGATCTCTTCTCCTCAGAATCTTTTAGGAACGGGCTATCCCGAACACCTTCCAAATTTAGGATAGGTTTTGATCCATTTAAAGAAACACTCTGCTCTTAATGAGTCAGATAAATTGGAGAAGAATTTCCCGCACTGCAATGGCGGAGCAAAAGATTGCCACGAGACTCGTCAGACTTTATGTCCCCTCGGATGCAAACGAGCCTCTCTCGAATCACAGGCTGATGTTCGATCTGCAGACTCCCTCAAAAGCGAGATTCAATTTCGCAGAGCTCTCCTCGTGGTCCCAGATCATTTTCACGGCGCCATCAGGAAAAGAATCACTCTGGGTCGCTCACAGGAGCAACGAGCCTGGTTTCATACTCTCCATCATCGCAGACGAGATTGCAGAAGCAGAAACCGACCTCGCGGATTCTTGGCAACTCGAATCAAAGCCATATCCATTTAAGCCAATGGAGAGCCCCACGAAGCTTCTAAAAGCAGACTCAGCGGGCACGACTGAGGACCCAAGCGTCAAGCTGGACGAATGCGAAACCATCTCCAATCTACTCGAAGCCCTGAAAATAGAAAAAGGACCAATAAGAATCGTGGCCAGGAGGCTAGACTCTCAGCGTAACTCGGAATCCCAAAGCGCGATGGAGAAAAGCAGACTCTTTCCGAACAACATCTCGGAGGAGCTCAACAAATGGGCGAAAATCAAGAGCCAAGACTGGTTCCGCGAGTGGGAAGACCTAGAAAATCAAGATATCCTGAACGAGGGATTCTGGCATTTCGTTTGCCTCCGAGTAATCGGTGAGAGCAAAATCAAGACCCAGGCGAATTACGAACGCCCAAGCTTCACGGACGACAATTGGCTCCGAAGACTCATAAAGAAAGGTCTTGAAACGATTTTCGACGCAATGCCAAGGTCAGACGCTTTTATTACGCCAGAAGAACTACTGGACTCGCTCAAGATGCTGAAGTCTCTCCACAGCGACTGGCATGAAATTTGCCATCAGAAAAATGCCTGGCTAGAACTCAAAGCAAACGAGGACACCCAATGGGCGAACAAAAAACCGGCGAATATGAACGCATGGATCATCGACATAATCGGCGAATATGCATCGGAAGACTCACCCATTCCGAATCCGACTCCCTTAACAAAGATTCTCTCACCACTGCTGCTCCACCTGGTGCAAAAACAGCTCATCCAAGACTCAGTCATTGGTCAAGACGGAAGCTGCAAGGAAATGCCCACCCAATGGCACGTGGACTGGAGCGAACTCAAGGATTCCCGGTCCCTCAAAAAGTGGCTGGAGTCAGCGGCGAAAAAAGTTAACCCGATTAATACCACGGTTAGAGTCAAAGAAGTTGGAAAAGGGGATTCCCACTGGATCCTGTGGATTCCTTACAAAGTCGTACCTCAAATATGGGTTTTCAACTACGGCGAGGACTCTGATTTTATCAAAGCGAAATCCCTCCTCTCCCTTGCAGCCCACCCAGCGCTCACGCCGTTAGAATCAGAGGCGCTCGAGAAGCTAGCCTCCAAACCTTGGACCACCCAAAACGTCAAAGAATGCATCTCGGCGTTCCAGAAGCCAACAAGAAACTTCTACGCCTCAGGAGCCTGCTTAGTCGGAGTCAACCGCCCCTTTCGAACTCAGAAGATCATCCTGGAAATCATCGCCAAGGTTGTAAGAGACACAAAAGCCCATTCTCACTTGCGCTCACTCGAGCATAACCTCGGAATCTTATCAACTGGCTGGAACTGGGCAAAAGGCAAAAGATTCAGCCCAAACAAGACTCTGGACAACTTCATCGACACCTGGATGCAGAAAAGAGAAGAAGTCACGGGAGTCACGAGACTCAGATTCCTTCGAGAACAACCAGAAAAGAGAGAAAGATCGTGCGAATGGCCAATGTGTGGGGAAGCGGAAGCGAGCACGACTTGGTGTAAAACACATCAAGGATTCCAAGAACTCAAAGAATCTCGCCAACCAGACTGCTCAGAGAAATGCCGAGTCGCAAACGGCTTCATACAAAAAGGACTCCCCCAGGGCACAAAAATGTCCATCGACAGCGAGGAATGGCAAGAAACCTTCTACAAACTCTCCGAATCTTTCAAAACGACTATGCTAAAGGACGCTGGCGAAGACCTCATCCAGAGAATCCAGACCAGCGTAGTCGAAGGATTCGACTCTATCGTAAACGCTTGGAAATCCACGGCAATCCTTTTTCAGGGAGAAAACGACACAGCAGCGAACCTCAGCGAAAGTTTCCGGAAGTTCGGAAGAGTCTTAAAAAGACCACGATTCGAGAATCCGGGAGCAGCTGGAATAGTCATCTACCACGCAGGGCTAGAAAGATGCGGAGGAAAATTCGACGCTTTCGTAGTTGGAAACACCTCAACCAGAAAGAATCAACATCTCCCGAGACTGGCGGATTCTATCTCCAAAAAATCTGGAGACAAATGGATGGAAGTAGCGAAAATTATCAGCGAACTCACATGCCAGAAAAACACAGTGCTGATTCTCCCTTCACAAAAAGACGCCAAAAAACTCAGAGAAGCTCTCGTCACCTGGTCGGCACCTTACGTTAAATTCGTCACCCAGGGCCCAACGAAGAATCTTCATCGAACACTCCAAGGGGACAAAAACCCAAGAATCTCGGGACTCTGGGAAATCTTCCAAATGGCCTGCGATGGGGACTACGAATCTGCATTTACCCCGTGTTGGGCACACCCCAGGGTGGCGGAAACGATGTTCAGATGCTGCAACGGCTTCGACGCTAAAAACCGAGCAGTCTCGAAAATAGACAAGCTCAAAATAAGAGCCAATCGAACAACCTGGGAGAATGTGACGGCCAAAACCCACATTCTAGCCCCAGACGCACCGTTCACGACCCACATCAGGGACATAATCCTCGACGGAATCAAGGCAGCGGAGAATCTTGACCTAGACCACGGAGAGGAAGCCAAAGTCGAGAATCTCTTCCCGAACGTCTGGTCTCAAGACCGCCAAAACATCGAAGAACGATTCGCTCGTCTGAATGTCGCTGAAGCCACGGGAAGCGACTAGAAAACGACTCCAAAAACTTCACCAAAATACAGTCAGGAAAAGGGCCCAAAAGAATCAGAAATTTCCAAAGAAAAAGTGAAAAAAAAGAGACTCGGAGCCCTCGAAAAGACTCAAAAATCGCCCAAAAACCCCCCTTTTCTGCCGCAAACAAGCTCAAGAATCTTCAACCTCAGGAAAAGACTCGCTAAATCTGTTAAATTCTCACTCAAAAAGAATCTACTTCACTTTCAATTAGCAAAAATCACAGAAAAAGAGTCTTACGAGAGAAAAACACTTTTTCCTCGAACTGCGCACCACCTCCACCACCAATCTCCACAAAAAAAGATCCGAAAGAGCACAAGAATCAGGAAATGGTCTCAAGAATCTAAAGATTTGAATCAAAATAGCATAAAATCCAAATTGGAGACCGTGGGAAAGTTGCAAAGTTGACTCACGAAATAGAGCGCGCTGATTGGCGGAGCACCAAAACGAGCCAGGATAAGCCAGGGCTCAAGCGAAATTGCCTAAATCAGCTTCATTTCTTCTCCAACAAAAAGAGAATCACCCAGAGCCCTTTATAAAGAGAAAAACCACTGGATTCCGCTAGAATCAGACGCGTCAAAACCAGAGAATCAAAAAAAAAAGATTCTTCCCTTCCGGATCTTAATTTAGACTCTTTTTCTCGTGCTTCTTTTTAAAATTTCGCTCTTTCTTTTCAAATTTTCCTTGCGCTCCTCCAAACAAAACTAGCCAAAACCAAAATTTCGACTCTTTGCTAACAAAGGCGTTTCTTCAGACTCTAGAAATGACCCGAGACGCACAAGACGCACAGATTCACGACGCTGAAGGGCTCGAAAGACTCCGAGAGGAAGCCGGAATCACCAAAAACCCGATCGACGAGCCAGACTACTGGAGGAAGATCAAATCGGCGATCAAGATGGACCCGGTGACTCAGTTCCCGCAGGAATCGAAGGGACGAATGCTCATTCGACTCAGACTGAAGATTGGAGACAGATTCAAAAATCTTCTCGAGCAAATGGTCGAAGGAATGGGTCAGAAAATAAAAAGAAAAAGAAACTTAAAAAAAAAGAAAATTTTTTAAATATTGAAGAACAATTTTCATAACAGACTCTCAAGCCTTAGAATCGGCTTCTATTAAAATTCTGACCCTCATTAAAGGACTCACCGACCCCAACGCTCAGATGTCCCTCGATGGCTGGCAGAAATCCATCAACGACATCTCCCGAGTCCTCTCCGAGCTCGTGCGCGAAGAAAACCAGAAAATCGCCGAGGACGACCGAGCCCAGTCAGACCAGAGTCTCTTCTACGGCTGCCTCAACGCCGCCAAAGCCGCCATGGACGTCCACCCGCTCCTCAACATCGTCTACATTGAGGAGTCACTCGTGATCCCGGAAGGAAGACTCCCAGCGTATCAAGAAAGAGTCTCAGCTCTCAAGGAAAAGGGTCAAATTAAAACTCTACACATTAAGTCGAGCCTTACAACTTTAAAAAAACCCTTTCAAAAGTCAAGAGCGGACTTTCTCCTCCGCCAAGATCGACTCCCCAAAGATGGCAAAGACTCTCTGCGTAGCTGGAAGAAGCAAAGACGAAACGAGTACGTCAGCGATGGAGTCCCCAAAGACATTGCAGCTACGCTGGCAAGACGCGATTCAAGGACCATCGGCTGGACGTCGCGACGAGACGGAACGACTCAGACTCACCCGGTGGAAGCGCAGCAGGCAAAATGCCAGGAATCCCAAACCACCCAAGGAAAGGCTGAAAGAATCTCAAAGAAAAAAGAGATTCATTTAAAATAAAAATTGAAATTAAAACTCGAATAAAAATTAATAGAAAAAATGACGCACCATAAAACAAATCCACATAAGAAAAGGTGGATGAGCTCTTGGCCTTTCAATTTTGACTCACTTAGGCCAATTCAAAAAATAGAATCAGTCCTGATTTCAAAGAATCCAAAATTATCAAAAATCCATTAAAAAGCCAATTCAAAACCCTCTTTCAGCCAAAAGATTCAGACTCGGCAGACTCGGCGACTCAGACGGAGAATCCAACTTCCTCAGTTTCGACTCAGACTCAGCAACCAGACCCTGCTCCAGCACAAGACTCGGCCAACAACGAAGAGGCAGACAGCGTCTCAGAACCAGATCTGTACGAAGACTCGTACAACGCCCGTTCAGGAAGGAGTCATAGAATTCCTAAAACATTTAAAGTCGAGCAAAAGTAACCACATAAAAAGAGAATCATATTAAAATTGTAACAATCAAAAGACTCCACCCAAAAGACCCAACTCAACTCATGCCTCCGGCCAGCCAAAATGCTCCAGTAGACTCCGAAGATGGCTTTTCTTCAGACGAAGAAATCATGGAAGAATCCGGCGGAGAAGAAGATGAAGCTACAGTCGGATTCCCAGAGACTCAAGCCCAGAAAGAACAACAGGACTGGAGCAGACGCACAGACACACTCTTCGAGTCAGCGGCGGAGCAGAAAGAAGCAGAAGAAAGACGAGTCAGAATCGCTGCCCAATGGAACGAGCCGCTCAAAGACATCAAGGAAGAATCCGAAAGCAACGCATCAGTCAGAATGGAGCAGAAGGAAAAAGCGGAAGCTGAAAGACGACTCCAGAAAGAAGAGTTCGAGAAGATTCAGAAGCTGAAGCAAGAACAGGAGGACAAAGCGAGAGCCAGAGAAGCCATCAGACTCCGAATGCAGCGACAAGTGGATGAAAACACCAGAATCCGACGCGAATACCACGAGGAAATTCAGCGGAAGAAGGAGGAAGAAGAAGCTCAAAAAAGACGCCTCGCCCAAGACAAAGAAGCAGAAGAAAGACGCCGAGCAGCCATCAAGGCAGACGAAGAGAAAGTCCTCACCAAACCAGAAGTTGGAATCAGGCTCGTCGCAGAAACCGGCAGAAGAGGGAATCACTACTACCTGTCGAAGAAGGAAGCGAAGCTTATGAGCAGAATCTCAGGATCGGTTAGCACAGCAAAACTAGCTAAAAACTTCTTCAAACAAAAAAGAGTCTAAAAGAACTGGGCTAACCAAAATAAGTCCGAGCCATGCTCGATAATCGCCAAATCCAGAACTTCGAAGAAATCAGGCAAGCTTGGTTCAACAGCGAAGGACTCCTCAAATTCAAAGACTCCAAAAACCCGGGCCACCGCCACTACAAGTACACCCTCCGATCCGGCTGGACCATCAAAGAAGGCACCGAAAACTGGAAGCTGGATCCAGTCGCCAGACTCAGCGCAGAGGAACGACGAGTGGTCCATTACTTGGTGGAATTCCTCAACTACCAAGGAATCAAACGAAGATTCAAGGAGGCACTAGGTAAGAGCATATCTAAACATCGAAAATACAGAATCTAATTCATTTCTAGACACTGGACTCCTCAACCCGGCCAAGATGGACGCGATCCTCGTCTTTGCCTACAAGATCTGCGGCGGAAACCTGGTCCACTACGTCCGATTCGTGTTCGTCCGACTCTTCAGACTCCACGACATCCCGATTCCCCCAGTGCACTCAGACGCCGCCCCAAAACCTCCACGCCACTACTAGAAAAAGAAGAGAAGAAACTCTTACCAGACTCTTAGACTCATATTGCCTTTTTCCTCAAAACATTGAAACAGAACTTACCTCTTTCCATTCTCCAAATTCAAAAAGCTGTACATAATAAATAATTCGATCTCATCAGAAGATCTTCGCCTCTTTACTTCGAAGCATCACAAAATAGGAATCTAAACCGTAAATCCTCAAGCTACAAGATAAAAAATCTTGTAATTAAAATATATGAAAACTCGCCAAATTAAAAGAGCCAAAAAATTCAGAATGGAGAGTCAAAATGCAGAGCCGCCAGAGGAATATAAATTACCTTCAGAGTCAGGCCAGGGCAACAAAGAGTCACAAAAACGCCAGAATCCCCTAAACCAATGACTTTAAAAAAAAGAGCCCCTAAAAAGAAGACTCGAACGACGAAGCTCCACCTTCGGACCAACCGGAAAGCCCGCCAAACGAGAGCCAAATTGACTCGAAGAATCCTCAGCAAGGGCAAGGCACTAGCGTGAACCTGGAGAGACTCAAAGGGCTCGTTTGGGACATCCAAAACAGCCTCAACACAAACGCTTCCATCCCACCAAAAAGAATCTTATGCTACGGCGAGACGCTGGATGACAAGATCAATAATCTAGCAACAGAAGCTGCCAAAATCATCTCCGAGTCCCAAGAGGCCTCAAAAATTATGAAAACGATCCTCCAAGAAGCCGAGCATGAGGGTCTCCAGGGAATCCAACTGCTAGACGCCTTCCAAACCATTGCCATAATCGCGCACAGCCCATCCATAGGAATCAACCGAAGACTAGCGTCCACAAACAAGGTGGAGCTAGAGACGATTCAAGACACGCTGGAACTGACAGTCAGACCTGTAGTGGAGAAGCTTATGAAGCAAGTCCACGCTTCTAGCGTCTACAATTCGGCGGAAATAACCTTCTGGGCCAAAATGATGGAGCCACTGGAAAGAGACTCAGTTTCAAAAGATGATCTTCGGAAGCTAGAAGAGGCCGCGGCTTGGATCTTGGGAAGGCTCTGGAATGAATCTGCAGAAGCCATCTTCAGAATGATCTTAGCGAGATGCAAGCCACCAGAAAACCTCAACTCTCGAGCATCACCAAGAATGACGCTCATAGCTCACATTTGGAACATCAGATTCAAAAAGATTCTAGAGTTGAGCCCGGACAAAAGACACGCTTCCTTCGCGAACGAAAGACAACTCAGCATCTCCATCGCCAACTCAATATTTGGAGAAATCCTTTTCCAGATAACGAACACGCGATGCATCTTTCCAAGACTCCTATCAAGTGCAGCAAGATCAGCATGGACCCACCTTAACACGCTTTGCGGAGCATCGAATCCCATCAGTCTGACGCTCAAAGAGTTCTTAACGAACATTGACTCGAATCAAGATTACACGGCCTGGGACGCAATCCGTACGCTGCGCAGAATCTGGCCACCGAGAGATTGCATCGCTGATGCTGAATATAGAGCCCTCAATCTCAACGACATCGACAACCGCCTCGAAAGAGGACTCGAAGATCCATCCTCACTTTACGGCACCACATACGAGAAACTCTTCTGGAAAATCCCGATTCCGAGAAGCTATGAGTCCGCCCGCACAACCGCGGGATTCAAACGAAAGAGAGCAAACGAAGAAGACGAAGAGCTGGAAAACAATCGAATCAGAGATGCAGGCCATGGCGAGCAAAGGGATCTTCAATAAACTCAGATTCCCAATCATAAACCCAGTAAACATTCACAATGATTCAATCACCGGCCCAAAATCCTTACCTGAATGGAGAGTCTACGAGACAGATCTGCTTCACAGAGTCATAAAAGTCCTAAATAACGAGATCAAGCCCGACTGGAGAGAACTGACGCTCAAAAAAGAATCCGATTTCATCGCCGGCCAATGGACCCACAACAAAGACAACTGGAGAGCCTTAATCCATCAGATGCCCGAGAAAGTAAAGCCTCTCATCTACCACTTTGTCCACGCCGGAGCAGACCTATTTTTGAATCTCAAAAGAATACCGCCGAAGAAGCCAGTCAAATTCAAGCGAAAGGAACTGGTAACTATTTGGAAAAGAAACTCAGCCAACGCGGACACCCTTAGGAAGATGGACGGAAATTTCAAAACATGGTACAACCACAGACTTAGACTCTCAAAATTTGTGCCTCGACCATACGAAAAAATCGGCAAGCGATTCAAGACTCTCACAATCCCGAGTCAGGAAGCTGTAAGAGAAAGAAGCGACGAGATTGCCCAACAAATTACCGACTGGTGCGAAATGGGCTCAGTAACAAGAGTCACAGAAGCCAAAGGATGCTGGATCCGCGCGGGATTCGTTCTGGTTGACAAGCCAGGCAGGGAGACAAGAGTCTGCTGGAACGGTGGAGTTCTCAAACCGCTTCAACTATACACGTTCCCGTGTAAATTGGAAGGCATTGGAACAGCGATTCAGATGCTCAAAAGAGGGGATCTACTGTACAAATTCGACGATAAAAAAGGTAAAACAGCAGCAAAACTTCAGAACCAAAAACTCAAATCTAGGATTCCACCAGCTCCCGCTCAGCGAAGAGAGCAAGAAACTCGCCTGCTTCGAATGGGGAGGCCAATATTTCAGAAACAATATTCTAGCATTCGGAATCCCAGCCGCGCCCGGAATCTACCAACTCATGAATCTGTGTGGAGTCAATTTCCTGAGGAAAAACGGAATCAAAATCACGCTCTATTTGGACGACAGACTCTTGGCGGTTACTCCAGAATCTGAGGAAGAACGCCGCCAGCTGCTGTCGGGAGAAAAAACCAGCAAGGAAGTCTGGGCAACGGTAGCGACGCTAGTAGCTCTAGGTGGCTATGTTAACATCGCGAAAAGCACCTTCGAGCCTACCCAGAGAATAGAATTCCTGGGCTTCATTCTAGACACGGAAAACGAGACGGTAGAGATACCAATTCAAAGATGGTCAGCCCTAAAGAATCTCATGAAAGATGCCGAGGCAGAGGCAGAAATTCCGACGCGGACACTGGAAAGAATCAGAGGCACAATGGCAAGCATGGCGGAAGTCCTCCCGAACATGAGAATGCTCATCCGTCAAACAACAATCCTCATCAGTGAAGCCATCAGGAATGAAAAAGAATCCTGTATTCTGACTCAAGAAGTCCGAGAGGAATGGAGACTTTGGAATCTTCTGGAAGAAAAAGGACTCAAGAGGCATTGGACCAAATTAAATCGACAAGAAACCGGTCTCATAATATACACAGACGCTTCTTCGCACGCAGGAGCCATCGTCATCGAGCACTGGAAGCTAGAAGAAAGATTCGCGTGGGAGCCGGACGTAGCAGACAAACACATCGGTATCAAAGAAGCCCTCGCGATCCAATACACACTCGAGTGGTACGGTCAGAAGCTTCAGAACAAGAGAGCGCTGTTCCTCTGCGACAACGACAGTGTGGTTCAAGGAGCGATAGCGGGTAGCAAAGACCCGGAAATGAATCGGATTCTAGTGAGAATCTGGACTCTGGCGCATCGCTTCAACATAGACATGAAGGTCGATTGGGTCAGCACAAAGAAGCAGCTGGCTGACGCTCCTTCCAGGGATTTGGACTCGAGGGAGCAAAAACTAACGGCAAATGGATTCGCTTATCTCCAATCTCACCTCCGGGATCCGCTCGACATCGACGTGGCAGCAACGGTAAGACTCAAACAGCGAAGCGGACTCGCAAATAAACTTCCATTCCGTTCAGCCACTCAACAATAAATGCAGAGACTTCATCGCACGCCGAGAGACGAAAGGAGCCTTTGGAAAAGACTTCCTAAGCTTCCCAATCCACGCACTTATCGGAAAAAAATTGTATGCGTTCCCGCCTCCGAAGATTTCTCACAAATACTACAACAGACTCACCGAAATAGCAACGCCCTGGGCTCTGGTGGTGCCATGCTTTGAAGCCGAACCTGTAGTGGTAACACAGGCAAGACTCAAAGGCTACAGAATCTTTGACATACCGGCGGATTCCATCCTCACGCCCTCAAAAATAAAAACTGCTGAAGGCTACTGGAAAGTCGCGCTAAACATCTCAACCATAAAAATTATTGCTAATAGACTCTGAAGCTCTGCAGCCTCTCTCTTAGACTCACCATTCATCCAATTCACGGAAAACACAAATCTGACTCTCAAACCCTCTGTTTTTAGACTCGGAATCAATTGAAAAAATGGCGGAACAGACCAAAACCCTCTCCAAGCTTCTTTCTGACCACACGAAGCTCACGGAGCAGGAAGCGAAGACGCGGGCGGTCAGAGTCCAGATCACCAAGGCAGCATTCTACGAGCATTCAAAGACTCAAGCTCAAACGGAAGAGGCTGATCGACTCATCGTGGAAATTGAGGACATCAGAAAAGACATGGCGACTCACGATAAGCTCACCGACTCCCTCATTGTAAGTAATCTCCACCAAACGCAGAAAGAACTCCCTCTTATTACAGAAAGAGATCGCGGAACTCGAAGCCAACCGCGACAAGAGTCTCGAGATCAAAAAACGAGAGCCCAACGCCAAAAAGCGATCGGAGGAGGAAAACAAATTTTATGACCGTTGGAATCCATCGGAAATAGAATCTAAACTCCGCCGCCTGATTGCCGACAAGATGGAGCGCTACAGCCTCAAGGGGTCCATGTTCGCCCAAATCAAAGCTCGAGAAACGAAAATCACCGAGCTCTCCCAAAACACGACCGAGTCAGCAGCGGTCTTCAAGGAAAAGGACCCGCTCACGGGTGTAGAATCCTATTTCATGGTAAGAATAAATAGTAAAAAGAAAAAGAAAAAAATCTTACATCCTAATTTTCAGACTCAAGTCGGCTCAACGAGCCTTCCACAAGATGAAGGAGACTCCCTCCGAGACATAAGCAAGGAATTCCGAGCGTTCGTCACGGATGCCAAGACTCAACGGACCTTCAGACGAGAAAAGCTCCTGAAGTTGCTCGGAAACTATAAGAGAGCCATGACTCCCGAATACACCGAGCGGGCGATCATCGAAAGCGTCGTCGACGAACTGATTCGAATGCCGGACATGACCCGCAAAGACGCGCTTCTATCCCTCACGGTAAACCTACAATTCAAAAAAAAACACACACGACTCATAATCCACTTTAGCCGCTTATGCGCCCAAACGTGCGCCACCAATTCGACAGAGCCATGACAATGAACACGACTCATCCGACCTTCAAGAAGATGATCATTAACCCCTGCGATGGTTCAGAGGACTGGCGCACCGAAAAAGACTCTAAACCAGGCCGTGGGCGTCGAGGAGGACACTCGAATGGCGGCCAAAGCAAGAAGCAGAAAACGGACCATCAAGGGGAAAATGCGAGCCCCAAATTCAACCCCGAAGGAAGCGGACATTCGGGAGGCCGAGGCCGAGGCCGCGGGCGAGGCCGAGGACGAGGCCGCGGGCGAGGCCGCGGCGGTGGAAGCAATCAAGGAGGAGACACTAAGAAGTTCCAAGACCAAGGCGGAGTCGAATAATCCCAAAGACTCTCTTTAAGAATCAATCCACTTCTTAAGCGAAGAATAGCCCCTGGCAGTGCGCAGTTTTTCGCCTAGTTTCTCTCTTTCAAAACCACTGCCAATCTTTAAAAGCTTTTCACACTTAAAAACATTCAGGCCCTCTAAAAAAGCTCGAGCCCGAAAAGACTCAATTCAGATTCATGACTTGGCTCGACTACAAGAATCTTCTGGAGCACTGGGAAGTGGCGGAAGCAATGTCTACCTTCAGCTACGACGAAGCCGAGACCGACGACGTGATTCAGCATTTTCTCGACAGGCTCCTCACCAGACCAATACTCAAGGCCTACGCTTACGAAAAAGGAATCACAACGATTCAAGACGTAATCGCGTCTCAAACGAAGAAGACTCTCACGGCCAAACAGAAAAGGAAGATCAAGACCTGGTGCGAGCACAGAGCTCGAGAATCAGCAGCCGAGGCACTCCAATACCCCAAGGTAAATCAATTCCGCTCCCCTAGGCGATAACCCTTTCCTTAAGCAAGCGGAAGTCGTCGACGAGCCCGAAGCGATTCAGTTGTGGGAAGAGCTTATGAAAACAAACAAGCCAAAGCCAAGAGAAGCAGCTATCGCCTTCTTCATTTGCTTCACCACGGGTTCCAGAATGAAGGAGGCCCTCAACCTCAGAATCGAAGATCGCGAAAGCGTCAAAGAAGACGGAAAAGAATTCTGGCGATTCCACATCCGATCCAGCAAGACGGACCCATTCTGCAAACGCATGGAGACTCTCACCATTCCAATGGAAATGAAGCACGGCGTCCCGCTAGCTCTCGAGCTCCGAGCACAAGTGAGAGACCGAGAATCAGGTAAAATTCGAATCCGACTTACCCTAAGCTAAATTTTTCGATAGGACTCGTCCTCAAGACTCTCGAAGGTCACACCAGAATCGCCTCGGACTACTTAGCCCGCTATGGAGCCAAAGCAGGACTCTCTAAGAAGGTTTATAACTTAAAATCCTCACGTACCGTAAGAATCCAATTCAGGTTTCCGCACATTCAGGCAGAGTCAGTTTCTACATCGAAGGACGACGCTCTGGCCTCTCTCAACAAACGCTCGCGCACACGCTCCGCTGGGCGCCAGGAAGCTCGATGCCGGACTACTACGAAAGATGCTGGCTTGAGTGCAGCAATTTGGGAGCGCCAGTCAGCGTCGCAAAATCAAGAGCCAGAAAGCGAAACGGAAGCGACAACGAAGACAACTCTCTTCAGGTAAAAACCAGCATGACAAGGGAGACTCCTTCATTTAAAAAGGTTTCAGATACCCCAAGAACCACAAGAAGCCAATCAAGAGCAAAAGAAACAGAAAACAACTGAAGCTTAGTCCACAGATGACGCTGTCAACATGAAAAAGAGTCTTTCCATCCTTTTTTTTCCTGCCAAATTAGAATCCTTAGACATCGATTGACGAGAATAACGAGAATGGTAGGGAGGGAATATTCCCATTACCATTGTTATTTGTGCGTGATTATAATACGAATCTAGGACAAGGGATTAGCAGCCCGCTAGAAATAGAACGCGGCAGGAAGCCTAGTAACCAGAGGCAGGGATTCCCAGGAGGCAGCGGAAGGTGTCAAAGGCGCCCGAGAGCACCTGGTTTCGAGCGGGTGCCCCGGAATCACGCAGGTTCATTCGAAAGGTTCTTAGCCTACAGCTAAAACCTAAAACGAGGAATTTTAAATAGAGCCTTTTTCTCAGCAGAAGCATTACCAATAAGACTCCTAGCTGAATCAAAAAGACTCTCCCGCCCACCATCCCTGAAATAAGCAGTACATGTAGGGTAAAACGAGCACACGCCCTACATACTGCCCAGTCCATTACCTTAGAAAGGCTCTTTCTCTACCACAGTATTGTAATTGCGCGTGCTCGGGAATATTCCCATTACCATTGTTATTTGTGCGTGATTATAATACACATCGGAACTATGAACCATCTGAAGCGGGTAGGTGCATTTCCACTCAAAAATCTTCTGCGTTCCAAAAGTACCGACTTCCAATCCAGCTGTGCTCGATCGATCGGGGAAGAAGTGAGTCACGTGGTTGGAGAAAACAGCATGGGTCGCATTGGTGTTCAGGTTCGTCCCGCAGTTGAGAAAATCCGAAGTGTTTTCATCCCCAAGACACATTTTAAACGTCGTCGCGTCTTCATAAACATGGAGCTCGTTGCAGAGCTGGCTGAAGTGGAGACCCCACCATTTGTCCTCGTGCCAAAAGTAGTAAGAGATGAGAAAAGAGATAAAAACTCGTGCAGAGAGCTGTAACTGTAAATCATCCCTCGGCCCGTGTCGCGGCACACCTTTACCAGTGCGCTGGGGAGTTAAACTTATGGAACCCAGCCGCATTGGTCAAGGTGCCACCTGACCGGATGGGAAAATGACAGCATGAAAGGAAGCACAAAGCATTAAGGGTGTCCACATCGAATAGAATCAATTTCGATGTTGACACCCTTATTGTTCACTTCACATGCTTGGCCTTTTCTCTAACGCCAAAATCGACCTCATGTAATCGAACTGGATACCCTTAACCGGGCTGGACGCTAAAAATCTGTCTTGGTAAATCGTTAGCACCAGAAATTGACAACCATCTGAGAAATCTGGTTGTGAACAGACGGTAGCAAACGGCGCTGATGACACCTTCGACTGTAACTCTCCATTTTATCATTTGACTGTTCTTCAGTTGATGATTTTTTCTGCAGAAAATGATCAAAAAAGAATCTGAATAAAACCATATCTTTCTTCCAAGACAGGGATGGAAATATGACAAAATTTCAAGCCCCTTAAATAAAAAATCAAGGAACGGGGCTGAAATGGCACTTCGTTTCCTTTAATTTTTTTTATTTGATGTTAAAATAGTGTTATTCTGTGCCGCGGTGCCGCAACCAGATTTTGTTCTCCGGCACGGCACGGTACGGCACGTGCCGTGCCGTGCCATGCCGCTGTGCCGTGCCGTGCCGTGCCGCTCAGATTTCCATCCCTGTTCCAAGACGAGATTCCGTGAATTGTTTACTAGACGCCGAAACTGACGCCCAAGATTTGAGATAGAAATCGACAATCTTGGGCAGTAATTAAAAACTCTAATTGACAATCTTGGCCGCTGAAATTCGCTCAGCTACGGTAAATGCTGAACTCGCCAACTAGTGATTAATTTTCCATGAAGCGATATTCCTATTCCAGACCGTCCAAATGAACCAGCTGGTTGTTCCCCTTCCGATATCGCTTATCAACTCAGCATGATTTCAATTTGCGCGAACGCATGCCCAACAAGTGGCTCAGTTAACGAGAAAAGGCTAATTCAAGAAGCTGATTTCTATTTTTTTTACTTTTGTACTTTTTCTTTTGTTTTATTTCTGAAAAATGAAGACAAATACTGTTTTGGCGACTGTATTGGCCCAGGCCGCGAGCGGACTAAGAGTTGATTTCGGAAATAATGACTCGAAAAGTTACAGGTAAACAGTAAGGGAAGGGACTAAGCTGGGCAACCTGTGTTGAAAACCTGAGTCAGGGTCTTGAAAGCGTTTTTATGAAAAGCTGCGACTCAGCGACCCTAACCCTGACTCAGGTTTGCTTAACAGGTTGCCGAGCCCACGGTGACCCCCTTAAAACACTATGTTTGCAGATCACTAGACGAGCTCCAGAAGCAACGCGTCCGGGCCGCCTCTAGAATCGCCACCGACCGCGAATCGTTCATCGCCAATCTTCGCAAAAACAACTTTTTCGCCGTTCCCGAATTCGAAATCACAAAAATCGTAGACTTGAATGTCGACCTTCGCGATGTGCGACCAAACGACATTGATGTTGATTTTCTGAAAATGAATCGCGGCTTTGGTTTTTTGGAGAGTGACGATCCTCAAAGCCGAAGTCCGAGAAAGACGATTTTGGATGATGAGCCGAAAGAAGAGGTTTTTGAGAGCTTTTCAGAGGAGGCAATCGAGCTGGATTTTGAGGCTTCCGGGGAAGGATCAGGAAAGAGTCTTGAATAGAGGACATACTTTGAGTCTAAGACCTAATCTTTTTGTATCGGGCAATTTTCAAAACTCTGCAGGCTCCGATCCATTGACAACCGAGAGTCCACTTACAACCGAAAAATCTACCGTAGAATGGATGGAAGAAAATACCACTCGATTGGAACTGTGGTCAACCGTAAACGGATACGAAAATGAAGAATCGACAACATCAGAGATTTATACAACATCTGGGACAACAACATTGGAACCAACTCAAACAACTCAAAATGCTGAAACAAGATTTAATCCAATAGATAAGGCAGCTTTTTCGGCAATCCAGGGGCGGTTCTCTTCCTTGATTTTTGAACTTTATTGAGCAAGAATTGATTTGAACCAAGAAACAGTTACTACTGAGAGCAATCAGCCAATCACTTCCGTAATCAAAATCGAAGATGAAGCTCTCTCAATCGCTCCCTCTGTTGATGTTCAGTGCTCTGCAAAACCATCTGCGTCGAGTTCACCAAGTCCTATCTCGCCCAACACTGGCACGAGGACAAATGGTGGGGTCTCCACTTCAGCCAGCTCTGCAACGAGCTCCATGTTTATGAAGACGCGACGACGTTTAAAATGTGTCTTGGGGATGAAAACACTTCGGATTTTCTCAACTGCGGGACGAACCTGAACACCAATGCGACCCATGCTGTTTTCTCCAACCACGTGACTCACTTCTTCCCCGATCGATCGAGCACAGCTGGATTGGAAGTCGGTACTTTTGGAACGCAGAAGATTTTTGAGTGGAAATGCACCTACCCGCTTCAGATGGTTCATAGTTCCGATGTTCTTTATAAGTAAGAACGCTCCAAGTCTTCTTTCATTCACTTTTATAGAGGCCAAAATACAGCGAAAAGATCGTCATCGATTCACTCGATGCTTCTGGAAAGTTTGGAGTGGATTTTGAATTGTATGCCGATGAAAACTACACGGATTTGATCAATCTTTCAAGGTAAAATAATTTCTTTAGGATTTGAGTGAGACAATTTTTAGCCCGACTTTGGATACAGGAAATTTTCTGAACATGAAAGTCGTTCTCGAAGAACCAATGAATGGGACAAACCTTCAAGTTGTCTCTTGCTGGGCAACTCCTACTGAAGACATCAACGGTAAAAACCATAAAACGCAATCCATTTTCGTAACTTTTTGAAAGATAAGGATGGTTTCGAGTTCTACGACGATTTTTGCACAACTCCAATCGGCTCACAAATCGAAATGACGATCCGCGAAAATGGACAAGAATCCGAAGTTCTCTGGCAATCCCGAGTTTTCAAGTAAGACAAAAGTTTTCTTCGTTGATGATGATTTTCTTAGATTCACAAACTCTGAAAATGTCTACATGCACTGCAAAGTCAATGTCTGCATCGAAGACTTTGATGGTAGCTGCGCTGTCGAATGCGCAAAATCTCGATCTCCAAGAGATGTTTCTTACGATGGTCAAAATGTTGTCTCCCTTGGTCCCATTCGATTCACTGGCTATTCCAAAGCTGAGTACTTGATAATTGATCCAGCGACAGGACTCGTTGGGGAACAAGGAGAAGAAGCAACTTTTGATGCCGAGTTTAACTTTATCAACCACTTTCTAATCGCACTGATAACGCTTATCACAATGGTCATGCTCGTTGCAATTTATGGAGCGACAAGAAAATGCCCAACAGAAGACTCGACTCTTGCATAATTCTGTTTTATTCCAAGCAATATTGCATGAAAAAGCTATTGTGATAATATATCAGTCTCGATTGCCTCATTCAAATACAATTCAATAATTAGATGAAACCATGCATATTTTCATAATTACAGTCGTTTGTCGTGCACGTCTGTTGGCAGCCGCTGAATTCTTCTCCCGTGGAGTTGTATGCATAGCAAGACTCTTCATTCTTAAATTCAAACGGAGCGCAACCACGATGAGCGAACTGATTAAACTCTTCTTTTAATGGAGGATAAGAAACAAGTTTTGCACTTGTAGAGAAACAAGCTGTGTTTGAATATCGGGGACACTCAACACTTTTACTAGTTGAATTTTGAGCATAAGAACAAGTTTGGTTTCCATACAAGGAACCATTAAGGTTCTCCTGATCACATTGAAAGCATCGTTTGACAGCATTTTCTGACTCAAATTTCTCTGATATTTCCTCTAAGCCTGAATTACAGGCTCTTCCGGCAATTGAGGGATTACATGTAATTGCGCATTCTTTGTGTTGTGTAAAAGTACCAAGTCCACTCGTACAAAAATTTATAGGCTGATTATCTGTAGTCTTTATACAACCGCGAGCAATTGTGAATGTCATCATCCCGTAACGACCCATAGCTGCAATCAATGACGTATGACAGAGATCATAACCTTCAGGACAGGGAGATTATATTGTTGTCCATATTTAAAACATCCAGGTTGGCCTTCGATGGTATTATTCCAAATTCCAAGTATTTCAGCACACCGAGCACAAACAGCCAAGCCTATAATTTACGTTTATTAATGCAATTATTGCTTTGCAATTTCAAAGATGTATTTTCAATTTTTACCGATTTTTGTTGTTGTTGTCTCGGAAACGCCTGTGGTTGTAGTTGTTGAAGTGGTTTGAACGGGAGGAACAGCGCTTAGGCTTTCCGAATTACAATCTTTAGTTGAGCAAGTGCTTTTGCAATATTTATTTTTGTATCGTTTACGGCCATCAGAAGAATATTGTGTGTAACACGTATCAACATTTTCAAGCTCGAATGGTACGCATGCACGATAAAATTCCCCAGGAAGCTCTTGGATTTGAAAAATTGGCCGAGTTTGTACTTAAAAACGGAATACTTAAAAAAAGATAAACAAATAAAGATAAAGACGATATTCCGTGGCTCGTTCGGAACTAGCATACATGCAAGCTGAATTTGCATATCGAGGACACTCAACAGTCTCGTTCCCGACCAGATACCGGGGCAGATTAACACATTTCGAAAATTTGGGGTTAGAACCTCTGTAATCGCATTGAAAACAACTCTTCACATCGTTCTCTGACTTGAATTTTTCTGAAACTTCCTCAAGGTTTAAATTACACCCGATGCCAGTCGTTCTTGGGTCGCACAAAGACGTACAGTTTTTGAGCTGAGTCCCACGAGAATAATCAGACACATAACAGTCCTCTTCAACATTATTATTTACGCAGTTCCGTCCAATCTCAAAGGATATCTCTCCAGACATGGACATATTTGCCAAGAGATATGTCAAGCACAAATCAGTTTGACCCGGACATCTTTTTATGAAATCGCTGCCATCGTGAAAGCATCCAATATCGCCTTTTCCGATCGTTTTATTCCAAATATCGACTTTTTCCGTACACTTCGCGCAGTTCGCCCAATCTCAAATGAATATAGAAACGCGAAACTTCAAAGGAAACTTTCTCATTGGTAGATAAATTTTATTTCGTTAACGATAACTTCTCGGACTTACCTTTGTCAAATGGGGTAGTTGTTGTTGTGGTGGTGGTTGTTGTCGTTGTTGTCGTTGTGGTCGAGGTCGTTTGTACTGGAGGAATGAAGGTCAAGTCTTCATCGTTACATTTGTTATTTGAACATGTGCTTTTGCAATATGTTGTTTTATATTTTTTACGGCCGTCAGTATAAGTTTCTTCATAGCAAGTTTCTACATTTTCAAGCTCAAAAGGCACGCATCCTCGATGATATTCTCTTGATTTGACTCCGCTTTGTAAAATTGGTTTTGTTTGCTCTTTCAAGCGGAATACTTAAAATAAAATCGAATATGATATGTAGTAATGTTTATGAAATTCCGTGGCTTTTATTGCACTAGCATATAAGCATGCTGAATTGGCATATCGAGGGCATTCAACAGATTCATCGCCTGTGAGATTCGCGGGTAAATATACACAGTCCGAACTGCTTGGATTACCAACGTGATCGCATTGATAACAACTTGTCACATTATTTTCTGACTCAAATTGATCTGAAACATCCTCAAGGCCAACATTGCAGCCGATGCCGCTTGCTATTGGGTCACACAAAGATGTACAATTTTGAACTAAGCTTGAACTATAACATTGCCTGTCAAAATCCTTGCCAACGCATTCTCGTTTTATCTCGTATAAAATTTCTCCATCAGAATACATTTTGGCCCAAAGAGATGCTGAGCATAAATCATTACGATTCGGGCATCTTTGAATAAAGTCGAAACCATCTTGAAAGCATCCTTCATTGTCATCATTATTGCCGCGCGTTTGGTTCCATATGTCTACCCGTTCTTTGCATCTCGCGCAATTTGCCCAATCTGAAGGCAATTTTAGAATTCATTTGAAAATAGAAAAAAATGACAGCTCTTGATACCTTCGTCGAAAGGAGTTGTTGTTGTCGTTGTGGTTGTCGTAGTTGTAGTTGTTGTCGTGTTGAATGGCTCAAGAATGAAGGGCAAAGTCATGGCCAAAACAATACCGCCGGCAAAAATTAGGACAAGAATAGCCCAAACAGCTTCCCTGTAGTTACACTTTTTTTCACTCTCGCAAGCTACAAAAGAATGAATTGAAATCTCTTCTCTCGAGAAAGTACTACTTCTTGACGGAGTAATCTCTCTATTTGATTGTAATTGATCATTTAGATCATTGACTTGCTCCATTTTTTTTATTCTGTCTTTCTCGAGATTCAGTTTTGCGAGAAATTCAGTTATCATCAGTTTTATAATTGTGTCAATTTACACTTTCATAAATTCGTGAATGACTTTCGCTTGAACAGTAACGTGCTCCTACTGTAGGAATGGGTGCTTCTAAATAAGTGCTTGAATCATAGAGAATGACATATTTATTTATTGACATATTTCATTTATTGATGCATGAACAAAGATGAGATGAAGAATTTTTTGATTCTATGGTTATATTTCATATACGATTAGGCTTATGGTTAGGGTTAGGGTAACAATGTGACATTATTGATTATTATTTTTCTCATTTCAGAAGAAGATGATTATTTGTCGCTGTTTTCATTTTCGTCCATTGGCGCACTTCTTTTTTCGCAAAAGCAAGAAAAAAGCTCATAAAAATGGTAAAAAGACCAACCGGCACCACAAAAAACTGATTCCAATTTGCAGGGTCTCCTAGGGTAAATTTTAAATAAATAATTTCAGCGATTGTTTTGATTTCTTCACCTTGATTTTTGTCTTTCAGCAGGTTAACCATGAGCGAAGTTGAAACAAAACCAGCAAAATTCCCAATTCCACCGGCAAAACCAGTCACTATCGGGCCAAAATTTGCTGAAAGCTCGGCAGCAATTGGCAATATCCCGGCTTCTTTTGTTCTATCAGATGAGTTGTCAACATTCACAACTTACTTCCGGTAGCAGCTATAAAAATCATCAAAATAGCAAAGAGGATCGACACTCCTACAAAGTTGCAACCAAAAAGTTTGATGCAACAAATGGATGGAAGCATCAAAACCCAGAAAAAAATCATCATTGATTTTTATATTTTATTATGTAAAAATATACCTGTTGTTTATTAAATGCAAATCAAATATATGCGAAAAATCTGAATCTTGATACCGACCACCTTAGGAGCTCAGAATCATCTTTACAGTAAAAATAAGGCGTTGGTTCTTCTCGTAAAGAGGGAGATTAGTGAATATTTAACGACAAGGGCGGTGACAGTTTGCCACTGTCAGAAAAAGGTAATATCTGATAATCAAAGCCGATGGCAAATCAATGAAAAACGTCACCCAACCCTGTGTCAGATTGATTCCCTCTTGTTTTATGCACATTTCATTTCAGTAAGCAAATTTGGTAAATTAGCAAAACCAAAAAATTATCAAACAATTCCTTTTTTAAATGACAGCTGGAAGCGAAAATAAGAGAATCGCCCAAAGACTGGCTCTTCAAAAGAAATGAGTTTCATCTACTTGTAATATTGGGTTAGGGCTAGAGTTAGGAGAAGGTTAGGCTTATGCAATGTTACCTTCTTGTCAATAAAAACTCAAAAGAAACTCAATAAAGTGTGATCATACTCCAATCGTAAGTTTTTTTGAGAAAAAGAAGGGCTTTGAGTTGAACTGATCGCTGAAAAAATTCATGAGCGAAAATCAGAATTGGCCCAAAAACAAGAATCGAATTGAAAAATTAATTTCCTCCTTCTTTTTTCTTTGAGCGATTAGATTAAAGAAAACAAACCGCACTTTTGTGAAATAAAGAAAAGTAAATAATTAATCTCGGCGCAATCCAGAAGTCTATCCTTTTATCGGTTTATTGTTTAGGTTTTAGTCGCTTATGAGAATTTTATCGGGTAAAGGGATGAGAAATTAATTACAAACTTTTTCTATTATAATTCTTTGCACAATAGCGGTTCGTGAACACTTTCATGCCTTTTAATTGAAGGGACCGATAATAGGGGCCAATAGAAAACTCTACCTTTTTGACAATTGGGCAGAAATAACCGCGGTTAATTTAGTAATAGTTACAGTTATTTTTATGACCCGCCGCACAACGACCTTGGCCGATGCTCATCAGAGAGATGTGTAAATAAAGAATGACTTCTGTTCCAAAAAAGACAGTCGCAGATCTTTCAGAGGCTACCTCTCTAATTTGATTGTCAGATAAGGTCGGGCCGATCTTGATGCTACTTTAGGGAATAGAAATTAAACTTAGCAGAAAAACGCTTTTCATCGTCTTTTCCTTTTGAGATGCCGCCGAGACGGGGCTCCTCGGGGACGGGCTCCTCCTCTCCGACGAAGCAGAATGTCCATCCAGGTAAGTGTGTCTTCCCCTAAAGATTTGGGCACGAGCGCGTAAACAGCGACTCATCCCCTCAACTCGCCACAAAATCCAAAAATCAACTCTGACTTCTTTTCGGTCATTTTCGGTCAGGATGGAAAATGAGACGAAATGAAAACCTTCGATATTTTTGATAATAAGAGAAAGAGAATTAAAAGAGATAGGAAAATGTTCAGAGTTGAATCTGACGATTATGTTATTGGAAACATAGGTATTCAAGTTTTCATATAAATTATATGATATAATGAAACAAAAAAATTGATTCATAATAAATTTTGCTAACAAAAAATTCTTCAAAGTCAAAAAAAAAACAGAAATTTGAAGTTCAATTTAATTATTCACTCGAAATATTTTATTAATAAAAACTCAGTATGGAACATATTTTAGTGGGTATTCATTCGAATTCTACGTAAAATCAATTTTTAAACACGACTGTTAATACCAGGCCGCCGAATATTCATCTTACTCTTCCGAATCTGACTCGACTGAATTATTAATTCTTAATTAATTAACCCTTGGTGTAAATTTCTTTCCAATGAAAGCGAAGCGGGAAAGAAGGTGCTCGAAATCGGATGGTCGGATGAAAGTGTTTTTCAGATTTTGATTTTTAGATCGCTTGTCGAATTTGATTAGTTTTAATATTCAATTTGGCCAGCGCTTCTGGTTTTATTTATCGAAAAGCAGATCTGCCTAAGCCGATCAAGAGCTTTTGACCTTTCTTTTTTTCGCTGATCAAGTGACGTGAAGACGTAGACTTAGAGGTTTATCAGAAGACAACAAATATGCGCACATCTTTCTCAATAGTTGTTTCACTCTTTTTGTCAATAATGAAATTTTTCTTTCAAAGAAAAGCCTCATTTTTGGCATTGACCTTGGGCAGCTTCCTCTTCCCCCAAATCTTCAAAAACAATAAAAATAAAGCCTTCTTAGCGCATGTGCCCAAATCAACCTCCTTTATTGAATCCCTCATAAAAATAAGCAAAACTCCCTTCGTCGATGAATTAATTCATCTTTCAGATGTGAGCAGCAGAAAAGACGAGCACTCCTCTTTTGGAAAGAGAACGACCATCGCCACCATGCAAAATAACTCGAACGGGCACCACCACAATGGGCATGGTTACGGGCAGAATGGCTATTTTGTCGACACAAGGAACGCGCTAAAAATGTAACTGTAACTGGCAGTGGTCAAGTGATAATGTGTAACAGGCTGTTGCAGAAGTATTGATCATGAATAGATGATTTTATGCATAATTTGCCATTCAGCGAAAAAAATGCAAAAACAGCGCTTTTTAGTCTGAAGCTGTCGGATAAAAACCACTCAGAAGATTCGCTAGGACAGATTTCAGATTGACAGAATTTAATTGACTCCAGCAGCTTAAGACCACATAAGCTACTTAATCTGAAAAAGCAGTTTGAAATCTCAGAACAGGTCCAATTTTCAGGCCACAGAGAAAAATGGAAGAAGGGGCGAAAAAACACGGAAGAAAAATTGGGATTGGAACTTGCTTTTGTCTTTCTTTTTTGTTCATAACTACAGTTTTAGGTAAGAAGATGATGAAAAAGGTGATTTTCATGCTTTTAGGTGCTCTTGTTGGGCTTGGGTACTACTTCTTTTGGCCAGATTATTCGATGCTTTTGGAAGCCTCAAAAGCGGAGGATGGCACGTGGTCAGATTTTTCCGCGTGGTCAGAATGCTCAACCACATGCGGCCCGGGGGAGCAAAAACGCATCCGTTTTTGCTTGAATCTAAAAAACGACGGGAAACCCTGCGATGGGGAGCGGGAAGAAGTGCGCGTTTGCAACGCTAGAATTGAATGTCCAGATTGTGGGAAAAAATGCGCTTTTGGATCGCTAAACAAGGTTTGCAAAGACATTTTTTGTCCTCAATTTGAGTCCTTTTTGCTTTAGGACTGTACAAAATGCACGTGCGAAAATCATACAGTGACTGGGAAGGTGTCCGACTCGACAGGACAGCCGATAATTGGAGCTTCGATCAGAAGAACAGATGTTTTTATGGACACTCTTGCCATTTCGAATTTTCAGGGTGAATTCAGGTGAGTTTGCACTCCGACTCACGTCACTAAAACATTCAAGCATAACTGGAGTCTGCTCAAATGGAGACAACAGTTTAACAGCTTCAAAAGTAGGCTTCAATCCAAGGCCCGCGAATCCAGTCGAAATCTCTGTTGGATCTGCCCGTGTAGAAATCAGATTAGAACACGTCTCCTTGCCGCGGATTCTCATCAATCCTCAACCGAAAATTCGCTTTGTTGGGCAGTCGGCGCGACTCTGTTGTTCAGGTTCTCTTCCTTGATTTCAGAGGATGGATTTTTTATGAGAAAAATGAATCTTGTTTTAGCTCAAGATGATGGGAGTGGAACATTTCCTCTCCGCGTAAATTGGTATTTTAACAATAAACTGGTTGAAGAAGGAGAAGCTTACAATCAGACATCTACGGACCTGAAGCTGAGTGACATAAGAAAAGAAGATGCAGGAGAGTACTTCTGCCAAGTGACGAATAATGCGGGAGTGATAAGAACGCAAAAAGTAAAACTTGAAGTGAAGGAAAAAAGTGAATCCAGTTGTCTTCCGCCAAAAGTAAGAGCAATTGTGAAAAGATAAATCATGATTGAAGGTGTATTCCGTCGAAATTTGCCCAACGACAAGTCTGAAACAAGGGAACTGCGCGACAAGTCAACGATGCAACCATCCAGAGCAGCATCTTTCAATTGAATCGGAAAAGTGCGTCGACCAAGTTTCGGATTATTGCTGCCAAGTGGGCGCGTCTGATCAAATTGAAGTGACCTGTCCTGTTCCGGGCAGTGCGGACTTGACTTATCTAATGCCAATACAAAACTCGACGAGTTGTGCCTGCTTACCTTGTCAATAAAGAATATTGAAAACTTTATTTTAGCGATTTTGCCTTTTTTCTTCTGGAGAGTATATATTATATTAAAGTTCTTTAATTTAAAGATCATTTATTTCAGTGATAATGAAAATTAATAGATCTTGTAGAAGAACTGATGATTAATCAGTAGTGAACAATTTTGGAAAATTCACTCATCATTGACGGGAGCTGCTTGGCAGTAGTCGAGCTTCTTCCCTTGATTTCTATCTGGGTCCTTTTGCCAACCAAATCGACCGCATTCTAGATCGAAGCTGACTTTTCGAGCGCCATTCCAATCGCAATCGGCTTTACATCTTCTTTTTGCTCCATTACCCGTTGAATAGCAATTCCAGTGCCCCGCGCCAAGTGGAAAGAGCTCATCAACATCGCCCACGTGACAGGGGTATTCGCACATAGAAATAAGGTATCCGGCTTGTTGTGAAATATTACCGCCTCTAAATTTTTCTTCACTGATGAAAAATTCATAAGATCATACTTATCGCATCTATATTTCGCGATTCGACGACCATCGTTGCAGGTCAGCCTGTACTCCCAGTGAAATCTTTGGTTCCGATCAGGTCCATAGTGGTAGTTAGTTTCTCGCCTTTTTCGATCACCTGAAAGGCCTGACCAAGAGCCATTCGAGCTCGAATTGCATTATCGCACCGATCTTTCGGTCTCATGCAATCAAGGGGCTCTCCATTGAAGCCGTGAAACTCGATTGTTGGCGAGATTGAACGGCACCCCTGCAATGAGATTTTTCTCTGGGAATTGTTTGGCAGCGAAAGCCCACTTGGACAACGAGCCTTACAACTTAAGGCTCGGGTTGGGAAGTCACCGCACTCCCACGAGCCATTCTCGATCGGCGCGGCTTTCAGGGCATCCGCCAGCATCTTCTTGCATCTCGATTCCGGATCGGCCCCACACTCTAGCTTCGCGCCGATGCCTGCTGAATTGATTCTTGCGCCGTCAGTCGAACACCCTTTTATCAGAGCTCAAGTTCTTTTCAGAATGCCAGTATGAACATCCAGCAATCAATATTTATACAAAAGCATATCTGCTGTATCCGACAATTGATTTTCCTCATAAACTTTGAGCCCTGCTTTTGCATTGAAAAATGCTTGTTTGCGATTTCCATCGATGAAAACAACTTCGTCCGAGTTTGAGCATTTTGCGATGCATTTTACCACATCTATCCCTTCCCGCTGGCATTGCCACTCGCCACCAGCAATGAGAGTGGAAAAAGTGGCTTCTCTAGCAAGACTCATGCATGCTCCTCGCGACTCCTCTTCAGCAGCGAAGGAAGCAAGAAAAAAACTTGTTAAAAGTTTCATTTTTTTTTATATCTTGTCGATAAAAATTTGGAATACAAATTACAACAGAAGTTTTTATGCTCTTGCGAGTTCGGGCGCTAGAGATCTTTTAACCTGGCTTGTCTGGGAGAGTGCGCTACAAAGTCAGAGTAGAAATTCGGAAAACTTCTGTTGCGCTTTCTTGATGTCAACGGTTCAACCTACCATTTACATGTCAACCATCAATCAAGAAGTGGATTCCAGAAAGGAAGTTATCTCCTGCTCACGTTTCGAGATACGAACTTTTAAGAAAATCAGTAATTTGAAATGCATGTATCTAAATTCGTGCTGAAACGGTACCTTTAAGGTTCTCATAGAACGTGTTGCGTCCGTAGCACCTCTCATGAACCTCTTGGCTAGATGAAGCCTAGCCCAATAGAAAGCTATTCTATTGATAAAATGAAGGCTGCTTCTTGATCGCCCGGAATGTTGGATTGCCCGGATCCTGAATCGCCCATTTTCCTTGATCGGTTCCGAGGATTCCGGGCGATCCAGGATTCCAACGACAAAGGAGCATCTCAAAATGATCTTTCTTTGAGAATTTCGAAAAATAAACTCTTATTTTACGAGCCATCCGCGCCGAAACATAAACTGTTCTTTTAAGCGAGAAAAGCAAAAGAGGATTTCGACCCGCAAAGAATTTCAATGAAAAAAGATGGAAATCCTTAACAATTGAATTGCGACATCATTTGAGCGAGATTTATAATGAACTCTGAAATGATGATAAAAACTGATCATAAAATTGCCGTGAAATCAGCTTTATTTTTGAAAGTCGTTTTAAATTGCCAAAAGAGACAATACACTGAGAAGATATGAGTTTTTTTTATCATTTAAAACTTTTCACTTGGTTTTTGACCGGCTTTTTGGAGAATTTCCTCTTTCTCGGATTTTCATATGGCTTTTCTTTCTTTGAATTTATTTTAAAAGACCAAGGAGTTTTCTACAGCCAGTCATGTTCAAATGGGACTAATGTCTATTGGTCAGAAAGCAGCGAGCTTTGTCCAGAAGCATTAGAGCTTTATAATACCCTTTTTACGACAATATGAACGGGGATAAATTAAAGAAAAATAAAGGTTTACAATTCTTTATTTGATCCTCAAAATAGCGGCAATTGCTATTCTAGGTTATTTTCTCTCAAGTTTCCTCATCGATTTTGTCGGAATTTTCTGGTTTCGAATGCTTTTTTGCTCGATGAACACTGCTGGATACATAATGGTCGCTTATTATGAAGAAAACCACCTTCTGCTCTTCCCAGGATTGATATTTATTGCCTTCACGCTCGCCGGCGTTTGGTTGGCGGATGCAATCGCTTCGAGCATTTTCGGAAAATACGAAGGAATCGTTGTTGTTCTTCTAGCTGGCGCGTTTGATGCATCAAGTGGGGTGCCGCTGATTTTGAAGAAGATTTATTCGACGTTTTCGCTCTCGCAAATGACGATATTTCTAGCGATTTTGACGGGAATCATGCACATACGAACATTTCTGCAGATGCCATACTTTCTTCCGAATAATAGTTTTGAGAAGGGTTCGAGAAAAAATCTAACTAAACGACCTTCATCTAAATTGTTCATCATTCAAAACTAATCCAACCCTATTACAGACAATGGCGAGATACTCAAAAATACTGTCTTCGGTAAACTCTTCTCAAAGAAAAAAATCAAGCCAAGAAAATCAATTGGCTTCGAAGATGAGCCAAAAATTTTTGACTTGAAAAAATGTTGTTCATCGGAAGAATCAAATAAAGTGACGAAGCTGACAGACTCCTTGAAAGACCCCGTATTCATCATTTTTACATTGGTTTATCTTATTTCCTCGACGAGAGCGAGAAGCATCTCTGGCTGGATGTATCCCTGGCTTCAGTGGACTTATGCGTTTTCTCAAAATGCAACAAACGTGGAAATTGAAGAGCATGTTTCGCAGATTTTGGATGTTTTTGGCTACCTAATTTTTGCTTCACCCCTCTTCGCGCTTCTACCAGAACTGATTGTTATCATCGCATTCTGGACACAGGAGCAGCTTCATAAAGAAGAATAATTGATTAAAAAAAATCACGCTTGAATTTTTTCAAAAGCTTTTTTTCAGCCGAACTTGAAAGAAAGGTTCAACCGAGATAAATTTCTCACAGTCGTTTTGATGAGCTTCATTTGCATGTCTGGAGTCATTTTGTCTGGACAAATGATGTACCGGGTAAACTTTGAATAAGTAAAAAAATCATAACGAAAGTTGAGGCGAAGAGTTTGACGGACAATGCAAATACCTACGTCTTTTTAATACTTTTTCTTCTTTTCAAAGCGAACGTCTACGCTTCTCCTTGCAGTATGCTCTTGTTTTTCTTTCCAAAAGAACATTATGGCAATCTGGTCTCATTCAATGTCGCCCCTGTTTTTCTGTCAATGTGGCTGATTGATCCTCTTTTTCGAGTGATCTTAGGAAGAGTTTTTCTGACCATTCAAATATTGATAAAAGACTCAAAACTCTTTACAAAGGTGGAAATCAAATAAAAGAGGCGAATTTTGTTTGGGTCAACTTGGGCTTCGCCGTTTTACAAGGAATCTGTTTTTTCGAAGTATTCGCGCCGAAACATGGACTGTTCTTTTTGGCGAAAAAAGAGAGAGAGAACCTAAATACACGGAGAGCCTCGGTTTTCAGTCGAATTTCGGGAATTTCAGTGACAAGACTTCCAGCAGAAATGCTCGATGAAAATGCTCCGAGAAGATACTCAATAATTGGATGAAGCTTTTCATAAATATATCAAAGAAGATCCTTTATTCAAAAATAAACTTGTTTTGGAAATAATATTCACTAAAAATCAATTGTCTGGAACAGTAGGAAGTCAGGAAGTCAATAAATTATAACATTAATTTTACACTTATAATCTTATAGGGAAGTTGTTTGTGAGAAATCTGCGGTGGCATCGTTTCTTTGAGAAATATCTTTTTCATCCTCAGAAATTTCATTCCCTTCGCTCTCAATTTTCGAAAGATCTTTATTTTTCGCAAAATAAGAAGCAGCCAAGTAGCACAATCCAGCCGTTGCTTTCATCGTCAGTGCTTAAAAATGAGTTTAAATAATCAACAATTTTCTTACGCAAGACGAGAAAAGCATGAACAAGCCCTCGATTGTCATGAATCAAGCAGTTTCCATCGGAACCGTCTTTCATTTCACTCCAGACGACGCAGGCTTCGTCGATGACAGCACCAACGACGATCGGAGCAGTGATGCTTCCGAGCAAGCACAAGATCAGGTTCAAACTCGCTGCGGTCGTCTTTTCGTCAGAATTGAATTGGCGCAAATAAGCCGTCTGAAATCAAAATTCTTATTTCTATTTTAATCAAGCCGAAGATAACCTTGACGATCGGCAAGGGAGCATACGAAAACGCAAAAACGAAAAAGAAGCAAATAGTTATTTTCCAAAGAGAATCGCACTCAATAGCGTTTTCACAAAAGCCATCAGCAAGAGATTTGGCCACAGAATCCTCATTGTCGCATCGACAATTGGTCAAATTGAAGTCGAGACAGCCAGCATGGCAAGGCGAAAAGTAAGTGATCGCTGATTCCTGGTCGCAAACTGGTTCGAAAATTTCGTTTTGACAGGAACAACCCGAACGGCAAGATGATAAGTTGGAAAAATTTGAGAGAATCGAGTCTCCGTTTTTGTCGAAAACGCCGAAAATTTCTTGATTGTCGCAGGGAAATCTGTACATGCTCGGCAAGTACACCACCGATGCTGCCATTGAAGTCAGGAAACAAATGAAAAGCAACTTGCTGCTCTGCAATTTGAAAGTTCCAAAGGGAATCGGGATCAGACATCCAATAAGACCTCCGAGAGCGCATACGCCGCCGCAAAGTCCAGCTACAGAGGCGGAAATGTTGTATGTTTCTTGAAGAAGTTTCATTCCGTAGCCCATCAGAGCAGCTTATTTTAAGATTTTTATCGCCAAATTTCTTGATTTTTATTAAAAAGATTCTTTTAAAAAGTCAGAATGAGAAGATTTGAAAATCTTTCCTGTTGTAAAAAGATCGCAAATTCCACCAATCGAGCAAAACCACCAACAAGCATTTTTGAGCACAATTTTCGTCGCCTTCAATTCGCTCCCAATATCCGTTTTCTCGCTTCTTTTCCTTCCTGGCGCCCCGGGTAGAACTCTCGGGTAACCAAACAGAAAGGGGAAAGTGAGACAAGCAATAAAGAACTGTATCAAAAATGGCAGCCACCAGGCCCCGATCCAATTTGGATCGCTCGGGTCAAGATCAACGGAGCCGTGTAGAGAAATATCCGTCCAGATGCCAAGGAAAAAAACGCTGCTGAAAAGTCCAAGCAGAGATCCAGCGACAGTACCGGCGTTGCAGATTGTTATATTCACTCCTCCCTTTTGCTCGTTTGTTTGGTCCTCTGCGGCTGTTACTCCTTTAAATAGAAGGTTCAAAATATAGCAAATCTTGATCTAACTCGCCTCTTGTCCATAAGACACTGTTACCGATTCCAGTAAGAAGCCCAGCGATGATAAAACAAGCAAGCCAGCTGGACTGATCAATTTCTCCAAAGAACTGATTATCTTTAGAAACAGAGCAAATATTCGGTTCAGACTCCTCCGCGCCTAAAATCGGAGCATTCGGAGTTACAAAATGCGGAATAAAATTGAGCGCCGCACCGAGAGCAATGGCTGCTCCGGCTGGACCCAAAGAGCCGCCAAGAGAAATCTTCTTCGCTAACCAACTGGATGGAAAGGCAAAGGCAAGATAGCCAATGTCATAGGCAGCCATGATTAAGCCGGATTGCTTCGAGTTGAAACCAAAGCGTTTTTCAATTGTTGAAATTGAAGCTAAAAGAGCGCCGTATGGGCCGAATCCAATTGCGGCGATAATCACGGTGAGGAAGAAAACAAACCAATTCATCGAGTTCAAACACTTGAGAAAAAGTCATTTCCTAGTAAGAATCATGCAAATTTATACCTGCAAAAATTTAAAATAGAAAAAGAAAACATATCTTCCTTCTTCTTCTTTATTGCTCTGATTAGTTTTTTTAACATGATTTTTCTCTGAAAATTCTTTATTGAACATATTTTCTTCTCTCATTTTAAAGCAAAAGGACGGCTCTTGAACTTTTTGTAATTTTCTGTTAGACTTCATTGGCAGGAAACTAGCCGGACAGCCGGAACTTGAGCTCCCATCCGGTGGATACAGGCCTCACTGATATAGCTTGAACCCGAGGTTGATAAGCAAAGCATAACACCGTAGCAAGAATAAAGCATTGAAATTCCTTCTCAAAAAGCAAATACGAGCACGTCACAACTTCAAGCTATTTCTTTTACTGACCAATCTTCATCTTCAAACTCAACGAGAAACTTTTCAATACAGTGATGGAGAAATGATTAAAAAAGACATTGATGGCTTCCTTTTTTAAAACAAAAAAAGTCAAAGAAAACTATTTTGTTTTCGAAAAATTGACAGGAAGAGAAAAATAATGCCGGGAAGAAAAAGGCTTGAATTCACGTTTTTAGCCTCGTTGGTAACCATATTTAAATACACCTCTGAGCTAACTCTTCCCTTTACAATAACGGCCATGTCTTCTCCTCAAGATGGCGGCACTGTGGAATCTGTCTGTACGTTGAATGGATCAGTTCCAGTTGAAAATGCGGGGAAATCAGGAAACAACGATTTTGCCTGGACAGATGAGCAGTACGGAAACATACTCGGAGCATTTTTCATCGGCTATTCAATTTCTACCATCGGATCTGCTTTCGCAACGCAGAAATATGGGTTTTATCCGTTGATCAAGGTTTTGTGCTTCGGAAGTGCAACAACAACGCTTCTTTTCCCATTTGTCGTCAGGAGATCCTACCAACTCGGATGTCTTTTACGAGTCCTACTTGGCATCTTTTCCGGTCCATATGTCCCCGCTTTGCAAGGATCATGGTACTGGTGGGGCATTCCCAGCGAATTAACGACGAATATCGCGATTCAATCGGCTGGCGTGACGATCGGGAATATTCTTGGCTCAGTCGGAAGCGGCATGATAATCGATTCATTTGGCTGGGAATACTGCTATTACGTCGCTGGAACTTGCCAGATTTTCGTTGGTCTTCTCTGGGCGGCTATGGTTGATCCTAAGCCAGACAGAGAAAGAGAAGCATTTGGCTTTTGCGGGATAAAGAAATTGAAGATTTCAAGTAGAATGTCAAAAGAAGAAAAATCTCTGGAAGGGACAAGAAATTCTTTACTAAAAAAAATAATGATGGCTTTTTCTTGTCCAAAAACAGATAAAACATTCTCGACCAGCATCACTTCTTACAACAGAACTGCGGGATATTCCTTTCCGATCGATTATAATAGACCCTCAAGTCCTCCTCGCTCTTCTAGGATTATTCTCTTTTAACTTGATAATGAGCAGCACGATCAGCGTTCCGACATATTTGACACGCGCTTTCGGGTTGCCACTTTCGATAGTGACCTACGTTTTTGGAACAGTAGCGCTTGGATGCTTGATTGCTAGTTTACCTTCGGCGCTAATAGGTAATGATGAAGAAGATTTTAAAAGTATGAATTTTTCCGTTTAAAGTTGATAAATTACGAAAAAAGTACAGCACGACTTTTGTTCGAAAATCAATGATTGTATTTTTCTGGATTCTGATGCTCCCGTCAGTTTGCTGCATTAAAATTTTTGGTTGCAATTTTGTTGGAGTGTCCGTCCTTTTTTCTATTTATATTATTTCAACAGCTGCTTGCGGAAGTAAGTGATAAAGTTCGACGATTGATCTGATCGAATTAACAGTAGCCGGAATACTGCCAATTGCTGCTGAGCTGTCTGCAAATTTCGGCCCGATTGTGACTGGTTTCGCCGGTGGCATCGGCAATTTTGCGGGGTTCGCTTCCACTTCGCTCATGGTTTACCTGCTCAAAGACAAAAATCAAGGTAAGTCGTCAAATCAGACGTATCGAGTGTATATATAGATGACCCCGCCAATTGGAACCAGTTTTTTGTGGCCCCGGTTGGTTTCTTTACCGTTTTCATGGGCTTTTTCCTTGCTTTTGGAAAGATAGAAGTTCGACCGTGGGCGAAGAAAAGAACGACAAATTTTCCTTTTCTGCTGAAATGAGGAAAAAAATACACAAAAAACAATTTCACAATTTGTTTCAACTTTGTTTTTCTATTTAGCTTTAACGAATTTTTTCGCTTTTGCAACAGCATTGCCGAATTTCTTCTTCAAGATGACTTGCTTAGTTTTCTCAAGTCCAACATAGTAGGGTTGAGGCAAATGACTCCCGATCGGAAAGTCAGACTCGTCGAAAAGCGGAAAATCAGTTGGGCCGTGATCATCCCCAGAATGTCTAAAGAAGTGTTTTTCTCCTCTTTTCGTTAACAGAAAAAAACATAAATGCTTGCCTGAACCAATAAAGTAGATCAAGCACTTTCACAATGGGATCGCTAACAAGTCGGATTCGCAAATGCTTCTTTACTCTAAATTTTTAGAGTAACATTATCGGAAAACATTATCGGAGCAACAAAAATTTTCCGAGCGAGAAAATTAACCTTTCCTTGAACAAATCTTGAAGCGCCTGATTCCCAATTTTCGGGGCGGCGACACTCACAACTCGAAAATTCTCATTTTCATACTTAGGCGCTGATTATTGGCTCCGATTTTTTTTCATTTCTATACAACAGCCATTTTCACTGAAAATTTAAAAAGTTCATCCTAGTTTTCGAGCCAATCCTAAGGAAGCGCCAACTAAACAGGCAACTGCGCCACCAAGTGAGTGGCCAACAATTAATATTTCGTCGACTGGTTTTGTTTCCAGAGTTGAATCGATAAAACTTTCAATTTTCGGCTTCAGAGCTTGAAAGCACTCGTAGAAACCGCTGTGAACGCGAGCTTCAGTTTCTTCAAATTGAACTTGGGAAATCTTTAAATCTTGCCAGACGTCTTGAAGCTCAAGTGTCCCGGCGATGGTGGCGATCGCATAAGTTTTTCCCTCAACACCATCAATAGGCTTGTCTTTTGCATACATTAAGATGGCATCGGAGCCCGTTTCTTCGTCTCGGATGACTTCGAACTCGAAAAACTCGAATCTTTGCAGCAATGAAGCCAAAGAAGACTAAATTAAGATTATCACTGATAACAGATATTAAAATTCTAGAACACCTTTTCGAGCTCACTTCCATGTTGCGTCACAATCTCAGTAAATTTTTTGCTGTCACCATTTTCAATTCGTGCTTCAGAGAGACTCTAGAAACGATTCTCAGTTGAAACGGGTGGTAAAATAGTATTTTTACTTGACAATTGTAAGGAAGTGCAGATAGCCGAATAGAGAATTGAACTTTTAGGATTTTGTCGATTGAGATATTTTGGTAGTTCTCGTCTACCCACTCTTGGGCGTCACTGTTGAACCACTCTTTTAAAAAATCAGCACAACCCATTTTAGATGAAATGCTTCCTTTTGAAGACTCGAATCGCATCAAAAGAAGAGACCGGAAATCGATATGATAAATGCTCAGCTCATAATACTTTCTATTGTACTACCATTAATTATGCACCATAATGGTAGAGATTAACCAACGAGTTATAACTTATAAGTCTTTCCCTCATGTCAGATCATTTAGCAAGAATCAAGAAGAAATTCTTGAAAGCGAGAATAAGTTGCATAACAAAATCTATATTACAAATAATTTATTTGAAATAAATTATGATACTTATTGTCAATAAACCGATAATAGGAAAGAAAAATCTTAGGGCAATTCTTTAATTTTCGCTTCTAGCTGTCATATGAAAAATGAATTGATGGATAAATTTCTGGTTCTGCTAATTCACTTAATTTGCTTACTGAAATGAAATGTGCATAAAACAAGAGGGAATCAATCTGATGCAGGGTTGGGTGACGTTTTTCATTGATTTGCCACCGGCTTTGATTATCAGATATTACCTTTTTCTGACAGTGGCAAACTGTCACCGCCCTTGTCGTTAAATATTCACTAATCTCCCTCTTTACGAGCCTGAGTAACGTCTTATTTTTACTGTAAAGATGATTCTGTAAAGAACTTCTTGCACGCGTCCATCATTTCGTAAGTAACGTAAAATTCTCTCTTGAGAGGAATTCTAATTTGCGATCCTGAATGGTCGATGAGATTGTTTTGGAGAATAAATTGGGAGTCTTCAATTCGGTCTAGCACCATTTGGTGGAAAATTATAGACCCGTCGATTCGTTGATAGGCGCCAGTTACGGTTAACGGTTGAATAAATTCAAATTCTGAATGCAGGAGGACTGAAATTTAATAACTTACTGATAATCTTTGTTCTTTTTAATAAACCTTTTTCAAAATCAAAGTTGCCTTGTAATCCTTGATTTAATTGATCTTTGATAATATCCCATCCGCTTTTGTTCAAATATGTTTCCAATTTCAAGCGTTTTAGGAGCACTTCGATGTTGTTCGCTTGAAATTCTTGCTCGTCATTTTTTGGATTGAGATTCAAGCCAGCCAGACTCCTCGGGTAGATGATCATTGTTAACATTGTGAAGATTTGTTCGAGTATAAAATATCTTTGCAAATCTAGGTCATCGTTATATCTAAGATCATTTTTAATAGCCCATCGAATAAGCACTGTTATGGCGATTGGTACATCAAGATTGCTTTCTTTCTGGTCGAGAACATTCTTCGTTAGATTTTTGAAGTCGAAAATAATAACGATAATAAAAAGAAATTTTTCTCTTTTTCATTAAGAAATTCATACCCTTAGTTCTTGCATTATCTGTTCTCTTTCGTCTTCTTCGAGTGGTTTGAAGTTCAAACTTTGAACATAAGACTCCAGGCTGTCTCCAGGGTTCAACCATCTCCCTAGTCTTCATTTCTTTCCATATTCATCATATTCGGTCTATTAGTGTTCATTTCCAATAAATTTGGTCTTTCAGTCTGCATCTCCATTATATCTGGCTTAAATTTAATTTTTTTCAATAACAATTTTTCAATAAAATTGAGCGTCTCTTTCTCGATTGATTTTCAGGAAGGAAATTGTGCTTCTTTCGAAAGTTTGCTTTTTACAATCATATTTGCTTTTTGAGGGGGAATCTGAACGTTTCTGATGAATTTAGGGTTAGGGTTTCACAAGCCCTAGCAATTAATGCCATAACCAGAGTTGGTAAAAAGTATACTTCACTCGCCCTTCGGAATGAAGTATACTTCAGGGCGTTGCAGGGCGTTGAAGGGCGTGAAGTGTACTTCCGCCCTTCCCTCTGCTTCAACCGCCCTTCCGCCCTTCACTCTACTTCAAATTGGTTCTGTCGGCCATCAGAATCCATCCGCCAGATTTTTTTCAAATTTTGCGCTTATTGGCTCTCAGGCGCCATGATTTAAATCACGCTGATTGTGGCAGATGAAGTGGCAGCTAAAGTTTTCGATAAGAACCGATAGGGCGATGCTGCTGCGGGCCCTTTTCGCGGTGCCCCGCGTCGCGCGAGTTGCGACATGCCTCTAGTTATCGGATGATTTCAAGATACCAGTAAGCACTCGTAAAAACATTTTTTCAGAGATGAAAGATAAGTGTCTGATAGAGAACATATCGAAAAAAGAATGACGGGGTAAGACGGGCCTAGAAGATCTGCCTATTTGAAGGATAAATTCCATGTTTTTCATAATACTCATTGATTTTTTGCGAATTTTTCTTTCATATTTAAAATCAGTAGGTAAGAAAACATACTTGTCTGTAAAATCAGGAAAAACGGATGAATATTTCGGGTACATATGAATATTTCGGGTTGTAGTTGGGAAAGCGAAAATGGGGCCCTCGCGCTCCCGTGATAGTCCCTAGCCAAAACCATTGCCAAATAGACTATTTGAAATAGTCTATTCATTCACGTTTTCGAAGCTTTCCAGAACATGTTTTTTTTTTGTTATTTTTGGCGACGTTCGACGACATTAAGTGACATTCGTCGACATTTGGCGGCATTCATGGACATTTAGGAATATTCGTCGACATTTTGGGACATTCCACGACATTTAGCGACATTCGGCGACATAGTCAGTGCCAGCCAAATCTTTATTTTCAAAACAAATTTGCTTGATAAAGTTTATTTGATAAAAGTCAGTTGAAATTTCAAAGGCCTTCACAGTACAAAAAAGGTTTTACGCATAAAAGTGTTGTCGACACACACATTTTTTTAAACTCTTTCAAATCTCCTAAAGCTAGCTGTCTTTTCCGAGCATTTCGATTACCTGCGCCTGAGCTCTAGAAAATTCTGCTAGCAAGGAAAAATTGATATGAGTGGAGCGCGAAGAGAAGGGGCATGAAAAACGGGTGAAAATACGGTTCCGAATCGAGAAATTTGAAAAAGAAAAAGAGAAGCGTCCAATTTTTAGGCTTGAGCTTGTTTGATGGCAGCAGATCGTCGCTTGAGTCGTCGCTTCTCACCTCGTCGCTTTCGGGCAGCTTCTTTATCGTAGCCCTGCGACATCGCTGAAGAATAAATTAACACGGGTCATCGTTAAAGGGGGTGAGGTACCAAGTAGATAAATTTAAAAGCCGTTAACTGTCTATTTTTGCACAAGAAATTAATATTTTTCAAGACTTATCACCAAAGTCCCTATCTAAAAAACACGTTTATGATAAAAGGGAGGAGAAAAATAGCCCAAAATTTTGGATAAAACTTCAAAAAACGAGTCCAAGATTAATTGTCTTCAGAACACTTGATCTAATTCAAACCATTACTTGTCGAGTTAACCCTGAATCGACAATCTTTACCCGATTTTCCGGAGTCTTTTCGACAATGATGGCAAAAGCCAGTTGAAAAAGATGGGGTACCCGATTCGAACCTGAAAGAATAGCAGCTTTTTCCTCAGCTTCGTTCGCTTTTCGCTCTTCTTCAGCCTTCTCTCGCGCTTCCTTGGCGAGTCGCTCAGCCTCGACCTTGGCCTTTTCCTTCTCCATTCGAGCGTTTTTCTGCTCTTCTCGGAGCTACAGCAATTTTAGCTTCAATAGCTATTTTGTCAACTTTACCGCTTTTCGGTCGTTCATTCGTCCTTCAAGAGAAGTGATGTTTTCCTCATCAGCAGCTCGCTTTTGGAAGTGATCGTCGCACATTCGCTTCAACTCGGCCAAATCTCGCTCGAGTCGCTTCTTTACGAAATCGTCATCCATCGTTGAAAATTTGCTCTAGAATCGAAAATAAGCCAAGATCCCCCGCTTTATCTCTTCTATTATTATCGTCATAAAATTACGAATTTACACAAAAAATTTGAAAATTACCTCGTTCCTCGACAAGCAAAAATTGAAAAAACAAGGGTCGGGCCAAGGTGGATCCGCAGAAGACTCAACAGCTGTCTCCCCAACAGAAATCACGCCAGCTCTTGTAGCCAGGTCACAACAGCAACTGATGAGCTAACAACTTGCTGACAGGGCGCTTTTAACTCTTGTTAGCCCTGTTTGTTGGAAAACTCGTAAATAATAAAATTATTGTCAAGATATACTGTCAAGATAGAATTGTCCTGTTTTGACATTATCATGATTGCTCATGATAAAGTTTTCTGGAAAAAAAACGATAGATGGAAAATTAAAAAAGATGTTTCCAAAGTATACTTTCCGCCCTTTCACAAGTAAATAATATGTTCTTCCTTGATTTCAAAACAAAATTTCAGCTGAAGAGAAGGAAGAAATCAAGACCAGAAAGCGCCAAAAAGAAAGCAGAAAACCTTCGATTTCGAAAGCGATTTTTAAAGTAATTTGACGATTTTTCTTCATATATTATATCTTGAATAGATGCCATTTTACGTGGTCGAAAACGGGCGAGGTTTCAAATTTGGCGACGGCTTGATTGTCAAAAACTCCAAAAAAGAAGAATCAAAAGAGGAGGAACTTCTTGAGCCTGAAGATGTACTTCTTGTTTTTGACTTTCTTTAGAGAAAAATTAAGGGGGTGGTGGTCGAGAATCAGACTTCTTTTGACAAAATTAACGCAAAATTCTTCTTAAAAATCTTATTTTTTCTAACCGAAAATGGGTTAAAAAGGGTTCAAATTATGTGGGCGACTTGGTCTGAAAAATATATTTTGTCAAAAAATTGTCGTTATTTTGGGTCAAAGTGGACCTGAAATCTCATTTTATGCTATTTTTGAGAAATCATTTTCGGCTTTTTGATAATTTTCGGCTATTTTAGGCGACTAACTTGCCTAAACCATAGTTTTTGAGCTAGAAAAAAATCATAAAAGAAATATCTGAAGTTTATTCTTTGAAATACTGAAAATAAATGCCGAAAATCAAGAATCCTAGATAAATTCTCGACCACCACCCCCTTAAGGAAATGTCGGGTTTGCTAGACGCAAAAGAGCAGGCGAAAAAGAAGAATGAGACGTCTGAAGAAGGGTCAGGATCGGATTCGGAAGAAGAATCGGAAGAAGAAGGCGATCTAGAGGATGTAGAAATGTAAGAAACAAAGATGGAAAGGAGAAAGAAAGAGTTGTTTTTCAGAGACCCGGCAGAAATAGAAGCTGCGCTAGAAGTAGACGCGGACGATGGTAAGAGAGCTATTTTTAGAAATGGTATATGAGTTGATTGAAGGCGATGACAGCAATGACGACGACGCGGAGGAAGACGATCTTATTTGAGTTCAAGTATCTTCTTACTCAGCAGAATACGAGCTGAACTTTGAAACTGGATTTTGAAAATGATTTATTTGAACTCGGAAACAGCGACGAAATCGGATCAGAACTGGACAAGGGCCTTGATCGCCTCGACTGCGCAGTGGAAGACGAAATGAAAGGTTTTCGATTGCCTGCTCATTAAAATGAATTTTGTCATTCAATTTTGTATTCAGATAACAGCCAGCAGGTGATTTATCTGACGGACATCAGTCACTCGGCATCGATCGCTGGCGAATTTACCGATCAGGACTCGTACATGCTCGACGAGTTTCCTGATCAAAATGGCGATCAGACGTCTTACCTGCTTGTTTAATGCTCCATCAGTACGAAAATGATATTTTTAAAAGAATAAAGAAGATGACAAATGTACTTGCTCTTGATCTTAAACATTTATTATAAAGCGCCAAAAAGGTTGTTGCCATTAATGAGATTCGCCATCTTTGAGTCGTCCCAGAAGCCTTAAGTGAAGGTTAAAAAGGAGGAAAATGAGATCGATAAACCAAATTGAAGTCATAAAAGAACGACTTCGTTCTTTATTAACAAAAAGGCTGTTGTTAAAACGATTGAGATTTACTAAAATGATTGTTTCTACGCTCCCTTCCTTACGTCGTTTTTGTCAGTAAAATTCTGGAGAAGTTAGCTCTAGAGCCTAGAATAAGGGCTAAAAGTACCAACTTGTCACCGAACCGACTCTTATTAGCAGTTGGGGTCCGTGTACAGTCAGTTTAAATCCGACGAAAATGACCAACTAACTGAGAAAGTCGGGGTTTGGCAACCCTAACTCTAGAATCCAAACGGTAGTAGGGGCCCCCTATTAGGGTGTTATCATTCGAGCTGCCCCGAACCTTAAAACTAACCAAGGGGGCTTCGCTCCCCGGACCCCCTTAAGAGTTACCAGTCCCTAGCCCTAACCACTAGCCCAGATTCTAAAGAAATTGAATGGCTCGAATCATAGGCTCGAATGATAGCCCCTCTCTTCGATCAAAACCTGGTGATGGAGATCTCTTTCCGACGAACATCATTCCGTCCAAAAACTCGTTGTACTCGTCGGCCGATCTTTGTTGTAAATTGAGCGGATTTGCGCTAACGAAATTGATGATCTTAATTTTCTTGTTTCAAAAAGTTAGTCCTCGTTGATTTCAAATAAGTTTTGAAACAAGTGCCGAAAAAGCGAAAAAAGTGAGGTTCATTTTCGTTTTTTTGTTTGATGCGCCGCGTAAAATGTAAAATAGCTTCTGAAAACGAAAAGGGGGTGACGAGGAGATTGGCTTTGATTTGAAATGTACAGGTGATCAAAGATTAACAAGGACGCGGTGAATACGCGGTAGCATTATTTTTATATAGCATTATGGATGAAGAATTGCCATTACTGTGCAATTAACTGTCTCTTGTACCGATACAATCATCATTTCAGTCAGCATTAGTATTCAACCCTTCGCTCTTGTTAACGCTATTTTGTCTCTCAGTATCATTTGCTTAATTCACAGGGAACAATGTCTGGGAGAGCAAAATGAACTTGACGGTACCGTAAAAAAACTGACAAGAGCTTTCTACGCAGGTTTCCGACCTCGGGCTTTGATGAAAATCCTATGTTGATGATTTTTAGCGACAAAATGTATTTGGAACTCTTGAGACATGAGAGGCAAAATGGATGGGTCCGCTTATATTATAAGCCGAGATATATAATTAAATGATCATCTGCGTATAATTCTTTATTAAAAATTGGATGATCCACTTTTCGGACCGTCTGCCCGGCAATCGTGTTCCGCTCTTAATTTATATTTTCTTATTTAACAGACATGACAAAAGATGTCTTGTAGACTTGAGGTTCTTTTTCCCCCGTTTGAACTTACTTTAATTTGAACTAAAGTTGAGTTTCAGAAACTGCTCTTTGATGATGCTCAAATCGACCACGTCTTATGTATATCAACTTCATTAAACTTTGATTAAGAGCAGCTTTAGCGATTCTTAAGGATTATTCTCCGAAAAGGGTTTATTCAGAGTTCACTTATTAGCGTACAAAGTAGGCTTAACTCGCATTGGCATCGTGTCACTAAGACTTTCTTACAGTAGGTAGTAGTCTAATTCTTCATTTGTTTAGTAACATTGTATGTTTTGTAAAGACTTAATCTTTTAATGTCATGAATTTCAGCTAAAAATAACTTAACACTTGCTCTCAGTTGGTAGATTTAGACATTCTGTCAATTTCCACAAGAGTCTCGGAAAAATCAGTCTGCTGCTGCCGATCCAATTGGCGAGTCATTCAGAATAATACGGTACAAGAAAGGGAGTACTCATTCTAGCAGTCGATCTGCTCAAGGAAGTCCCAATTTTATGGGATTGAGCTTTTTAATTATTCAAGAAGGTAGCATTTTTAACTGTTTTTCGTTTTTCAAAATGTATATTTTCCAAATTTATTTTGACAAAAGGTGGAAATTTCCGAACAACCCTAACCCTAATCGTCCGTTTTTTCCCTTGAGCAAATAATTCCAGACTTTTCAATAAGATTTTTCGAGTCGCAAAAGTCGAAAATAATTTCGCGTTGAATGACGTCATCACTCGCGCGCGAAAGACGCGTTTTGGCTCAAAAGTCGTTTTCCTCACAAAAGTCCTTTTGACGCGCTTTTTCTAAGGTGGTGGAGGTTTTCTAGCCCACTTGCGCCTTATAAACCCTAGAACACCATACCTTTTCGGAATCAGCAGGAAATTCTAAGAACTTTGACCCTTTTAGTTTTCGAAAATTCCACTTCCGGTCCGATTCTAGAGCCGGAAGTTGGCGAAATTTAGGAGTTAGGGTAAAGTTTGACATATCAAATTGATGCTCAGAAGATTTCCTTTAAATTAAAGCAAGAATCGATCCCGACCGCGGTCAAACCAACCGGTTAAAACTGAAAAAATCATCAATTTATGCGTTTTTTCATAATTTTACCGGTTCGATTGACCACGTTTGGGACTGTTTCATCTGACATATTGATTTCAGGATGACTCAAAACGTTCGAGCATCAATTTGATATGTCAAACTTTACCCTAACTCCTAAATTTCGCCAACTTCCGGCTCTAGAATCGGACCGGAAGTGGAATTTTCGAAAACTAAAAGGGTCAAAGTTCTTAGAATTTCCTGCTGATTCCGAAAAGGTATGGTGTTCTAGGGTTTATAAGGCGCAAGTGGGCTAGAAAACCTCCACCACCTTAAAAAAAGCGCGTCTTTACAAATAATGAAGCGAGAAAAGCAAGAAAAAAGAATTTTCTGTAAAGAAAAAATCGAAGTGTAAACCGCTGAGCGGTCGCGAATGCTTGTGTTTTACTTTCTGCGAAATGTGTGAAACGAAATTGATCTTTGGCTTTCTTTCTTTTTTCTGTCTGTTGTGCTGAGCTCAAACACGAGAAAAATATTTATTCTTTTTGACCTCGATTCTTGATAATTCATTTTCGAACTGTTCAAATTTCAAAGAGAGGGTTGATAAAGAAAAATTCTAGATGAATGAGGACGACGACGTCCTCTTGATCGACGATGATGTGAATTCGACTCTGACGGATGACGAAGAGAGAGAGCTCATTTAGACGTTGGGCTCGGCAACATGAGTAGAAAACCTGAGTCACGGTAAAAGGCCGTAAGCTGCTCTTTCAGGAATCTGAGTCAGGGTTTCTACGCAGGTTGCCGAGCCAAGTTCAGAAAATACAGGAATTCAAGCTGGCGATGAACTGTACAAAATCAAAAACGAGTTCGAGTCGCTCAACTACGAAATCGTCCAAAACCGCATCCGCCAGGACGAGCTTCGGCGGCACAATAAGACTTCTTCGACGACGAAAGAGCTGGAGAGATGGCTGATTTGCTTCTTTATCGGTGCTTTGACCGGCGCGATCGGAGTGGTAATCACAGTCTCGATCGAGGCACTTTCGGGATTGAAGCAAAAATGGCTGAATAACTTGTTTCACCCAAGGCAGGGATCTTTATTTCAATAGCTTCTTTGCTCGAACTTCGAGCCTCGAAGAAGCAAACGGCTTCTCGATTTTCACTAGTAAAATAAGTCAGAAACGAGAATATTGCGCATATTGATCCTTGATGAAAGAGAAGTCGAAAGCCACGTGTCCTCCTTCGTCCCCGTCCTCGTCTGGTGCTGGCTGGACACTTCCTTCGTCCTTATTTCCGGACTAATGTGTGCCTTTCTCGCGCCAGTCGCCGCTGGCTCCGGCATTCCTCAAATCAAATGCTTCCTCAACGGCGTTCGTTTCCCAAAAGTCATTCGTCTAAAAACACTCATCGTCAAAGTTCTTGGAATCATCCTGGCCGTCTCTGGCGGCCTCGTCTGCGGGAAAGAAGGGCCGATGGTCCACGCTGGCGCCGTTTTAGCGGGAGGTATTTCGCAAGGAAACTCGCTGTCGCTTGGAATCACGACGTCGATTTTCGAACATTTCAGAGATGATCACGAAAAGAGAGATTTCGTCGCGGCTGGAGCTGCCGCTGGAGTCAGGAAATGGATGAAAATAAATAAAGATAGAGATCTTTTTCTGGCGAATTATTCAATAAATCGCCATCTGCGGCTTTTCGAAATGAATAACATCTGCAGTTTGGGAGGAATCCTTCCAAAATAAAGCCGCAAGCTTCTTTCTATTTTTTATCCAACTGAAAGCGCGGCTTTTGGCGCCCCCGTCGGTGGAGTTCTCTTCGCGCTCGAAGAAGCTGCTTCTTTCTGGAACCAGCCTTTGACCTGGCGCATCTTTTTCTGCTCGATGACTTCGTTCATGAGCCTCAACTACGGACTGACAGCGATGAAGACTGATCTTCAATTTGGGAATTTCTCCGCCGTTGGTTTGCTGAATTTCGGCAAGTTTGATAATTCAATGTGGTATTATTACGAACTGCCGCTTTTTGTGCTCATGGGAGTCATCGGCGGTCTCCTAGGAGCTTGCTTCGTCCAGCTGAACAAAGTAATCACAATCAACAGAATCCATCTTCGACCGAGTCGCCTCGCGAAAACGCTAGAAACCGGCTGCATCGCCCTACTTTCTACTTGTGCTTACATCGTCATGCTCTACGTAAACCCTTATTGCCGCGACGAAACGGAAGACGGACCAGCTGGATCTGCGATTAGCATGAAGGAATTTCAACATTTGCGAATGAACTGCGGCCCGCATCAGTACAACACCATGAGTTTACTTTCGTTTGGAACGCCAGAAACTGCTGTAAAGGTACATTTCTCGGCGGATCACTGAGAACCTGTGTTAAAACCTGACTCAGGTTCTCCTGAAAGGCGTTTGGTAAAAAGCTTTGTGGGAATTTCAGGGCCCTAACTCAGGTTTCTACACAGGGTACCGAGCCGAGTTTATCAGATAAAGAAATTTATCGAACTTTTAAGGCCATGTTTCACGAGCCCTACGATTTCTTCCATTCTACTACCCTTCTCATCTTCTTGCCAATCTACTGGCTTTTGGCTTGCCTAACGTATGGCATTTCAGTTCCCTCCGGTCTTTTTGTCCCTGCTCTGCTGTGCGGAGCCACTTGGGGCCGACTCGTCCACATTCTAATGGCGACGATCTGCGGCGTCGAGAAAATCAGCGATCCAAGCGTATATGCTCTCGTCGGTGCTGCTGCCGGTTTGGCTGGCACTGTCAGAATGACGCTCTCCCTCTGCGTCATTATTATCGAAGGTGAGAAAAAAGAACGAAAAATGAAGAAACGAGGCCCTTTTCTTTCTAGCGACTGGGAATTTGACCCTTGCGTTGCCGATTACAGCTGTTTTAATCACGAGCAAAGCTGTGGGAGATCTCTTCAACAAGGGAATCTACGATACTCACATCCATCTCTGGGGAGTGCCCATTCTCGAGTGGGAACCACCACCGAACTCAGAATTGATCAAGGCGACGGGAATCATGTCCAAACCAGTTGTTGGCTTCAGATCAGGTAAAAAAAGGTTTGAAAAAGGGATGAAATTGGTCTTTTAAGTCGAAACTGTGAGAAATCTGTACAACGAATTGGCATCATCGAACCATCAACACAACGGATTCCCGGTTACTGACGCTAATAACGGCGACTATCAAGGATTAGGTAAATTTCACTAGAAGTTGTCCTTGATTTCGACTTTTTATTTGAGTTTTACGAAGTCACATTCTGCTAATATTGAAAAATCGCTTGTTTTACGACCCATCGCGGCCGCAGGATTTGCTCTCGTTGACCGAGCTCAGAAGTGCTTATCCGAGGTACTTTTCAGTATCAGAGACGGGAATCGAAGAAGTGGATATGGACAAACTCGTCGATCTCAGGAATGGTTAATGAAAATCACTTCATGAAAAAGACCAGAAAAAATATTTCTCCTTTTTCTTCATGATGATTTTTTTTCAGAGATATATTTGATCAAATCTTATTAACATTAATCAGACCCTATATCAACAAGTCCGTCCACATGCTGACAGTCGAAAGCACCTTGGAGAGTATTTTCCGACTCTTTCGAGCTCTTGGGCTCCGTCATGCCGTCGTCGTCGATAAAGCCCTCAAACCGATTGGAATCGTCACCAGAAAAGGTCTGTTCCGTTAGTTGTGGATGAAATCCCTTCCGGCTTTCATTCCCTATTTAATTATTTTCTTCAGACATCGCTCGTTTTCGCGCAGAGAACGAGGCCGTCCATCGAATTCCAATTGACGAGTTTCGTCAATCGCACGTCTACTACGATTGATCGGCCTTTTTCGATTTGTACAAAGAAAATTAAGATACCAAAACGCCTTCAATTCAACCTCATTTACCTTCATTCGCCAATCTTTTTATACTTTCAAAAATATCTTATTTCTCATTCTCTCTTTCATCCATTTTTACACTGTTTCAGTTTGAGCTCCAACCCTGTCTTGTTTCAAAAATATTGAATAACAGAAATAAATTTATAGCGATACCCTTATTTTCAAAATTATGCTCTTACAGTTCCGACAAAATCGCATTTACTCATTCTTCATTCTTGTTTTTACACTTTCTTTTATTGAATAGTTCTAGTCTCATCTTATCCTTGTTCATTCGTGATTTCTTGTTTATGTTTGTGTGTCGCTAAAATATTTATTTATTGAAACTCGAAGCTCAACTTTTTCGACTGTTGAAATTTTCAATTTTCGATTCAAACATGCGTTTTTTATAGAGATGATTTACTATTGCAAAGAAAAATTGTAAAAAAAGGAATTGAATAAATGATGACGGTTGGAATTGACAATCCTGCGTTTGAAGATTTCAAGGACTCTTCTTCTGACGAAGAGAACGATTCCAGAGTAGATGAGAATTCGAATGAGTTAAATTCGGCGAGGAAAAATGGGGATTTCAAGCAGGCTTCTGCTGTTTCTGACGATATTAGACCAGGTTTGAAGAAGGAGATCTCAACCTGGGATCGAAAACCTGTGTGAAAACCTGAGTCAGGGTTCTGAAAGACGGGTGACGGGCGGCCACGTTCTGCCAGAACGGCGTTCTGCAAATACAGAACGGCGTTCTGCAAATGCAGAATGGCGTTCTGCATACGGATTTTTTTTTTCCGATGTAAATTGATTCTTATCAGTTTTAACGCATTCAGCGAAGCTTAAAGAGTAACTCCTGACTTAAGAAATTCTGAGATTTCCTTTAAGACAGGCGCGAAGCGCATATATTTTTTGAGTGCAAAACGCCGTTCTGCATTTGCAGAACGCCATTTTGCATTTGCAGAACGCCGATCTGCTGCAGAACGTGGCCGCCCTACACCCTGAAAGACTGATTATTTAAAGCATGATAGAATTGGGTAGTTTAATTGATAGATTTTGACGTGACTTTCTATAAATTCTATAAAAAAGCTCAAAGACGGCTTTCAGAACCCTGACTCAGGTTCTTTCACAGGTCATCAATCCCAGATTTTAATGATCGTTTCCATATCTTCGTTTTCAGAAAACGATTCTTCGGAGGATGAAGCACTAGAAGCCGACTTTGGATCGTCGGGTTCAAGAGTTGTGCAACTCAATCCGGCTGGCAAAGACATCGTCAAGTGCCGAATAACAAGGGATAGAAGAGGTGCAACAGCCTTTCCAAAGCCATGAATAACTCTCTTTGAAATAGGCATCGAAGCTTTCGGCTACCCGACTTATTTTCTCTACCTCGACGCTTCAACCGATTCAGAGCCGAATATGAAGGACATGGTTCTTTGCGCCAGAAAACGCAAAACCGGAAACTCGTCGTATATCATCGCCACCAGTTTGGAAAATTTAAACGCGGAGAAATTCGTGGGCAAACTCAAAAGCAACAATCTCATCGGAACACGGTTTGTTCGAACTTTTTTGAAGAGTTGAAAATTGGTTAAGATTCACGTGCTACGATCACGGACGAAAACCGGAAGCGACTGATATGTTGAGACGAGAAAAGGATGAAAACTTGAGGTCTGAATTGGTCTCGGTTTTGTACGATCAGAATGTTCTAGGATTCAAAGGTAGCGTCTTCTTAGTCGACCATTGAAAGAAACCATAATCCATTTCTATATTCGACTCTTTGGTATCGCTTTTTTGATGAGGTCATCGATCAAATGTGCCTATTTGTCGTTTATGAGAAATATGTTTCGAACCACACCTAACTCTTTATAACCACGAAATATCCAACCTCTAAATTCAAAGGTCCTCGAAAAATGACGATTGTTCTTCCCAAAATGGACGAGGAGACCAAAAAAGCTGTCACTATCCGCCCAGCTCAAGGTAAATTTCTCCTCGGCTTTATAAGGCGCAAGTGGGCTAGAAAACCTCCACAACCTTAAAAAAGCGCGTCAAACCATTTCCTAATCTAATTAACCAGCTTCTGAATCGCTACTTGGTTACTTCGACGAAGCAGATCTGCGAAAAATCACGGTGCACCACAATCGCCAGCCGAATTGGAACGAGAAGACGCAATCCTACGTGCTCAACTTCAATGGGCGAGTCACTCAAGCCAGCGTCAAGAATTTCCAAATCACAGAATCGGACAATCCGCAATCGACAATTATGCAATTTGGTCGTATCAGAAACGTAAGCTATCTATGTTTTCAATTTTTAGGGCTTTCAATCGAAAGATTAAGGGGGTCCACAACGATTTTTCCGAAATAAGCCATTTTCGAACGGCGCTCACGGCGTCACGGACTTAGATTTTTCACATATTTTTTTTCGTACAACTAGATCATTCTTAGATTTAGTGAAGCGTGTCTCAAATTTTTTTTAATCCGAACACATTCGTCGCTAGAGCGCCGAGAAGGTAACCATCTCGCGCAAAATGGCGTTTTTGGGCACTTTTTGACCGAGATTTACTCCGAAAGTTTAGGAAACAAATTTTTTTTCCATTTGGTTTCTGAAAGGTCTAACGCTAATCTAGTGAAGCGTATCTCAGTTTTGTCAAATTCCAAAAAATGATAATGTAACGAAGACGATCAAAATAATGTACGATTTTTGAAATTTCAACCAGCCTTCAGGGCATTACCCAAGCCCTTATTTTCGGGCATAAATAGAAAGTTGAGCTCATAGCCTTTCTAAAAATATGCCATATACGACCCTTAGACAGCTGTAAATAAAGGTTGATTTTTTAATTTCCATGCAGATGCATCAAAATTCGCTACTTCAAGGTCAATTTTCGACATTTTTTTCTTATACAATCGAAAAAAGCTAGAGACCTTTTTTGCAGCTTTTTTCATGAGGAATTCAAATCTGAAGAGAAAAAATTAGAATTCGAAAAATCTAAAAATCGTGTGGGACCCCCTTAAGGCTTCTTATTGGCTCAGGGCAATAATAGCGGCTTTTGATTGGCTCACGCCCAGAACAGCTTTTTATTGGCTGAGATAGGTCCTATTTCCGAAAGGCGAGACTCTGATTGGCTAAGACATAAGACGGTGGCTTCTGATTGGCTGAAAACACCCCTAAAAGGCTCGAATTCCCCATAAACTTCAATCTTTATATTTTAGAAAAAAACTAATAAATAATTTCAGGACAACTTCACAATGGATTACCGCTACCCCCTATCCGCCGTTCAAGCTTTCGGCATCGCCTTATCCAGCTTCGACCCGAAGATCGCCTGCGAATAAAAAAACTAGTAGACCCGCCTTCAGCAAACGAAAACGACTTTTTCAATCCGATCTGGTGTCTTTTATTTTCTGATTATGTCTTTCTAACATTCCCTAAAGTTTTAGTTCCCTGAAATTGAAATTGACTCAAAAAAACTCAACTTTTTATTTTAACAATTCTTCTTTTTAGTTCCTTTCTTACCCCGCTTTCTTGTAATTAAACTTATTATTATCTACTTTTTTCTAACGATTCTTTCTAACTCTTCAAAGTTCCGAAATAAAAAATTTTGCTTCATAAAAATTTGAAATTGTTAACTTCTTAGTTCAATTTCAAGTTCTTTTTCAACTATTTTCCAGGGCAAAAGTTTTAAAAAGGCATTTTTGAAAGGGAATATCCGGCATTCTTAAGATTTACTTCAATGCCTTTCAATAATCTTTGAGGCCTTTTAAAATTGAATTCAAGTTTCACTTTCAATTTCTTCAATTGTACTTTTTTATTTCCGACTCAGAACCTCTTCTACAGAGCAAAAGATAGCAGCTGAACTCAGCAACCTGTGTAAAAAACCTGACTCAGGGTCATTATCAATAAATAATGAAAAGCCGCTTTGGGGCTTTTCATTATTTATCTTTCAGAACCTGACTCAGGTTTTTACACTGTGTAAAACCTGTCAGGTTGCTGAGCTCAGGACAACAGGTACAATATGTTGCAGAGAATCAGCAAAAGCAGTGATCATTATGAAAGGATTCTTCGCTTCCAGGAATTTTGTTGCCTTTCGTTGAAAAATCAAAACGAAAATCGTCTCTAGAATCATGTTTTTGAATTTTTGCTTTTCTAAGATAACCTCAGTTCAGTTCCTCTGTGCATTAGTACAGTAGTTGCCCAGAAAAGATGGGTCTTTTCGGCCTCGCAACGAAGAAAGAAAAGGTATTAACGGGATAATTCTTATTGATCTTTACTGAATTATGACAGAAACAACTCCAAGATGAAATCGAAAAGCGCGATGTTACCATCAAAGAGTATCAACAAAAACTCGAAGATGTTGAAGCAAGTTTGAATCGCATTAAAGTTTCTTCTGGCATGAAAGATTTGCCCGAAAACGAGCAGATTGAGCAGTATCAGGAACAGTTTCAAGGCAATTTTCAATTTGTAATTTTGGCTTGGAGTCATTAGGGTTTAGGCTGAGCTCGGCAACCTGAGTAAAAGCCTGAGTCAGGCGCTGAAAGAGCTGAAATGAAAAACCGCGAAGGCTTACTGTACCTTTCATTTTAGGCTTTTTCAAAACCTGACTCAGGTTTTTACACAGGTTACCGGGCCTAGGGCCCAGGGGAAACGGTCGGACTCATTACCAATTGGTAACCCATTACCAATTTTGGTAACCCATAACCAATTTTGGTAATGCATAGGGGAAATCACTAATAATCGAGCTTTTTTTCTAGCTTAGTAGGGTGGGAGTATAATACAGTTTTAGAATCCCCAGAAGCTGGGGATCATTTTGACTATTGATAGTGGGGCGTCATCTCGAACCCTGAGGGCATTTAGGCACCTCTAAAGTCCCAAAATTCGGCCAACTTCGGAAATTTGAATTCGTCAAAAAAATGTCGATTTTTTTTATTCAAAGAGCGAGTGTGCGCTCCGCGCCTGTTTAATAGAAAACTTGTGGGGTGTTTTATTTATTAACTTGGCAAAAAAGTAAAAATAAATTGATAATGGACTCCCGAAAATTGGTAAGGGTTACCAAAAATTTTGGTAATGAGTCCCACCGTTCCCGGGGCCCAGATCCCACTTAACAAAATCCGGTTAGGCTTACCGAGAGGCAACCAAAAAAATACGCCTTTTTTGGAAACTTTTTCGAGAAAATCATCGTTGATCGCGATGCCGAAATCTCCAACCTCCAAGCAAAACTCGCCGATGCAACCCGCGAACTTGACGAGCAACTCAGCACTCATGCCAAAATGATGGAAGCCGTCTTGAACGAAAAGGACAAGCAAATCAAGGTACGCACGAAATCATCAAAAAAATACTTGATAATGAAACTAACAGGAAAAACTTCTTTCTCAAGCTTCCGAGCAGCAAGTTAGCTGTTGTGTTTTAATTAAAAAGGTAGATTTTGCGAATCAGAAAAGTCTAAACAGTTTTCTTTTCAGAAATTGGACACGAACGACAATTTGCGAAAAGCTGTCGCGGCCGAGGCTCTTGGAAAAGGAAAGCAGAGCGTGTGGACTTTCAAAAAGGTCGAGAAGAGTGAAGAGCAACAGAGATTGATCAAAGACGCGCTCTTGGCGAATTCTTTCATGCGCGGCCTCAGCGAGAACCAACTTGAGCGGCTGATCGACGCCATGGCCAGCACTAGCTATCCGGCCAACGAGAAGATCATCAAGGAGAACTCGAATGGCGACGAAATGTACATTATTCAGGACGGAGAGGTGAGCGTCAGCAAGGACGGAACTCACATCACCGATATCAAAAGAGGACTTTTCGGAGAGTTGGCGATTATGTACAACTGTCAGAGAACAGGAAAAAGGTTGAAGATTTGGAATTTTTTTTTTCTCAAAAAGTCTGCTGGACATTTTGATGTGGGTACTCTTCCTTGATTTCAAAGCCCCAAAAATCCAATCTTCAATCATTTTGACAGCTACTGTGACATCAAAGACCCCAGTTACGCTCTGGAAACTTCATCGAGGTGCCTTCCAATTGGTTGTCAAATCTGCTGGGGAAGAAAAACTCGAGGAAAAGTACCAACTGCTCAAGTCCCAGAAAGATCTTTCCGGCTTGAAAGAATCGAACTTGCGAAAAATTGCCGACTGCCTCGAGGAAGAGCACTACGAAGACGGAGATATCATCATCAAACAGGGCGAGGTTGGTGATAACTTCTTCATCATCCGAACTGGCTCGGTGAGAATCACGGTCAACGATGGCGAAGGCGAGAAAGAAGTAGCGCAAAAGGCAGAAGGAGAGTTTTTCGGCGAAAAAGCGCTTCTGACTTCCGACACTCGATCCGCCAACGTCTACGCAGTCGGTGACATCGTCTGCTACACACTCGACCGAAACTCCTTTACCAATCTGATCGGCTCTCTCGACGCTCCAGAATCAACTGTCGATCTTCACCAGAAAGCCGCGCCAACTCGAGTCGTTCCAGAAGAAATTCTCGGCTGCAAGGACGTCAAAGACTTGACGGTCGTCAAAAACCTCGGCGCTGGTGGATTCGGCCTTGTCAAGCTCGTCACTGTAAAGGGAATCGACAACAGGGCTTTCGCGCTGAAATGCATCCAGAAGTGCCGCGTTGTCGAATATGGACAGGAGAGCCACGTCATGGACGAGAAAAACATCTTGGCAGAAATGCAAAGCCCCTTTATTCTCGGGCTTTTGAGAACATTCAAAGGTAAAAAAATGAAATATGAAAAGTGAAGCCTAACATCAAAATTCTAGACAAAAAATTCGTCTACATTCTTACCGACGCTTACCTCGGTGGCGATCTCTGGCGAACGCTTTGCAACAAGGGACCTTTCAAAGACTCTGTTGCCCGATTTTACGCCGCTTGCGTGGTCCAGGCTTTCGAGTACTTGCATTCAAGAGACTACTGCTACAGAGACTTGAAGCCAGAAAATCTCATGGTTGATGAGAAGGGCTACGTCCGACTTGTCGATCTTGGATTCGCGAAAAAAGTGCTCCCTGGACACAAGACTTGGACCTTCTGCGGAACTCCTGAGTACATTCCTCCGGAGGTATACCAACAAATGCACCTAAAGTCCACTGGTTAACCTCTCTCGTTTCAGATCATTACCAACAGCGGTCACAACGTTTGCGCCGATCTTTGGTCTCTTGGAATTTTGATTTTCGAGCTCTGTTCTCGAAAGACACCCTTTTTCTCAAACAACGACATGGACATTTACGAGAAAATCCTTCAAGGAATTCACGCGGTTTCAATCCCCTTCCGAGTTTCCCGAAAGGCTGAGAGCTTGATCAAACAGCTTTGCAAGCGAGAGCCAAGTGAGCGAATCGGTTATCAGAAGGATGGATTTGAAGATATTCGACGACATCGATGGTATGCGGTAAGTTTCCCTAGAATGTAGCTGGACTCGGCAATCTTTAAAAAATATTCTAGGGTTTCGACTGGGAAGCGCTCCAAAATGAAACAATGATTGCCCCACACCCTCCAAAAATCTCAAGCTTCAAAGACTGCTCCAACTTCGATTCCTTCAAAGCCGAAAGCGAGAGCAAAGTTCCTGAAGAAAACTCTGGCTGGGACGCCGATTTCTAAACTACTGCTTCTTGCAAAAAGATACTGTACAAAAAACATGAATATCGATTTTTTTATGAATTCTGTTTATTTGAGAAAATTTCCCATAAAGCCAAAATCGACGGAGGAATCGCGGTCGTGGTGAAATGAGTCGTCAAATTCTTTCAGGGTCGTTTCTGGTAGCCTACAAGGATTTTGATTTTTCGAAAGTTAATTGAAATATACTTGTTCGGTTGATGTTTTAGGTAGGTTTTAAGGACAAGGGCGCACATATTCTCGATTCCTTCCATTCCCAAGACGACAAGACTCTTTTCTTTCGTCAGAACTAAATAACTTCGACCGTGGTTTATTCGGTAAATGCTTGACTTACGGATACATTCGTTATAAAACCGGTTTATTTGGTAGATATCTGTTTTTTGTTCTTCCAATTTCCTGGAAATGCAAAAGGCGAAAAAAGAAAAAATGAGTTTTATTTTCATCTTGACTTTTTAGCGATATTTATTCAGACTTTATATTCGGGAGCTCTTGAAATCCTCCTCGAATTCAAGATCACGAAAGAAAACAACTGGATTGGCTTTAATAAATAACTCTCATTGAATTTTTTCCTCGTTGAGAGACAGACAGAAGTTTCTGAAGTTCTTCTTGTCCAGTTTCTCAAATGCTTCAGCGAGCGAAAAAAAGCAGCCATGTGAAAAAACCGGCAGGTCTTTTTTGCTGATGTCGCTGTGATCTGTCTACCGATAGATTGTTTCGCGATCAGACAGTGTTTATGTTCCCTGAGAAAACTAAAAACACTCGCTCTTAGTCTGACCTGAGTTATCTGCTATCTCGAAACAAATTCACATGAGCGCTTACTGTTTTGCTTCTCTTCGTTGATTTCCATGTTTGGTAAGGAGAAAAGCAAGGGGTCAATTTGGGCTAGGCAACCTGTGTAGAAAACCTGAGTCAGGAATTATAAGAGCCCTATTTAAAGTGGAAGAGGTTCTTCGCAATATAACAAATAAAATTTATCATTAAAATCCGAACCGTGGGAGATTAAATTCATGATCCAGAAAAAAAACCCTTTTGCTTTCATAAAAAATCTCTGAGTCTCTGGTTCAGGTTTTATGCACAGATTATCGAGCCCAGGGTTCAATCGGAGACTTTTTCCCAAAAAACCCTAACCGTTACCCAAATAGCCCTTAAGGGCTAAAGTAAGAGCCCCTAACCCTAACCTTCTTCATTATCAAGATGTATTTGATGATCTTATTTTATAAGCAAATTGCTTTTCATCCTCTCGATTCCGAACTTTGGCTTTTGGGTAGAACAATTGAACTTTTCGACGATTATGAATTGATTTATTCTCCAAACGTTAGTTTTCCAGCGAACATCTTATTTCAAAATCAAGAATATGAAGAGCCGGCTTGTTCTTCTGGGAAGCAACTCATAGACAGTTTCGATATGGCCGCTTTCTTCAAGGCTCTGCATTTTTCGGCCTGAGAATGGCTTCCTGGAGAAGCTGAGCGAGCCGATATCTTCTTATCAGAACTCGTCTACCCTGGCTCGAGCGGTATAAAATCAGCCCTCCCACCCGTCGGATCTCATAATTGAAATAAAAATCAAGAAATAATGGCAATGAACAAAACTTTTTCAAAAGCCGCCGACTTTTTTAAATCCTTCTTTGGCAATTCTCGAAGAAATGTTTCGAAAAACACCTCGATCGACACCACCGAGCTCTGCGAGATTCTGGCCGATCCAGCTCGACTCCGCGATTTTCGAGAATTTCTCCTTCCGATGCGCGTCCCCGACATGGAAGTCGACATCGACTTGTTTCTCCAAATCAACTACGTCGAAACGACAAAGCCGTTTTCCAGCAACCGCCGCAGCTCGCTGGAAGATATTCGCGGCCATTTGACGTCGCAGGAACGACCGCTTTGGCTCTCGACCGTGGAATTGATGACGGCAAAGTCGAGGGTCACCAATTTACTCAGCGAAAAACCAGCTCACTTGGACCGTTAAAAACGCTTCGCGACAAATGCCTCGACCGACTGGTTCCTGTTTTGGAAGTGTTTCGACGATACCAGCTGAAAGACCCGCTGTTTTGGAAAGAAGATCCGCTCCAACTTCTTGTTGCTAACTGATCATTGATCAATTACTGTGTTTTTGATTTGTGACCCTAATTTTAATAATTTTTAAATAAAAAAAAATATTTGATTTGATTGATTTTTTTCTATGCACAAAAGACTTGCAAGAGCAGCGTTTTTCGCCGGCACAATTGTTTGATCGAATTCGCGGTAGTAAACCCCTTCTTGCAAGTAGGATGGCTGGCCACTAACAACCTTTGATTCATTAAGAAAAAAAGGCTGTTTTTACCTGCACCAAGTAAAGCCACTTTCTGACGAGTTGAACTGTTGTTTTTTGAACCCTGTATAAATGGAGGTAATAAAAATGATTTCCCTAAGAAAACGATTAACAGAAACTTTTTCAATTAAATTTTTTTTACGTTTTATAAGTTGTTTTTCTCAGGATCCAGGTTTTATCTAACAAATCGCTCTCGAGCACTCCATATTCTCGAATAAATGATGAGTTGATCTTCATTTTCGGACAATTAAGATCCTTCAAATTGCCGTGGTAAAGGATTGCTCGTCCTAAGTCATCGAATAGCTCGTCTTCGCAGAAAAAACTGGTGGAGAAATGAGGCTCCTCTGCTAAAACAAAAGTCATTTTCGAATCTTCTTTTTACCTCACAAATATACGCGCAGAAGGGAGGGCCATTTTTCTCGTTAATTTTCAAAACATCGACCATATTATCCACTTTCTTCTTTCGCTCTTCAATGTACTCTGGATAATTTGTGTTATCATCATCTATCCAAAAAGCGGCTCGAGTAAAACAACGAGGGTTATATTTCCCGAAATCCATGCTTTCTAAGTTCAAGAGTCTGAAAGGTTTCTTCGGAAGAGCCATTTCTCGGTCCTCACAAGTCTTTTTCGCATCCTCGAAATAAAATCGTCCCGTGACAAGCAGGCCCTCAACCACTTAAAAAATCTTGTAAAGAGGAAATTCTTGAAAGGGTTGTTTACTTTTTCCTTGAATTTCAGCTGTTATATTGAAAATTCTTTCCTTTTCTTCGTGTTTTCCGGATCTGAAAAAACATGCAATTATCAACAATCTGATAACAAAGACGACTTACAATCTTGCCAATGGCTTAAGAAAATCAAAACCTCCAGCATCATCGAAATCTTCCAGTATTGGAATGTCATTTTCATCCCGGAGAAACAAAAGAACTCCGACAAGTATACTTTCAATAAAATCAAGTACAAGACAGTTTTATAAATCGAGAGCAACTTACGCAAGCACCAGAAAAATGACGGAAACAATTTCAAAAAAGTATCTTTTTCTGACCATTTTGAAGTTCAAAATTTTTGAACTCTCAAATAGAATTTACTCTTCTCTTTGGTAATTTTCTGGTGCTAGTTTGATGATAGGTTGGCAACCTATCCATGCGAAACTCAAACATATGTTTTTTTTCACGCTGAAGTGCTTATGCTCTAGCGAATAGATCCTGCTGAAATTTTCAGCCTGAAAGAAGATTTATACTACAGTTGAGCATAGAGAACGGTTATATTTCGAGCCCAAGACTCAAGCAAACCAATATCCTTAGAGGAGTGGAAAATCGACTTTTTTGCACTGTAGCTGGAGGAATGAAATAACAGTTGGTATTTATTTATGAAGCTGTTGAGAGAAGAAGAGTTATTTGAGAAGGACAAATCTTTGGAGAGTTAATTCTGCTCGAAGAGTACCATGATTATCATTTCTGAATGACCAGAGGATCAGGGCCGCCCACGTAATTTTCGCCCGTTCGGACAAATCTTGCATTGTAAAATGTCCTTGAGACTTGGTCAGTCAGGAATGATAAAGAATCGAACGAATCGTCGCAGGAACGAGTTTTAGCATGTCGGAGGCTAAAATTAAGTCAGTAATCAAAAATTGCTTTACAAGGATGCGCAAACCATTTCTCCGTCCAAATATTCTTTTTGTTTTTGCATCGAACGACGAAATTTCCCGCCTCCGATCCATTTTCGCACTTGACCTTGCAGTTACTTCCAACATTGTTGCGCTTGCACTTCCATGTGTGAGCGCCATTGGGGGAGAAACTAGCCAGAATCGAATCTGCTGTACATTTTTTCGGAGAAAAGGAGCAACTCGGCGGTGATCCGGTAGTTTTCCAAAAAACGCTCCAGTTATTTTTGTTGTTTTTGCTGACGCAAGCGACTGTGTAGTTTTCTTTTTCTTTGCTTCCAACACATCTGACCTTGCATCTTCGTTTGCCATTGGCGACTTTGTTACATCGCCAAAGGAAGGCCTCGCCCGAAGGCGACAGAGCATCGGGAATCGATGAGACCGCGCAAGTCGACTTGCACGGATTGTTGACTGGATCTCTGCACTCACAAGAATAACTTGTCATATCATCACTATTAACACAGCGTTCATTGTCGTCACAATCGTGTGTTGCACATGGAGTCGGAAGTCCAGGCGAAACGTTTTCTCCGTTGATTTGGCATCTGAAAAACATGTCTGGATTTCCCTGCCAGGAAAAGCCAGGAGCGAGTTCGCCATTGTGACCAAAGCAAGTGTCGTCCAGCTCGGGACCGCTCCATGACCAGGTATTGTTGCAACCACCATACTCAGCACTTGCGCAGGCAGCCCACCCTTTGTCTGTTTCCCACTGCATCGTGCTTAGAAATGGATGCCATCCGTTCGGACCAGGAGTGCACGAATAAACGTCTTTGCCATTGTAAAGTTCGCCAGTAGCGGGGCACAATGCTTCCAATCCGCAGTAAGAAGCAAAAACAGCAGCGCAGCAACCAAGGTTAGTCTTTGACGCGTCACCGCAATCAGCGAGTCGGCCATCTTCGTCCTCTCCGTCGAGACAGTCAGCATAGCCGTCGCATAGCCTGTGTTTGAACAACGGTCGGATAACGTCGACAACGTCCGGCTCTAGACACTTTGTAACTGGCTCGAAGGGATGTGTTTCTTGCTTATTTTCACAGTAGAGAGCGTATCCCTGCATCGCGTCAGTAGTTGTCGCTCGAGTGTGAGGCTGGTACGTTTCGCCATTGAGAAGAGTGAATCCGAAGTACATCAAGGCTGAAGCAGGCTCAACTGGGTGGTTGGTATTTATCCACTCGTCCTCGTAGATTGCATTTGGACTGTCATAAAACTCGAAGTGATCGTGGAAGTCGGGTCGATCTTGCTCGTGGAGAATGCCGATAGCGTGGAGAAACTCGTGAGCGACTCCTCCAAATTTCAAGCAGATGCTGGGAATTCGCATTGCTTGCCAACCGGGGTGAATATCTGGCAGATCCCAGTAGCAGCCGCTGCAGACGCCGACGAACGACCAGCAACCAGCACCGTGAACGTTTTCTGAATCTTCCCCAGCGACGTGAATGCCGACCGAGTGAGAAAAAGTAGGATCGAAAACAAACTTGACGCACCCTAAGGAAAGGCTCAAGTCAGCAAGCTCATCGTGAATCTGTTGCCACTGGTGGGAAGGCACGGTATCCTGAAGAGCATACGGAACGACAATATATCCGTCGTCATCCGTCTCGCTCCATTTCTCCGCCCAGTTCACCACCCCTCGTGGTGCCGTTTTCGGGGCATTCTGGTCGATTTAAAGCTCGCTAGTGTCGTAGCCAAGGCTCGAAAGGGCCGGGACTTGCCATGGTTGAATAACGAGATCAGCATATTTTCCTCTGCTGTGAGGTCCCCCTAAAGCGTCTGCAGGAATTTTCTCGGCCGATATCTAAAGAACATTGTTTCTCTCTAAATGATAAAAATTTATTTCTAGAGTCTAGAGAAGTTATTAAACTGTGTTCTAGATTATTTTTGAAGAGATTTTATCGAGTTTTTTTTTTGCTAAAAACACTTTTCGATCGCTCAAGAAAAATTTTTTTATCATCAAACTTTTTTTTTACCTCAGATATAAATAGGCATAACGCACAAAAAATCGACTTTTTATCTGAAAGTCGTAGGAAGCTAATTTTCACCTATCATATAGAATTTTGCGCTCTGACAACATTTCAACAAAAAAAAATTTCAAAAATTTAAAATTTAGTACTTTTTTAGTACCCCAAAGTTGCCAAAAAATTGATTTTTCGTGCCATCCAAGCTACGGGGTTGTAAGTATGCTCATTCGAAAGAGCATAAAAAACTGAGTCAGATACATCGAAAAAAAGGGGTTCCTAGGGGGGTAAGTCAAATGAAACCCCAAATTTGGCTGATTTTAAGGGGTTTTTCATCCCTAGAATCCAGGGAACCCCACCAGGAACCCCTTTTTATTGATAATTCTGACTCAGTTTTTTCCGCTCTTTCGAATGAGCATACTTAGAATTCCGTAGCTTGGATTGCTCGAAAAGTAGTCAGTAAAGGGGTAAAAAAAAGTACTAAACTGTAACAAAAAATTTTTTCCAAAAAATTTTGAAAAGTCAGTTTTGGTGTTTTAGTTGCTCCCAAAGTTTCAAACTTGTATCTATTACAGGGAAAAAGTTGATTTTTTTGTGCGTTATGCCTAGATATAAATGTAATCGCGAATAGCTTCATCTTGAATACTCTCTCTAACGCTTTGTGAGTTGTTTCAACAAAACTTCTTACACGCGATTTTATATCGCCTTGCGGCTCTAGAACCGTTCCGCATTGACCAGACGGTACGGTTCTTTAGGCGCCCCACTTTGATCAGCTTTTTTATGTCAGCATTTTTATAAATTTATTTGGCTTGAGGTATCTTCAAAATTTAAATTGGAGGTTGATCCTTGGCCACAAAGAAAATTTTGCACCGGTCGATTTTTTGAACCGGCCGGTAAAATTCGTGGTAAATCGCGGTTTTGCCCTTTATGACCCTAAAAAACCCCTAATATAGGTATCAATCGATTTCTTATGAAATTTCAAGTCGAATGGAATATGAACCGCGGTAAATTGCGATGAACCGGGCGGTTAAAATCGCGGTTTAGCCCTTTTTGACCCTAAAAAACCCCTAATATACAAATCAATCGACTTCTTAGAAAATTTCTAGTCGAATGGAATATGAGCCGTTGGAATACTTTCTCGTGGAAAAAATCTTAACAACTGGATTTTTTCTGAGATACAATTAAAGTACTTTCACAGACTCTAGGAAATTGAGATAATTGCGAAATTTGGGCCGAACTTGGCTCAATTTTGCGGAATTCGGGCATTCAAAATCTCGACGGTATCTTTTCGTGTCATTTCCCGGGGAGTTTCGGACATCAAAATGACCGGCTTGACGAGTTCTTAATGATGGTATAGTAAGATCACGTGTACTGTCAGCGGCTTCCGGTGTTATTCTAGAAAAACCGGTTTTCCGACAAAAATTTTTTCAAAAATGAGGGATGAAAAATTTTTTTTGATCAATTTCTCGTGAAAAACTCTTTATTGGGGTCAGAACAAGTATATTACAAACAAAAAGCAAAATCGAAAGACCAACCCTGAAAGTGAGCCACCTCTCAGTAGAAATCTTTTTTCGGTGGCGTTACAATCATGATCAAATACTCTCTTCTTTAGTCTTAAAACGTGACCGGAGGAATCTCCATTATTCAAGGAATGCATTAAGGTTAAAAAAGAATAATTTCTGATTGAAAAATATTTTTATTAAAAATAGCCAGAGACCATGCTGAGAATGTTTGCAACAAAAGAGACGCTGCTGCAATATCCGTTAAAATAAATTGCGCGAACATTAATTGTCGGAACACTAAACGTGATTTTCTGAACGTCAATTTTTGTTTTTGGTTGTTGTTAGCAACTCCTACCACAGGAAATAAGCAAATAAGAGTAATAATCGCTATCATATTCTTGTCGATAACCTGTTTGCAAGTCAAACATAATGATGGTACATCAGGGACCCTCTCAACGTACTCTTTGCAGATTTGAAATCTGTGAAGTGCATCAAAATGATAAGAGAACCGTCAGAAATATCAAGTATTGACACCTATACTGAAGTAAAAGACTCAAAATGTCGTCGTGCGGTAAAAAAATGTAGCCATCATATTATGATAGCAATTTTAGTTGAAAATAGGACTTATAACATTTTTGGTACTCGGAATACTTGCTGCGATAATTGTTCCTTGCGTCCTTTATCTTCCTACAAGAGGCAAACCATCAACCACGACAGAATTTCCAAATAATCCTGAATTCAATTATTCGAGATGTTTCGAAGAAAAATTGAATGAAAACGTATGTTCTCTTTAAATTATTATTTATTCTCTTTTTAAAGTACCATTGTTTGGCTTCCTGTCCTCATGAAAAATATTGCTACGAAAGATGCTATGATTATTTTTATGAAGGCGCGACTGTCTGTTCAGCGATGACAGGGGTTTGTTCCAGACACAAGCTGAGCTTTTAAAATTTGATTTAACGTTTTTAAAGACCAGTACTGTTACAAGTACTACTACATCAACAACAACAACAAAGTGGACATCGATACCAGTTCCTACTCCCCCAGGATCAAATAATTGGGTAAAAATAAAATCCAATATTTAAAATATCATATTTGATCTGTGACTTTCCAGGAGAACACACATATCCTTGGATTTTACGATCGCAATCATATGTTTCAATATGCAACTGTCATCGCCGGAGACGGGTCCTCATCGACAAGGGCAAAAATAAGCTACGGTGACGAAGATTATTTTTATTCTTGGGGAAAAGGGGCCATGGTAAAGGGCCAATTTTATTTTTTTCAAGAAGGATCGGTAAAGAAAACAAACGTATTCATAATGAATATTGTTCCAGATTCTTAGGCTCGATGGTTGCGACGTTTCAAAAACGAGTTCAAATTTATTGAATTATTTTGACTCTTATGATGGTGACGCACTTACGATCCATGATGGAAGCGACGGTAAAACTTATATATTATTGTTCTTAAAAGATTTTAAGCACTTATGTGCTTTCATTCTTACGATGCAAATCACAGAAATTGTGAAATTTTTGATGGGTCAAGTTCAACACAAACACATGCTGCAATTTTTTCACACTGCTATGGTTCGACATGATTAGTTATATCTAAATCTTAGATAATTATCTGCTAATTTATGGCGAGTTGATCCATGAATGAAGCAGAGGTTCACTCGGAATATATAAAGGACAACCCACAGCTTTTGGTTCGTATAAATTTTCAAGTTATGAGCCAGGTCACCAAATTGAGACTTTTTCAATCATTGATGGATGGATTCAGCTACCTGAACATCCATGGTGAGTTTAGAATCTTCGGCAAAACCTTTAAATATTTAGGTATATTTTTGATAATTCTCTGGTTGGGCTTGATTCCGGTGCAATTATTACAATTGGAGGATCTTACTACACAGGCATTAAGTTGCTCATATTTTCTATCAATATTTTATGAATATTTTTTCGCTCTTATTCTGTTATCAGAATAAAGGAAAAGATGTAGCTTTTCGAAGGACCTCCGGACTGGACCATATCTCTTATGGATGATATTTGGATGCTTCAAGATGGAGATTGGTCAAAAATTGGTCAATTAGCGGTAAAATTAATTTTCAACATGTCAATAAAAATTAAGATCCGTCGATCGTCAATAATCTCGATTGGTGAATCAATTTACATTTATGCCGATGATTATTATTACAATGAGAACAATTATGGTAGCGTCATAAGATTGGACATGGATGGAGACGAGATCCTTAATTCTACAACTATTGCGGGTTACCCTGGAGGACAAGCCATCCTTACTCGGGCTACACCGAAATATTGCCATGACATTGATTATTATAATTACTATTAAAATTTTCCATTTGAAAATTAGAGAAAAATAAATTTTTAGTTCCAAATTCTTTTTTTTTGCACGCAAAATCGAATCAGATCTGTAGACGAAAAATCGCCAAAGCTATTCAAAGTTGTTCGAATCACATAAAAGAGTCACCGATTGCGAAAAAGATATCTGTTACTACAGTAGTAATTAGATTAAAACTGAGTATTTATATTCGGTCACATAAACCTGCAAATTGGTGGAGGAGTCATTTGGCCCGGGGCAATGATGCGCTGCGTTGGAACCTTTCACGTCAAAAGTCGCGTTTATCAACTTAGCCGCTTTTGCGTTTTTCACCGCCGAGAATAAAAAAACTACTACGAGACTACTAAAAATGAGATTTTTTCTTCTTTTTGGACTTCTGTTTATCGCTGTTTTTGGACAAGTCGACGTCCAAAATGTGTAAGAAAAAAATTTCTGAGCTCTTTTTTGTTATTTTTTTCTAATAATTATCGTCATTTTAAAATTCTAGTGAAGACGCTCTCGAAGGAACCGACCTTGTCAACAACGACGAAGTCTTAGAAGCTGACCCCTCCGACCTGGACGTCACGGAGCCAGAAACCGAAACTGAAACCGACGACAATTCCGCTTCGGACGAAGAAGAAGCCGAACCTGAGCCAGAAAAAGAACCTGAAGCAGAACCAGAGGCCGAGGCGGAACCAGAAGCGGAGAAGGAACCCGTTCCAGAACCAGAACACTTCAGCGGAGGATCATTTGTCGGCGGAATCGTCTTTGCCATCGTCGTCATGGGACTGAGCATTGTCGGATATCGATACTGGCAATCGCAGCGAAACATGCTTTAAAAATTCTTCTCGATCGAGATCGTAATATTTACTTTTTTCTTAATTTTATTTGAAGACCTGTTTTAGCCTCTGTTTTACCTTCTTCTTCTTTGCCATACTTAATCCTCATTACAAATCAACTTTGCTTTTTCAATAAACTCACAAATGAACTTCATCGTTAAAAATTTCAGCAGGATCCAAAATGAGCGGTATTTGAGCGATAAGTGAGCGGAGCAAAAAGCAAACTCGAGAAGCCGCTTGCGGCTTTGAGCGCAGAATAAAAAAGCCGCGCAAAACGGCTTCTAGAGTTTCACTTGTTGTTCCGCTCGCTCATCGCTCAAAAACCGCTCATAGCTCGCTCATGGTCAGGTCAAAGTTTGTGACTTCGGCGGAACCATAAACAATGGGCCATTATGCTGTAAATGACGGTACTTTCTGCAAAAGAAAACTCGTCGACAAAGTTGAAAAAGGCAAAATTAATTAACAAAAACGTCTCTTAGCCGCGAATCGAGAATACTTAGTTTTAAGTTGAAGGAGGCTTTCTGGACGCTGATCTATCCTTCCATACTCCTGGCAGGTTGATCAGATATCTCGGCTCATCTGCATCGGGAAAAGACAGTAATGGAAGTAACCAATTCGAGCGAAACGAAATAGGGAAAGGAAATACTGTCATTTTCATTTGGAACGCAAGATGAAAAAAGCGCTAGTTCTTTTTCTCGTTTCCGCTGTTTTCTGTAGCTTCGGTGCTAGAAGAGGTGGAGACTGTTATTTTGCAAGAAAAAATAAAAGCAAAAAATTTTAGTGCAGAAAAGAGAAAGTTTGTTGAATCGAAAATGGGCTTCAATCTTGAGGTATTCTTTTTTTGATGGAAGAAATGCATTAAAGACTTTGTCAATAGTGAATTGCACGATAACCTTGGGGAGATTAACCATTTTCATAAGTCACCCGAAGAAAAAATTCAAGTATCTCATTTCTCAAAAAGCGAGACTTTATAAAAATCATAGGTTCGCTCTATCATTCAGCCAATTCAACATGAAACCAAAAATACTGTGTATGGAAATTCAATGAAGGTAAACTCATATTCTTGAGCGTTCATATATTTACAGTACGCTTTTCAACCGACTTTCTTCAACGATATTTCCTCGCGGGACCGGCAAGCTGTTCGTCCATTTATCTTTTCTTATGAAAAATAACAAATAAATAAATGAACGAATCTTAACATACGCCCGGTAACCTGCGAAGAAAACCTGAGTCGGAGTCCTAAAACGAAAAAATAGTCCTAGAAATAACGAAAAGCCTTGCGGCTTTTTTATGAATAAAGCCGCGAAGAGGCTTCGCCAAAGTTTTCAAATCAATTGAACTGGTAACTTTGGGAAAGCCGCTTCGCGGCTCTATTTTTGAAAAAGCCGCAGTACAACTTTTCATCATAAGTCTTCTCGAACCCTGACTCAGGTTTCCAAGACAGGTTGCCGAGCTCCGACCTGAACTTTCTGACTGAACTTTGGAACTGTAATGGGGCCATCGGAAGCGTAACAAAATTTCTGTCCGTCTGTTAGTGACCTTGTTTGAATTGGAGTTTGCGCGGTGCCATTACGCAACGGGGCGATTATGAAGCTCGTGAATGTTATGATTACGTTCTTTAATTACGCTTATGCAACAAAAAAAGCACATAATTTTATTTTGCAAAAATTTATGTTCAGAAAAACAAAATATTTTTAATACTTAAAGTTTTTTAAGAAATAGAAGGATAAAACTGCTGATCTTTTAAGAGACAATCGATATAAGCAGATTTACTTGCTTTTTGGGTGTATTTTGCGAGTTGTTGTTTTTCCATTTTTACGATTGAAAAAGAGAACGAAGCTCAAAGCCGCTGTCGGAGAGATTCCAAGACAATTTGTCGGGCAGACAGAACTGAAAGAGCGCCTACGAATAGACCTTCTCTTCGGAGATAATAAAAAAGGTATGATTTTTAATGGGAAAGTGTAATTTCTCTAGAAACATTGGAGCGTTGAAACTAAGAAATCAATATTTTTTATGGCGAGATCAGTTTTGGACTTTTTATCTGATAAGGTAGCGTTTTTCCAGGAATCCGTTTTTTGAGGTAAAAGAGAGAGAAATCTTTATTTTATAATTTTTTTTGAAAAAAAATACCTTGGCTAAAATTTGAAATATAATTTCGATATCCTCATGCTGATTTTCCCATTTATTATTGCAAGTTGCACCTAAAGATCAAGTTCTGGTCAGTCTGAAAACAATCGATTTCCCCAGGGGCTTCTCTCTCCCTCTTTCTCCCTGGCTATATTTTAAATTCGCTCTCAGGCAAATCGGTTCCATTTCTCTCTCGCTCAGAATTAGACTCTGAAAATGTGAGTATTCGAAAAAAAATGAGCATTTTAGCTCGAAAGAAGAAGAAAATGAGCCCAAATTCTGAAGAGCAGGGTTTGCGATTCAGAGGACCATTCGGCGGAAGTGGGGATGAAAACGCAAATGGCAGTAGCTCCAGCAATAACAGTAGCGCAGCGAATTCGCCGAAAAAGACGGAATCAAAGAGAAAGAGATTCATAAGCGAAAGCGCTTATCAAAGATATGGGAGTAAGTCGAATAGATGTAAGTGGAAGAAATGTAAGAATATTACATTTTTTTGACCAAATCATTCACTGAAATTTTTCATAGAAAAAATTAAGGGCGTTACATCACAACTTCAACGCTGGATGGACTGATGCTGCTCCTCAATTCTATCGCAGTTTCGTTCGTTCTCGTCATTATGGGAATTCTACAGTGGTTCTTGAGCATAAGCGAGGCGAGTTTGGGAAAAACCGAATCACAGATTCTCCGAATAAGGTGACCCCCTGCCCTATTTCTTTTTTTCAAACTGCGTTTTAGGAGAGGAAGGGAGAAGTTCTACCGCCTCATTCCTACCCGTTTGATTTCGCGACTCTGGGGAGCAGTTCACGATATTCGACTTTTACACGCAGCAAGACCCTTTTTATTCTCAGGCAAGGGCTGTTCCCATAAATTATGGGCCATAATTCTTCGAAAAAAACAAGGAGATCGAACAAAAGTTACAGCCCCGAAAAAGCGTACTCAAAAATTTATGGCGTGCGGATTGATGAAGCAGCTGATCAGAACCTGTACAATTACCAAAATCTACAACAATTCTTTAGGCGAAAATTGCGTAAAGGGGTGCGGCCGATTTCACCCGCGAAAATGGTTTCGCCATGTGATGGCAAAATCATGATTCAAGGTATTTTGCGATTTACAATTAGTGAAATACTGAATTTGGGTGGAACTGATGTAATAAAAGGGGGGCTCAGCCAATCAGATGGCATCATTTATTGTTCGCACCAATAAGAAAGCCCGAAAGCCCAAACTAGAATCTGCCTATTGAAAATTCTCCGTTTAGGGCGCGTTTTCGACGGAATCATTTCGCAAGTAAAAGGAACAACTTTCACTCTCTCCCAATTCCTCGGCCCTTCCAACACCTCCAACGACCCTGCCGCTTACATCCACAAAGGCGACGATGCCGACAACAGAAGACGATACACAAGAGGCCTGCTCAAGAATCCAGACCAAAACCAAATGTACTACTCGGTCATTTACCTCGCTCCTGGAGACTATCATCGCTTCCACTCGCCTGTCAACTGGAAGGTTCAAATTCAAGTTTTTAGCTCTTCTCGAAATCGATTTAGGTAAATTTGCGGCGACACTTTCCAGGCGAGCTTTATTCCGTCAACCCATCAATTACTTCTTGGTTCGACAATCTTTTCGTCCTCAACGAGCGAGTCTGCCTCATCGGAGAGTGGATGCACGGCTTTTTCAGGAGATGCTCAGAATATTCTTAAAAAATTGAGAAACCGAAAGCGGCTTTTTGAAGAAAAGCGGCTGAATATAGGAGTTGATGGTGGTTGTATTCTTGAGCAAATAAAAAAAGTTATACAGCTGTTGGAGCGACAATGGTGGGATCAATAAAAGTGAGTTACAGTAAGAATCATGGATTGTTAGGAAGGAGGAGACTGTAGCTTTTCTTGTTCTTCAGCAGTAAAGTCGATGTCGACTGGTAGAGTGATCAGCTTTTCCATTACTTTTTCGAGGCTTTTTGCTTGATTTTTAAAGTAAGATTTTCTCCTAATTTGAAATTGAAAGCCTTTCATAAATTATTATCGATCTTTTCTTGAGTCAGCAATTCAATAATCTCAACCACGTGGGGATCAGTCGTAATTGTCGAGGTTTCGGGTACTTGGAGCGATTTCTTTTGAAACTCCCAAAATTCGCGGATTTTTTCTAGCCTCTCCAAGTTTTCGGCAAGTTTCTTTGCCGGTATTCTTCCATAGACAAATGTCTAGAGAAATATTATTCGTAAAAAGGCTCAGTTTAAATTATTACCTCTTTGCTTCGGAGAACTTCTTCAAAAACGCGAGTTTCCTCTTCTCTCGGCTTCTCTGGGCATTTTAAATCCAGCGTCGAAAACGCATTTTCTCCCATTTTTCGATAAACACTGAGCACTCTGATAACTGGACAAAATTGACCCGGGCGCTAGCCAATCAGAATCGCGCCTGATTTTGCCGAGGCGCAAAATGGCGCGCCGCGCGCTTGAATTTCTAGAATTGAATTTGCTCAGAGAAAAGAACGGCTTTTTCGCTGCAAAATTTCTTTCTTGGACATAACTTGGGCTCGGAAACCTGTGAAAAATACCTGAGTAAGGGCTTGCATTATCTTTTAAATTAACAAAAAGCTTTTAAAAATAACCATTCCGATCAATTTTTATTTCTGAATAGCCGCTTGCGGCTTTGTTAAGGCCCTGACACAGGTTTTCTACGCAAGTTGCGGTGTCCCGATCAAAATTCTTGAGTTCAATTTGCTTATTTTCATTTATTTCAGCTACCATGGGATCCAGAACTGAAAACGAACCAGAAATCCTTCGACAGAACAAAACCAGACTACAACGACCGCAATTGCTCGAAAGAATTCAAAAAGGGCGATGAAATCGGAGAATTCAATCTCGGAAGTACGATCGTTCTAGCGTTCGAAGCGCCCAGAGGACTCAATTTCAAATTTGATGATAATCAAGTCGTCCGTCTTGGGTGAGCTTTTCTTTCAAATTCCATCAAATTATCTCCTTTTTTAGGCAAACTTTCATCTCCAAAATGCTCCGAGTCCAGTCGATGCCTAATCTCCTCACCGTCACGAGCTCCTCAGTCGACTACGAAATGCCTTCATCCCTCACTCGTAACAAATCAGATCGTCACTAAAATCGCTCCTTTGAATACCTTGCTCTTCTGTACGCTTTTGTTTGTTGATTCGCTCTGATTGTGATTCTCCTTTTCTGCCTGTTCTGCTCTTCAAATTTCAAAAATGAAAAAAACTGATTCTGAAAGTTCAAAACTCGAGTTCAACTTTCAAGTTCAACTGTGAAACCAAATAAAATCTCAATTTTACAATCATTCATTTTCTTTTCTTGAAGAAATGTCGGCTTTATTCCCCGCGTCAGATTCTCTGCCCATCATTCAATACGTCATCGAATCGGATCCAGACATTTTGACCACGAACGAAGTGATCAACGGCAGATCCAGTCCTGAAATTTGGCCAGAAGTCATCCCAGGTGAATTTGCCTGTATTAAACCTTGCTCATTTCTTTCACAAGGGTCGAATCAATTCGCAGAAAACGTCGCAACAACCAACCAAGCAGGCAACGAGCTCGACCGTGAGCTAGAAACGAACAAAGTGAAGAAACTCGCAGAGCTTCAACAACTTTCCGACCAAGAAATCCTCCACAAGATGAAGAAATTGAAGCAACGAGCGTACAGGTAGCCTTTTTACTAAACAAAGAAGACTGAAATAATTCTAGCATTGGTTTAACCGAAGCAAAAGAAGTCGAAAGAAGCAAAATGCTGAACATCTTTGGCGATTTCAAGCACCAAATCAATTAATTGAGAAAAACTTTCTTACTTTTCTTCTGCCAGGGGCTTGGTAACTTGTGTAGAAAACCTGAGTCAGGGTCCTAAACGAGCTGACTCAGGTTTTACACAGTTTCCGAGCCCGCATTCTGCCTGTAAATAAATTTCCACGTCGAAATATTTGAATCCCTAATTTTTGTTCATCGAAATTAAGAATGGAAATAATCACTTGTGCTTCACAAATCCCGACAATCGAAAGAACCCGCAGAAGTTTGACTCAAGCCGAGTTTCAGCGTTACTCGCGACAACTGATTCTTCCAGAGCTCGGCCGACCCGGTCAAGAAAACTTGATCAACTCGTCCGTTCTCGTTGTCGGCTGTGGCGGACTAGGATGTCCAGTGATTCAGTATTTGGCAGCAGCAGGAGTTGGTACTTTTGGATTAGTCGATAATGACGTTGTTGATACTTCAAACATACAGGTAAGCTTTGTAAAAGGGTACTCTTTTGCTTTTTGTTCCTAAATAATCGCGGAAAATCGTCAAATTATCCCCTTTTTGAGCTAAATTTGCATGTTTTTCGGCAAGTCAGTTTTACATTCGTTGCGAAAAATGCTCTTATTTCATCAATTTTAGCCATATTTTGCCTTTCAAGAGCTCCAAAAGTGTATAAAATGAGTATTTAGCGTCAAATTCTACACATGGAATCAGACAACGGGAAGCTAAAAGTCCTCTCCGCCGCAGAAACGATCAAAAGCCTCAATTCTACCGCTACTGTTTTCCTTTTCAACTTGACAATCGACTCTTCCAACGCCCAGCAAATCGTCAATCAATTCGATTTAGTAGTTGATTGCACGGACAACGTCGCGACGAGATATTTACTCAACGACGCTTGTTTTCTTTCACAAAAATCGCGAATCCCGCTGGTTTCGGGCGCCGCGCTCCGCTGGGACGGGCAAGTAACGGTTTACAAAGAAGAGAGTTGTTGCTACAGATGTGTTCATCCGAATCCGCCAGCGCCAGAATCAGTCACGAACTGTTCCGATGGAGGGGTCATCGGAGCAGTTTGTGGCGTCGTCGGAGCTATTCAAGGGAATTGGGTCAATAAGGAGATTTATTTTTATTGAGGGTAGGAAAACCTGTAAATGTCTTTCAAGCAGTTGATTAAGCCAGACTTCTGTTTATGCAAATACTCATGTCTTCTTCTGAAAAACTGAAAATGGTTTTAAATTATATTAGTTGATAGAGGAATAATCCGACATTCGTTTGTCAATAATGAACAATTATTGTACTTACTAAGACTTAGTAATACTAAGTATTATACAGTATAATATACAGTATATAAACTGTGATATTTATCGAAATATTATTAATTCTATAAATTGTTTGGGATGTTTAATGCGCACGCTGTCCCTATTTCCAGAGCGCGAATTCAGAAAGGCGCGTCACCCCGGGCGCCGTCCAGCCCCAAGCGTGGACTTCCAACCGCGGGCGTTCGCCACCCAGCGCCAGGAGTCCGCGAACGTCCGGCTCGGGGTTTTCTTCAAACATGGCCACCCACCGCGCAGAAGTCCGGCGCCCGAGAGCGCGCTCGGACTTCCACCGCACATCCAATTTTTCGAGACCCTGATTATACTTACTTCTACCAATGCGTAATTTTTCTGAAGTCTTTGGAGCAGATGACTTCTGATGTATCTTTCCATCACTTCGCTCTGAAAGCCGTTTCCCATTCTATCTTTTACGGCTACCAAGTCTTTTCCGTAGGTAAAAATGATCAAAATTGAGAGCGTTATTTTCAGTCTCATGAGAATTGAGTTTTTATTGTGGAGACAGGACAGTATTTGAACCCTTTTATACCGTTGTTTTTTATATATCGACCATCGATTGAACAATTGCATTTGCACGAATCGAATTGACATGAAAATGTCACTTTCTGGTCCTGAATATGTGGCTTCTGCCTCAATCAGGTCGCTCATTTGACTGTTGTTTTGTGCCTACTTGGCCAGAATTTATTCAATTGGAACGAATGAACTTTCGAATGTCTTTAGCACAGGAAAATGAGCTTCTCAAAATACATCTCGTCGCCTTAACGAGCTTGACGTCGTTTTCTCTCTGTTTTAAGAACTGAAAACAATTCAAAACCGGGCTTTCAATAAATTTGAATACCTTGTGAAAAGTGTAATCCTTTTGCAAAGCTACTAACTTGGCTGTTTTCGCGATTCGATGAAGCTCCTCATTCACGATCGGATTCGTAAAGTATTTCTGTGTTCATTCAAGTTTTGATTCTGAAAATTTTTTACCTTGTGATTGCCAAGCTGGTAGACATCCTTGAAATATTCCTTCATTCCTTCACCGATGTTCGTGTGCCCATTCGCGGGAAGGCCGTCGCCATTCGAAACTCGAAAATGGGCGAAAATCAAGAGAAACACTTTTGTTTTTCGCATTGCGCGTGCAACGATGGTGCAATGCGTTCCGTCTTCACTTTTAATCGCGTGTCAGCTTATTTATTCTACGAATAAACTTGATGCATAATCTTCTGAGATCTTTACCCATGAAATATTACTGACATTCGAAAGGACACGAGAGGACAACAATGAACCACAATCGGGTGTAGGGCGTCCAGGCTCACAATTGTGAAAAAATACAGTTGCAATTAAACTTGTTGATTTCGATTGGCTTCCATTTTATTACAATTTAAACAGGATGAACAAACTGGTACATCTTTTGTTTACAGAAAGACGATTTGACCAAAAGACAGTTCGCTGCTTTTGCTAGCCGTAATTGCTTCTGTCTTTCTTCCAAAAACTAAAACCATCAGGAAGGCTTGCTTTTGGACTTGGTCTTACGTTGTGAAGAGTTGGATCTTTTTGTAGAGCAGAAAGTTTGCCAACCTTTGCCATTCGACCAAGAACATTATTTGTAGTCGGTTTCGTGAATTTTTTCTTGAGAGAAAAATATTACTCATTCAACCTGTTAGTTTCAATATGATAATTTCAAAAAAATTTTGCGGGTCTGGAAATCGGAAAAAATCTAAAAGTGCAGTTTTCTTCAGCTCGTTGAGACGAGTCGAATGGTGTGTCAAACTCTTGAAAACTCCAAGGATTGACCGGTAAACCGGCTAATTACCGGAAAATACGTTTCCGGTCGCCGTTTTCGTTCTAGAAATGCTAAAATGACGATTGAACCTGTAAACTGATCCTTATGGTTAGTTTTACTGTGGGCAAAAAGATATCGGTCAAATATGAAACACAACCTTGATTAACGATTAAAATTCTAAATTTTGTATGTATTTTGTTGTTGCTGCGCCTTCCTAATTTTCGGTCCCATTTTCATGTGAAAATACAATTTTGGTGATAAGCATGTCATGGTAAGAGATATGATTTTCATTTTTTAGCCCACATAAGAACTTTACATAAGAACTTTACACATAAGAATTTTTTGAAATTATCATATCTTTTCGCCACTAAACAATTACCCTCAACAACGCGATTTTTTGGAGGTCTGGCTGGTCGATGTTCGCTTTTAACATCGGGTTCGTGAAGTGTTTCTTTAACATATTGCGAGCCTTTTAATCAAGTTCTTTTTACCTTGAAATTTCCGCGTTGGTAAACATCCTTGAAGTACTGTTTCATTTTGTCGCTCTGGAAGCGGAAATTCGATGGAAGATCATTACCATTCGCCGCTTCAAAAAGAAGCAAAATTGAAAAAAGTATTTTAGTTTTCTGCATTTGATCGCTCTATTCGGGACTCTATCCTTTTTATTGCTCGTTGTTTCAAGATTCTGTTCATGCATAACCTCTTATCAGAAGCTCTTAGAGCTGGTGAATAAAGAACAGTCGTTAGTTACAGTAGATTTCCCACCATGACCCCGAAAAAAGCGACAGAAGCGTTGAAAATCCTCGCAGGCATAGAAAACTCTTTGTGCGGAAACATGATAATCTACGACGGTCTCAGGGCATCTACGAGGACAATCAGACTCCGACCGAGAAGGCCAGAGTGCAAGCTTTGCGGAGAAAAGCGAGAAATTATGGAATTAATCGACTATGTTCAGTTTTGCGGAATGGCGGCGAACGACAAGGATAAAGGCTTGAATTTAGTGCCTCCAAATGAAAGGTGAGTTTTCTAGGGCATCAATAGTAGCGATATTAAAAAAATAAACAATTTTTCAGAATAGAAGTCAAAGAAATAGAAGCGCTGAGAAAACGAGGTGGACTGATTGTCGATGTAAGAACAGAAGTGCAATTTGAAATGTGCCGTCTTCCTTTTGAAACGTTCAATTTTCCGCTGAAAAAATTGAAAAGAAAACCGGAGCTTCTGGAAGAAATAATTGAAGAGAGAAAAGCAGAAGAAGTCGTCTTCCTTTGTCGGAAAGGAAACGATTCGCAACTTGCCCAGGTGTTTTGGAAGGAACATACGAATGGTAAGAAAACTGAGAACAAGAACGATTCTAGCGCTTTTTCGTTTAGGAAAGATGAAAACAAGCGACGTCAAAGGAGGCCTGTACGCTTGGCAGGAAGAAATCGACAGTTCCTTTCCTTTGTACTAGACCGAAATTCTTCAAAATGTTAAAATACATACAATAACCAGATGTTTAAAAAGAAACAAGGCCTTGTTTATTTGCAGGAAAAAAACTAATTACAGTACAGGCAGATTCTTGTTGAATAATTACACATCATCTTAACAGTAAACTTTGCAGGGAATCGCTCATCCGCACTAAAATGGCATTCCAATGTTGTTAAGATGTCTGTTCAGCAGTTTGTTCCACTTTTTCATTCTGTTCACTTGGTGGTTGTTTTTTCGTTGCCCTTTGCAGCTGTCCAAGTATCTAGAATCGAGGTTGTAAAGGGGTGAAAAGAAAGGGATGGTGGATTACCGTTGAGCCCATTTTGAAAGTCCCGTCGTAAGTTGTTTGGTTCCAACTCTCGGGTCAACATTATCCAGTCGTAGATTTTCCTCATCGTCGAATCGTTCTTCTGGACCACCGTGGGGAAGGCTTGGGTCGTAGAAACCACATCTGTCGAACGCTGATCTACAATCCGACTTTTACCCGATGGAATTAATGTTTCTTTTCTTACCGCATTCTTTGGATGTTCGTGGCGAATTTCATCTTCCAGTTATCCTGTGAAGGAACGTGATCAAACCACTTATCCAAAAGTTCGTATGAAAATGCCTCTAAAAAACCAGGTAGAGAAAGAAATGAGGCTTTGAGGCTTACCGAGTGTTCGAAGTCGCGCTTTTGGATGACGATTTGGCACCTTCCTTTGATCGAGGGAATCGTAGCTGCTCTCATCGTAGTTGTACGGCTGGATGCTTGTCAATTCAGTTGGCAAGGAAGCAGCGTCGAGGCAGACAGCAAGAAGGCCGATTTGCGAAGCGATTTTCATATTTATCGTCTTTTGGACTTTTTCGTTTTTTGTGGATTTGAATCTATTGATTTGTTGTTGATGGTGTTGCTAGAATCGGGCTTGCTTTTTAAATGTGACTTTGGCGCTGTTGATCTTTGAAAAAATTTGAGAGAGGTCGCGATTTTCAGAAATTGGCACTTGATCGCGCAAATAATCGGATTCTAGTGAGGAGCTGAGCGGAGGATTAAGGCGATCTTTGGTGAACGTGATGCAAGTGAAAGAAACTTCTGTACTAGAATTTTTTTGTTCAAAATTTAATTGAAAATTAACAGTTATCGTGGAGTTTAAGTTTATGATGACGTCATTATGTTCTCAGACAAATTCTTCATGAATAAAAATGCAATGATCTTTGAGAAAGGGATCCAACTCGAAACTAGGTTGAACAATGACCACTTCAAGAATAATCTGTTTTTCTGAATACCAGAAAATCGAATAGAGAAAGATCGGTCAATAGAAGAATGAAGCTTCTACCATCTCTCGCTGGCTTGGCTCTCTCTTTCGAGCAGCCAAAATATGAGGATTTTCTCCGATCATTGCAGCAGAAAAGAAGCGGCTGGGGAGCTCCTACTGGGAGAATCGCTGCTCTTTGGTCACTTTGCCCAGCTTTGACGACCCCAGCAAATGGTCAAGTTGTTTGTGATCAAGCTACTTGTGCTCTTGTTTGCAATCAAGGATTTGTCCCTATCGCAAAGCGTCGAACGAAATGCCGCTGGAACCCGACAAAGAGTTTTTTCTGGAAGCGACAATTGGGCGCTTGCGAAACTTGCGAAACCGATCTTGCCGCCCCTCCAGCTGGGGTGACTGTGACTTGCGGCTTCAACGCATTGAATAAGAAGAAATGCACTTATAAGTGCGAAAACGGCGAAGAACTGCAAACAGCAAGTGGAAGTTTTAAGCAATTTACTGCGCTCTGTGCTTGTCCAAGATGGAACAATCGCATCTGTGGCTGGAACGCGAGAAAACTCGGTGGAATGATTACTGATGTTGAGATTGCTGCTCTTTCCTGCCCGGCTGTGGCAACTACAACAGCTGCTCCACCAGCATCAACAACTCTTGAACCACCGGTCTCGACGACAGCTGCTCCTCCTGCTTCAACAACCGCTCCACCAGTTTCATCAACCGCACCAGCATCAACGACGGCAGCACCATCAGCCTCGACAACCACTGCGCCACCTGCTTCTACAACAGCAGCACCACCAGCATCAACAACAGCTGCTCCTGCATCTTCGACAGCGGCACCATCAACAACTGCAGCTCCGCCAGCTTCATCCACAACTGGAGCACCTTCTTCCACTGCACCACCGGAAGTTTTCGAAGCCTTAACTGACGAGATTGATCCATCACTAACAACATGCTCCGGAGGTCGAACAATAGAAAAGATCATCGGAGGAACCGGCTTGATAACTGGTCAGGCTGATTGGCCATGGCTTGCTCGACTTTTGAGAACAAAGACCGACAACACTCAGACAATTTGCGGAGGGTCGATCATTGAGGATAAATGGGTTCTTACAGGAAGGTTTTAAAAAAATTGTTCTATGAAAGCAAGCTCAACTTCTGATTCATGAAATTTTAAACCCCAAAAAGCCGCCCATTGCTGCACCGATGCAACACAAATTGATGCCACTTTCAACGATTTCTCGATCTCTTCACCCGAAACTGGCGAATACACCCTAACAGTTACTCCTGCTCAAATTTTCATCCACGATGATTATTGGGACAGTAGCGATGGTAGCTCACAAAACATGGATCTCTGCCTCCTTAAATTCAACGAAAATATCCTTTCTGCTGGAACTGGCACTGCTAAAGTTTGTCTGTCTGACTCTTATCCTGAAGGTAAGACAAGTTTTCTAAAGAAAGGAATACACGTTTTCAGGCGGGAAAGCTTGCTGGATCGCTGGTTGGGGATTGATCGAAGACGGAGGTACTGCAGCTTCGGATCAGCTTAAAAGTGTTGGAGTCAATATCCTCAGCCAAAGCTACTGTCTCCAAAACACCATCCACAATTTCTTATTCGCCGACGACATCTGTGTGGGCTCTCCAGACACGACAGGCAACAACCTGATAGACGGTGGCATCGGCGCTTGCCAAGGTGACTCTGGCGGACCTCTCGTTTGCGACGTCAATGGTGCAGCGACGTTGATGGGAGTAACGAGCAGGGGAAACGTTTGTGGCGGAGAAGGTCAGCCTTCTTTGTACACTTCGATTTCTACCGACGACTGGATTTCTACGACTATTGCTGCAAATCCTTGATCAAGACAAATAAACGTTTATTCCGTCTTTTTTTATTTGAAAAGTTGAAAAGAATTGTCAATCAGAAAAGGAAGGACTTGAAATTACCATAACGACCAGAACTCTTTTTTTTTAAATCATTCAAAACTCAAGCAGCTTTTAGAAAAAAAATGTTCAACGGAAGGTGGAACAGAGTGCAGACTGATACAGTTGATCAGCTCGAAAATGTGCTTGGCATTTCTAAAAACCCGAAATTGGTGAAAGAATCAATGAGAGAATCGTTAGAAGAATACTTGAAGGCTAAGTTGACTACGATCATTCATCAAGATGGTGTTGATTTTGGAATAACAAGGCGATACATTTTTGAAAATGATGAGGATGAAGTTGAAGAGCAAATTACTGGTGAGTTCAATAAAGTTTGATAATTTGTCTTTCTGAAAAATAAATACGGCATTGCGGACAGCTCGAGTTTTGAGTTGTAAGAATGTTTTTTAAACATTTATTACAAAACTGATGACCGCATGAAGAAAGACAACATTTGTGATTTTTGTTTGAATTGAATTCTAAAAAGCAAATTTGGCACTCACCAGCTTCACTCCACAATTTTTTTTGTTTGTTCTTTGGGGTATTTAGCTGGAGAATCATTTTGTCTTGAAGATCTATTTTGTTTTTCAGAAATTCTGTTTCTTTCTCTTTGTCACGAATACGTTCTTGAAGCGATCTTATTGTTGACAAATGTTTTATTTCGCTTTCAACTCTTCGTTGAAGCTCTTCATTTTTTTCAGTCAACTGCCTGATAGATTTATTTCGCTTTTGAATCGCAGTATGGAGTGAAGTTATTTCTTGTTTTTGACTCCGAACACGTTTTTCATTCAAAAAATTACGGTCGTCTAAACGTTTCAGGTGAATGTTCGCCATGTTTGCCAAATGAAGATATCGGAATTTTAGGAATTCAAGCATAATTGCGGGATTTTCATCAATAAGAACCCATAAATTTATCTTCTTTTCTTCGAATTCTTCAGAATCTTTTAAGGTTACATATTTTTCAGCATAACCAACCAACGTATGAGCATGAACCATGGAGTGCTTAATTTTAGACAACTGGTTTTCTATGAGTTGAGCAGAAAAATTCAATCTTCTGGGTCGTTCATCATGACTTGGTTGAAGATTCAATGCCTCAGCCAATTGAGCAATTTTTTGAGGGACGAGAATTTGTTTGAGAATTCTTTCAGCGTTATCTTTAAAAAAAATAATCATTTCATTATCTCCCAAAAATATAATTGACATACGCGTTTTCGCGCTACACTTACTTTGACACGGATGTTCTGCAACAAAACATAGCCAGTTCAAATGATGGATATTCCCTGACCCAAACTTATGCAGTGCACATTTAAAAACAATCGATTTTCCAGTGTTTGAGCAAATCGGCCGAAGAGGATTGAACCCAAGCTTTGCTGAAGCCGAATCACTTTCATAGCGATCATCTTTATCCAGAGCTTCGATATCATAGTTTTTCTTTATCCATTTCTCTTCGTACGTATCCATTTTTGTACAAATCAATTTTCAGATTTCAAATTTGGGGAAAATAAACTGACAATCAACGAGCGTTCAATTTCTGGCTCTTTCACACCTTGCATCAACGGACTGCAAATAAACGGCAACGAAGGCCCTCTAAAAGTCACCTACAAAATTCAAGAAGGCAAACTAATCGAGATCCTGACCGGCAACGGCTTCAACTTCAAACAAATCTCCGAGGAAGAGCCGAAAGATTTCACTCTGTTTATGCACCGCTAAATCAAGTCTAAATAAACTCAACGCGCTCTAGAAGCGAAATTCTCAAGAAATCAAAAATTTGCACTTGATTGATTGATTCGAGTTGAGTGACGAGAACCGCTCTTTTTTAGAACTTGTTTCTTGGTCAAATGTTTATTCGAAAATAATTTCAAAAAGTGATTTTAAAGAGCATGTAATTGGCGTTTTTTAGAAAGTTCTTCGGTTCTTCTTGATTTTCTTTCGTTTTTTCTTCACTTCTTTTTGGATCTTTCGGAGGCCGCATTCAGTTTCTTCTTCTTCATCATCCGTTTCCATATCTTCTTGCGGCTGTCGATTGATTCTTTCACTTGGGGGTCCGACGAAGAAAGCGAGAATATTGTAAGTTGGGATCCAGAGAAGTAGAGACACTGTTGAGCAAATTACTAACAAAACTTGTTAAAGAAGAAAAGAGAATCTTTTTTGAAAACTGCCATCTACTTAGACGTTCAGGCCATTTTTTATAAAACATTTTATTATGATTTTCTTATCATAAAATTTTAAAGATATCATATCTTCAAATTGAGAATTTGAGGCTTTTATCGGTGACTAGTTGTCAATTTTCAAAATGAGCTCCAATTTTATCAAAATACCGAATCGAAGGAACTGATAAGACTTCTCTTGAATTCCCAAAACGGCGTAGAGACCATTTTCTTTCTTGAAAGCAGAATTTGTCAAGAAAAATAGACTGCTTTGGTACATCACTTTTCATTGGTTTCTCAACCCTTCTTTTATCCTTTGAGAAAAAAAAGAAAACCATTCCTTTAGTGAGAACAGCGCATTTCTGGTACCATTCCATGGAATCAGCATTTTCCGTGTTCACATAACTTTGATCGACGATATCTTCCAAAACGCGCAAAACAAGTCTTTTCGCTTTCCGGATTTTTTGATTTCTCTGCTCTCGTTGCTTTCTTTTATCTGCTTCTTCGCACTTTGCTAAAAAGGCGAGGCATTCTTTGTTGATTTCATAAAGTTCGTAGTTGTGATAGTAGTGCCGCATTCTCATTTTGAATCTTTTAAAATAAAAAAAAAAGCTTTTTTTGACTGTTTCTAGAGAACATTTCATTTTATGCCAAAGTCAGTCGATCAATGAAAAAAGCCGGCTAACGAAAATGTCCATTACGATATGATTACAGTTGTGCTAAAGCAGATGCCTAAAAATGGTAAAAACTTGCTCTTTTCCCGAAAAAGGCCATTTTAAATTAATTGACGTCGATTCGGTACTTGGCATTCTTTCCTATCAAGCATTTCAAAGCACCGGACATGCTAATAAAAATCTAGGAGAAGAAAGCAAAAGAAAAAAAAATACTGACAGTAGATTGCAGCTCAACCAGAAAAGTGAGATATAAATGAATTATACGAGCAGAAAGCTTATAAAATTTAATTATTTCAATCAAAAAGAAATTTTTGAGCAGAATCATCTCATCAGATTTTCTGAGGATGAGAAACAGCGTCGAAGGGGCGCGCACGAGGATCCTACTCTACCCTTAAGTTGCAGATTCTCGAATTTTGTTGTGTCCGATTCGGCGAGAAGACGGCAAGAGGAGAATGGGTCGCTGCGAGATAAGAGATCATAAGAGCTGAAATAATTGGTCTTAATTAAATAAAGATCAAACTGTTATCTGATGTGTGTGTCAAACTAGAACACACGCAGAATCATCAAAACCGCGATTCTCCTGAACTTACCATACATGATCTCTACAACAGCAGATGGCGAAAATCCTTCCACAAACTTCTTCAAGTTTGAAAATGCAGTTTTTCGTTGCGAACTCGATTTCGTGACGAAACGCGAAATGACGGGCGACGGGACTTTCTTTATCCAAAAAGAAAATTCAGTTTGACGCTCGTCGCGGGTTCAGTTACCTTTCCGACATTGCTCTTGACGATGTAATGCTTCGAAACGAAGAGTGCCAGAAGATCCCGATTGCCGGGACCACCGCGAGTCCGAATAAAGTGGCGGCGATGGCGACTTTTTCGCCAAGTTATACGCAAAAACCGACGGCGAGGACGACAACGAGGAGTGTCAAGCCGGCGGATTTGGAGCGAATTAATTATCGAAAAGAGCGATTTCTGGGTTTGAAAAGGAAGAAGGATTTGATTTCATTTCTTTTCTAGCGGTGGAAATTGCTGATGGAGATCATCGAATCACGTGCGGAAATTCTAGAGGCGCGCAAGGAGATCATTTAACCGGCGAATTTTACCATTCAAAAATCGGTTCAAAAATCATCGCAAAAAATTTTAAGAAAACTGGCCTTGAACCAAATCAAGAAATAAAATCTGCTGCGATGGGGCGCTTTGGAAACTTTCTGCCGGCACTGAATGTTGCGGAAAGAAGCCATTTTTTCCAAGGAAACAAATCTGCTGTGGATCCAAGATTCTCAAAAAGGTAAAATATGAGTAGAAAAATGCTGATTTCTGAATCAGAAAACGAATGGCTGCTGCGCTGGAAACTCGTTTCTCAAGGCCAAGAGCTTCTGCTGCGGCGATGAGTTGCGCTCAAGGAAGACGGAATTGACCAGATGCTGTGGGAAGAATAAGAAAGTTTTCGACCCAAGGCAGGGGGAGAAATGCTGCGCAAATGGAAAAGTAGCGTCGAGCGGGGAAAAGTGCTGCGGAATGGCAATTATCCGGTCCGAGGATTTTTGCTGTAGTGGTTTGGCGGAAACGACAGCGAATGGGATCATTTACGATCCTGATTCTAGTGTTTGCTGCAGGACGAGATCTCGTGGGGTGTTTTTAATGACAAAAGGTTGAGAGAAACAAGCTGAACATTGTTCAGTGAACAACGTCTGCTTTTTGTGTCTAGAAAGGTCGATTTTTGGTTAATTCAAATTTTTCAGAGGACGAAAATGATGCCTGCTGCAATGGAAAAATCTTCAACAGCTTGGAATCTACCTGCTCGAGAGGCGTAATTATTGATGACGCGTGAAAAGAGAACCTGTCAAAAAGAATATTTCTTCTCCGCCTTTGAATTTTATGATTTCAAATAAAAAAATAAAAGAAATAAACTTCCTCTTTCCAGATCCAAAAGAATCTTTTCTTTTTCGAATATTTCTCAAATCTTCCTTTTTTGAAATTTTACTTCCTCTTTCCAGATCCACAAGAATCTTTCTCAAAGAAATCTTTAAAAAATATCTCTTCGAAGAAAAAAATTGAATTTCACTAAATAATTAATTTTTTAACTTAAAATAATAAAACGTTCAACGAGCTCAAAATGTGTTCATGATGAACTCAAGGTACAGCTACAGTCGTTTTCTAGTATGCTTGTTTTGTCAGACATTTTCTGGCAGAAGTTGAACGGGCTTGTGTTTTTGGAAGAACTGGGGCAGGCATGTATTCGTACAAAACGGAGCACTGGCTCCTAAAAGAAAGTTGATTTTTGGAAGGGAAATTTGGTCGAACCTTGAATGAATCATTGTCGGATAAAAAGTCGCGTTCTGGTCGTCAATTTCTTTCGGAATTCGAATTCCAGCATTTGGCTTGAATCGGCATTTTTCCTTCTCGAACCAGACGCGGTACCAATTTCCGAAATCGCTCCGGAAGAACTGCTCTGATCGCTTTGTCGGCTGGACTGCGAAGTCGATCCCTTCGGCTGGAAGCTTAAGTTGCAGATTCTCGAATTTTGTTGTGTCCGATTCGGCGAGAAGACGGCAAGAGGAGAATGGGTCGCTGCGAGATAAGAGATCATAAGAGCTGAAATAATTGCTTTAATTAAATAATGATCAAACTGTTATCTGATGTGTGTGTCAAACTAGAACACAAGCAGAATCATCAAAACCGCGATTCTCCTGAACTTACCATACATGATCTGTACAACAGCAGATGGCGAAAATCCTTCCACAAACTTCTTCAAGTTTGAAAATGCAGTTTTTCGTTGCGAACTCGATTTCGTGACGAAACGCGAAATGACGGGCGACGGGACTTTCTTTATCCAAAGTAACGACGTGGAAGAAGTTCCTTTTGATGATTTTAAAAATCGAAAAAGTTTTAAAATAACACCTGCGCTTTTCTGAGACAACAAAGACTTTGTCATTGAGCCTTTTTATCCCGTGAGGAGATGAAAGAAGCTCATCTATCTTGAGATATTCTTCGAGTTGCCTTCCGTCTTTGGCTGAGTAAAATGTCAGAAAGGCTGGAGTAAACTCGTCGATCCAGTCATCCGCTTCTTCAAACGCGAAAAAATGAGTCTCATTTTCAACAAAGAAACCGCGGAAATTGATGACGCTCTGGCTCGTTCGATGGACCTGAAAGACTTCAATAAAACAGTAGTTTTTCATACTACTTATTGAACGGTCTAGATGATATTTTGAAAAGATAAAAAACTGAGATAATTTTAATTTCAAAGCAATAGCCATGAAGCTGCTAAGCAGACATTCATACTGCATCAGATCATTTTTCTCAATTGATCGACAAAACTCGTGATCTGCCAGACAACAACCTTTGAACAGAAGAGCGCAGAAGGAAAACGAACCTTCACACTAACGTCCCGGTCTCGTTGCATGTCGACAACGACCACAACGCCAATACAACCCAAATAGACAGCCACGAATTTTGCACAAATTTGAACATCGCCGAGAATCGGAATATCGTCGTCAAAAATGTCAAAGTTGCTCAAGTCCAAAGCGACGGTCCTCGTTGGCGGTCGACGCCAAATCGGCCCTATTTCGCTCGAAGAAGGTGATTTTGTCGGTTCCGCCGCTAAAAAAGTTTTTCCATTTCCATTTCGATCAATCTTTTTTCACCTAGATTCCAAGTATAGACAGTCAGCTTTGGGAGCCGATTGAAAAACGCCGCGGCGGCCAAATCTTTTTCAATCCGAATTTGCGCTGGAAACTTTGGCGAGTCGAAAAGATTTACATCTTCCAGATGATCAACGGAGTCGACCGAATGATCGGGGTTTCCGGTGTCAAGCGTGACGATAATCGGATCAGTATTTTTCGTGTGGGCTAGTCGCATCTGAACTGTTTTTCTGAAGAAAACGTTCGAATATCCAGAGGAGCCAGTTTTACCTTCCATGAACTCAAGAATAGCAGTCGGCGATCTCATCCCATGCCGAATCGCGCCTCGATGGAGACGGGCCCAAAGTGGCTCAGATTTTCGCAAAAGATAGGCGATTCGGCCAACTGCGGTTCTATCGGCGATCGTTTTTAACCGCGTACAGGTTGTCCTGAAAACATGAAATTGGAGAATGTAAGACGTGAAAATAGGGCTCCTTTTCGGCAATAGCCTCAATAAACCGCAATTAATTACGATTTAAGAGCCTCCAATAAACATTGAATTGGCTTTGAAATGACGAAAATGAATTCTACACATTTTGATGATAACCTTCCTCACCCGAATTGACGTAGTTCTTCTCCCGGCAAGTAGCAGCTAATGCCGCACAAGAGCTCCGGTGGCAACGAAAAGAGGCTGGTTTCCACTTCTTTTTCCATCTTTTTCTTCCTGAAACGAAAATTTGACGCTTTCTTGAATCAGGGGAAATTTGAATGAAGAAAACAGGGCGAATTCGACAGTATTCGAGAGCAGGAAAAATGACGATCAAAATGATTTTTCTTGAGAAAAAGGGGCGAAGAAGATTTTGCCGTGCGGGCGAATCCACTTGATTACGGAGCCGTTTTGGCTGGCGATGATGAAGCAGGACAGGTGAAAGAAAATGTAAGTGAGACGCTCGTTGCTGATCTTCTTCTCGACCATGGGTTCGATTATCGGCAGCTAGAAGAAACAAGGGATAACGATGAAGAAGTGGAAGAGTCCTACCTCGCTGGAATTGACGTGCTTCGGCGCAGGGTTCCTTTCTGTCTCCGAAAATGTCCTGAAAACCACGAATTTATATGCTTTCGTTATTTCACATGAAGAACAATTTACAGAGGAAACGAATATATACGAGCAACGAAAAGCGAAATTAAATATTACCGTTGCTGCCATGAATGCGTCGATTGAGAAAATCTGTAATTGTAAATATAGATTCAAGAATCTTTGATTAGAAATGAAAACTGTATCAGCAGTGAATCACATGTTAAATCACATGAAACTATTCAGCTGCTGACAAGTCGAAACGATAGAAGAGCGCGAGTTAATATTCATTTAGGCCAATTACCTTGTTCTTTTTGGAAACATAACATCGCCCGTAAGATCCCAAAGACACAAGATCCCATCGTGTCCAACAGATCCTTTAAATTGTTTTTAGAGGCAAGCTAATGATTTTAAATGAGCAAGAAAACAAGAGCTAGACCATTTATGAACAACTTTTGCAAGAAAAATATTTTCTTTGATATTTTCTATGGCTAATATCAAGCAAAACAGGCTTATTCGGAAGCAAGTAATAACTATCATCTCGAGATGATTTTGAAGTCTGATAACTGATAATTAGCTTCGATTAGGCTTGATTACTAAATTTATCTTTCTATTTTCCTGAATTTATCCAAAACAATTCCTAATCTTGCATCAATTCCAGCAGAAGAAGCAGCTACAAAAGTATCCCAGGCAATACTCGAAACCCAAGATCTATGCCCTTGGCATCGGCAAATCGGCTTTCTTGTCTCAACATTGAGAACTGTTATCGAATCATCCTCTCCTCCTGCGGCAAGAAATCGACCGCTTGGGGACCACGAGCAGCAGAGGAAGCCGCCAAAGAATGAGGAAACGGCGCAGATGTACTCGAACGAAATCTGGTAGTCGTATGACACAGAGACCTAAAAGGGAAATGGGCTGAAGAGAATAGACGTTTGTCTGCGCTTCAATTTGATGCAAATTACATCACATGAAAGCTAATTCTTACCTTGACGACGTAGCATTTTCCGTTTCTACTCGCGATTGCTAATTTTCCTCCATCGGGCGAAAATTGAATCGCAGAAATGGCAGCTTTTCCGAAGCTCCATTTTCGCAACGGATTTTCTTTCTCTTTCGAATTTTTAGAATCAAATTCGATGAATGGGACTGAAGCATCCTTCTTGTGGCTCCAATTCACTGGCGCCACGGCATCCGGGTAGTCTACACGAAATAGACAAGGTCTGGTCGTTTTCTTTTTTCGTACCTCTGTGGAAAGCGAAGAGGTCACCAGAGTTAAAAGCGGCGATTAGGATTTCTGACGAGCCGGGGAGCCATTGGATCGAGTTAATTACCGAGTTGTCGTGGTTGCGCTCGTCATTGATCTTGGCGATACTTCGCTTACTCTCGTCACTTGTCGCCATGTCCACGATTTGAATTTGACCCGCCGTGAAGCCGATGGCTATCTTCACATGATCCTGGAAGATTCGTTAATGACCATGATCGAATTCTAGTCTAACCTCCGAGGCATCGGCGGGGCAGATGCTCAACGTGCTAGGCAGAGCTTTGAGGAGGCTTTTTTCAGACAATCATACAGTATAATAAGGGGATTCTACCATCAAAGAGCCTGGAAGGTTTCTTCGCAGACAAAAAAGCCAGAAAAATTCTTTTCGTTTGGAAAGAGAAAAATTAATTCATTAAAATTTCCTTCCGCTAAATTTAATATAAAACGTGATCTTGAATCACATGGCCTTGAATTCACAAGAAAAATCATATGACCAGTCCTTCCATGAGAAAAATAATGCTAGAAGCCCCAATGCCTGATCCCTTGTAAATTCTCTTGTCCTTGTGTCTCGGATTCGTGTCGTGATGAAAGTTGTAATGGTAGACTTCCTTTCCTGTGCAAAAAACGATGCTTTGCGGATCATCTGGGTGCACTTCCTTCAGAGATAGTTTCGAAAGGTCGGGAACATAGCTGACTGAATCGACTGTTACGATGTTCCGCGGAAGTGCGACAAGCATAGAAGCATTTTGATGGCTGTCCTCTTGGTTGTAATTGTAGTCTTTTTCGTATACGCCTTTTTAGAGTTGAAAATTGAAATTTGAAAAGAATAAATGGCTCCTTCAATACTTAAACAATGAATTCAACGATTCCTTCTCGAGTTTTAAAATGTGTTTTAAGAGTTTCTGCTTTTTTGACCATTTTTGACTAGCGATTATGACTGAAAAAGACCTTGTTTACTGATGATTTGTTAGCTAGATTCTCTCAAAGAATCTCTTGTTTATTTCATGGATTTTGCAGTGGTGGAAAGTGGAATGGCATATGAGGAGTGAGAATTAGTTAGAGTACAGATCGTTCATGTCTTTGATGGCCAGCATCTGGAGAAGATTGTTGTCGTGTCCCTTGAAGTTCGCGACTCCTTCTTCGTCGATCGACTCGAAGGTTCCACGAAGCGTGACAGATCCATTCTCAGCGCAGAGAAGAGGAGCGGAAACAGCAGGCAATCCCCAGCTAAAATTTTGACAGTGTAAATCAAGTTCGTAACAGTCACCGTTATTTTCTTACCTTTCTTCCCATTCAAATGTCGCGAAATTCTCCTCCTTGCATCGTTTTTCGCCGTATTTGTTGATACAGTCTTCTCCGAGAATCATATCGACTGGGATCGACTTCATTCCCTTGCTCCAGTTGCAGTAACTGACCATGAAGCACTGTTTTGGGTTGTGATGGATGCATGGAGTCTCCATTTCGGAGACGGCATTCCAGAATCGTTTGTCGACGATTTGTTGGTAAGCTAAAATCGTTTTTAGGAATGAAATTTAGGGGAAGATTAGGCTACCTTTTCCGATCATTTCCGCTTCTTCGGGATCTTCGAATCCCTCCGGTAATTGTCCCAAAACAACGTTGTTCTTCTGCGCGAATTCATAATTGATCATGATCTTGGTTCGTCCAATCTGTCCATCATCCATCGCGTTGCAAGCAGGCATGACTGGGAGCTTCTCATCGAAGAAGAGAAGACATCGAGCAGCAGGAGCGGCGTCGAGGTATCGATCAAACAAGTCCTGGGCCGATGTGAATGGGAAGTGAGCGGAGAGATCTTCGTGCGTCTTGGTTGATGGAACTTTCATAGCGCCAGTGGGGAAGTGTTCTTTGCCGTCGATCAGGACGGACATTCCCTCGGCTGGTTTGTGAAAGCGCATGTAGAATTGATCGTAGTTGTCGAAGATGTTCTCATTCGACCCCCAGAGCAGATGTTCGTGCATCTTTTCGATTCCGATGAAGTTGGTCCACATTTCCACCTTTTCCAAAGTCACATCTGAATTACAGGCGTCCAGGCCAGTCAGCACCAGTCGCTTTCCGATGACTGTTCCGACTGCTGGTCGATTCATTCGTTCGCTTGCTCGGTTGAGGTAAACGACGGAGCTGTGTCCCTTTGATTTGTTAAGCTTTGGCGTGAGTTTTGCCCACATCATGTCGACGATGTCTTTCGGCATCCAGACGTCGTCGGAGACGAGCGACTCCATCAACTCGTCGATCATCCACATGTATTTCAAGTCAGCGGTGGATGCGCAAGTTGTCGATTCTGGAAGCTCCTTCGTCACTTCGGCCAACTTGTCGATCATCGCTCGTTGCGCTGGCTCATTCATTCGCACCTGGAGAAGAGCCTGGTTCGCGTTGAGCATCACTTCCATCATTTTCGTCTTCATTTCTGCTTTCTTTTCACTCCATTTGTCCATCGACCACTCACCAGTAGCGATTTTCGACATTTTCTCAGAGAGCTTTTCCCAGGGCATGTTTTCGGCGAAGGCTTTCCAGTCGATATCGCCCATGTGTTCTTTCATTTGGCTGAAGAAGGCCATCTTTCCTTCCATCATTTTCTTCATTTCGGGGTCGGAACCATACTTTTCTTTGTAGTACGCAGCCTAAAAAGGGGAGATAAAGAACTTTGATTGAAATTAAACAATGAAATATGGGCTCTTAAGAATTTTAACGGTGTCTTGATCGAAAAGAAGAATCCTTTACCTTATCTTTGTATTTCTCAAAGCCATGAGCGGCCTTTTCTTCATCCGGAATCGAGTCAAATTGCTCCTTGATCTCGGGGAAAAGCTCTTCCCAGTCTTTGTCCCCAGTTTCAGCTTTTTTCTCCTCCCACCAGGATTTCTCTCCCTCGGTTTTGCTAGCATCAGCGAGTTGTTGAAGAGCTTCGAATGGAGGCTCAGTTCCGTCCTGGAGCCAGCTGTCGAGGGATGGAGCCGCCCGGCAGACGGTGAAAAAAAGCGAAGTTGAAAGCTTCATTTTTCGTTCAGTTTTTCTTCAGAAAACCGAATGTGAGCATTTCGAGGGAAATGGGCGCGTTTTATAGTGCATTTGCAGGAAAATTGGCCCCGCGGGCATTTCCAGCGCCCAGGAAAAATTCGAAGGAATGCCAAACCCGCTTCAGATGTCTTCTGAGTAGGGGTTATCGCTAGATTACATTTTCGCCCGATTCCGACGTTAGAATTTCGCTGACTTCGCAGCTCACAGAGTTCATACTCGAGTAACAGAAGATTCTAAAGAAATTTTTTTCATAGAATTGCATCTTTCGAATTTCTTGCGTAATCATCGCGCAATCAACCCTCTTCTCGAATTTTAAGTAGAACACCTTCCCCCTCTTTTACAATATTTTTAATGTAGCAATGTTAAAAAGCAAAGAAACGATGAAAAATTTGTCTCAAGAACAACCACTTGGTTATCAATAAGTGCGTAGGTGGCCCTTTTACTGGGGTTCGCAATAATTCCAAAGAAACAGCCCCTGCTCTATTTAGAGTATTCTCTATAACTGCTTATTGATAAGGTATTATTCAAGGCATTTGGTTACAGAAAATAGAAGCAAATAAAAAAAACTTTGGCAGTTACAGTAGATAACAGAAATTTCGAAGATTAAGATGTTCTTGATTCGGCTTCTTTGACGCGATTGAGCAAAATTGTTGCGACTTCATGATCCGGCTTCAGTTTCAAAATCGTTTTCAAAACATGAGTTCCCTCTTCCAAGTTTCCACCTCTCAAATGCACTTGCGCCAGAAGAACTCGATAGCCAACATCTCCCGGTTTCAATTTGATCGCTTCTTTTAACAATTCAAGGGTCTTCTCCTTCGCTTTTTCCAAGAAAGCTTCTTCATTTTTCGTCGGATTCGAAACATTTTGGTTGTTTCTAACGATTTCGTGGTACATTGCTCCCAGCTGGAATTTAACCTCCGCAGCGTGTTCTTTTTCGTGATTGTTTTCGAGGAGCTTTCTGTTGCAATTCTCGAGTATACTCGCTGCCTTCATGAATTGATGCTTCTTCGGGCCGTATATCTTCGCCAGGGTTATATGCAAATTGGGCAGTTGACAGTCCCGATCTCGCTTGCTAACAGAATCCTGAAGAATTTCCACGGCGCGGTCAGTTTCTCCCGCAGCTACCAACACGATCGACTGCTCAAGGACGATCATGTGATTCTCTGGATCGAGTTTTCGAGCCTCTTCGTATTCTTTCTTCGCTTCGGCCGTTTCTCCACGCTGATATTTTAGACTTCCTAAATTGAGAGAATTATCCAGGTTCAGGGTCTCGAAAATTTGGACGTGCGGTGGATGTGCAAGCGCGCCCTCTCGCCTTGCACTTCCGCGCGGTGGTCGTGGACTCGCTTCCACGCCCGAGGCTGGAAGTGCAAACGCGCTAGGGGGAAAGTGAGTAGCCCGCCCCACAGAAAACCTTGAAACGAACCAAAAAAAGTTCGTTCTCAACCCGGAAGCCCTTTTTTGTCGATTTCGGGGTATTATCGCCTACCTACCGGAACAACCTGAAATTGAATAAACATAGATTGAACTCACTTAACTAGTCCTTTCCTTTCATAATGGAATTAATTTTGAGTTAAAATAATTGACTGCCAGAAAAATTTTACTTGACTTTTAAAAACTTCGGCAAAAACCTCCTTCTAATGGGCTAAAGCTAACTTTTAAAAATAAATAAGCACAAAAAAGGGTCAATTTGCAACGTCAATAATATTTGCGATTTTATGATTACAGGACTGTGAGGTTATAAATCATCTGGCCAAAATGAAATGATTAGAATTTTTATTTGCGAAATTGGTCGAAAAAAGGTTTTTCCTGAGAGTACCTGACCTGGTGAAAAACCCTGACCTGAGTTCCTGAGTAAAAATCGAGAAAAATTTTCCGAACCCTGTACTCAGGTTGCCGAGCCCGGGCACATTCGAAAAGGCGCGTCACTCCGGGTGTGCACTTCCAGCCCCAAGCGCGCACTTCCAATCGCGGGCGTGGCACGACCAGCGCCGGGAGTGGCTCCACGACCAGCTCGCGGTTTTTTTAAACACGCACTTCCAGCGCGCAGAAGTGGAGCGCTCGAGAGCGCGTTTCCACACCCACCGCACTTCCAATTTTTCGAGACCCTGTCCAGGTTAAAAATTATCAGCCTTCTATGAATTGAAAGTATTTGATCTAAATTCAGCCAAATATGACAATTTTATGATAATCCGATAAAATTTTATCACAGCTTTACCTCCCATATCGGAACTGATTTTCTAGCTCTGCTAGCCTTTTATCTTCAGCCTTTTAGCAAGAAATGATAATTTATCGGCCAGATTATGATTAACAAGACACCGACGACTAGTTAAAATGATACGTAGAGAATTTTCAAGTGATAGTAGATAGTTAAGAAAGCTGAGGATGAGAATAACGCTAGATTTATCAGCTTGAATATCAAAAAAAGTGTTCAAAATATGGTAATATGATAGAGGTGTAAAATCGACAATGGAGGCTGAGATCTGACGAAAATCAAAGTAACAATCAAGGTATAAGTCTGAGGATGAGAAGTTACTCTGGAGGAAGTTCCATTAAGATTTCATAATCAATTTGATTAGAATTCCTTTGATTACGTACCAAGGCGCATAAACGCTTCGGAGGTAGGCTTTATCCTCAGTGATTTTTCGTACAACTCTTCGGCGTCTCTCACCATCTGGGCTGAGCCAGATCCATTACCAAGCGTTTGCTTCACCCAGGCGAGATTGACCAGGGGATTCGGATTAAAGGGTTCCAGCGCGATCGCTTGTTCGTAGACTTTGATTGCTTCTTCGTAGCGTTTTTGTTCTGGAAAAGTTTTTGTTATTTGATTTTGAAGTGAACTAAAAGAACCTGTGAGCAAAGCGCCGTAGTGGTTGTATGGCTCGGCGATGGGAGAATCTGCGTTTTTAAATAAAAGGAGAATGTGTTGATAAAGCTTTAGGCAGATTTCATGAAAGGCTCTAATTTTTAGCTTTCCAGATATCTACATGAGAACCCCGTAATCGTCAAAATGACGAGTGGCAGAGTCTTCCGAAAAGTGTTTTTTTAAATCCGCCCCTGTTCCGCGTCCCTGTCAAATCCCCTCCGTTTCATAATCATCGCCAGTTTGAGTGTCGCAGTGTAGTAAGGTGTGTCATAATTCTGCACCGTGAGAAGCACCTTGACGGCTTCTTGAAGTCGCTCACTTTGAGCGTAGAGCGAGGCTAAGTTCGAATACGCGCTTGGATGGTGCGGATTCGCTTCGATGCTCTTTTGGTACATCTTCTCCGCCATCTTTGAACCTTCTTCTGTTCCGTCGTCGTAGAGGACCCCGATGTTGTCGTAGGCTTTGGAATAAGTGGGGTGAAGGCGGATCGCTTCTTCATAGAAAATTATCGCTTCGTCGATCTTCTGCTCGTTCCGGAGACAATTGCCGTAATTGTAGAACATCTAACGGAAGGATGATCATTGATCAGTCAATCAGTTACGAAACAGATCTGGCTCGGACCTGTTTCATGGCTGAGAGAACGAATACTTCTATCGAAAGAATCATCCTTTATCAACTGTTTCCTTTGCGTTATGGCGATGAACGGTAAGGCCAGATTCGAATAGATTTTCCTTCTTTTTCCATGCGTTGATGCGAAATTCCGTTTTTATCGTAAACAAAATTATCGTTAGGGCTAGACTAGAACGGATGATTGTTGATTTGAGGATTGATTTCTCAAATTTCTTGTGGAATTTTGTGAAGCCATCGGCAAAGAGAATCGCGAAACCGATGCTTTAGCAGGATCTCATCAAACATTGCCAAGAAGAAAATTCTGGAAATGGAATGAAAGCTGATTATCAGCGTCAAAGACATTTTTGAATAAAGGAGAATGAAAATTCTAAAACATCCCATTCAAAACAATATTTTGTGATGAATAAGACCAACTAATCTTGTTAAATTAATAATATCTTGATCATGAACATACAAGCTTTTCAATGATGAGAATCCAGTTTCTTCTCTTCTATTTTCGGATGAGAACCTGACCTGGGAGTGTACATGACTCGCTCTGCGACAGCAAATCCGACCGAAACCAACACATTCGAGGCTGGAATAAACGGGACGAAGAGCAGCAAAGTTGGAAGAAGAATTCGTCGATTATTGAAAAATCCAAAGATGCTGCGGAAACAATGAAAGCCAATAAAGAGGACGGAGGAGAAGAGACAAAGGATCGCAAGAATTCGACAGTCAGAAAAGTCCTGGACAAGTGGGATCGATCCATAAGCCCAATCGTAAGCCAAGTTCTTCGGGGAGAGCAAAAGCCAGTAGTGCTGAAACCAGTAAAAGGCAAAACTCGACCATTTGACAAATTTGTCCTTTGCAAAAGCAGCTGGATTATCAGGCGGAGTAAACACCGGATAAGTTCCGTTCAACACCCACAATCGCAGCGAGACAAAAATGAGCAGGTAGCTGAACCAGAAGAGCAACTTGTAAACGAAAAAGAGGATGAAATCGGGATCGAGAATCACTTCTCCGCGCCGTTTTCTGTTGAAAATGATGATGATTTCTAAAGCGACGAGAATCGCCAGGCAAAAGACGCCGCCTTCTTTGCACAGCATCGCTGAAGATTGATTTGTTATCTTTAATCAAAATGTTACATCATGTAAAACGTGAAGGTTCTTTCCCCCACAGATTTATCATTTTTTGAGACGAATAATTACCAATTAAAATGTCTAAAGACAAATAATTAAATCTTTTCTAGCAGAGTAACTTTTCAAGATAACTCTTGTTTCTTATCTTGAGGAAAGAAAATAATTGTCTTCATATGATTTTTTTACATTTTTAGTTGTAACAAAATCCACTAGTCATTCCTCACAAAAATGAACTCAAATTAAAATATTTAAATAATATAATTATTTATCAATCAAATACGATGATCATGAAACTAAAACACCAAGTTTTCTTTCTATGCATAGATTACTCGAATCAAACACAATTTAATCCATCAATATTGAATTTTCCAATCAAGAAGAAAATACTATCTACCGGCAAATAGAATGCCGCAGATAAACCGCTCAATGATAATAATTGAATATTATGATAAGTCGGCTTTGTTACGATATTAACGCGCAAACATCTAATAAACCGTTACGGTTCTTTGAATCAATGTCAATCAAAGTACTGTATCTACGTCAAACCAAATCAGATCCAGCCAGGCATACCCGTCAAGTTTCAAACTAACTCATCAATCAAATTTCTTACCTAAAAGCGCATAACATCCAGAAGCAGCCGTGTTATCCCGATTGACGATTGCACTGAGCATAAAATGCGCCGAAAGAACTTCTGCTCGGCCGACGTTGTTGGCGAAAGATTCAGAATTCAGCGGATGAATTCCAAAAATGATCGCGGCTAGTTGAGCGGATTCTCGAGAGTATCTTATTTTAGCGTTGGCGATTAGACTTGAAACAAGCTATTTTTAATTTGAGAGGAAGCGCAATATCAAGTTTGTAGTTTCGTCAACGGTGCCCAAAGCGAAGGAGAATCAGGTGAAGGCGGTAAACCAATCCAGAATGGAGGAGAATATTCGTCAAATGGAAGAAGAAAGCGTGATTGCCAGTCAGAATCCGATTGATCCTAGGGCACAGTTAGCAACTTAGCAACTTCGATTTCCGCAAGCGGATGATTCGGTCGCTTCGGAAGATGAATTTTAGATTTTAATTTATCGGAAAAGAGGATGGTTTTGAATGACTGATTCGAAGTGTTTGATGGGCTTTCCTTTACGTCAATTCAATCATTTCAGAATAAAATTGCCACTCGATTTAGTTAAGAAGTTGTATAAGCAGATGCATAATACCGGCAATAAATGATTTAGCACTCTGTTTTTGCGTAAATAACATTGAACATGCATTTGTTCTACGCATTTCTCGATAGCTTGAAAAAAATTGCAAATTTATTTTATATAACAACTTTAAACAAGATGATGGACAAGAAAAAATGATGATTGATTCGACAAACTTGTCGATGAGCTGTCAAATCTCGTCGTAAAATGACGTAAAACCGACGAAAAGTTACTATTATTTCCGAGTCACCTGTACGTCAACACAGTAAGCGGGCGATACGACTTGTGCGAAGTGACTTCGGACATAGCCTTTCCCCAGAAATCGTTTTTGAAAAGGGCAAGTAATCCAGTTCTGCCTTGTACGTCAGGATTGCGAACGATTGCTGGTATGTCATCGTGAACAAAGTCATTTTGGAAAGCGGGGCTGACGATGATGAAGACAATCAATGCCGATGCAAGAGGGGTCGAAAAACTCGGCATATTTGCGGAAAAAGGGCGACTTCACATCTGAAATTAAGATTTATTGTTTGAGTCAGTGTCAAATGAGTGGCCTTTCTTGCGGAAGGAAAAATGAGTTCTCCCCAGAAAAAATCATTTTCAAAAAGTCATGGGAAGCACCTATCGCTTCAAATGAAGTTTTACTCATGAAGAATCACTGAATGAGGCATAAACAAAGGTCAGCATGTCAGGTTCCGACCTTATACCTAGAAGATAGACGCAGTTTGTGAACTTGGGCAGTGAAATAAAGAACAAAAACAAGTGCTCACATGTCTTATCTTATCTTCAAAAGCAGAATTCTTTGGCAGGAGCAGAAAGCGGCAGAGTCTCCATGGTAAAAGCAGCGGATTTGTAAGCTTCGATTTCTTTTGCCGAAAGATCTTCCATCTTTTTGTAGACCACTTTGTCCGCTGAGAAAGAGGAATTGGAAAAATTTTCGAATCTTGGAACCAAGTTCCCAGGTGACAACGACGGCCTGCCCCAAAGTCGGTCGCGAATCTTGGAACCTCATTATTTCACTGATTGTGCTGATTCTAGATGCACAATCTCTTTTTATGTTATTATTTGTAGTGAATTTCGCACAAAATTGGCTAATTATGACCATGATTAAATGAAGAACCCTGTTACTTCTACCTTGGAAAATCCGCCCCTCGCGTTAAACTGTTCTGTGTTTTTGCCGAGTGCCCCTTATTAGTGTTTAACTCTAATTTCGAATTGAACAATTCTCCAAATGAATTTAACTTTAGAACAATATTAACCTTACAAACCTAACAGTCAATGAGCTGGAGTGCGCTCCGCGCCTGTCTTACAGTAAATCTCAGGTTTGACAGTGTCAAAACGGGAAAAAAGTCATATTTTTGCAAAGAAAAGGTTCCAAGATTCGCTTTACTGGCCGTCGTTGTCAACTGGGAACTTGGTTCCCAGATTCGAAAATTTTTCCAATCTTGGAACTTTTGTTCCCAGATTAGAAAAAAAAATCTAATCTTGGAACCGGGTTCCCAGATTGGTAAAGTTTTCTAATCTGGGAACCTGGTTCCCAGGTGACAGCATACCACCGTAAAAAGGATTCTCCTTGATTTTGATTCTTACGTTGAGATTTCGACAGTTTACTTTCATCGACTGCAATTTTTGACCCAAATACGCTATTCTGACTTGACACATTACTCTGAGCTGCTGTTCCAGAACCGGCCCTGAATAATTGACTTAATTCTCTCTCATTCTTTATTAAATTTGAATTGAACCCGAATGGATTGGCAGTTCCAGCTGAAGAGGCAGAATTTGCCGTAGTCGCCGCCGGCTGGGAGACACCGCCGCCCCCAAAGGGGTTTGACGTTGACGACTGGAAAGGGTTCACGTTTGACTGGGCAGGGGTTGAAGATGCTGCGGAGGAGGAGAAGGAGGAGCCACCGAAAGGATTTGAATTGGAAGATCCTGGTTTTGGCTTTTCAATTTTTATGACCTAACTCTCTGAGAAGAGCCCATTCTCTGCCGTTTATTGAAATTTGAATGATCATTGATCAAGGGAATTTGAAAAGCCTGGCAAAAGGATTTGACGCATTTGAAGTTGCATTTGAGCTTTGATTCGATGAGCCGTAAATTGAACCTTGATCTGAAGATAAAACGATAATAGCTCACTAATTAAAAACTTTTTTTAGCGTACTTGAATTTGAAGAAGTACCAAAGACGGCCCCTTTTTGATGAAGAAAAGAAAGATCCACCAGAGCGGATGGATTGTCGCTTTCGTTTCTGCAGTACTCTCAATTGCTCCTTTATGAAACATCAAAAAGAATGGCAGACATACCTTGATAAATGGCACTTTTATTCGCACTGTTGCGGAGATAATTGCGGTTTTCAATAACTCGCTCGTTCAGCTTCTTCATGCTTTCCATGTGGACTTTGATGGTCTTATTGCAGTTTATATAATGGAAGTCTTTGGACCTTCATTTTTTTCATAAAAATAATTACTTGTTTTACACTCCACTTATTTCTCAGGCGTTCTTTATCTTATATTGTCAATTATACTTGTATTTAACATCTTTATGTTTGATTGGAACTTCTTCGATTTTGCTGAGTAAATTAGTCCGAACTAAAGCATTTTGGAAAACAGTATTACTGAAAATAGTGTCCAGAGGTCTTTCAAATAAGACAAAGATGAGCATATTGGATATCAGATTTAAAAGATCAAAAATATGGCCAATTGCGTATTTTTGTATTTCAATGAGATTCGATGAGTCGTTCGAAAAAGACCTTCCTTGGACATTATCCTTATTCAAGTAGAAATTCATCCTGAGCTCTTCTGGCGAAATATCAAAAGTCTTTGAAAATCCTCCTTTCATATCGGCGGTGACTGAGTACGTAGAAAAAGGCCACACTTTGCCCTTTTCGTTGGCTGCCAGATCGACGAGAAGTGTTGAAAATATTGTTGTTTCGTCGTGCTTTGGCATTTTCAGCGAAATCTAGGATAATTCCTGGCATGAGTCAATTGTCAACCTTGAAATATGTAGGCAGGAGAATCTTTTTGTTGTCTCATGTCTGAGAGAAACTTCTTTCTAGGGCATTTTACGGAAAAAATGGAGACAACAAAGAATGAATAAATTTTGATTTTTATTATAAGAGATGTGTTGCAAAGTAAAATCTGAATTGTCAGTTCGCGTTTTTATGAAAAGAAAAATTTCTTTAGTAGAAAAGCAGGGAGGAAAAGGAGAGACATTGATAAGAAAGAACATTGACTGTACATTTAACTCATAAAGTTACAGAAAAGAGAATCGGATCAAGCATTCAAAGTCTGTCGGTGATAATTTTGAGCATCATTCTATGGATGCCTTCGCACTCTTCAAGCGGGTTTTCGTAGCTGCCTTGGAGGAATTCGGATTTGATAATTTCGTAGCACTCTTCAAGGGTGATTTCGTCCGGCGTGAATCTGGAAAATCGTTGGGGCTGTGAGTTCATTCGTCTGGAAGGTCTGTAGCTCGGTTCGGCGCTTCTTCCGGTTCGGAACCAGCTTTCATCGGGCTGGCTGTTCGGCAAGTCAGATGTTCGAATGACCATAGCGGAAGTTAAAGAAAACAGGATCACTCGAAGAAACATCATCTTTTTTCTTGTTTTTGAGTTCTTTTTTTGATCTCGGAAGAGGAGTTAAAGTTTGATATGGGATTGGGAAGAAGAGTTAACTTTTATAGTCGATAGAATCGAAGGGCGACAGAGCCAGAGCGCCACCGAACATGCTACGACAACCTGTCATGATATTACATATTTTACGAGCGTGAAAGAAGTACTTGTCTTACTCAGTGCTGTACTCACTGATTTACCCCTATTCCGGGCGATTCCGGACCGAACCCATCAGGTAATTAAGTGGACTGGTAACCCCCGCGGAACCGTTGAAATTGCCACGTATCATTTTCAACATCAATTTTGCGACTTAAGATCTAGCGGCTAGATTCTAGCCAAATGCTCTGAGGGTACGAAATCGGGGACGCTTGATTCGTGTACCAAAATTTTTTGGTATTCGAATACCAAATTTTTTTTAACCAGATCATATTTTTCCTTCAAAAACTAGTAAACCACTCCCAAAGTTTGGTATTCGAATACCAATTGGTACACGAACCGAGCGTCTCCCTACGAAATAAGACCCAACTTTCAAGAGTCGAAGTGATCACTAGGCGCTGGGCTTTATTATCATCTGTCACATTTAGTACGCATTCGAAATATATTGTTATTATAATATTCAATCTAATACAATTATTCTCTAAAAATCTAGTACCATTGGGTAATACCCAATGGGTATATTGAGAACACTGTTGCAATGATAGTTAATGGACTGTAACTGGAAAAGAATGATTTTCGATTTAAGGAGGTAGTCCTCGCTTTTTGCGATTTCGGCGGTTTTTGAACAGCGCTCACACAAATTTGGGCTTATAAAAGAGGATAAAAACTTCTGTTTTAGAAAGGTTTATCCTAGGTCTAGAGTTGCCACTCCACAAAAGAAAAGTATATTATTCACTTAAGGAGCTAGAGATCAATTTATTCAGATATCTCTGCCGAAATCGTCATTTTGACCTATTTTTGAACACGCGTAGAACCATCAAAATACAATTGCAAATTCGCGCCTTATATATTTTTAGAAAGTTTATACGATGGTCTAAAGTTGCCATATAATAAAATTAAGAAATTCAAAAAAAATATTATGTAATACGATCGATCAAACCTTGAGTCTCAAAAACTTGAAAATATGAGTTTTTGAAAGAAGGTTTATCTTATTTTACCTTTACACCAGAGGTATTATTTATCATTTTTTAAGTCTAGAGACCATAAAAAACCAAAATAACTCTACAACGTTCGATGAAAAAGTCAAAAAACTTCGAGTTTATAAAATTTTTCATCAAAATCTCACTTTTCAAGTGCGATTTTGGGGGCTTTTCTCTGACATTTGAAAAAACTGACCTACACAAAAGTTGTAGCTTTTTCAACGAGCTTTCAGAATCTGGAAAGAAAATTTGAAAATTCCGATTTTCTCAAAAGCGAGGACTACCCCCTTAATAAAATCGACCAAAGAAGTGAGATAAAACGATATAATCGTCAGAATAGTATTATCAAAGGAGAATATTGAAGGACGATATCTATAAAATATTTTATCTGAATAATGTAGCTGACGTGAAAATGTAGTCATACAGTAAAAGCCTAGTCAAGTGCTTGTAGTCATACATTATCCAGCAAACCTGCGGAATAATTAATTAATTTTATGAGAATGAAGAAAATTCGGGGACAGACAATTTCATGTGTTAATATTAAATCGTACATAATAAATATTTTGACTCTTGATGGGGGTGTAGGGCGGCGACGGTACAAAATTCGGCGAAAACTTTTGTACCGCCGGTACTGGCATAGTTTAGGTAGAGTTATGTCCAAAAACGACCATTGTAATGGGTAAAAATCGGTTTTTACTGTCAAAAAAAATATGATTTTTTGTACCGGCGGTACAAAATTTGTACCTGACCAGACACCTAACACTTATCCCTAGCCGAGAAAAAGTTTTGGTATCATACCAATTCTAGCTTTGCTAATAAAAAAAATATAAGAATAGGTGCTGTGCCGATTCAAATTGCAACCTTTCCTCATGCTGGGGTGGGAAACGGGACCGGGGCAACGGGACAATTGCCCTGTCCCGTGCAAATTCGCAGAAAACTCGAGTGAAAAATAAACGGGGCAAACGGGGCAAAACGGGAGGGGACGGAGCACCGAGTCCGAAAAATTAAGCGGGACGGGACGGGGCACCGATACTCCTTGACCCGTTTCGCACCCCAGTCCTCATGGTTTTACCAAAAAGACGACATTTTTCTAGCAGTAGCATAGACTCTTGACAATACAGTTTATTTCGTTACAAAAACAAACTCGTGGAAAAACATGATTCACGAAATGTCAACTTAGACTTTTCTGAAAGCTGATCTTTAGGATTGACATCTACAATTTTGCAGAGATTATTTGTCCTTCCCTTTCATTAAAAATTTTACTCATAGTTCTGATTCGCCCAGAGAAGACATCTCCTACACAGGTCATATATAAAAAATTTTCCGGAAAGATTATAATAGCCATTAGAAAGGCTAAAGAACACACAAAAATTCATCAAGCTACGTCATCAAGAAAGAAGAGCACCCTCTCTAGCCCCGCTAATGAACCACCTTCTGACTCTTCTACCGCCCTCTACAATCTCTCACGCTCGATTTTTGTATATAAAAACCTCCCGGATGAATTATTTATCAACTCTTCCACTACAATCAAATCGAAAAATCAAAATAAAATGAACTTTAAAATCTTCACCGTTCTTTTCCTCGCCATCAAGGCTTTCCCTGGCTACATGAGCCGACCGTGCCGAGGCTGCAAGACAGAAGTAATCAGCCAACGAGAATGCGGAAAACTCTCCCGACAAATGTTTCTCGAAGCCTTTCAACAAAGCCCGGAATCCGTGTTCCTTGTCGAAACCCCCTACAAAGAATGCGCCAACTTCCACCGATTCATTCTCAAAAAAATCGTCGAGGAAAACTGGAACACTCACTACCGACATCTTCTCCGATGAAAAGACTTCTTCTGTCAAAATTCAAAAAAAAAAATTCAAAATTCAGAATGCTGCCTTTTCTTCTTAAAAAACATGTCACCACTTGAATTTCTGTTTATAAACATTCTTCCTGTCTGTTCTTTTCTACTAAAATAAATGGAAAAAATATTAAATAAGTCTTTTTGATTGAAATCAAGGAAGAAAATTGCAATAACGAGGAAAAAATATTTTTTTTATTAAAACATCTTTTAAATTTAAAATTGATCAGTCGGTTTATAGCCGAGAATATTCAACAAGTCCTCAAAAATTTGCAAAATACATTCAAAAAGTATTATTCTTTCGTAGAGTTCTTTTGAATTCTGATCGAGTTCTATCCATTTTTCATCTTTGGACATCACTTTATGTGCGAGTTGGCCCAGTCGCAATCCGAATTGCAGGAGAATAAAGCCATCAAGTTCGCTTATTGACTTTTCCCGGGCGTTCGAGTAGCTTGCTGAAAATTCTAGCAGCTCTCGCCAATGTGGTTCCAAAGCGAACGCGCTTCAACTTTGGGTCAACACTTTTCCTTTAATTTTTAACAAGAAAAGAGGGTTGAAGAAAGACCCTTGCCTGAAATCTGCGTCATCAGTAATCACCATCTGTCGCGTTCTCGCGTTATTTTTTGACAGTAGATTTTTAATTTTTGAATAGGTTCGTTGGAGGTACATTCCATTATCGTTTTTAAGGTGGAGCTGCCAGTTAAACTTCAGATCTTTTTGACGTTTTGAGCTTAAAAATGCGTTTTTGAGAAATTTTCCTTCAATAACACCAGGAGAGAATCTCCCTTTACTGTCATTCTTGACTATTCTTGCTACAGTGGTTACAGTGTACTGTAGAAAAAAAAAGAGTACCTGAATACACTCGCTGCTACGAACCAAGCTGCATGTTTCTTTTTTGTCAGATCATCGAGCTGCTCAAAATTGTGCTTCAAATACGTTGACTTTTGCTTCTCCATCGTTTCTGCTTGTAATTCCAGTGCTTCTTGAACAACGGACTCGAGCGATAAACCCGTTCCAGCACGAGTTGACATTCCTTCTAGCTTCCCAAACCCGACAAAATCTATCTTTTCCGCCACATCGGGGTAGCCAAAATAATCCAGCGTCGAGCAGAGTTTATGAAAATGTTCTTTTTGCGACATATCTGTTATGTAACATAAAACATCCGCGGAGTACAATTCTGATCGTTTAATGGCGGTCAGCACATCACGTGATAGATAGATAGTTCGACCAGCAGAGAGAAGCTTCACTTTTCATTGGAATGAAAATATTGAGTAGAAATTATGCTGCGCTTTTTCCTCTACGCTTTATCTTTTCTTTTCCCATTCCTTCATGATGTGTCTGCTTCATATTCTTTTTCCTCGATTTCTTATTGCCAGCCATTGCCCAAGACGGGTTCCACTTCTTCAGACGAAGTATCACATCTTTGTTCATTTCCGAAGAAGAGCAGCTGTGGCCAACTTTCCTCAGTAGCCGGTAAATATCTTCAGGAGAAGCCACATCTTTTCAAGGCTCCGATAATAATTCCTTCAAGGAAAAAGTCTAGACAGGTCTTATAAAATAACTTGAGACTAGCCTGACTCTCGTTCCCAGTGATCGAAATTCACATCAAAGAGGTTGTACTGCTTCCTCTTCGGGGATAGAAATTACAGGATGGATTGATGTTTAGGTTAAAGATCAGGGTTACGGTAAGACATTCCCTGTTAGGATAAGATTAATAAATATGGCTTTCTATCTTCGAAAATATCATCAAAACAAATGAAAAAGACAAAATCCTATGACCAGATTGATCATCAATCAAGGTCCTATGATGTTTTGAACTCATGCAAATCGATTAGTAGCGAATTGAATATTCCGCCGATAATATTAACAGTTTACAATTTCATGCCCGTTCCTGTAATTTTCTTCACTCATCTTGACGACTCAATCCCTGGCTCATATGATGTACTGACGCAAAGTTCAAGATTCAACTTTTTGGAATGAAGTCTCCTAGTCAGCGAATTAAAAATAGAGTTCCATATGACCCAGTGCCTTGTGAGTGGAATTTCATCGCCTCATGCTCTTGAGATGATAGTCGGCCCGCGGCGCGTTTAATTTCCGCCGCGATCTCGGATTCCCGCTCAATTTGGGAAACTTTGACGTAAAGTGAAACCAAATCCGCAATTGCTAATTGCTCGACCGGACGGCTTTCTATGTTCAGGATCGATTATGAGCTTGTTTGACGTATTACAGTGTGAGATTACAGTATTTCCATTCTTGATCGGTTTCGTTTTTAGCTCAGGTCAGAAAGTTTGAACATAAAAAAACTATAGTTTGCTTTGAAGACTTTGACTAGGTTCGAAAACCTGTATACAAAACCTGAGACAGGGCCTGAAAGATCTTTAATGAAAAACCGATTTTTATTGGAATTTTTATTAAAGATCTTTCTGACCCTGATTCAGGTCTGAAGTCAATATTTTCAACAATTCAATTCAAAACTATTTACGTATTGTCAATACGGTATTGATAAACAGTATTAGCAGAGAGTAAATTGAGTAAATTCTGAATTTAAGATAATGAGCAAGCAGATGGTTTATTTTAAGCTTGAATTTAATACAAATAATTGTCATGGGAAACGATTACTGGCAAGCAATATCATTGACGTTGAAAATATACAATTTGTATCAAAAATAGAAAAATTGAAATGATAATGAGGGTAATTCAGAGTTCCAAATCTACCTGTTTCAATCTCAACAACAATTTTGAAATAACGTCCGTTCAAAAATCGCTTTGAATCAAAGCCTTCGATCCCTTTTCCTAAATTCTCCACTGCAAAAAAGCAGTTTGGCAAATTGCTCTCCCCAGTCTCCCAAATAATTGACCCTAACAACATCGTGCCCTTTCGCTTCCAAAAGATTGCAGACACATTGTCCCGTAATGGTGCTCCTCAAATGTCCCAAATGGAAGGGCTTGGCAATATTGGGCGAAGAAAAGTCGACAATGACGCGTTTTCCCGTTGAAATACGACTTTTCCATCCAGCTTTCAGAATTTCCGAAATCACTTGTCGCATTCTTACAGGATCAGGATTTAGTAACGAGGCTGTGTTTATTGCACAGTGAAGAAACAAGTATATTAGCTAGTAAAATAGACAGCAAGACCTTATGAGGACTATTTTTCGAATTCTAAGCGCAAGATTGAATCCAACTTCGGACGGCGTCTAGATTTCCTTCTTTTCCAGAGCATTCGTGTACTAAAACAAGGATGAACACTCGAAAAAAACTGCCCTTGTTCAAAAGGAATTGTTAAACTTTATACCACCAATTTTAACGTCATTATTGGGTATAAACAATGTCTATTTTTTGCCTCAAAGAACGCCCGTATAATAAAACTGACGTTGCGTGTTTACTCCTAGTTATACTTTTAAGTATGAGCTAATCTCGGCAACCTGCGTCAGAGTCCTGAAAATCGCATAGCTGCTTTCTTGAGACAAGGCCACTTTCAGAGCCCTGACTTAGGGCCACTAACTTAGGTGCCGGATTCAAAACAATCGTTGTTTAACAACGGTAAATACAGTCTTTTATGAACTGACAAACCTTCAACTTTCATGGGCAAATCAGCAAACTTGAAACTGTCGGAGTTTTTCTTTCCCAAGTAAACCGAGACGCGCTCATCATCGTTCGTGTCCTACGCCAAAAAGTCAATTCATGCTCCGATTTCAATGTTTTAATTATAGAAAAACTCGATCACCCGGATCACCCCTTGTGATTTCAGTGATCACAAGATGTCGATCTATGTTCCAACGAACTTTGACTTACCCTAAGGGCCGCTCCTTGTGTTTTTCGAACGAGGGTAAGTTCATTCTCCAGTAGCTCTTGAATCTTTACTCCGGACTTAAGAGGGTATATATTCCTAATCCTTTGGGATTCTTCTTGAAAGAAAAGTGCGTTTCACACTCAATTAAAATTTCCGTTTCAATTAATCCGGATAATGATTCTTTGGCCAATTATATCATATAAAATACATTTGGCTATTCAAAGAAGAAGCAATATTCTTTAAAAAGTTCTACTCAGTTCGTTATATTTCTATCTCTATCTTTCTCAGCCTTCAAAAATAACCCTTTCCTTGGCAATAGGACAGTCCTGCTGATTGGCAGCAATCAAGATCTTTGGCTTCAACGAGTTGATCTTTTCGTCTGTCAACAAGCTGAAAAGCAGCTCCGCGACGTCGCGAATTTCTTTTTGCACTTTTTCGGAGTTGATGACCAAGATGATCCCGCGAACGGAGCTCTTGAACTTTTGAATGGCGTTGTATCGCAGTCGGTCGGCGCCGGGAATGTCGATTAGTTGGATGGTCTTGGAGTCCTCGAGTTTGTATGCGGCGATGTTTGCTCCCTAAAAATTGCAGATAAGTTTGAACTTCGGAATTCTTAGTAAATCGAGTATGTCGTCGTATGAGCGTTCTGATCCACCCTTTGCGTCAAAAGATTTAAGAAAATGTCAAAAAGATCAAGACGATGACATGTTTTACGCCTAGATTCTAGGCACAACTTGTAAGCCAGAGTGTCAAAATAGAGGCTTACGATCGACGTGGCTGTCAGAAAATCCTTCTCCGAATTCAGCAGTTTCGATATCAGCGTCGTTTTTCCAGCTTGCTGAAGCCCAACGAAAACGATGTCGCTTCCCTTCGAGCTGCGAGTGAAGAAATAGGCGCAGATTCCAGCGATCAGCAAAAGCAACCCAACCAGGGCCTGAAAATCAATTATTCATTTTATCATTTTTTGACAATTTTCAACGTTCATATGTAAATTTGGCAATCGCAAAAACAGTCATAAAAGGGTATTGTCGCAAATAAGATGAATTTGATGGAAATTTATATTCGATTTTCTTCGATTTCACATAATTAGCCGAAAATTATCATGAATTCTGCGCCAATTAATAAAGCGAAAGGCGTCCACAATTCGCGGAAAATGTAAATTTTTCTCATTTTTCACCGTAAAAGCTGAATAAAATTAACTTACAAAAATTTCCACCGACATTTCTATCTTCGGAGAACTACAGCAGCCCGAGCCACTTCCGTACGAATCCAACTTTTCTTAAATTTATATCTTTAAAGCTTCAATTACGTTTGAACTTCAAACTTCGAAGAAAATAATTGTCGGGAAAAGAATCTATAATCAACAATCTGGCAGTTAAATTAAACGTAATTAAAAAAGGGCTCATTCAGCAGTATGTATGGAGTCGCCAGAGTTTGCGCAAAAATAAAAGCGTTTTTCGGTTTTTGATGTCCATCTGTCGTTTCTTTTTTGTTGAGTTCAGAATAATTTTCACAGTTTACTGAACGGAAGTAATTTGAGGAAATTGCCCTGCCAGCAAATCAAGGAAAATCAAATTAATCGTTTAAAAGTAAAGTATTTCGAACTCGATTTCCTTTGAACCATATGGATTGAGCTTTGTGCTTTGAATGAGTGCCTTTACTTCGTCTCTCTTTTTAGTCAAGCCCTTTCGGTGATAATTAGCGCAAAAACTCGAGCAAATCGATGGACCAGACGCAGTCGTACCACTCAATCATTCCATCCCACCTTTCCGAGTGGTTCACAAGCTGGAGGGCTTTGGAATGCTCGTCCGCGTAGAAAAACGCAATCGCCGCGCTTGTGAAGTGCGAAATTCGCTCCAAGCATTCGCCGATCAATTTGAGGAGGATTTTGGAGCAGCGTTTTTGAAGAAATTCGGAGAATTTGATCGGGCAGTAAGTAGTGTATTTTGGCTTGGACTCGGAAATGGGGTGGACGCCCGTCATTCTGTGGCAAGAGCGCGCTAGAATTTTGCTTGGATGAATTTCAACTTGCTTTTTTACCGAGGAAATCGAGTAACAAGGCCAGTGCTTCTTTGGGCTTTCCAGTTTGGAGCAAAACCTCGGCTTTGATGACGAAAAACTTTCCCTCTAAAAATAGATTTTGAACTTCCCCCTTTTTTAAACCCATGATGCTATCATAGGATTGATTAGTTGGATAGTCTACCTCTCGTGGGGTCTAATTTATCGTATTCCATTCCAGTCTCGAGGAGAAGGTCCACTGAATCTTCGATGGCCATGACATTTGCTACAGGATTTGGGATGTGCTAGAAGGAGATGATTAGGAAATTTGAAATTCTACAACTTTTATTTTCCACGTGATGATTTTTTTATCAAAATCGATGTCACTCTATCGTCTCGTTTTCATTTCTATTCTCATAAATTATGACGATGTCTACCTATCTGAGATAGGCTATCTCATAAAAATGATCATCTTAGATAAACCGATTGTGTGCACACATGTGTAACGTTTGAAAAAAATGTGTGACGCAATAAAAAGACCACGCTATTTTTAGGTTTAAAATTAACCTTTGGAAGATCTCTAGGAAGCTTTTCCACTGGAGCCAGAACTGCGTAGCCAATGGAGGAGCCCGAATGAAGCCGTTTCAGATGAAGAATGAACGTGAGCATGATTTCAATTAATTCCCGGTTGTAAAGATACTTCGAGAGGGTAACGATGTTGCTTGGTTTGACAGCGCGGCGGTAGTCTGTCGTGTCATTCTTACCGTCGAGGAGAGAGCTGCAGAGCTCGAGCCAGACGATTCTTGCTTCATTTGTTCTTTGAAAAAGTTCGATAAATTTATTCCGAGACATTTATTTCGCCTTTTTCAATAAAAATGTCTGGACTTTTTCCTATAAATGCCGCCGCGATGGTCTCTTTCCGCTCTGCCAGATCGATTCGTCATGTTCCACAGTTTCTGTGCAAAAGCCAAAAGTGGATCTTTGTACTTGTCGAATCGGCAGGAGCTCGTTTCGTCGAGGAGAATTGCGATGCCGAGTTGAAGCCAGTCCTCGCCTGGTTCGATCATTTTTTCACGGTTTGAGCCTGATTGAAGCTGGATGATATCGCTGATGGTTCTGAAAGATGATCGATAGATTTCATCGTCACGATTTGACTCGATGCAGCCGGTAGATATCAAAGAAACCGGTGATAAACATGTTGTTATCATCAGTTTAGTGTTTGCTTTACCATGAAGTTCCACATGGTGAAAATGAGATAACAAGACATTTATTTCAAGCTGAAAATGGCGGCTTGGATGATGCCTATTCCGATATAACACAAGAACCAAGTACATAGAACATGGTTCATCGAATATCATACTATTCTTGTATGACGCTTTCGTTTATCAGCTGAACTTTCCAGCTTTAGTGATAGGAATTGGGGGAAAGCAGATGAACCATTTACAATTGTAATATCAAGTTGATATTATCAACAAATTTCAAGATAGCACACTTTCGTCACTGATCTCAAATCTTACCTTTGTATCTTCTTGATCATTCCGCTTTCTATCTCCCTCGCTGGTTTTCGCTCGAAACAGTACTTAATCATCAAAATCCGGGTCTGTTCAATTTTCAACGACTGCTCGGTAAAATACGGCTCCTTGTTTTCTTTCAAAAATCGCTGCAGATATTCGACCAAATTCAGCGCTGCCTCGAATTGATTCAGTGCGACCAGCTGTTCTTCTTTGTAAAAGAACGCCTCTGCGAGAAGACGATGGTGAGGCTGAACGATGGAAACGATCTCGCACAGCGTTGCGCTTCTGATTTGCAAGTTGATTTGGCCACGCATGTTGAGTTTTTTTGATCTTGTCGACGATGTTGTGCAGTTCTCGGGGAGAAACGACTTCGTTGAATTGCTCGCGGATTTTACTCTTGCTTCTGTCGTCGTTTTTGCCTCCAAGGTCCATGTCCACGTCTGGCTCGGCAGGAGTCAATTCCATTTCCACTCGTGAGTTCAGACGGCGGAAGTCTCTTTCGGAGAGGAATTCGCGGGCGACTGGGTGCGAAAGAAGATCAGAAAGGGATGAGGCTTTTCGATGGCCGAGCATGAGAAGACGAACGAGCTCCTTAATACGATCTTTGTGAACCTTGTTGAGCCATTCTTTGCCAAGTACGTAGCTTTGAATGATTTCGAAGGTCTTGTTGATGTAATTTGGATTTGTCCTCGATTCAGCGAGAATCTCACCGTCCGGCAGGCTCCCCATGGAAAGGACGTTACTGGGGTCGGGAACCCACCATGTTGAGGTGGGTTATGGTGGGTTTTTTTAAGGGATTTTTGGTGGGTTTTCAGCCTGACCCTCACCCACCTCGAATTTTGCGATTTGGTGGGTTTTTGGTGGGAATTTTGATGATTTTGGTTGGTTTTTGGTGGGTTTTTTTTATGATTTCGGTGCATATTCGACGGATTCATATTCGACCGGTGATGGAATGGTGCTCCCTTCTCAATGGAAAAGTTTCGAGAACCAGCACTTTGATTATCAAAATAGGTAATTGTTCTAGATTTGTTTTTTCTTATATTTAACTTTCATAAACGATTTTATTTGAGAGATAAGAAGACTAAAACGCAAATTTTCAGATTGTTGATGCTTCCGAGAAAACGGACGAAGCATAGCCCGCCTTCAGAGCTTGAAGCGGCTCTTTATGGTCGCCAAGATGGTGATTGGAGATCTGTTACATCAAGATCGATAGAGAAAGCCCGCGTCGATTTTACAGAAGCTTGCCTTTTTGATGAGTTATACCACAATGACGTTAAGACTGGATATGCAAGGTGCAAAAATGCGGATTGCCGATCTCGCTGTAACCGACCGGTAAAATATACTTTGAAAATTGAAATTTAATTCCAGATGGAAAAGACAGCGTAAAAGGATGGACCGAAAGAGCTAAAGGATGGGCTATTCTGATGAGCAAAAAACTGGAATGTGCAGAAAAGACTCCGAAAAATCTTGAAAAATCTTCTCAAGATTTGAGTGATTTTAAAAAAGCTCTTGCCTTGCGGGACAGTCAAGAGAGCACGAATTCCACTGTCGTTTCATCTGATATCATGGAAGAAATGCGACGATTTCCTCCCTCGCTTCCCGAATACGAAAAATGTAAGCCTAGTTGAAATGAAAAACTTTATTCGATTTTTAGTCGAAAAGGTGATGAAGCAAGACAAGGTTCCGGAAAATCAATGGAGGTATCATTTTTGGGTGATGAACAATTTGAAGTTTCCCATGCTCGCGAAACTTGGACGATTGGTGAGGTTGTTTCTTTGAGCGTTAAAGAATAATATCTAGCTTTTTCGTGGATCGGTTTGTTCAAGCAGCTGCCAAGAGCGTGTCTTTGCCCGTTGCTCAAAATTTTATTCTTCGGACAGGGAGTCACTGAAAACAAAAACGGTTGAAACATTTCTTCAATTTGGTTATGGCGAAGAGATGGAAAAAGTCCTCAAGAGTTTAAAAAAATAAAGAATTTCATCATTATTTTTCTATTAATAAAACTATATTTATGTAAAAATATTCATTTTTTCTTTACCTTGGATAGGACAAAAAAAATCCCACCAAATACCCACCAAATCCCCAAAAAACCCACCAAAAACCCACCAGAGACCCCTTAAAACCCCTCAAAAACCAACCAAATGAAAAACCCACCAAAAACCAACCAAAATGGGAAACCCCTCCCCTCCTCGAAATATTGTGGTGGGTTCCCGACCCCAGGGACGTTAGACAACATATTTGCCACCTTCGCCGATCGAAGATGGACAGCTTTTCCTCTGCCCGTAGAGGATTTTATCTTCTCCAGGACACTCTGTCTCGCCATTTCATTCATCTCCGGTATTCCCTCCGCCATGATTTCCGCCAGTTCCTGCGCGGATTTAGAACTGTAAGGATCAGTATCTTGCCCGGATCGTTTTGCCAAGACAGAATTGCATGCTTTGGAGAATCCGTCGAGTTTTCTTGCGTCGAAGGAAATGAAGATCTTTTCATCGATCGTTTTAAGCGTCTCCTCGATTTTCGAAAAGTAGGTTTTTGCTTCGTTAAATTTCAATTGCAGCATCGAAATCTCGGCTAGTTCGTAAGAGATCTGCGCCTGAAGCTCGCCAAGTGGAATTTTCAACCCTTTAGCTTGCTCTTCTCCTTCCCAGAGGTCGCCAATCAGCTGTTCTTCGGAAGGCAAATGAATCGCGCACCGGATTTCGCTCTGCATTTTCTTCAGCTTGTCAATGTTCGCTTGGAGCGTTTCTTTCTTTCCCATTTTGTCGTAAATTTCGTTCTGCGCGCTCCAGTCTGGCGGAAGCGACCCGGCAAATCGTTGATATCCGCTAGAACCTGTCGGGACCACCGGCCCTGGTGGTTTACGAACGAAGTGACGCTTCAAGCCAACCTGCACTTCCCATCGCAATTTGAAAAGATTTGCGAATAAGTGATGGTCTGGATGGGCTTTGAAGTCATGCAAATTAAAAACGAATTATCGCTCAGATTCTCCTATCTCCCTAAACTGCTCAACTCTACGGTAGAAGTGACCCATACATTTAGTTCGATTGGAATTGACGCAAAACCAGCAGTTGCTCTTTTCACTTCCCCTCCTGAGTTTGATCGATCAAAAACTAAGCGTCAAAAGAATCTTCCGACTCAAAAGATTGCGCGAATAGAAAATCATCATAAAAACACTGTTTTTTAGGTTTACTCCCACTTTTTCAGACGCCCTTTATTCGCCTCAGGGCACGAGCTACCCCCTTATGATCAATAGTAAAAATGATCCTCGTCATCTAGGGATTCTAAAACAATATTATATAAGGATGTTCCTTAGCCAGAGTCGTGGAAAATTTTTACAGTTTTACACATAAAATAGGCCATTTTGGGCATAACCTCTTTTCGAACGAGTCATTCGAGTTCATGTGACCTCACCAAGGTCACGAGACCCAGACGAGGACACGCAGCAGAGTCTGGGCTTTCAGAAAATATATAGAAGTATGGGGGTTACAACTAAGGATTTTGAATGCGGTTGGGACAAAGTGGGAGTAAACCTAAAAAAAAACAGTGTTAAAGCCTTTTGGAAGCTTCGGAAGCCCTGTTCCTGAAAGAAGAGCGTTCGCATCTTCCTCAATTCCTTTCGAATATAAATTTGCATAAGTTCTTTTCAGAGTTCGAACAAATAGATTTCGGGCAGTCCCTTTATTCTTAAAAGTCTTAATTATCGAGATTAAATTAGCCGGTTTTTATCCGAATTTTCAAATTGATCTAATTTACTATCGAGAAGCACCTGAGTCCAGAATCCTCAAAAGCCGGCAAATCATGATGGTAATTTCTTTCTGACTTTGAGACTAACTAAAAGCTCAAAATTTATCAGATCAACGCTCGACAACCGGCAAAAAAAGCCGGTCGATAAGTGCTTTATGATAGCCGGTTATACACCCCTGTATTATCTCAAGCTGAACTAATCCTGACTCTCTTATTCATAAAAACTATCGTAATGATTATAATTTCATTCAGGCTCTTTCAAGAGCTTTTGATCAGTCTTTCGTAAAAAAATTGAGTGATTAAATCAATCAAGCTTATGTGTTCTTCAACTTTATCAACCAAGAAAAATTCCGGTTGATGATGATCTGTATGAATTCACGGGCAATTGAGCGGCTTATGATAATCATGTTTTTCCTCGTCACGAGAATTCGATGGACTTTGTCAATGAGACGCTTCTCAAGATGGTGTTTTTGATCGTCAATCAAATTTCGAACCCTGTCCCTGAAGAAGTGCGCTTGATCCTTCAGCGGTACATTTTTATGAAGCCAGTCAAAGCTCCACTTCTGTCTCGCCCAGATTCTCAAGATCAAGAAAACGGCTCTTCTTCTGATCATTTCCAAATCTTCTTGGTCTTCCTTTTCTAATTCTTGCTCGGGTCGTGCAAGCTGCTCGCAAAGGCGGAGAAAGAGGGATTTTGGAGTCACTGTCTTCAGTTTCTCGTCTAACGTGACATCTGCGACGGACAAAGAAAGCCATGTCGAGGCCAGGAGCGCGCTCGAACGCGATGTTGTCAGCGCGACGGGCTGATGAGCCGACCCGCTCGACATTTGTCTATAATTGAAATAGTCATACTCTTTGAATAAAGCAAAGCCTGCGCAAGTTAACCTATTCAAATCGATATTAAATCCCGAATAGCTACTCGGCTTTTCATCGAAGGACCTGACACAGGCTTTCTACTCAGGATGCCGAGGCCAGCCGACTACGACACGGAAAACCTGGGCCTATTTTGAGGTACTCTACTGTTCTTTTTGTTTGGGATCGGTTACAGAGATTTTGCTGTTGGATTATTCAATTTATGTAATTCTATAATTCTACCATGATTCTCATTTCTGACTGATGATAATCGCGGTATAATGAATAAAATAAGAAATCAAGAATGAAGCTTTATGAAATTGTCTTTTCGATGATTTCATGTTGGCGTTTTTGGTGTCTGAATAGTTTATTGGACGAGGCAGACACAGGGTGGTAATAGAATATATTGTTCTAACATTGGCGAGCTTGCAGTAGGGGGATTATCTCTCTTCTTATGGGTGCTTTAAACTCTTTATTCTTTGTTGGCGGCTTCTTCGGCCTTGCTGGCGTCCTCGAAGTTGCCTAAACAGCGGTCAAATTGAAGTAAGGGGTAGTTTCGTACCTTCAAGTTCGGGAACCTCATCGTCAGCCTTGGGTGCTTCAGCTCCAAGAGCGGCTTTCTTGAGAGCGGCGAAGCCTTCGGGGCCCATTTGGGAGACAATCTGCGGGAGCATCTCGGAGATCTGCTTCACCTGCGAGGAGCCAGAGATGGCGAAGGTGTTCGCGTTGGGGCTAGCTTGGACCTAAACGTAGTTTTCAGGAAAGAGTGGAAAATGGAGAGCGAGAGAAGCGGGGAAAATTAAAGGGCAGGGAAGTGTCTGCTCTCATAAAATACACCGATGCGTTAAAACTTCTTGAAAAGCGACGCTTCAAGGAATCATTCGGCGTCATCAACGGATGCCTGATCAGAGTCTCTGATTCAGTGATCGACGTCTCGCCATTGACATTTACCTTGGGATTGCTGAAGTGGAGGATGGTGCCGTCGTCCTTGAACATGTTAACTTCTTCGATTCCGGGGATCGGGTTGACTGAAAGCTTCTTCAACTGGCTCTGTAATTTCTTGTCGTCAGCGGAGGCGGCCTTGTGCACGATCTTCTTCTTTCTTCGCATAGTTCCTTTGCCTCCGATTTGAGCAGCGGCCTGAAAAGATTCTCACGCATTTTATTCTTTTACGCAAGGATCAAACCTGCATCTTGGCGAGTTTCTCCATGTTGACCATGATGATTGATAAATTACAAAGAAGCTACAAGTCTAAAAGAAAAGATCTCGTTAGCCCTTGATGAATAGGTTTTGCTGAACATGTTGTTTTTGAAGTGGAAATATCACGTGACACTTCCACTTGTGAGTGAAGCATTTTGGTACTTTAGATAGAAATGATTGCACTTAGTGGTAGGAGAAGAAAATTTGAAAATTGAACAAAGAAAGAGATCAGAAAATTATCGTCAATCCATTGGAGCGTGTTCCAACTCTTCCGACTTCGTCACTGATCTGAGTGGAGTTGTATTCTCAATTTTCAATTCTTATCAATGACGAGTTTACCTTTCTGATAGCGACTTCGAATACTTTTCTCGCTGCTCTCTCTTCCACTTTTTTATCTGTTCCTTCAGGTCTGGCCGCGGAATCACTAAAAAAGATATCTAGAAAACGCAAAATATGCGAAATTCTGGGCTGGTATCACCTCATGCGGTGCTAATCCTGATAAGTTATCCATGTGTATTTTCAATCGACCTTGACTCTTTCAAAAAGGGATGAAGAAATATCTTGAGTTTTGACTCAGATGATCAAATCAGAAAGAAGCCTCAACCATAGTCATTCCCAAACTTCATTCAATGAAGGCTTACCTTCTTCGAGTGTCAAAGGCTGTCGGTTGAAAGGATCAATCGGCGTCACGAGCAACTGTCTGGCGATTGTATTTCGACAAAGAATTGCGCCGGACTTGGGCAACTCGACGGGGTCCTCCATGAGCGAGCCCATGATTGGATCACAGAACTCGTCTGGCGGCTCCTCCTCGAAGTCGATTTCCTCCTCGATGTAGTCTTGCAGGATGAGAATTAACTCTTTGAATTTTGCCCCAACTGTTTGTGCGCTCTAATTAAAATCATGTTAATCTTGTGAACACAACTGCCAGACGTACTGGTAAACTACTGTTGAGGAGAATTTTTGCGCCTTCTTCAATCATTCCCATCGAAAAAGCTCGTTCATCCGCGCAAACTGCCTTGTTCCAGTTTTCAAAATCCGCCATGTTGACGTACAAAAGCGCTAGACTCTTGACCATATCAATCGGTCGGAAATTGATCTTCTTCGGATCCTTCACCTTGAGCATTTTTCGTTTCTTTCCGACGAGCATGTTCATGAAGAAATTCGCCATTTCAGCGATTCGCGAGACGAGAGTCGGATCGGCAAAGAGCGGCTGGCAACCCTCGGAAAGGAGGCCAAAGAGATTCAGCGTCTCTTGGGATAAACCGACGTAACTGTAAGCTTGTCGGTAGAGCTTTTCTAGTCGATCCTTGTCTTCATCTGTTCGGTCTTCTTTTAGCTCCAATGTTCTAGGAAGTTTTAAGATATTGGTTTGACCATGATCTGTACCTGATTTCTTGAAATGTTTCCATGCTTTTGCCCATCATCGAATTCGTATCATCGATCAGCAAACTTATGAATCTCAAAAACAGCGGCTGCTTGCTCATATCATCCAGCGCCTCTTCCGACAGCTTCACAATTTCCTTCCTGTACTCTTCCATTTTCCAAAGCCCATCCAAAACAGTATAAAACGGCATTCGGAAAGTAAACTTCGAATCAAAGCCTTCATCGTCGGTGACAAGTTCACAGTCGCAGAAAACGCCAATGACGGCTTTGGCGAGTCCGTATTTGTCTTCGAAGTTCTTGATCGCCGAGTGTCGCAGCTGGCCGACCATGGTTAGGACGGATCCGGCATGGGAGCCGTCTCCTTCGCGCCGCCGGTCAAAAGGAGTGCAGATGGTTAAAAGAGGGCCGAGGTCTTTTCGTAGATGCGGGTTGAAGGCATAGGTGGGTCCTTTCATGTACAAAACGATATAAGTATAGGCAGTGTGCAAGAAATCCTCGTCCACGGCGTCGGCGAGAAAGTCCTTTTCGAAACGGCTCAATTGTCCCATCACATCGTTGATATTTTCAAGAACGAATTCGGGAATGCTCATCAGGCTCTCCGGCGTTTCGTTAGCCACGTTGATAAGGAATTTCATCGTCAAGCGGAAGAATGAGAAGCAGGCAAATTTGAAGTTGCTTTCCATCAGAATCGCGTTAAGCGTGTAAATCTTATTGTTTAAGTAGTGTAACTGTAACTTGGCCATTTGCGCTTCTCGATTGTTTCCGTCGCGCTCAGCCTCAATCAGGCGGTTTTGGAGCTGCCGCATCATGTGCTGCATTTGGTAGTTGAACTGGGAGATGACGGGATGAAGGCTTTGCCGCATGGACAAATGGAGCAGCCAAAAAAGTGTTCCGTAGCTGGCAGCTTTTTCATCAAAGATGCTCTCGTCCAAGTTCGGTGCTTGATTTGACAGCTCGCGTGATTCAACAGGCTGAAGAGTGCTCTGACGCGTAAAAAGATCGAATCGCAGTCGATCCGCGAAACACCAGTCCGACTGAATATTTAGTTCGGAAAGTGGCTTCTTGATGAATCCCTTCACAGCTTGGAGAAGCAGTGACGTGATCGACAAACTCTGGGCGAACTTGATCGACAGTTTGCCCATGGGATCACGAATCGTTGAAGCCGTGTTGCCTTCTTCCTTGTTGTCGTTGAGGATGTTGAAGAGGATTTTCAACAAGCCCGATCTGCTCAAATCGTCTTGAAGAGCCACCTTCATCATTCGGTGCAAATTCTGAGTGTACAAGCTCATCGTGTGGCGGATAATTCCAATTTCTTCCTCCAACCCGTTGCGGGTCTTGTAACTCTTGTCAAAGTCCTTGAAGAAGGGGTAGAGATTAGGGTTGACTTGAAATGCGTCTGGGAAGGGATTCTTCGAGAAGATGTGGCGAAAAGGGCAAAGCTTCGACTCGGCGAGGGAGAACTGGACTAGGCAACGCATCGAGTAGACGGACTACCAACTGACTGGTCAAAAATCATTGTTGGAAAAGGGTTTTTATGGGGCATTCCATCGAATAAGAGGGACGTGAAATCGAAGATAGATTTTTGACCATTCCGAAAAGATCTCCGACGCTTTGAACAAAACCATGGAAGTGTCGGTCAAGCTCGTTTGGGAAATGGAAACGGAGAAGCTCGAGCAAATGAATCTCAGCCCAATGGCTGGTCCATAAGCCGCGGCTGCGTTGATTGCCCAGCAAGCTGCCTCGTTGGAGACACCTGAATCGACAGGGGTGGAGCTTGTCGCGGCGTTGTAAATGGCGACGGCTAGCATTCGACGAGTAGACATGCGTTTCCCAAGTGCGGAGCCAAAAGCCCTCTCGGCGGCGAATTTGATAGGCGACGAGGTCTAGAGCTAACATGTGAATCGACTGGGGAAGCCGTTTCTTAGGATGTTTACGAGATAGATGCGCCTAACATAGAAACATCTTGTTTCCATTACATGAAGAATGATCGCAAATGTAATGCTGACGATGTTTCTATGACGCGTCATCCTTACCGAATAAATAACGGCAACCATCTTTAGCATCCAGCTGTCTCCCGATCTAGGTGTTCCACTCCCACCGAGGAGGTAATCTCCCGGACCTTCCAAATCAGCGCGTTGTAAAATAGCTTCCTCCAGATTCAAAGCGCTGAAGAACGTCTCCTCGCCAACCATGTTTGGGAGCAGCACTGCCGGAAGAATTTCTTCTTCCATATTCAGCGTAATCTTGAAGAGCCTGTGACGAGTTAGACAACTGTGAAGTAAACGGAAATTCTGATCGATGATGTAACCCGGACCTGACAACGTCATCGTGGAAGATCTTGGGGTCCGCTTTCGGCTTCTTGAACAGAGCGAACGGATTTTCCGTCATTCTAAATTGCGGAAAAGATTATACAACTGGATGAAATTGAATGAGTGAGAAAGTATGGTAAAGGCTAATGAAGAGGGGAGTGGAAGAAGAAGAGAATCAGGACATGAAGGATTTGTCATCTTTTGCGTGGAGGAGATAGTTGACGTCCAGCGAGTTAGACCATTGCCACTCGTTTGTAAATGGATTCCATCTCATTCCTTGATCATTTTTTATACAATTTTATCGATTGAGAGTTACCTTTTATATCCTCCACTCTGAATTTAACCTCCCTCAGATCCATGATCAGCTCTTCCACCGTCACAAATTTATCCCAATCATGAGTTCCTCGGGGCAAGAGTCCAGCAAATCGTTCTGCCAGTTCTATCGCTAGAATTCGCGACTGTATCGTTCTGTTGATCGTCGTTAACACCAAGTCGCCGTCTTTTTTCACCAAATTTGAGCAGTAAGCGACGAAGGCCCACGGTTCTTCGACGTGTTCAAGAACTTCTGAGCTTCTGAAAAAACGTAAAATCAATTCAAATCGAGTCTATTTACATTACCAGGTCGAATCTGGATTCAATTTCTTGTAAATCTTCGACGAGAACATCCAAATAAGTCAAGTTTTCAATCCCTTTTCGCTTCCTTCTTTCTTCGGCGACAGAAATGAGCTCTTCGCTAGCGTCAATTGCCGTCACTTCTGCTCCTAATTGAGCAAGACCTTCTGCTAGAATTCCACCGCCGCAGCCGACGTCGAGGATCTTTTTTCCGAAAAGTGGGAGCCCGGGAGGAGGGTTTGAGACGGTTTTGCGCAGAAGATCGCGGACGTAGCCGACTCGCAGCTTGTTCAGACTGTGAAGGGGCGAGTTTTGGCCATTCTAGAGGCGAAATTTAGAGATTCGTATTCTATGACCTTTTCGTCGAAACTGTTACAGGACCCTGACTCAGGTTGAAGAACCCAGATTATTTTATGAAATACTGACCTGATCCCACCAGTCTCGATTCATAGCGCCAAATTTCGCAACTTCGGAATCATTTAGCGTCCCAATTGACCTTGAACTTCTTGTGATCTGACCTCGAGCGACCTCTAGTGACCTGAGAAGTGACCTCGGCCGACGGAACATTTGCTTTTCTCGACTCAATAAAATAAGAATTGAAATAGGAAAAAATGGCTCGTTCGAGAAATGGACGCGTGAGAATTGACCAATCAAGGGACGCGGTAGCGTGACTTGGCCAATTTCATTTGGAGACTTTTAGACGTGGCCTTTAGTCGCTAAAAGGACTGATATTTGGATTTTGATGTCTAAAATATCAACTTCAACCAGAAGTGACTAAATTTAGCAATGATAATATCGATTTCAAAAATTTTGATTTCAGGAGAAATCTGAGGGATCCAGTATCTCGTTTAGCACTGTAACATTGACTGTACGAGCTACGGTATTCAAAAATGGGGTCTGGTATTTCCTTTATTGGCAATTCACTGGTGTAGGTTTCTTTCTATCTGCGTCAATGAAATCATCGAAGATGATTCTATTCAAAAGAAAGAAATGTTAATTTTATCAAAATTTTTACATTTCTTTGATGACTAAAGTGATGTTAGAGCAATGTGCGCTTCGTTTTTTTATGCTTTGCACCCTGGAATAATTTCATTGACGCAGATTGAAAGAAATCATTCTCACCGAATTGCCAAAAGGGAATAACAGGGCCTTTTGGTTTTTCGTTTACCGAAAGGAGTGATTTCCTTGTTACTCGATTTCCATTCTCGTTTCGACATATGCGGTCAATCTTCGGGGTAGGGATCCCGAAGAATAGACGATTAGGGACAATCAGATTTGATAATTATCTACTTTGAAAATAGTTTACTTAAGTTAACTGTTAAAAACTTTCAATAAGAGAGTTGTTAATTGGCTTTCAATCTTTAGGACGAATTCTTATTCGGAAATCCCTCAATTTTGGTCGGAAATATCGGTCACTTATATAAAATACAATGTATTATTCATTAAATTATTATTCATTCATAAATTTATTGAAATTAATAACATCGGATTTCTATTTGTTTGATAGTTTTTCATAGCAGAAAAATCTATTGAAAAATTAAATATGCTGATCTTTTATAATATTCATCTTCAAAGTATTTTTTGACCCCGAAGATTCACCACAAAGTTGATCGGTTATTCTTCGTCTCCGGATTTTCGAGACCCCGAAGATTGGCCGCATTTTTTATCGGTAGCTCTTCGGGATTTTACCCCGAAGATTGAGCGTATTTAAAATCGTCTATTCTTCGGGATCCCTACCCCGAAGATTGACCACGTATGACCTCTCGTTTTCATCTTGATGATCTCACCAAATATATCAGCACACAGAATCAAAGAGGCTTTTCTTGGCTAGACACTGTCTACTAGACAGTCTTATTGGGGGATGTTTAATGACTTCAAATTGACAAATATTGCAGTAATAAATATAACGACTCGTAACTTACGAGGGAGTATATTTGACCAGAAAAAATTCAAATTATGCATTTGGATTGGCAGGAGCTTTCCAGAAGGTCTTCGCTTCAGCAACACACATGATATGATGCTCGGGAAAATCCATGTTTTCTAGAGGAACGATCGCAGTCGAACCGGTAAGCAAGCACCAGTCTCGACGCTTTGCCTCGATCCACTTCACATTCTTTATTCCTAGAAAAATTTTAGGTTTTACATCATTATCAACAAGCTTACCGTTGAGAATAACCTGGACATCATCGGATCCCATGTGCTTCGTAGCAACTCCATTCTTAAACGCCCAGGGGGTATCCTTAGCAACTTGCTTGGTGAGCTCGAACTCAAAATCAGCGTGAGTATACTTCGCAGCGTCGCGGAAGTAAACGTCGCCAAGTCGGTAGACGTCTGTGCTGTCGACAAGATCGATCTGAATCTCGCCGCTTCGGAGCTTTTTCACAAAGTCCATTCCACAAACATTCTTGGTCCAGAAGGCGTCGCCCCCGTAGCCCCCTAAAGCCTTATCCAGGCAGCTAGGCCCTCCGACCCCCCCCCCCTTAGGCCTTATCCCCCAGTAGGTATACTATCCCTAACTAAGAAAAGGCTTGGTATCATACAGTATGATTCATACTAATTCTACTGGTAGTTAAAATACAGAAGAATTGGTCCTGTACCATTCCGTATAAAAATAAATCTACAAAAATATATCTTCCTTCATTTTTAGCGGATAATAATTTTCGAAGCCTTGAGAACTTGCAGCTCAGACAGCGATTTTCTGCTCATACTGTCAGATTAGTCTGAAAAAGAATAGCGAGAAAGTGTAATTGGCAATTGCATCTTTTTTAAATTGTATTTTTGACAGAAAACCATTTGCGTATTGTAGTTGCTGCTTTCTCCTTTTTGGACAAAGAATTTGCCCTTTTTATATTAAAAAACGCGATCAATCAGAAAAAGGCGCCGCCTTTTCAGCTCTCAGCTCGACCACTTCTTTTCTTCCAAAAAACGTCTGTCAGTGCATTATTGAGAATATTCAACCAAAGAAAAATATCTTCTTTTTTTTTCGAAATAAAATGGACAGAGTTGAGAAGGAGCGTTTATTCAAGAGATGCCTGAAGTCAGAATCGTATTGTCCGGAAGGAATCGCCTTTTGCTTCTTTTTGGTTATTGGAACTCTCGGGATTTTGTTGCTTATTACGACGAAAGTTATGGTGAGGCCTTCATATCTGGCAAAAATATTTTTTTTCGAATAATTTTTATCTGATTTTTTTGACGAAAAAATGACTTTTTCTGATATAAAAAAATATTTTTTTTTGAAAATTTTTTTTTTCACGACAAAATGATTTATTTGTCAGAAATATTTTTTTGACAAAAAAATTTTTTTCTTTTTTTTTTGTTAATTATGCTAGAAAATGCGTTCAAAAACGACCGCTTTATTAAAATTCAGATGCGTCTGCAATTTGCGAATGGTTAATTTTTTATGTTAACCGCCTTGTATCACGTGGAAATATCCATTAACCCTATCCTTTAACCCTACTTCAGGAGTATCGAAAGCGGAGAAGATCGCAGTCTGATCTCAAGCAAATGATGCTTATCCCGCTTGCTATAGGAACGCCATCTCTGGCCGGGGTCAAGCTTAGCCTTCTTTAACTCCGTTTTCTTTATTCAGTTTTAGACAGGAGTTACTGTTACTTTCGCTCGCTGTGCCAAGTCTGGAACGATAATGAGTTTGAATCCGCGCGAACTTTAATGAGAAAAAAAGGGATGACAGGGGGTTTAATTACTTTCGGGGTGATAATACGCTTCTTCTTCTTTTGAGGCTGAACTTATGAGACATGAATAAATATTTTAAATTAAAAAATATTCATAAAAAAGGGGCTCAAATCGACAAAAAATGCGACAAAAAAAATCGAATTTTAGGGAAATTTTGACAAAAATTTTGTTCGAAAATTGTCGCATTTTTGTCGATTTCGAGCATCCTTTTCTGAAAAAGGGGAGCATTTAGTTTCCTTATCGTCGATTTATCGTCTTCTCTGGGGAGAAAAAGACGACGCAATCCGATTAGACATATGGAATCGCAGTTCGTAGTCGAGTTACAGTAATATTTCAAAACTAAATGTGCATTTGAACGTGATTTCCCTCCTTTCTTTTTCGTCAAATCTCCCCATTCTTAGCATAAATTGACCCCAAAGATCCGCACAAACGAGCTGACCCCGATTCGAAGAACGCGAGCACAGTCTTCAACGAGCTCAACAAGGCAAAAAGCCTCCGAGACAAGCCGTACCAAGATTCACCAGCGACGGTCAAGACGCTTTCCGTAAAATCGCGAATCAGCTCGGTCCGGAGCTCGATGAGATCGTCCTTCCGCCGCGCTGTTGGCCGAAAATCGAAATTGTCGACACCAAGAGTCGTCAAAAACAAAAATGTTTTAGAGGTTACGCCTGATGCTTCTCCAAATCAACTTTTGTAAATAAAATAAACAATGATCAAACATCCAACAAGCTTTTATTTAAAAAAGCGCTCTAGAATCTAAATTGCGTCAGAAGTTCCGAAAAAGCTTCCAATTGAACCGAGTGGTTTTTCGGGCTTTTTGACTTTTTCTTTTTCGTACCAAAATTTTCTTCCTTGTTGTTGTCTCTAGAAATTGAAAATTAACGATATTCAGTCTAAAATCCTTGCCTTGTAACTTTCTCCTTTGAAAATCTTCGGTTTCCTTGTTGTTTTCTTTTCACTCGCTTTTGCCGATTGTGGAGGTTTTGGAAGTGTCTTGTGGACTTTTTCTAGTCCTTTGAGAGCATCTTCTATCGATCCTTCCATCTCGATCGCTTCTCTCTCGTTTTCGAAGTGGAATTAGAAATATCGTAGTGCAGAAAACGGAAAATCCAAAGAGTCCATTATTTGAACACTTGAGATTAACTCGGGCTTTGTTGATTCGGTAGTTAGGACAAAACTAAGAAGGGGACGTCACGTGCCTGTCAAAACACTGTTTTACAATACTGTACATAGGAAGATGGTCACAAGAAGATTCAACTGCCTTTATGCCAATAAGGGGCTCCCTTCATTATTTTTTTTCCGAAATTGGCAATAACGAGGAAGATGTCCTTAAAATCAACATCCCTTTTTTCTCATGAAGAAAAATGATTGACCGGGCCACCAGCTGCGCCCGCAATAAGAATCAATAAAGACCCGGTTGGATGAGAAAATACTTTTTTAGATTTATTGAGTTTTTTCTTCTTCTAATTCGTCATTGGCATGCCCCGCGGCGCGACCCCTTTTTTCACAATCACCCCTGCGGCGATCACTCTTTTTGCGCCACCACTCTTTTTTATTTTATTTTGTCAGTTTTAGATTTTCAAAAGTGTCAAAAAGGACAAGCTGCAAACGGCAAAAATCAGAAAATTTTTCACTTTTGAAATCAAGGAAGAAAACAGAGCTGAAGAAAAGTGTTGTTGCAACTAAGGAAGAAAGAGTATGGCTAGTATCTTGCTCCAGCTGTGCGGATATGTCGGAAATATCGTCTTTGGAATTGTGATGATTATTGGTAAGAAACTACTGTTCTTGTAACTGACCCTCGAGGCAGTAAAACAGACGTTTTGAGAATTTTCGGCCCTTCTTCAGAAGTTTTTTCGCGTATTTTGAATTCACTAGAAGACTTTTCTCGGACTAAACCAATTTTTGGAAGTGAATTTTTGGATAACCAATAAGATTGCTGTATTTGGCCTACCGGCCAATCAAAACCCTTTCCATAAAAATCTGTTCCAAAAATTGGTTCGACCACTTTTCTCGAAGATATTCAGGAGGAAATCTGGCGTCAAGGGTTTGTATAATACAGGAGAGTTTCTCCTTGCGATGATTTCGTCAAAAATCGCCTTCTAGGACGAACCGGAGGAGAATATCTTTCGTACAGTCAGACAGTCAGACAAAATCACCGACATTTCTCCCAAAAAAACTCCTTAGTTTCCGTTAGATTCTCGCTGATTTTAAATTTCAACGCTCTTTTTTATCACGCCCTGTTTTCATCCTTATCAACCTCTAACAGTTCTTCTCCTTTCAGCGATAATGCTGCCCTACTGGCGAGTACAGGACGTGCAGTTTCAAGTGGACGAGTCGCAGTGGAAAAGTACGGGACTCTTCCGGCAATGCACATGGATCAATACAGGACACTACGATTGCTACAGAATCAGGAATTTTCTGTTCTCAGAAGATCGGAAAATTGACTTGGCGGTTTGTTTCATGGCTATGATCAGGTAAAGCTAATGGTCGATTGAATGGAAAACCTGTGTAGAAACCTCAGTCAGGGTCCTCAGAAAGCTGTGCTGGACCCTGACTCAGGTTTTTACGCAGGCTGCTGAGAAAAGAGCGACTCTGATTTTCAGTTTAAAAAATTGAAAATTTAGTCTCATAATTTGGTTCTTAAATTTGATCTGCACGATTCCCGCGCTTTCCTGCACAATCTTCCTTGTCCAATACCGCCAGTACTCGAAAGAAAACTTCGTCTGCTGGTCTTCGATTGTCTTTGCCCTGTGCGCGTTTTTGAACATCGCTGCGGCCTCGCTTCACGCTGCTGTGACCGTTGCCGAGTATGAAAAATCAGCTGGATACCAATTTAGATTCAGATGGGGCTGTAGCATCTATTTGGCCTGGCTCAGCGGGTTGGGGATGCTGCTCTTCTCGGTGTTGCAGTTTACTGCTTCGCATAAAAGCAAGTTCGACCAAGAAGGTAATTTAATACAGCCAGAGTATTTTGCAACCCGATTTTTAGAGCGAGGATCGACTTTGATCGTCCACTCCGCCTCGACGAAGCACAAATTTGGCACCGAAAACAAATCGTTTCCTGCTACTCCTCCTTCTGGATTCATTTAAAAATCTCTTTTTCGACAAATTTGCCTTTTTCTGATTATAAAATGAAATTTCGTCATCCTTTGCAGTTTACTTGAAAAAAATTGTTGTTCATGGAAAAAATTTATAAGATACTCAAAATGGAACAAATAAAGACTTGTTCAAAAATACCTTTATCCTGATCATAATATCCGTATTATCAGTCATATTAACAACTTCCTCTTTTCTCACAGCCCGATGCGCATCGTTTCGAAAAGCTCATTTTTTAAATATGAGAATCAAAGAATGAAGAGCAAATTATGAAAATTTCTTTTTAATTTTGAGGGCAACATTCCGCCGATCAATTCAATTTGGAAGAATCTTCCAAATCTTAGATAAACAAATACGATTCTTTAATATTATTTCTGTCACTGCTGAGAGACACTCTTCTTTTTTTTTAAAAATGAAGTCAAAAGGCATATTATTTAGAACATGGGCTTTGTCATAATATATGACTGTGTAATCTAATAAATCCTAATATTGTATTTTCGTTCAAATATTATCTTTAAAATGAATTCTAGAGGTAAGTTGTTTATTAGATGTGCTCGGTCCTGAAAAATATTCGATTCGCTTTCTGAATAAAAATTGCCCGTCTCAAGAGAATTATGATTATTGATTTATTTCTGATTACAAAAATGCAAATAAAACGACATTATAATAATATAGACTATATTATATAGTAACTGAGGTATTGATCATTATTCGTTGCGCCGAAAGCAGTGCTAAAGCCACATATTATCCGACTCTCAGCACCGTTCAAAAAATCGACTTTGATTGTCCATTTGGCCTCGACGAAGCATAAAATTCCACTAGCGCAAAAAATATGAGATAATCTTCTCACAAACACCGTGGTCTTTCTTCTTCATAATTATTTTTACGACTTCTTCTTTTTCCAGTTCAATGATCGTTGGTCTTCGATGCTCCCTGCCAATTTAGGAGGCTCTAAAATTGAAAGTTGAAAGTCTTAAATTTCCGAGACACCGCAAGACCACCAGAAAATGACAAAATGAAGACAGGAGGATAGACCATCATTGTTAGAGCAGACAGGATGACAACAGAATCGCGTTTAAATGCGAACACTTTTTTCGAGATTGCATATCTCGATTTTTGATACATTTGACATTCTGAGTAAAAAATGTGAATAAAATGACAATAAAACAAAAATCTATTGATTAATTTTCATCAAAAAGAGCATTTTCAAGGTCGAAGCAACTAATTTGAACTCGACAGGCATGTGAATGCCGGCCGGTCCACCCAAAGCCAAGCAAGCAAGCTTATCGGCATGGTCAATATTTCCATGTATCTTTCGAACTTCAAGGTGGCGCAAGACTTTCCTTATTTATATAAAGCAAATTTTTGTTTCAGAAAATTTCACTTTCAAATTTTTAAATTTTGAAATGAAGATTTTCCCACTTCTCTTGTCCGTTTTTCAAGTCGAATCCTATGTCGTCCCCGGATACTCCGGTCCTCCTCAGGATCTGAACTACTTCACCCAGCAGATTATCGACGGGCAGTTGAATCTCTGCCGCGGTCGGAACGTCGACAACGTCAGCTGTGGCAAGATCCTTCATGATAAAATCATGACGATGAACGACCTGCGACGAGAGTTCAGCTGCATGGTTACCCGTGGCTACTACGGATGGCCAAAAGGGAGGGGACACTTTCACTCTACTTCCGGTCCCAATGGCGGAAGCAACAACTACTACGCCGTCTGCAGCGAACGAGGAGGCACAGCCGTCAACAAATGGAGCTTTGAAAACTCGGTATTGAAAATTTCTCACTCATAAGAGGACGAAAACGTATTCTAGTGCGAATCCTGCGCGAACAGCTGCAACGGCGGAATCAACGCCGAAACCTGCGTGAGAGATTGCATGGCACTCAGAGAAGCACAGTTCTGTCAACAAGGCTATGCCAGTCTCATTACTTCGAAGGGTGCTGTTGGTGGGTGGACATATGGCGGTCGCTTCTATCAGTCTCGATCTGGAATGTGGTGTGGCGGAGTCTGCACAAATTATCTCCATTGATCTCCCTTTCATTCTTTCTTTCTGAATCAGGAAATAAAATTTTGATTCTCTCCAATTCCCTCATTATCATATTATTTACGACCGTTTCTTCTTTTCATAGCTTAGTGAGCATCGCTCGCAATTGCCCCCTCCCAATTCGGCAGTCCAAAGTCGCAAAAAAAAAAGTTGAAAGTCTTAAAATTTCGGAGACAAAATGAAGACGCGAGGATAAACGATCATCGTTAGAGAAGGCAAGATGAAAATGATGATATGAAGACATTTGTGAATGACATTTGTCAAATGAAGACATTTCAAAATGTCGAAAACACAAAAATAGATGTCGATATTTGATTAATTCTGAATACAAAAATGAAAATAAAAGGACATTGAAAAAAAAAACAGTTATTGATCATTGTTCATCGCGCCGAAAGCGGTGGTAAAGTCGCGTGTTACTCGTCTCACGACATCCGTCAATTTCTCGTTGATCTTTTCAGAGCAGTTTTTGAAGAAAATGTTCTGGACCCTTTCCATTTGGGATTGATAAGTGAACACTTTCAGCATCGCATTATCTAAAACAGAATGTCTTTTCCGATTCAATTAAGGGCGTACCTGGCAAAAACCGTTCCATATCTTCATCCATCATTTCCAGCTCGCTACGATCGAGTTCCGAATTCTGCGGATCGCAGCCGTTTTTCTTGCCCTTGATCCACCACGAAAACTGAAAACGTAATTTTACGAGTAAGACAAGCTTTTTACGGAAAAGAATTTTTGTTAAAACGCGCCCTTTTCCGGACAATTTTACATTTTCTACAAATCCGGGTCTCCAATTTTTAGCTCAATTCAATTTGAAATTCGTCAATTCTAGCGTTTTTCTAGCTGGGCTCGGGAACCTGTGAAGAAAATCTGAGTCAGGGACCCTGTCACAGGGTTTTTAACACATAAAACGAAAAGCCGCGTAGCGGCTTTTTGAAAAACTAAGCCGCGAAGCTGCTTTCCTAAAATATTTGAATTAATAAATCGATAAATTTAGGAAAGCCGCTGCGCAGCTTTGTTTTAAAAAAAGGCGAAGAACAATTTTTTCAAGAAAACATGAAAAAACGTTTTTACCTAGAAAAAGCTGGTTATCCAAGATTATAAAGTAAAAAATTCTCGTTTTACAGAACTTCACACTTTACGGAACGATTTCGTGAATATCTTCATAATTCATTTCATTAATTTCAAATTTGAAGAAAAACCGTAAAACTGACTCACTTTCAATTTAAACACAAAGCTGTCAATAGCAAGCCCCTATCGGATAACAGAGAGAATAGACACAGGCGTGTCTAACGCAGCTATCAGTAAACTGTCGGAAACGGAACTGTTTAAAAAAGGGCAACGTGGGGTCTTTTTTATCGGGTACTTACAAATCGGCGGGTTCGGTTGACAGCTCTTTCAAGTCTGTATTTCTTCTTGTAATCATCGGCATATCGTTCGATCCAGCCTTCGTATCGGGAAACGATTCGGTTGATTCGGTCAAGACCAACGTATTCTACATCAAAAAGTTTCAGTATCACGGGAAGCCTGGGCTCGAGAACCTGCGGAGAAAACCTGAGTCATGGTCTGAAAGATCTTAAATGAAAGCCGCGTAGCGGCTTTTTAAATAATAAAGCCGCGAAGCGGCTCTACATGAAAACCTTTCATATCTATTCTGAAAGCTTGGCAAAGCCGCTTCGCGGCATTGTTTCTTAAAAAAAGCGGCTACGCGGCTTTCATCATAGCTTTTTTTGACCCTGAGTCAGTTTTTCTACGCAGGTTGCCGAGCTTAGATCGCCATCATCGGAAAAAAATCAAGTTAGGAATGGCCTAATTACCCACATTAACCTCCTTACTAGAATTAGGCATTTTTAACTTTCCGTTGAACTAAAATATCGCCCAAAGTACGTTTTATCCGATAATTATGGGTGTCACTGTTTTAAAACCTAAAACAATCTCTCTTTGCAAATCTGATTTACAATGTACACGTTATTAAAGTAGCATAGGCTAAGCATAGCGATAATTTTACCTTCTTGTGAGGCCGAAAAATTGGCAAGAACAAAAATAATTTTCAAAAACTTCATTTTCAGATTTTTTGAATGGATGAAAAATCTAGCCGAAGCGCTTTATACGAAGCTGGAAACCGCTGCTCATTGAGTTTCTATCCGCTGATGACGGCATTGATCAATTGCGTTAATTACGATACACTTTGGATATCCGAACTTTTGCTAGAATTTTTGACTCATCAAACTCATTTGCATGATTTTTGATAGATTTAGGTTAGAAAACGAGAGTGCTTAGAAGCTCGGTTTACCAGTCTGCCTAAAGAACTGGCGAAACATAAAGAACATTTAATTACTGACTCGTGTTTTTGCGGAGACAAGTAAAGTCCTCATTTTATTCTCAAAAAAATTGATTAATTTAATGCTGCAGAGATTTTTTCGTTACTTTCTGTGATCGCCGCCGCTCCTTCTTCGGAGAATGCGGTCGTTTCTCACTCTAGAACTGCCAGGGCCACTGAGGAAATGATCGAAACTGAGATGGAAGATGCTCTTCATTTATGCATTCGAAAAAATTTGAGTCGCAACGAGTGTGCAACAAAGGTCGGTAAAGAACTCGACACGATCGATCCAGATAATCACGATTGTTTTGTCTACGACACAAACGGCTCCGGAAGAGCACACTACCATGCAAAGGTTGGAAGTCTCTATGCTTCCTGCAGCAGAAGATCAACCGTGTCCGTTGACAAAACAGCTTTTGGGGAATGGGTAAAATTTATCCGTAAAGAAGCATTTTTGATCAAAAAATTTTAAGTGTGGTTATTGTACGGAATATTGCGATACCAACCATTGCATTCAAAACTGTTTGCATCGAGCAAGAAAGCTCATTTGCGAAAATGACAGTGGAACCTTCGTGGCATCTTCTAGTTTTATTGGAGGCTGGACTTCAGGAGGTGCATACGCATCAAAATCGGCGACTAATTGCGCCGCTACTTGTAATAGTTAGATCGAGAGAAAACGATTGAAGACCGAATTCCTGACTTTATTTTATTTCTTGCTCTTTTCAGTTTATAGAAATAAACTTTCGCTTGTCCGATTGTATGACTTTTTAAATCGGCGATTTTGGATTGATGCCCTTAAGGGGGTAGAACTAGATTTTTTCGAAAATAAGTTATTTTCGAGAGCCATTTTATATAAAAAAGACCTGTTTTTACTTATGATAAGAAAATTTCCTCATAGATGTTGCTGAAAAAAAGGGTTGAACTATCTTAAAATAAAATTTAAGAAATTTGACAAGTCACGTGACTCGAGAAATTTGAGGACGCGAATGAGCTAAAATCGCAATTTTTGAAGAGATGGGTTGACTTTTCGCTCTCTTCCGCAAAAATCTATCGAAAAAATTTTTAAAAGAGAAATATTGTTAGATCTACGTTTGCTCTTTCTTCAGCCGAAGAGAGAATTTGTTTATCTAAGCTCGCGCGGCTTTGAGCGCCGGTCTAGAATTGGCTTTTTTCAAAAAACCTAGTTCTACCCCCTTAAAGTGAGCGTAATATCTTTTTTTTCTTAAAAAAAAGAGCAATCAAAGTTTCCTTTGAAATTACAGTATATCGCGGGATTAACACGAAGGACGTGGTCCTACAATAATGAAGAGTTCGGAGTAGTCAGAGAAGAAAAGCAAGTGGGACATGAAGATTTTTCCAACGCTTTCGATCATTTCTGCTGCTTTTGCATCCGACAACTCAACCGTTTCGAATTCAAGAAGCGCCAGAGCCAGTAAGGCAGAAATAGTTGCTGAAATGGAAGATGTCCTGTATTTATGCGATCGTAGAAATTTTGATAAAGATGATTGTGCAAGAAAAGGAGTAGAAGAGCTCTTGCAGATTGCAGGGGATTATGACTGCTTCGTTTATACATATCCAGCATCTTCATGGGGACAATATCATGCGAAAATAGGAGATTCCGGAATGACCTGCAGTAAAAGCTCACAACGAGAAGTTGACGATGGAGCATTTGAAGAATGGGTAAATTCTGCGTTTTCTTCATTGCCTAGTATACAAATGTTAAAATTCTGTTTTTCGAGGCAGCTCCCGTTTTGCCAAAAATCACGGCTCGCCCACATCCTGTTTCGCCCAAAATCCTTGATCGCCCAAAATGGCAGAACAAACTTGCGCGGGTTAGTAAGGGTAACCCTTAGTAACCCCCCCCCTTCCTTAACCTTAGCCGGCCAGGAGGCACCATCTATGGAATAGGGGTCAAAGAATTACGTCTCCCACTGAAGTGATTTTGAGTTTCGAAAAACGGAAGAAACTGTAGGGCTATTATCGATAAGCTACCCTTAGGTTACCTTCCGACTATTTTTGGTTAGGGTTAGGGTTCGGAAAAAGGCTTAATTTGAGAATAACTACATGCACCATGTATGGTGCATTGCTACAATGGCGCCGACACCACTGATGGTGCTTTTGGCCGGTAGGCAGTATTCGTCGAATACCGAGTATTTCAGACTCAAAACCCGAGAAGCGCCGTCACTAAAGCATCCCCATATTCTGATTGGCTAACAGCTAATTTGATTTTCAAAGGTTTCCACATATGGAAACCTTTGATTTTCTCGGGGCAAACGCTTGAAATACTCGGTAGTCTCCCTCTTCGAATTGGAAGATTTGATCTGATGCTGAAACCTAAACCTTAATCCGCACCCAAACCCAAACCCAAACTAAAACCCAAACCCGAACACTAACGAAGAACCAAAAAACAAACCCAAAGACGTACGTAATAGACTTTGAGTTGAATTTTTCAAGAATAATAGCAGGTGATGCACCACTCATGGTGCATTTGGCCGGTAAGGTCAGAAATGACATTTTGGCCGGCTAAGGTTAAAGGTGTCAACAACGATCGAATAAGGGTCTCTCTTATGATTCCAAAAATAGGGCTGAAAACACAATTATTAGGTCAAGAAAAAAAAGTAAGCAAAATTTTCATGAAAGACTTTGAAATGTGAAAGAAATTACGTTTGTTCGCGGGATTATCACGAAGGGCGTGGTCCTTCCAGAATAAAGAGCAAAAAGAGAGTAGTCAGAGAAGATTAGTCAACTGGGACATGAAGATTTTTCCAGCGCTTTCGATAATTACTGCTGCTTTTGCATCGGACAACTCAACCGTTTCGGATTCAAGTAGTTCCAGTGCCAGTGATGAAGAAATAGTAGCTGAGATGGAAGATGTCCTGTATTTATGCGATCGGAGAAATTTGGGTCTTTATGATTGTGCAAAAAAGGGATATGAAGAGCTCTTGCAGATCGCAGGAGATTATGACTGTTTCGTTTATACAAGTCCGGCATCTTCATGGGGACAATATCATGCAAACATAGGAGATTCCTGGATGACCTGCAGTGTCGGCTCAGAAAGTCAAAAAGTTGACAAATCAGCATTTGAAGAATGGGTAAATTCTACTTGGTTTTCTCATTTCTTTGAAAATATTTAAGTGTGATTTTTGCTCGGAATACTGTGATGACAATAAATGCGCTAGAAAATGTCTTGTAATGACTAAAAAGCTCTTCTGCGGGGATAATCATGCAACTGTGATTGTTTCATCCTATGATATTGGTGGCTACACTTATGGAGGTGCAGTACACACAAGCAAGTTTTCCACAAATTGTGCTGCTTTCTGCCAAAATTAGGCCAATTATGTTATTGTTGTATATTTGTCAATATCAGACTCGAAAATAATATTTCACGACTTCATTTTGAGTGATTCGCCGACAAAGATAATTGACGGAGTCGGCGCCGTGCAAGTTCTCATGCGACCATCGCATGTCAGAAAGGGAGCGCACTGTCAGTCGAAATCGTGCTATATTATAAAAACTATATATTCTTTTATTTCTGCATAAAATTTCCCGAAATGATTTAACAATGAATAAACAATGACTTGAATACAAATGTAAGAATTCTGTCGATCTGGCGCACTGATAAGAGGAGTTTGAAACTTTCGGGCCCCATGAAAAATTTTGAAATCGCAAATAAAATAACGGTAGATCGCGAGATTATCGCAAAGGGCGTTGTCTTGCATAAATAAAGAGCAAAAAAGACCGCAACTGCAATGATTACTTAGTCAGAGAAGAATAGATGACTGGGAGATGAAGATTTTTTCATCACTTTCCGTCATTGCTGCTGCTTTTGCATCCGACGACTCAACCGTTTCGCATTCAAGAAGCGCAAGAGCTAGGTTCAACAAAATCGCCCGAAACCAAGATCGGGTATTATCGGGTTTTTTAGGAGGTCGGAAAAATCGGATCGGGTTTTGTTGGATTTTATCGGGTTTTTGTCGGGTCGGAAATCGGGTTTTTATCGGATTTTTGTCGGATTTTTGTCGGGTTTCCTACAAGCAAAAATTAAAAAAATCAAGTCAAAAGAAGGCCAAAAACTCATCTTGAGCGGATTTTTTCAACAATTTTCGAGGATCATTTATAATAATATTTAGATTTTTGTACATTTTCCCATTGTGCATCTCCTAATACGATAAAAACGCCTGGTCGAATACGGTAGAATAGAGAATAAATAATCCCACCCCTGTTTATATGTTTAGAAAGCTTAGACCTTGCTGAGTTGCAGTTTAGGGGGTTAGGCATTGCCGAGGTCACATGACCTCAAATAACCCATGGGGTTGAAAACAGGGCCGACTATTTTCCCGGGCGCCGAATTTCGCCCGATTGCCCGATTTTGCCCGCCCGCCCGATTTTTTGCCCGACTTGCCCGGTCCCAACGTTCCACCCTGGTTGAAAATAGTGGGAGTACTAAAGCCTTCAAGCTCAGGCCTTTTCTGAAATTCTGCCCTCGAAATAGATCGCTGATTTCCAGGGACCTCGCCGAATTTCATTCTCTCAATTGCCAGAAGATAATCTTTGGTAAGATTAATGTGAATGTCCTCTAGAGCTCGTTTCCCCGGTTATGGAGGCAGTTCTCATCTATTTTGAGTGCATTTTGAGTAAAAAAGGGCTATTTAGACCGACTGTGATTGACTGAAAAAGCAAGAAAAACCCGACGAAATTCCGACAAAATTCGACAAAAACTCGATCCTACGTCGGGTTTCGAAATTTTCAGAATCGGGTTTTGTAGGGTGAAAAAACCCGACAAAACCCGATAAATATCCGATGCGATATCGGGTTTTCCGGCCATCGGATTCCGATTTGTTGAACCTAGCGCAAGAGTTAGTAAGGCAGAAAAAGTGGCGGAAATGGAAGATGTCCTGTATTTATGCGATCGTAGAAATTTGGATGAAAATGATTGTGCACAAAAAGGAGTAGAAGAGCTCTTGCAGATTGCAGGAGATTATGACTGCTTCGTTTATACAAATCCAGCATCTTCATGGGGACAACTTCATGCAAAGATAGGTGATTCCTGGATGACCTGCAGTAAAGGCTCAGATAGAGAGGTTGACGAATCAGTATTCGAAGAATGGGTAAATTCTCTTTGTAATATATTTGTGAACATTTTAGTGTGATTTTTGCTCAAAATACTGTGATGACATTCGGTGCGCTCGAGAATGTTTAATGAGAACTGGAAAGCTCTTCTGCGGAGAAAATCCTGCAGCTCTGATTGTATCATCAAATTATATTGGTGGCTGGACGTACGGAGGTGCTTACCACACGAGCAAATTTTCCAAAACTTGTGCCGCTTTTTGCCATTAGGCCAATTTTAGAATAAACTTATTGTTTTGCTGTTTGTCGAAATTAGGTCGGCTATTTCAATAATTATGAAAATTTACTATTTTGAATAAATGATGACATGTATCAAGCGTTATTTTGATTTCTTGGATATTCATACTTCTTGAAGTTTAGAATCTCTCTTATTTTAGAATTCACAAAAAACGAGCTCGAAAATATGACTCTTTTTATTTTTCGACTCGTGTTTTAAAGCGAGGCGGATTTCCGAGCATTACTTTCCCGCTCATGAAAATGTTACTTGAACCCCTTTTCGATCCGTTTTAATCCTCGTTGTGACCGCAAATTTCAGTTTTTCGCAAAATCGGAATAATAGAAGGCGCCACGAGCGAAATTTATTGTAATGCTGGATTTGGAGATGATCAAGTTCCTTTGTTAATATTTTCAGAATAAACATGGCTTCTTTTTGAGGAATGCTACAGTTGGTAATTACTTGAAGTTTTGTTGTTTCGACCCCTTCTCTTATGCATAAATGAGTGGTGACAAAGTACTTATTTTTTAAACGTTTTAAGCTTTCCTTTATCAAAATAAAAACGATGCTTGAATAAATAAGAGAAAAATTTGTGAAGGTAATATTTCATTTATTAAAACAGTAACTATAGCCAGTTATGATTTTGAAAGAAAAAGTAAGTTATTAATAATAATTTTTGAGTCAAATAATGAGCGCGCACATAGAGCTTCAGTTTCATTACAAAAAAAAAAATTTGTCGTTAAAATCGAACAAGGAATTCCAGATATTGTTTCATTTCAGAGGCATTTTTAAAATATAAATCTTTGTCTGAAGGTTTTTTTATAGGTATTTTTATAGGTACTTCAGAATTAAAATTTCAGACACTGATGTACTTAGAGAAATAAAAATAAAAACTGTTTCATTTGAAAAACTGATTGTTTCTATTTTCCCTTCTGGTTATATACGAATTGTTACGCTCTGATACCTCATTTGATAACTATCGACTCCAGTGTGTACTATCTGCTCATCAGATTGCCTCTTATCATTTTGGCCATCATCTTCTTCTTCTTGTTGAAAATATTCGTTGCGCACTTGGACAATGGTATTCTACGAAAGATTTTTGTATGCAGAAGCAAGTGGCTGATCTTGAGTTCTGGATCGCGACATAAATTTATGGTCGCGCCTTTTTGAAAGTGCCAAGGGTTGAAAGCCGCAGCGAGCGGGATCTAACGTCACAAAAGAAGATAACTTGGTTTTTTTCCAAGGAGAAATTTCGGAAAGAATTTCAAGTAGAATCAATTATTCGCGATTTTTTTTTAATTTCTTGTAAAAAAAGCAAAAAAAAATTCTATTGTCTGATTGGCCTATGTGTAGAATACGGACATCTAATTGGTCAAAAAATTGACCAAAGTTTTGGTCGAGATTTGGGGCTGTGTCAAGAACTGACAAAAAATTTTGACAAATTTTGCGTGAAAATTTTCATCCAATCAAAATCCTGGATTCGGTTAACGGGCCAATCAGGAGCCAAGTAGCCGCCCACGCAAAATTTGTCAAAATTTTTTGTCGGTTCCTGACGCCACCCCAAAATTTCCTCATTTTCAACCTCCCCTTTTGCTTAGAGTCAAGTTAAGTTATGATTTTGATCCCTCAAATCCGATCGATCATTTTTTCTAGAGCTCTCGCCTCCTTCCGGCCTCCGAATTCGTGAAACTCTTTGACCACCAACTTCCTGTCCAGAAACGAAAGTCGCCAATTGAACAAACATTTTTTTCTTGACAGCTCAATTTTCTTGATAAATTGAAGAGATTCGCTCTTACGTCGGCAAAATATCGGATGAGAAATTCTGAACGCTTCTTAGAGCGACAATAAATGCAGCAGGGGACCGTGTTCGGGCATGAGAAAATTAATCTTCGAAAACGAAAGATTTTCATAAAACAAAGTTGAACCAAGTGCAGGAACGTGGTTAATTCTAGAGCACCTGTAACACTGTTTTTTGGAGCTGTAACGGTTTCGTTCTTGAATGACGGCTTGAAGGAGTATTGTTAGAATTGATTTGATCTAATCTACAGTAGACCAACAGATGTACAGGTCGATAACTATCAGTTTTGGGGAGCAAAAGAGCAATTCTTGAATGGTATATATATTTGGCAAAAAACGCTCATTAGGTATAAACTCCTAAATGAAACCTTTGTTTTTATTCCTGTCCAACTTGTCACCTCTCTTGAAAAATCATCTTTTTTAAAATTAAAGATTATAATTAAATGAAACATAAGTATAAGTAGACCTTCAACCCTCCACAGGCATTTTACAACTGATGAATTAGAAAATCTTCTGCATCACTTGCTTACTGTTGGCCGAGCTGTGCTTGAAATAAAATGTTCGCTAATGAATCAAATAGGTTTCTATAGTTTAAATGATTAACGACGGAAGTATGCAATAAGAATAGGTACAGGATCAATTTTTCTATAATAAAGTCAGAATTGGTTTGAATAATTCGGTATTACCTAACCCTAACCCTATTTGTAACGTATTGTACCCCCTAACCCTAAGTCCCTAACCTGAACCCTAAAGCCTAACTCAGGGTCTACGCCGGGTCCCCTTATCCCCAGTAGGTACTTCTTACTTTACGAAAACGTATGAGCACCGTGTTTTATACCCTAACTCAGGCTTTCTGCACAGATTTTCACTCAGGGTTTCGCATAAATAAACAAGAACGACCCATCCTTTTCCTCAAATTTTCCATCCAAAGAAAGCGATTCTTCTATGTTATCTAAATGAAAGGATTATGAACGGGTGCTAATTAATATTTTGACAGAAATGTGACGCAGGATATTATCTGTTTTTTCGATCAAGAAACGTGGCTTCTTTCCCGATCCGTAACGTTCATTTATCCGGCTCAATTTTGACTGTATTAATTGAGTTCTGGCCGTTTCTTTAGCTCGTCAGATGCAGCGTTTTTGCATCAACTGCCCTCTTAATTGGCCTCTAATCAGCATAACAAATATTTTTACTATTATTTCGCAAAAATAGCGAGCGCGAAATTTTCAAAATAGTTCAACAGTTAAACGCCAATTTTGTCGCAATTACTGGAATGTGCGAACATTCACACCACATTCTCCAAAACCAACCAAATAGACTTTTCGGAGAAAAAGTCTTTCTAAAAAACCTCCAGCAATTTATTTAAAATATTACTCACGTGGTTTCCACGTTATGAATTAACAGGTTCAGCTACTGGTAAAAGCTGAGTCAGGGTTTGTCTCGGAAACCTGTGCAGAAAACCTGAGTCAGGAATTATTTTTCGCTTTTTTTAATTTTCTATAAGCTTTCAGGAAGTGGATTGTTCTTATTGGTATGAATACCCTGTAAAATCTGATAAGGATCAAATAGGTTAAGGTCGATAGGCACATTTTTTGCAGCTGTTTGTTACAGAAGGCCTTTTACTACTTTGAGAGCATAAAAACAGAGAAGACTCAATGAAAATTTCAGTCTGAAATGATTCTTATATAGAAGTTTCGTATATTCGAAATGGAATTTAAAGAGAAAATGATTTGAATTGCATTAGCAATTTTGATGCTAAAATGAACCAATTTGTTCACTGAGTCCATATGTAAGACCTGCGCCTTTTTTATTTTGTATTGTATACCTAAATTTATTCGCTTTATAAAATGTTCTTCTTTTTCAAGTGTTATTTGAGTCTGTGAGTCTGTAATAAAATCTGAAATACCCTGAAAAAAGTTCCTTGAAAAATTGTCGCCAATTGATATTTCTAAGTATCGCTAGCTTGTCAACTCTTACCCACGAGAGGAGCATTTTACGTAACTCGGCGTTGGTGACGATCCAGATATTACCGTAAATAACAAGTGAACAGATCCTAAGCTCGATGTAAGCCAAGTGTCAGTCTGACGGTTTTGATCAAGTACTTGTTCGCGAAAAAACAATAATCTTCGAGAGGCCAAAATGCGTGGCCCAGGGCTGGATATTTTGAAATCAACAAAAATCTCAAACCCCGAAAAACATGAATCATCATCTCATCCATTTCAAAAATGCAATCTCAGAAAATTTTCTGTCTGAGATCTCAATTTTCGATTTTGCAATATTATGATATTTGAAATGCTGAGATGATTTCAAAAAACTTTTTGTGGGGCCGGAAATCGTAAAAATCTGCAAGTGCAGTTTTCTTCAGCTTGTCGAGACGAGTTGAATGATGGGTCTAACTCCTGATAACTCTTAGGATTTTACGGTTTACCGGCTGGTTACCGGAAAATACGTTGTCAGCGGCCGTTTTTGTTCTAGAAGTGGTAAACAGATGATCGACCCCGGAACTTGTTTCTTATACTCAGTTCTACTGCAGGCTAAAAGATGAGAGTCGTATCAATAGTCTGAAGAGAGTTATCACTAAAATACTATTTTTGGCGGAAATGGGACTAGAAATCAGGAACGTGCAGCAACTACGAAATATATGTAAAATTTACTATTTTTAATGATAACTCTCTTCAGACTATTGATACGACTCTCATCTTTTAGCCTGCAGTAGAACTGAGTATAAGAAACAAGTTCCGGGGTCGATCATCTGTTTACCACTTCTAGAACAAAAACGGCCGCTGACAACGTATTTTCCGGTAACCAGCCGGTAAACCGGTAAATCCTTAGAATTATCAGGAGTTAGACCCATCATTCAACTCGTCTCGACGAGCTGAAGAAAACTGCACTTGCAGATTTTTTACGATTTCCGGCCCCACAAAAGTTTTTTCAAATCATCTGAGATCTCAATTATCTCAAAAAGGCGCGAGTTGGATACGCGCGTTGCAATGAAATGAAATTTGAAATTCTGAGATCTCAAGCATTTCAGGTCCATCTGAACCAATCACAAGTCTTGCTCTAAGCCCGCGACGTTTGTCCGCGGCCCTTGCGCTGTTTGCAAAATTTTGAGATTTGAGATCTCGAGATCTCAGCAATCTCAAGAATGGAAAAATTATGACGAGGGAGTTGCAATAATATTGAAATTTGAGATTTGTTGAGATGGTGCAAAATTTTGCGATAGAAATGAGATTTCACACAAAAATTGATTTGAAATTTTTGCTGATTTCAAAATATCCAGCCCTGGCGTGGCCTTTTTCATTTATTTTTTATAAAAAATCTGAACTTGCGAAAAGGAAAAACCGCAGGTGGGAACTGAAGATTCTTCAAGCTGTCGGGCTTTTTAAAAAGCCTCAGTGACGTTTTCGTCCATAATGCGTGCCCCACCCTTAATTCAAGTTCAAACTTCTTGTTCTCGCGAAAATTGGGTTAACAAAAAGACATTTTTTCTTTGGATTAGGGTTAGAGGTAGGGTTAGGGCTCGGTTTTCAAGTGTCCCCTTATTTTTAGGGGTTAGGGTTACGGTAAGGGTTAGCCTTAACCGGTTAGGGTTAGAGCTAGGGTTAGGGTTTGTCGCAAATTTTTTCATTTTTTGACTTTCTTTTCAGAAATTCTTCTTTAGAAATAAACTTTTATAAATACCAAAAAAGAAAATATAAATTATAATTTTCCCAAAATTGATGCTTACAGTGATCTTGTCATCGGACCTTATGTAAGATAGAAGATACCACTGTGTCAACATACAGTACACACTGTTCAATAGAAGGCAGTTAGAGATTCTTGTGGTATTACAGTAGGATCTCATTAGGGTTAGGGTTTTCCTTTTCCAGCTCTAGAATCATCAGAAGCTTCCGAAAGATATTGTCTTAGGGATTTCCTCCTGGCTTTGAGGGAGCTCTGTAATTATTCACGTGTCTTGTACCTTCTCCGTTTTTCTCACAATATCTAAACAGAAATCACATAATATACCAGGTAGCTGATTGTCAGTCTAAAAGAGCATCTTTCCCGCTTCCCGTGTTATTGGAAGAGACATGCTTGTGCATAATAAAATCGGCTCAGGAGATGACATGCGCTTTGAAAATATTTGAATCAAGTTAAGTCAAGTTGACCGTTTCCGGTGACTCAAGATAAGCTCGTTTTCGCCGACTTTACAAATATTAACATTCCCGACCATTTTTTCTTTGACAAATCAGTTTTCGTTCGGAAGATGTTTTTGCAGATGCAGGGTTGAAAAAGGTGTATCAAAGTATTGAAAACGTGTAATTATTGCGGCGGGAGGGAAGAATTTCTTTGAGAAAAAGGGTATAATTTGGATGTCTTGAAGCTTTTTTAAATAAATTTGATAATAGAATTGATCTTCTTTTCAAAAATCATCTTATTCGAGTTAAAACTCTTCTTTTTCAGAAAATTTAATTTACATTGAGCAAAAATCCTGAAATTGCTCGAATTAGCCAATCAGATTTTCGCATTCGGCTGGTTGACCAATCGTTTTTCAGAAAATCCTCATTTTATTTTCTTTTTTATTTCAAGCTCAAATGAAGCTGCTTAACTCCCAGCGATCATTTCTTATAGAATATGAGTCATACTTAAAAGAATCTTATGGTTCGTAAAAACAGTCTTCATATTCAACGATAAGAGTTTTTCGTCCATATATTTATTTCCCCTTTTCTTTGTGACGAGGTAGTTTGTCAAACAACCCTTCGCAATCAACAAAGGAAACGTTTTCTCTTTTCGACACGAAATCATGAATTCTCCTCGTCGCGCGCACGTGCTCTCTTGCGCCGCGCAATTCCCGTGCGCGCGTATAAAAGCGCGTAAAACGTAACGCAAAAATCGTAACTTTCAGCAATCTTTATTGAAAAACTACGTTTTCGACTTAAAAAAGTTGATGAAAATTTTCCTTCCTTTTTATTCGCCGCTCGGGCTGAGCTGAGCTCACTCGAACTTCAGAGGAGCTTCTTTGGAGGCAACTTCAGCGAGCACTGGGGACACAGCTCTGCCGATGGAGTCAGAACTGATAGCGGAAACGACGCGTGGAAGACTTGCAGGAAGCCAGAGATGCCGAAGTTTGGATTTACTTCTTGCTCCGGGAATAAATGCAGGACGCTTTGCAAGCCAGGCTATTTTACTATCGGTAAGTTTTCTTCTTTAGCCGTGGCGTTTTTATTGGCCTAAAAGATGATTTTCGAATACCCAAGATTGATGGTAAAATTTGAAAAAAGAAGCCCAAGATTGTCGATTTTAAAAATTTCAGCGAGTCGAATTTCGAGTCGAAAAAGAACCGCGTTTTCTAACCATTCTTCATTTCAGGCGGGCGAGACAAGTCCAAATGCAAAAGTAATGGTTTCTGGAATCACCCTCTTCCGGACTGCGAAACCTGCTCGATGCCTGAAATCCAATCGCGCCCCGGTCTCGATTCCTACTGCACAGTCGATGAACGGCGAGGCCGGACGACGTGCAAATTATCGTGCACTAATGGAAACAAAATTTACGGACGGCTCTCCAGGCCCGTAGCGTGCAAATGTCATAATAAAAGGGCTGCCAGTGGATGTTCACTGGGCCGGGAATGAGAAGGGAGGACAGGCATCATGTTGATTTGGACAGATTGGAAGAGATTTGCCCAAGACCGGTCAATAATGACCCGATTGAAGGTGAGCACAGTTTATTATTCATGATAAAATTTAAGACCCTAAAACTTCAAATGAAAAGCCTCGTAGCGGCTTTTTAAAACGAAGCCGCGAAGCGGCTTCGCAAAACTATTATTTAATCTTATCTTTAATTTCTGGAGAAGCCGCTTCGCGGCTTCGTTTTTCAAAGCCGCTGCGCGGCTTTTCATCTTTGATTTTCTATACCCTGACTCAGGTTTTCTACTCAGGTTGCCGAGCCTAGGAGTCAGGTTTATGCATCCAATTAGAAGTCTAAATCTCGATTCTAGTGGTGGATACATGCCCACAAGCTGAAAAAGTCCCAACTTGTGTCGACGTCACCAACAAAGGCGAAATCCTCAACAGTTGGACCTGCCGAGACTGCCATCGCGTCCGAGTCTACTTCAACAAGAACAACTACCCGAGGTAATTTTTTCATCTAAAAGAAAAGAGTTGACACGATTGTAGATTGAGAAACAGCTTCGACAACCGCGACTCGCTCTACGTTAAATTTTCGGTTCGAGTTCAATTCGATAAATGGGCGCATCCGGCGATGAGGTAAGCCAGAATAATTGATTCCAGAGTTGAATCCAGCCACATTAGACCAATTTATCTCGGCGGAAACGAATACCGAATCCCCTTCTCTCCCTTCAAAGAGTTCACCGACGGCTGGGTCGACTTCACCGCCGAGTTCCGACCTCTTGGATCGGTCGAGCCAACAATCGAGCGCGTCCGCACTTGCCCCTGTAGCTACACGCTGATGAGCGACACCTGCGAATGTAAGAATTTTAATTTCCGCGCTAGAATAGCTCTCATTTTCGCGCTTTCTAGCGGACAACGAGTGCGACGGAGTTTGTCACGAAGGACTGTGCGCGGAATGCGCCAACGACCAGGATTGTCATAACGGCGGAACTTGCAAAGATAACATTTGCCTGCTTTGCGAGAGGAACCGTGATTGCGCGGATGGGCTCATTTGCTCCGATGACAATATTTGCATCGAGTGCGAAAACAACAATCAGTGCTCTGAAGGCAGTACTTGTGTTCGGTAAGGAAAATGCGCAATTTTGATTGGTCAAGAAAGATTTTTTTCTTCTTGATCGGTCAAGAACATTTTGCATATTTTTGATTGGTTCAAGAAAAATTTTCTTGTTTCTGATTGGCTCAAGTCAATTTTCTTCATTTTGATTGGTCAAAAATATTTTGCATCTTATTGATTGGCCAAGAAAGAAATTTCTTGTTTCCGATTGGTTCAAGTCAATTTTTCTACATTTTGATTGGCTGAAAAAATTTTCACTTTTGATTGGTCCAACAAAAAAGCTCTTGTTTCTGATTGGTTCAATTTCACTTAATTTTAATTGCTCAGAAATATAACTCCGTCCTTTTTATTCGATAAAAGCGCTCGTACCAATATTTAACCCAATTCTAGCGGCCAGTGCCAAGAATGCATCGACGACTACGGCTGCGCCCACAAAGACCAAGTCTGCTACGATGGAACCTGCGTAGATTGCCGCTACACTGGAGACTGCGCAGAGCCCTTCACAAAATGCAGAAAGAAAGACAACACCTGCATTTCTACTATTTAAATTTCGAAGAAAGACAACTTCGATTTAGCGACTGCTTGAAATAACTGTAAATAAGACCTTTCTTTGTGCATTAATTTGAGAATAAATTCTTTTATACAAAAATCTTTTCAAATTATGAATTTTGCGGGCGGAATTCGCAGATAAAAGTGTGCATTCCTTGGTGGCAGCTTTCCGAAACCAGCATATTGTAGCTCTGAAATGTTGACTTGCCAAGGACTCACATTTTGAGGAAGGACTTACCGAGGAGTAGTAAGCGCAATTATGGCGATTGTCGACTTGATGAACATTGTATTTTGTCACTCGGTTGTTTCCATCAAGCTTTAAACAGAATATTCTAGCGGTAGTAGGAGCCCCTTCTTCTTGATAATTTGGGGTAAGAATGGACTAGCCCCCAACCCAACCCAACCCAACCCAACCCAACCCAACCCAACCCAACCCAACCCAACCCAACCCAACCCAACCCAACCCAACCCAACCCAACCCAACCCAACCCAACCCAACCCAACCCAACCCAACCCAACCCAACCCAACCCAACCCAACCCAACCCAAAGCCTTTTACTGATCAGATATCCTTTCCCAAATTCCATTGTATTTCCTGACATTGGACCAGGGTTGATTGAAAATCAGCCATCTTTGATCCAGATTCGTTTCTTGTCCTAGCAGGGTTTTTCAAAAAACAAGTGTACACTTGAAAGGAACAAAAAGCCCGTTTCCTGAAAAATCTGCCAAAACATGTGTTCCTCTCAATTCACAGAACGCGCGCTTGCTCGTATGTTGATTCACTCTCATGTTGGCTCAGTTGTTTGACGTTAGAAAAGTCCATTTCGTAAACGATTTGGGTCCCACTTGGGTTTCGGTCCCGAATGTTTGGTGTTAAATTGGGCTTTCCTATCAATGGGCGGTTGTTGTTGTTGCTGGGGGTTATTCGCACGATTTTCGTCTGCTGAGTTGTCTGAAAGAAAGAACTAGATGAGGGAGAATGAGCTTTCTTACCCTTGGAGCCAAAGTTGGCGCCATATTTTGGTTGATATTCCAGCTTCCTGGCTTGAATTTGATCGCATCTAGAATGACCTTTTTTCAGATGAGTTATCAAAAATCTGATGCCAAATAAATTATCAATATTCTCCGAATAGAAAGTACTTTAATAAAGTCAAGTAGAACCCTGGGGACGAGTAGCGTATTGGTCGTGTGCCGCTACTCGGAGGCGAGGGCCGCGAGTTCGAAAGCTGACACAATCAAATATTTATCGAACTAAAATTAAGTCAGCGGCGTCTCAAAAAACAAAAAGTCTTTGCAAACATAAAACTATGGGGAATGGAAAAATGATCTGAATTCTTCGAGATCAAGATGATCTCGAGGAGGCTCTGGGTGCTGACAAGAAATGACGACAAATAAAAACCGAAAATTGACGAAAGGCAGCACGAGCCCTGAGGTTTCTCTTGATCCCCAAAAAGGCCCCGCCTGTCAAGAGTTTTTGATGTTTACGGAATGTAAAAATAAAAATTGTAAAAAAATGAAATTTTTACTGAAATTATTGTTTTCTACAAAACCTGTTGAGTCCTTGTTTCCGCACGAATGCCATCCCCACTTTCCGCTCCCGTCCTTTTTCCAGACATTGCAAGTGTACTCCACGTATTCTAGCTGAACAGGGTGGTAGGTCTCCAAATTGGTAGTGATATAAGCGTAGCTACGGCTTTTTCCGAGTGTTTCTCCGTTTCGAAAGCCCCATTCTTTCCTTCGAACATGAGTTACTAAAGCAGAGGAAGTCGTTTCTAGTACCTTGGAGCATAATAGGCAATGAAGAAGTCAGACTTGTCCGCCTTTTGAAAAACCGGTCTTCCGTCCATATTCGCCGTGCTCTTGCCCTGAACTTCTTTGAACAAACCGCCAAGATTGGACGTTTTCCATGCATCACCGAAATCACCCTCGACGAAAATCATCTTTGGAAAATTATTCTCTCTCGCTTCGTTGTTGATTTTCGTCTGAGCGTAGCTTTCTCTTCGGTCTTTTTGAAGAACTTCTCGGCCCCCGTCGCGGACGAAAACGGAGCCGCAAGATGACCAGCCAGAGTTTTTCCAGACCTCGCATTTTCGAATTCTGCATTGGCTCGGGTCCTGGACGTCGGAGGAGCACAGGAGATTCGCGTAGTTGAGGCGGGAATTGAGGTCGTTTTTGGACTTTTGGGAAATCTTTTTGTAATTATGAATAATTTATTAATAAATTCGGGATGGTGTCTGGAACCGAGAAAAATTTCGACAATTTTTGCGTAGGCTGCTACTCGGCTGCAGAATGGCCGCTTAGCCGAATCCAGGCTTCTGATTGGTTAAAAATTTCCACGCAAATTTTGTCGAATTTTTGTCGGTTCCAGACACCTTCCCATAAATTCACATTTTTTAATTATAGTTTTTCCGATCCTGAAAGTACCATTTTCCATCTTCCGGTTCATATCTTATAAAAATCTCTTGTTGATTTTGATTTCTCGACTTGTAAATCGGTTTTCCCTGTGAATCTCTATCGGCAATAATTCAAACTTTCTTCCCCTTCTTTTTCCGAATTATCGCCATTCCTAGCCCTCAAGCTGCCTCTCTCAACCCTCTTGTACTCGCCTACTAGAACGGAATCTTTCCATTCATCTCCAAAGCTTCCTTCGACGACGATAAATTCTGACGATGCCGAAACGAGCTGCCAAAGACTGAGCAGCAAAAACTTCAAAACTCTTCTCATTTTTCTCTTCAGACGGTGCTGAAAAAAAGAAGACCGCGAAGAGGAGGAGGATCGACAAGTTCAAGGAAAATAAACAACTCGTCAATTTAACTTCGATTTTGTTTATTCTGATTTTCGGGTTATATAATCAAGGAAGGACTGCTTTTTGGAATTTCCCGGTTCAGGATTTTTATCAGCGCTGGAAAGGTGTTTCGAATCTGACAGTTGCCGGTGATTTTCGCGATTCCTGAAAATTATGAATTTTGAATTAATATTTTTCTCACCAAGAGCATCAGCAGTTTGGAGGTCTATTCTTCCAGTGAGAATTTGAATCATGTGCTCATCATTTGCATAAATTATCAAGCTATTATGAATTGGGTCCTGATGCTGATAACTTATCACGGATTTTCATATTGGAAGAAAAATTGAAGGGGAGGTATGAGGAAGCGACAAAAAATTTTGACAAATAACCTGAAATTTTCAACCAATCAAAAGCCTGAATTCGGAGAACTGTCCAATCAGCAGCCGAGTAGCCGCCCACGCAAAATTTGTCGAAATTTTTTGTCGGTTTCTGACGCAAACCGACAATTTGACCTGATTATTCGTCGAAAATCAGTTCCTTAGATAGGTCAATTTTCCATCGCACAAGCCCAGTTTCCAGCGACCAACTGTATTGACATCTCCTGTCAGGGTTCCAATTTTGGCCGAAAAATTTTGGAGTGGAGTGGAGAGATGAGTGGATAGCCCAAAAATTTTTCTGAGCGGAGTGGAGCGGTGAGTGGATGTCCAAAAAAAATGGTTGAGCGAGTGGAGTGGGTGAGCGGAGTGGATTTTGAGTGGATTTTGAGCGGATTTTTAGGGAAGTTTGAGCGATTAAAAAAAAATTTTTTTGCATTTCATGCACCCTACAATACACTCAAAAAAAGGGTCGACAGGCCGGTTTTTTTTTAAACGATTTCATTCTCATATTTTTATTCAATTTACAATTAGAAGAGAAAGAGGGGACGTAAAGAAGAGAGGTTGAAAAAGGTCGGGCCCCCACGAGCAGACAGAAACCGAAACAAAGAAGACTTCTTCTTTGCACGCCGTGAGCAAGCCTTTCATTTTTCGAGATAAAAAGGGTTTTAGAGGGGGAGGCGTGGTTAAGCGACAATTTTTGCGCAATAAAGTTTGTCGCAGGGCTACCGCCCTAAAAGTGCATGTTAAAAGATAGGAAAATATAACTTTTTTTGTGCGACAAATTTTGTCGCGCAAAAATTGTCGCTTAACCACGCTTTCCCTTTTAGAGGGGGTCTGACCATCAAACTTTTATGAAGAAGTTGGTCCTAAATTAAAGGTTGATCCTGATATTATGTCAGTGATTTATTCTCTTGATTATCCCCTGAGAGAATTTGATTCTTTATTTAAAAATAGACCAAACTCAGTCTCCAATCAGAATACGAGAAAAGGGGCGCTGAAGACAAAAATCCACTCCATCCGCTCAAAATCCACTCCAATCACTCCAAAGTAGATTTTACAGGTTGGAGTGGAGTGGAGGGAATGAGTGGATACTAAAAATATAGGCTGAGCGAGTGGAGTGGAGTGGATCCACTCCGCTCACGCTCCACTCCACTCCGCTCAAAATCCACTCCATCGCTCAGCAAAATTGGAACCCTGTCTCCTGTAACACCTTCTTCTTCCGTTAGATGCAGAATCAATCTACCCGTTTGCGCGGCTTGTGGCAATTCTGACAGTAAATCCGGCTTGTTCGCCAAAGATTCGCAAGCAGAAGATACCCATTTCACAGTCCTTAAAAAATCCTTCTCTTCCATGATTTCAAGAGTGCAAAAAAATACCGATACGATTCTAGCTCTTTCCTTTTTCCGACCAAGTTCGTCACCGAAACGGGCAAATTCGACTTCTGTTGCTTATAAGATCCGGTTAAAATCTCCCAAAACTCGATAAAAAAAAAGGAAGTGAAATTAATTTTTCTTGGACCTACTTTTATCTTTATCGGAAGACTGGATTTTCTTCGCAGATTTGAAGCAGGAGAGAGGCTTCGAGCTCGTCGAGAAATAAATTTTAAATTCACTTTAGTCATTCGTTTTCCTCTTTATTGAATAATTAATGCACAGGAAATGCTCTTTTCTGAGTCCTAATGATTCATAAACAATCAAATTCGTTCTATGTTGCTCAAAGTATCCTTTGACCTTTCTCGCATTTTCATTTACTGCATTTTCTGTCGTCTCAATTATAAGAGCAAAATGCGAAGTGACATCCGAGACGTCCCCAAAATATATTCAATGGCCAGAGAAACAGACTCTCTAGTGAGAAAAAATGCGTTTATTTTTCCGATTTTCAATATTTTTCACTTTGATTGGCTCTATAAGAATCAAAGGCCATCCAGATATTTACATGCTTCATGCTTTTTACAGCAAATGCGTTTTTGGTAAGTCAATCTGATACCCTTAAGGACCGGCCGATTATTTCTTTAAGAATTCGGGCTAAAACACGAGTTGGTTGATTATGACATGACCGGTGTGGAAAATATGTGTGGACTGATGATTGCTGATCAAATAACGAGACACTTATCAAAACCGTAATTGAAGAAAAAAAATTTTTTCGTGTGTAAATAACTCAATTTTAGTCAGATGAAGGGTGCGCTAAAATCTTTCATGGAATCTTACCACCATGCGAGAACGTCGAATTTCGGATTTATTGGAAATTATCTCTGAGAAATCGTTGATGAATAAAATAATCCATATTAATAATAATAAAATTATTAATAAAATCAATTATTCTTTGATTGTTCTAGACAAAAATTATCAATGATAATTTATCATGATGACGGCTATGTGCTTTTCAGCTGTCACTTCAATAAGGGGACCCTCAGCAAATTGTAGTATACATTCGTAATGAACTCTGACATCCTTTTGTTCTTTTGCATTTTCATGTTCTGAAAACATTTAGTCCGAGAAATGAGGCTCTTTTTCTTTTTTATTTTATTCATTTTTGGTGGTCGCTCAGTTCGGTTCAAAGGCTACCCAGATATTTATAAACTGCATTCATTTTACAGCAACTGTATTTTTGGTAAGTTTGAATATCCTTCTTCTTGTTAATCAGTTACCTTAAGTTTTTGCCCAAAAGCCTGATTTGGTCAAACTTGACATCTCTGGTGTTGAAGATATGTGTGGCCTTATTCTTGCCAATCAAATCGTCAATCTCCCAAAAGCGTTAGCTCAGAGATAGATCAATTTGCCTATAACAAATTGTTCTAGTCGAATGAAAGGAGCGTTAAAATCCTTCATGGAATCTTACACTCACACTAGAACTTCGAAATTTGGCTTCCTTGGAAATTTTCTGTGACAAAATTGAATACACTCATCATCGAAATTTGAATATTGTCTTAGTTTCTGGAATATATCAACTTCTGAGTTTTCGAATTTCCAGATTTTCAGCTTTTCCCTTTTCTTCATGTTTTCAGCCATATTCTGATGTTCCGAAAAACGGAGAAAATGGATTTTATTTTTATAATTTTTGCTTGTTTGGCCGTTTCTTCATGTGTTTTCGGATATTTGGAGCTAGAAATTGAGAATGAGAAAACAAGACAAGTTGAGCTCACTTTTTTGACATGCTTTAAAAGTATCTTTAGAAATTGAAAGAAGTTCAAGAGGAGAAAGAGGAACTCAAGATGGAGTTGGAGATTCGAAAAAAATCGATCAAGCGGAAAAATGAAGACTGGAAGGAACAAGAAGATTCTTTTATCTGGGACTCATTCGACGATTTCTCCGAAGAACTGGCTGAATTCTATGAATAAAGACCGGCTTGAAAGGAAAGAAAATAGAATTTTTTTGTTGAATTTGTATTTTGAAGAATAATAATTTCGTTTATAAGGATGATGAAAAATGAGAGATAAAAAAGGTTTGGCAAAGAATTGCGGTTATTGTGCAAATATGTCAAGAAAGAGCTACTGCAAAGTTTCCTAAGCAAAAATAAATTAAAGGGCAGAGAACGCTTCGTCGGGATTTTCAGGTCGCTCCTTGTTTTTTCGTCTTCGGCGGCGTTTTCCTTGGTCTCCTCCTTGATCCCTAAAAAATATTTTTAGCCCTGGCGTTTGTTGAGAAAGTACCGTAAATTAGCTGTAGACCCGTGATGATGATCCGCCTCAGGATCCTTTTTGCTTCTTCTTTGGCGACTTGGGCTTCTCTTCCTTGATTTCTCCTCGGATCTACCCACGTTTTCGAGATTTGTTCTCGATTCGGAGCGACGACGATCACGTGACGGCGATCTTTTTCTTCTGTCTCGCGACGGGGATCTTCAAAATAGCATTCTTTTTCCAAAAGATTTCATTTTACCTGTGTCTTGATTCCGATCGTTTTCTCGAAGTCGGCGAGTGATGCCTTCTATCTCTCGATTCTGATCTCCGACTCGATTTTGGCGACCTTCTCGACCTCGATTCCGACCTGTGGCCTCTTGTTCTTGAGCTCGACCGATCTCTTGATCTTTCCTTCTTTTCGTCCTCCCCTCTTTCGCGGCCATCTCGGTCTCGATTTCTCGATTCAGATCTTCTCCCACGTGATCGTTTCGAAGCTGATCGCGAGATCTTTTCCCCGTTTTCATTGATGCTCATTTTCGACCTTGATTTTCTCAACTCACTACAGAGCCAATTAGATAGGGAAAAAGGGATGAAATTGTTATCTTACCGAGGAGAAGTCAATTGATACTCATCTTCGAAGGTCTGAAAATCGTCATTTTTATCAAGCGAACGAGAAATGCTAGCGCGCGAGCCGGTTTTTTTGAGCGAAGAAATAGCATGCATTAGCTCCTAGAATATAAAAGTTTGCAACTTTTATCACCAAAAGATAAAATTTATTTATCAAGCTTAGCATGAAAATTGGCACTTTCGATTTTTGGCTTGATAGCGTTAGAATGGCCGCTTTTGAGTCAAAAATAAAAGTAAACACTAGAAAAATAGAAAATGCCTTGAAATTATAAAAATTCATTTTCGATCTTCCATCGAGCGTTGCCTCCGCTACATAGGGTCCTCCAGAGCGCGGAAGACTCTCCCACAGGGCCGCGCGTAGGCGGCGCGTGACACGTTTTCTCCCCCACTCGCTCATTCGCTCCTCACAACTGCGAGAAAATGCCTTTTCTGGATAATTCTACTTTTTACCATTCCAATTAGAGAAAAAGAAGCTCATTCTGTTATATTCTTACGAAACATATCAATAATTTAAAATGACTGCAAATGCATTATAAAAAATTTCGAACGCCTCAAGCGCCTATTTCTTGAAATAAAATTCATAATTTTTACCAAATTCTAGCCCTAATCCCTTCTCTTTTCAGACTCGTCGGATCTCTCGAACAAATCTTTTAAATAGCTTACTAGCTGCCCTCTGTCAAGTCTAATCAACTATGGTTTTGGGAAGAGTTCGAAAGGAATGGAAAGCCGAATACTTCCAGAAGGTCGAGCGAATCCTCTCCACCTACGATCGGGTCCTCGTCTGCGATGCTGACAACGTCACTTCCAAGCAGTTCCAGCAGATCCGAACTGGTAAGTCAACAAAATCAAAAATTAGGCGAAAAAACCTTCGCAAAAATTAGCACTTTTTCTTCGCGGCCTCCTTTTCGAGTCAAATTCGTCATGAGTCTCAATTTAACTACTTCTTTCAGGTCTTCGAGGCCAGGGCGAGATCCTCATGGGCAAGAACACCATGATGAAGCGAGCCATGCGATCCCTCTTCGGTGACAAGCCCGAGCTCGAGAAGCTTATGAACTTGGTCAAGCTCAACGTCGGCCTCGTCTGCTTCAACGGAGACATGAAGGAGATCCGAGACTTGGTCATGACCTACAAGGTTCCCGCCGCCGCCCGTACTGGAGCTGTCGCCCCAGTCGACGTCGTCGTCCCTCCCCAGGTCACCACTCTTGGTCCCGAAAAGACCTCCTTCTTCCAGGCTCTTTCCGTCCCCACCAAGATTACTCGTGGTAACATTGAAATCACCGCGCCCGTCAACCTCATCGCTGCCGGCGACAAGGTCGGAGAGTCCGCCGCCACTCTCCTCAACATGTTGAAGATCTCTCCCTTCACCTACGGTTTGGACGTCATCCAGTGCTACGACGCTGGCTCCGTCTACTCCCCCGAGATCCTCGACATCACCGAGGACGACATCAAGGCCCGATTCATGGGCGCTGTCGCCAACGTCGCTTCCGTCTCGTTGGCCATCGGTTACCCAACCGCCGCCTCTGCTCCTCACAGCATCGCCAACGCCTTCAAGAACATCCAGGCCGTTGCCGCTGTCACTGAGATCACCTTCCCACAGGTAAAACAAAAGCTCAAGATTATTAGACGGCTCTGCCAGTAGTTAGATAAGTCTCAGAGGGTAATAATTGCGAAGCCGCGTTGCGGCTTCGGTCTTATAAAAGCCGAACAGCAGCGTTTCCTTAGAGCTTGCCAGAACTCCAATCTATCAATGAACCACCTTTTAACCCTTTTTTTCAGGTTGAGAAGCTCAAGGAGTACCTCGCCAACCCAGAGGCCTTCGCTGTCGCTGCTCCAGCTGCCGCCGCTGCTGCTGAGGAAGCCGCCCCAGCCGCCGTCGAATCTGAGGAATCCTCCGACGAAGACATGGGCATGGACCTCTTCGGTTAAGGAAGTACTCGACTCCTTCTACGGAACGTATTCTGCGGTCTATGGGACCAAAATTTGGAGATACCATCTTTCAAATAAAACGTTCAAAAACCGCACAAAACTGTCTTTTCCTATCTTTTCTTGCAAATTAAGCATCTCATTCTTTGTATTTAACACCAAGCAGGCATCAAGCAAAACATTCCAATTCCCTACCTTTTCAGCTTCACTCAATCTTCTCTCATCAAGTGTAGGCAGTCTGTCATTGAGCGACATCCTAGATCCAGACTTGCGCATTCTGCCCGACGAAAGATCATCGCGAGATCCAGAACGACGATCTCGAAGGTCAGACTTTGAGCCGCGGATATTGTCACGTGATTTTCGCAGATCTCGACTGCTACTGTGGAGCTTTTCGCGCGAGCCATGGCGGGACGAGCGTTCGCGAGATCTTTTCAGACAGTTTCAAAATTGAAAATCATAGGAAGAAGTCCGCAAAGGGCGGTGACCTGGCATGAAAAACTGAGTCAGAAAGATCTAATGATAGAAATAAGTCCTCTTTTTGAAAGACTAGCGTCGCGGTTTTTATTCCGGCTCTTTCAAGTCCTGACTCAGGTTTTTAAACAGGTTCCTGAGTGATTAGCATTTGAACTGTTCCTTGATCGATCTCGATCTCTTCCACGATCCTTTGACCCCGATCTTCCTCCCTCTCTCGTCCTCGATTCCGACCTCGATCTTCCTTTTCTATCCCTCGACTCAGATCGATCCCGTCTTCTTCTTCCGCCGCGGTCTTCCTTGTTCAAACTCATTCTCGATCCATGATGCGACCTCCGTTCCGTCTTTCTTTCTCGCTGCTCTCTTGGTTCATCGTCTCGGCCAAGGAATTGATCCAGATTTACTCGCGGAATCACGGGATCTGTTGATGTTCGCAGCTCGAAGACGAAACCTTGCTCGATGTTCTTCTCGTCCTCTTCTTCTTCCGCAGGTTTGGTGAAGATCTGGAAGGGTTTTTCGCGATATTTTTTCACAAAAACTATCGCTACGATGAGGAGGAACAGTGCACAAAAGCCAGATACGGAGCCAACTTTTTAACATGGTCGATATGGGGGTAGATATTCTCAGGCCTTCTTTGAGGCCATCTGTTTTTTTAAGTAAACCAGAAATTCTGATTTCATACTCAAAGATTGCCTAACCAGATATGCACTTCTACAGCTGTTCAGGGATTTATATACGGCGAGATCAATGTGGAAAACATATCGAATAAAATGAATCTTTTAGTATAGATAACACATGCTGGTTCTTCAGAAGTGAAAAGAGCTTTTTACCTATCATTTTCACAATTCTGGCAAAACTGTTTCGTTCAATGAATAAATGAATAAAAGTCTAGGTAGTTGAAACGAAACTGAAAGAATTTTGAAAAAGTCAGAATGACTGAAATTTTGAGGGTCATTTCTTATTCGACCATTTCCTATTACCGCCATAATAAAATTGTCCTCTTCTTCTTCATCTCCCATTCCCGGCATTCCCGGAATCTCCCCTTTTACAGCTGGGTCGTCACTTTCAACGTCCGAAAGGAGCGGCACGCTTCCGTCTCTTGGGTAAATCGGCCCCACTGAAAAAATACGGGCGCGTTCCGAAGATACTTCGCGGTTTTGGAAGAGTTTTGCGGCTCGGCGACGGCGGAATTTTGTGATGTCACCTTTTGAACGGATTTTAAAAAGAGGCGACTTCTCTAAAATTTCTAGTTTTCTTTACTCTTGTTTTCCGCGTTCCTAAGCAGGCATGATTCGCCTCGGGTTTCTGGCAATCCGTGCAAATCCAGGCGCGGCAGTGGATGTAAATGAACTGCTCGTGTTGTGCGACGGTGGTCCACTTGTACATTTGGAATTTCCAGCTGGCATACGCGCCCGCCGAATTCTGGCGAATAATGACGCCCAATGGGTCCGCAGAACAACCGTTTTCGATCATCATGTACGCCGTCTTCATGTTGTCAGGGTTGGCCGACCGCGAGCCCCAGCACGAGTCGATCACCACCTTAAATTATGCGGTTTAGCGGGGCAAAAGACGCGCACTTTTGAGGGAGGGAACAGTATTAAAACAAATCGATTAAGAAAATATTGTGACAAGATTTTTCGCTCAATTTCATAAAAAGCGCTATTCTTACTATTTGTGATCACGAGAAATCTGCTTTCGAGTAATCTCATACTGTGCGCGGCAACCTGTGTTAAAAACCCTTCGTTTTTAAAAAGCCGCGAATTTTCAATTAAAGTCTTCAGAACCTGACTCAGGTTTTTAACACAGGTTGCAGATTCTAGATCATATAATTTTTCATGTTTTCAATTTTACCTTGTCAGTTTCCATCGCAGCTTCATTTTCCGCAAAGTCGAACGCGACACGAACATAAATGAATTCCCTGACAGCCACCTGAGCATAACCCTTTTCCGCTAAATCTTCCAGCTCTTCTTCGAATTTCGCGGTATTGAACAGTTTCATTTGGGTCTTGATTGACACTGGTCCTGCTTGAAGATTGTTGATTGCGGCGGAAGAGGGGAGCCGAACGTGCTTTTCTTGGAGGTATTGGATGCACGTGATGTTGGCTAAATCTTCGATTTTGCGTGATTTTTGATCGGTGAAGGAAAGCTTGTTTTCGTAAATGATTTGGACGCCCTGGCTTCTGCGGGTGGTGCCACAATCGCGCTTGGGATCCAAAAGGTTAATATTCAAAGTGATATGCGTTTTGTTGTGATACGCTCCTCGGCAATTGTTTCCGAGCGCACTTTTTACCGGATCATCATTTTATGAATTTAAAATTTAAATCGCTTTATTTATGATTCCTTAAAAGTTTTCGACCCAAAAGTAATGATGAAATTTTAATAAAAAATATAAATAAAAAATCTATTTTTATGAAATTGACACCCTTAATTTAATTCAAAATATCGAGGATCCGCTCCTTAAAAGCGTCACAGAAGCAGGTGGTCCATTCGAAACCGTCCATTTCGGGATGAAAATTTCAACATTTGTTTTTTGACAATTTGTAGTGATAAATTCCGACTTTTCTTTTTTCTCTTCGATTTCTTCTGTTTCTATTTCTTGAGCAAAAGTCGAAGCTAAAAGAATTAAACTGATCTTCAACGAGCATCTCATTTTCGTTTATTTTCTTCTTTCTACATCTCTTTTCGATATTTTGGCTTTTTATCAGAAGAAGTTGTATTTCTGTCAGCCTGGTGACCGACCGTATAATCAAGAGGAGCAGCGTTGCGCCTCCACCAATCCTGGCGCTCCGAAGGGGACGAATTCCGCCAAAGGGAGGGTTGCACCATCAGCGACGGAAGATGATGATTTTTCGCCAATTTTTATAAGAAAATAATTAAAAGTTAAAAAGGATAAGTTAGCCATTATCCTTCCGGGTCCATGCTATGCATCATTATTTGAGATTTCGTTACTGTAATTATTTGAAACTAGAAAAATTGGCACAATAATCTGTTAAAAAATCTGAGTCAGAGCTTTTCCGCGACCCTGACTCAGGTTTTCTGAATAGATTGCGGAGGGAAAAAGATCCGATCTAACCCTAACCCAAAATTTTTTACTAACCCTAACCCAACATACTCATGAATAAAGACACATTATTATCTATCAGATTAATTCCATTGTCAAGCTCGAGTACCTTCACATTCAACCCAAGGGCAAAATACAAAATTCCGCTTGTTCAACAAAAAATTTCAAAGAACGCAAATAAAATCACAAAGATAAAGAAAGAAAAGAGCAAGATTTCAGGACTCAAATATTTGCGCTCAACTCGGGCCGCTTTTTTAGCCATTTTTGCCGCTCGAAATCTCGAGTTCCAAAATGGGAGACATAGAGAATCCTGCTTTTGAGGAGGAAAAAGTCCATAAGGATATTGAAGAGACCGATTTTAATGAGTAAGTGGAGGCTGTTGAACAATAAATAATCAATTCTAGCGTCGATTCGGACAATGAAGAAGCCCAAAATCGCCGGAGACGGACTTCAAAGACGGTGAAATCCCAGAAGCATACGCTGGAATGCCCGCAGAAGTGCTCATTCACTATTCTCGGCAAAAGAAATTCGTGGTCGGTCGACTTTTTGGATGGGTACTGATTTTGGCGACTTTTGCGACACTGATTTCTTTGTCGGGAGTGATCATTGCTCAAAGCCCGCCGTGTTTGGACTTTTGGGAAAAATCACCGATTTATCAGATTTATCCCAGATCTTTCAAGGTAAAACAAAGCTGGACAAGAAACTTGATCATTTCTCTCCCTAGGATTGCGACCCAGACCTCAATCAAGACCGCGAAGATGACATTTGCGGCGACGGAATTGGCGACATCCCGGGCATCATCGAAAAGCTCGACTATCTCAAAGACGACCTTGGCATTTCCGTCGTCTGGGTTTCACCGATTTTCATGAGCCCAATGCAGGACTTTGGCTACGATGTTTCCGACTATCGCCAGCCGGATCCAGTCTTTGGAAATATGAAGGATTTGCAATTGTTGATCAGCGAGATGCATAATCGAGGGATGAAGTTGGTCTTGGATTTTGTCCCGAATCATACCTCTGTCGAACACGCCAAGTTCCAGAATGTTTCAGAAGCAGCAAATTTCTACGTGTGGCGAGACGGCGACAAGCCCAAAACTGCAAAATGGTCGAATCGGAGTCCGGTGCCCAAGTCCCCGACGCCGCCAACTGCGCCTGCTCCAACGTCGATATCAAGGAAGAAACGCCCGCTTGCCCGAACAACTGGCAATCCATTTTCGCCGTCAACGACAAGGGCGACCTGCCCGCCTGGACCTTCCACCCCGAAGTTGGAAAATATTACTACCGCGGATTCGGCTGGTTCCAAGCTGATTTGAACATGTACAACAAAGATGTTCAAAAGTTCCTCAACGTAGGGACCGAACGCAAATCAAAACGGCAAATTTTAAAAATAGAGTTAGGCCCCTGGAATAAAAATTTTCTATAATAATTCGCATATGCTGATTTCAAATCTCCTAATTAAATTCCAGTATCACTTCCGGTTTTCCGGATACTGTCGGTTTAACAGCCTTCCTCTGGGTGCTTAATCACGCGATCGTGATATGATATGTATTCTAACGAAAGAAAGAGATTTCAGTGGAAAAATAATCAAAATCGGCAGCGCGTACTTACGCTTGCCTTTTTGTACTTCTAAACTATGACTCATGCAGCGGCGGCAATAGCGCATAGCCTGCGTGAACGCGCGAGCGCGAAGGCGCCAGAGAGAGGCGCACGAAAAAATTAAAAAAGGGCGCGGCGGGCTTCGAACTCGCGCCTCCAGAATGACTCGAACCCATCAATTGACAACTAAGCTATTCGCATTTGTAGATGGATCCATCCTTCATTAATATATTTAATGAGGTAGTGGGGGTTTTCGGGAAATTGACCATTTTCAAACAGCTCTCAGGCTCGAATGGTTAAGAAGATTTTTATAAACTCTTCTACTACTTATTGATTGGACCTTAAACTATAGTCGAAAAATTTTTCAGAAAAAATAATAAAGGGAGTTTGGCCATAGAGAGCTCACCTTCAAGTCATGTCCGTGAAAACCATCATTTTGCGTCCTTTTTAATTGCGATTTTTAATGAAAATATTTTTATTTTTAAAACTTAGTAATAGAAATAAACTTCCATCGGTGTTCTCGGGTTGGATTGTAGGAATCTCATTTTCCTCAAAAGCTTATTGTAAGCTTTCGATTGATAATTGGGTCTCAAAACGATCAAAAACTGTTATTCAAAAAATATCAAATCTTCATTATTAAATTTAAGGGTATGGTACGCGCACAGGGTCAAGTCTCAGAATCGGTTTTTGACCATATATTCTGAATCCCCATGAAATTCTGACCAAAAACTCTACATGAGTATTAACTCTATCTCAACCCATTTTCCCACAAAATGCAATTGAAAGTGGCAAAAATTAGTGCATTTTGGCTAAAAGGCGGAAATTATAAAATTTTTACAATTTCTGATCGTTATGATAGGGTGTCATATGATACCTTCTTGGAAAGCTCACGTTCAGGACATTTATTTGCGATAAAAATGGGCGCTTTTGGGCTATGCCCCCAAGGCAATTCACGAAGCTAAAGGAACGAAAAATAGGTACCTTCGTACTTTAAAATTTTTACATAAAAATTTTTGACCAATTGAAAAAGCTCGTGTAATATTTAAGATTAGGGTCTAAACTTTACTATAAAAAAGGATTGAGGGGGTGTCCTTTGGTAACTTCAGAGGAGATCTCCTCTGAATATAGGCTTATTTCGCGATTTTTGACCGAGACGACAACTTTGAGCCATCCGCACACGACTTTTTTGTTTGAATTTTGAGAAAAGCTCGTGTAAATCAGAAGATCTAGGATAGAACTTAATTTTGCGCTATTGTACGCCTTCCCAGTATTGATAGGGCCGGAGAAGATCGTCTCTGCTTTGGGCCTCTGCGCGTACCATACCCTTAAGGGGCTTGACGGCCCTTCGGGCCGTCTCAGCCCCGTTCCTTCATTATTAAATTTAAGGGCTTGACGGCCCTTCGGGCCGTCTCAGCCCCGTTCCTTCATTATTAAATTTAAGGGGCTTGACGGCCCTTCGGGCCGTCTCAGCCCCGTTCCTTCATTATTAAATTTAAGGGCTTGACGGCCCTTCGGGCCGTCTCAGCCCCGTTCCTTCATTATTAAATTTAAGGGCTTGACGGCCCTTCGGGCCGTCTCAGCCCCGTTCCTTCATTATTAATTTAAGGGCTTGACGGCCCTTCGGGCCGTCTCAGCCCCGTTCCTTCATTATTAAATTTAAGGGCTTGACGGCCCTTCGGGCCGTCTCAGCCCCGTTCCTTCATTATTAAATTTAAGGGGCTTGACGGCCCTTCGGGCCGTCTCAGCCCCGTTCCTTCATTATTAAATTTAAGGGCTTGACGGCCCTTCGGGCCGTCTCAGCCCCGTTCCTTCATTATTAAATTTAAGGGCTTGACGGCCCTTCGGGCCGTCTCAGCCCCGTTCCTTCATTATTAAATTTAAGGGCTTGACGGCCCTTCGGGCCGTCTCAGCCCCGTTCCTTCATTATTAAATTTAAGGGCTTGACGGCCCTTCGGGCCGTCTCAGCCCCGTTCCTTCATTATTAAATTTAAGGGCTTGACGGCCCTTCGGGCCGTCTCAGCCCCGTTCCTTCATTATTAAATTTAAGGGGCTTGACGGCCCTTCGGGCCGTCTCAGCCCCGTTCCTTCATTATTAAATTTAAGGGCTTGACGGCCCTTCGGGCCGTCTCAGCCCCGTTCCTTCATTATTAAATTTAAGGGGCTTGACGGCCCTTCGGGCCGTCTCAGCCCCGTTCCTTCATTATTAAATTTAAGGGGCTTGACGGCCCTTCGGGCCGTCTCAGCCCCGTTCCTTCATTATTAAATTTAAGGGCTTGACGGCCCTTCGGGCCGTCTCAGCCCCGTTCCTTCATTATTAAATTTAAGGGGCTTGACGGCCCTTCGGGCCGTCTCAGCCCCGTTCCTTCATTATTAAATTTAAGGGCTTGACGGCCCTTCGGGCCGTCTCAGCCCCGTTCCTTCATTATTAAATTTAAGGGCTTGACGGCCCTTCGGGCCGTCTCAGCCCCGTTCCTTCATTATTAAATTTAAGGGCTTGACGGCCCTTCGGGCCGTCTCAGCCCCGTTCCTTCATTATTAAATTTAAGGGCTTGACGGCCCTTCGGGCCGTCTCAGCCCCGTTCCTTCATTATTAAATTTAAGGGGCTTGACGGCCCTTCGGGCCGTCTCAGCCCCGTTCCTTCATTATTAAATTTAAGGGCTTGACGGCCCTTCGGGCCGTCTCAGCCCCGTTCCTTCATTATTAAATTTAAGGGCTTGACGGCCCTTCGGGCCGTCTCAGCCCCGTTCCTTCATTATTAAATTTAAGGGGCTTGACGGCCCTTCGGGCCGTCTCAGCCCCGTTCCTTCATTATTAAATTTAAGGGCTTGACGGCCCTTCGGGCCGTCTCAGCCCCGTTCCTTCATTATTAAATTTAAGGGCTTGACGGCCCTTCGGGCCGTCTCAGCCCCGTTCCTTCATTATTAAATTTAAGGGGCTTGACGGCCCTTCGGGCCGTCTCAGCCCCGTTCCTTCATTATTAAATTTAAGGGGCTTGACGGCCCTTCGGGCCGTCTCAGCCCCGTTCCTTCATTATTAAATTTAAGGGGCTTGACGGCCCTTCGGGCCGTCTCAGCCCCGTTCCTTCATTATTAAATTTAAGGGGCTTGACGGCCCTTCGGGCCGTCTCAGCCCCGTTCCTTCATTATTAAATTTAAGGGGCTTGACGGCCCTTCGGGCCGTCTCAGCCCCGTTCCTTCATTATTAAATTTAAGGGGCTTGACGGCCCTTCGGGCCGTCTCAGCCCCGTTCCTTCATTATTAAATTTAAGGGCTTGACGGCCCTTCGGGCCGTCTCAGCCCCGTTCCTTCATTATTAAATTTAAGGGCTTGACGGCCCTTCGGGCCGTCTCAGCCCCGTTCCTTCATTATTAAATTTAAGGGCTTGACGGCCCTTCGGGCCGTCTCAGCCCCGTTCCTTCATTATTAAATTTAAGGGCTTGACGGCCCTTCGGGCCGTCTCAGCCCCGTTCCTTCATTATTAAATTTAAGGGGCTTGACGGCCCTTCGGGCCGTCTCAGCCCCGTTCCTTCATTATTAAATTTAAGGGGCTTGACGGCCCTTCGGGCCGTCTCAGCCCCGTTCCTTCATTATTAAATTTAAGGGCTTGACGGCCCTTCGGGCCGTCTCAGCCCCGTTCCTTCATTATTAAATTTAAGGGGCTTGACGGCCCTTCGGGCCGTCTCAGCCCCGTTCCTTCATTATTAAATTTAAGGGGCTTGACGGCCCTTCGGGCCGTCTCAGCCCCGTTCCTTCATTATTAAATTTAAGGGCTTGACGGCCCTTCGGGCCGTCTCAGCCCCGTTCCTTCATTATTAAATTTAAGGGCTTGACGGCCCTTCGGGCCGTCTCAGCCCCGTTCCTTCATTATTAAATTTAAGGGGCTTGACGGCCCTTCGGGCCGTCTCAGCCCCGTTCCTTCATTATTAAATTTAAGGGCTTGACGGCCCTTCGGGCCGTCTCAGCCCCGTTCCTTCATTATTAAATTTAAGGGGCTTGACGGCCCTTCGGGCCGTCTCAGCCCCGTTCCTTCATTATTAAATTTAAGGGCTTGACGGCCCTTCGGGCCGTCTCAGCCCCGTTCCTTCATTATTAAATTTAAGGGCTTGACGGCCCTTCGGGCCGTCTCAGCCCCGTTCCTTCATTATTAAATTTAAGGGGCTTGACGGCCCTTCGGGCCGTCTCAGCCCCGTTCCTTCATTATTAAATTTAAGGGGCTTGACAATGGCCTGGGAACTCTGATGTGATCAGTCTCAGTTATGTCCCCAACCCCACCCACACCCATCATTTAAAAAATTCTTATAGTCCCAGTTTATAGCAGCTTTATGGTTTGGATTTGAATTTTAAATTTATAGTTTTTCTCTTTTGTTGACCCCAATATTTTCTTCATTCTCAGGGGTTTCTTTGGGACACTTTTGCAAGGATAATGTTCTACTTTTGCGGACATTTATCCAGCCGAGAAAATTAAAGAGGAAGAAAAAGGATGTTTTTCAAAAATCAGGAAGTTTTTTAAGGAATTGATGGCTTATACATTTTCATTTACCAAAAATGGTAAAACAGGCAAAAAAGGCGTTTCGATGAAGAAATTTGCCATTTTTCGAAGAAAAATTTATCGAAGAAAAATTTTAAGGCCCTACGGCAATACAGTTTTTGAAGACTCTTGCCCACTTTCGTGGACATTTTTATGAAAATTGACCACAATAGAGGAAAATAACTGTATTTTTAAAAGAGCTATTAGCCTTATTTAATTCTCATCCAAAATGGGCATTTACCAAGAGATAATAGCCGAGTTGGTACTAGATGGGAATGGGTTACGTCAGGGGCGAGAGTTCGATTCCCGGTGCAGGCTCCTTTTTCAATTTTCTATTGGTTAGAGCACTAGCTCACTCGCAGCAAAACTTGAAACGCGTCGCGGCAAAAGCTTCTCGCCCCGGAGCGCCACCCTTTGCGTGACGCTTCGCCGCGCTGCGCGCTTCCAATTGGCTCTTTTCTTCGTCTCTCATTATTTTTCAAAGAGTGATAACTCAAAATCTACGATACCTATAAAAATTTGAGTTTCATATTTGAAAAGCTTGAATGTCAAAACCCATTTTTTCATTCATAAGTTCAGAAAAAATTTTTGGGTGCCCCGATGGTGATTTGCGTTCGATCCCTACCTCAACGATATTCTCGATTTCTGGCTGGACGAAGGCGTCGATGGCTTTAGAATTGACGCGATTGGTTATGCCTTTGAGGAGGAAAACTTTAGGAATGAAATGTACATTGACGAAACGGAGCCGGAGCCACTTTTCTGGTCGAACTTGTATCACGATTTTACTTTTGAATATGGATCCCTTCACGATTTGATCATGACTTTCCGCAAGACGCTGGACAAATACTCAACTGAACCAGGTTTCAAAATAGTTTTCCCTTTGTTCTTATGTAAAATTCAGGTGTCGATCGATTCATGGTCACAGAAGTCTACACAACAACCGAAAAGAACATGAAATACTACGGGGCTTTCGAGCGCGAGGCTGACTTTCCCTTCAACTTTGATCTCATCCCCCTTGGTTCTACCGGTTCCATTTCCGGAGCCGAGGTGCGTCAGCTGGTCGACAACTGGATGTTCAAAATGCCATTTGGTCGAACCCCCAACTGGGTCGTTGGAAATCATGACACCACTCGACTCGCCTCTAGAATCGATGGAATGAGCGACGACGAGAAGAAGCAAATTTCTAAGCTCTTTGCCCAGCTAACCTTCACTCTTCCAGGTGAAGATTTATAAGAAAAAATATAGACATAAGTTTTAGGAACGAACTTCATTTATAATGGAGAGGAACTGGGAATGGTAGATTTGACAAAACAAGAACTACCAGATGAATGCAAGGTCGATATTCAACAAGATTCTCGAGATTATGAGCGAAATCCTCTTCCATGGAACAATATTGCAGGTAAATGAAATGATCAGCTTTTGTTTCTCTCTAGAAACAAAAACAAGAAAGTGAAGAGACGATAATATACTATTTCAAAGAATCGTGTTATATATATTTTTACGAAAAAACCGAAATAGGGGTGAATAAACTGTGAAATTTGTCAAAATGCTATCGAGCAATATATGATATATTAATAATATAATATAAAATATTATATATCTTTTCAAGATCAAAACTATGGCTTCTCAAACTGCAGCGGCACTCAAAACCTCCCTCCTTCCTGCAATCAAAACCGTTGCACTTGGCTTCCCTTATCAGAATCAGCAAAAGACGGCTTGAACGTCGCTGACCAGCTCGAAGACGAAGAATCTGTTCTTTGGTACTATAAAAATTTGATCGAACTGCGCCAGGATGAAGCGTTTACTCGAGGAAGCTACTGTCGAAACCCAGATGATGAAAAAGACAAACCCGACGGTCTTTTGAGATATTTGAGAACTTTGGAAGGGGGAAAGACTTTTGAGATTGTCTTCAACTGGAGCGGAAGCAAGCTGAATTTTGACATCAGAAATGACAGAGAAGTCGTCGAAACTTTCCCAAAAAATTTCGACAGCAATGAACTCGATGCTTATTCCGGTGAATTTTTAATAAGAAGAAGAGATTCAAAATTTTTAGGTGTGATTTTCGAGCTCAGCGAGATCCCGGAAGACTACTCTGGCGAAGGAATTTGCGTCCAACGCCGAGCTGTGCGAAAACGAAACAATTTGATCCTCACCTCTGCGACTAAAGATCGACGACTTTTTGATTTTGAATCTCATTTTGAATAAATTCTTATATCGTATCAATGGATATCAAAGATTTCCCATTCTATTCGGCATTTATTCATGATTCGAAGGATGATGAAGAAAATACCTCTATGCCCTACGAAATTCGATGATGAAAAGGAATACTTAAGTAACTAAAGTAAAGAAGAACGTATAACTTATACGGTATAAGCAGTAATAATGGTATCAGAGAAGACGCTGAAATCGCGCTTGGCCAGCGCTTTGGTCTTTTACGACTGGGTGACAACTGGAGCAGCGTTTTGGCTGTAAGAAGTCTCGCCAAATTCGACCCATTGCAAGCCCTAAATTGAGATTGAGTTGAATTCATAAATAAATCATCACCTCGTATGAGTACACAGTGGTTGTGCAAGCTGTTTTGTCGACAACAGTGACTTCGAACCAGTCTGGGTACCATCCATCATTGTCTTTCTCCCAGATTCTGATATCGCCAAGGTTCTCGAGGCAGCTTGCAGGAAGAGAAGAAACATCGAGTACGAAAGTATCGATTTGTCCAGGCTCTTGGTCGTCTTTGTTAGGGTCATCAAGGTCGAACCAAGTGTCGCAGCCGGCCTTTGGAATTCTTAAAATTAAAGAAAGTATTTATCATATTTATGGGAAAATCAGCTTACTGAAAGTTGGTTGTTCCGTCTGTCTGTGCACCAGACACAGTCGCTGATGTTTGAGCCCTGATAGTGAAAACTTGCTCGTTTTTCAAGAGACAAATATCATCAAATGTTTGGTAGGAGAAGTTTCGGACAGAGTTCGGTATCAGATCAAACACAAAAGCGTTCAGATCGCCGCTTGAATATGCTCCACTGAGATCGTAAGTCCCTTGAGCAGCCTTAATCTTGGTTTACGAACGATTATTCAAGCAGGGCTCGGTAAGCAAGCCTTTATTCCTTGCTCAGTTGTAATTCAAAAGTATTGGTATTGTCTTTGTGAATTTTTTCGCAAAACCTAGCCTGTGTGCCGTCAAAGTTAAATACCCACCGCAATGTGGATGGATCTTCGTCAAGTTGGTTGACTTCAAGAGAGTACGTATTCCACTCACCAATCGTGCAAGGTTGCATGAATGATTGCCTCTTATCCCATGCGCTTGGGTCGGTCAGACTGATCTCCATCGATCCTGAATCAGGAGATGTAACGATTGAAAACTGTCGGTCTCCGGCGTTTGTCGGTGTGGCATATGGGTCGCCATTCCCCGAAAGATGAATATTGAATTTCCATTCGTTTATGTCTGGGCAAAGAATGTCGGCGGAAACCTTGTAATTACGCGCCGCACTTAAAACCGTTTTCTGACTGCCAACCACAGGGTTGAACTCGCAGCTATCTACGACCGTGCTGCAGCTGTCCAGATCTGCGCAGGGATCGGTTCTAGTTGGGCAGGGATTGAAGGTTTGGTAGTAGAAATTGCGGACGCTGTAGCTAGTTGCAGCGTCGTAGTGGTCGTCGGCAATGTGGACTTGGAGATCCAAGCCTGCTGGAAGCGCGGCTGCACTGTACTGCGATGTATGAAGTGGCGTGTCCCCAATTTTCGACACGTACTCGACATTTCCACTTCCTGAAATCTGTCTAACTTCGACAGAGTAAGTCGCCCATTCGCCGGACGTGCAAGGAAATTCGTCATATCTTTGATACTGACTGAGGGTCGGGTCATTGACAGTGAGATGAAGGTGTCCATCCGGCTTTTGGAAAAGACCAAAGGTTCGATCGCCAACGCTCTCGACGTCTCCACCGTTTCTCGAAACATGGAAAATATTCTGCCAGTTTCCATCAGGAACGCTGTTGCAGAGTACTTCAGCAGAGAACTTGTAGTCGAGGGCTGTTTGCACCGTGGAGACTAGATTGTTTCGGACTGGGAAGAGCGAGCATCCATTGACGAATGTTTCGCAGCTTTCAAGTCCGTCGCAGGGATCGAATTCGCAGGGAGCAGGGGTCGGCGCCAGCGGGAGATTGCATTTGAGCTGCTTGAATTTTCGATTGAAGAGAATGTGGCGCTGGCGGTGAATAAGTCTCCTCATTTTGTGGGGAGCCCATCCGTTGTGCGTGGTGAGGTTGACACCGTCCATGCACACGAATGCATCGTGAAAGCTCATGACAGAAGCGACAAGATTGTTGAGCGAGTGGCAGATGTCATTCTCGTCGTAGTTTGGGAAGACGAAAGCGTTTGGATCGCCGGAACCAGCAAAATTGGCGCAGGAGTCGGAAACTCGAGTCGGAAAATTGTCCACTTTGTTGAGAAAGTCTCGAAGTCGATTGGCTTTCTTCACACCGGGGATGTTCGTATTGGAGTATGCGGTCAGAATTGCATCGTAAAGACTGCTGTAGGCAGTCTCGATCGAGGTCCAAGCAGTGGTCGAGCCTCGGTCTTCCAAAGATTGAGCAGTAGCAGCTGCAGAAATGACCGCCGCGAGAACCTAAAATTTTTGTTAAAAATAACAAATCAAAATTTGGCTAGGACAATTTCTCTATTAAACTAAAAACGAATTCTTACTTTCATCTTACTTTCGAGTAAGAAAAGCTTTCTCTGACAAAAGATGGATCTTGCAAGAAAAAGGTCACTTAAGGATATACCCGATAAAATTGAACATTCATAGCGCCTATATACGAAGTCGGATCATTTTTATTTCAAAAGCAATCCTACCTAAAAGTGTGCGTTAAATTCAATTCTGGTACTTTTTCAAAAATTTTCATTACAATTTTTCTCTCTAGAGCGATTTGAAAACGAACTCTCTCGATTTCTCGAAATTTTTCCACTAAATCGCTAAAACTGACCCGTGTTCTGTATTAAAATAATGCTAAGCTACAAAATTGATGGGATCAAATTCTTTAACCCCATCGAATTTTCATTCTAGTGTTCTCCTCTTTCATACTCCTATTTTTCTTCTCTGCGCGCTTTTTCGCGTGCTACCAATCAGAGCGATGCGCTCAACCACTCACTTTCTCTCGGAAAAGAGGAGTCGAGTGAGTGAGAACCCAGCGCGCCGCTTTGTAGAGCTTTCATGCGCTGAGTAGCCCTCAATGAAATGGCTCTAGAATCGGTTTCCTTCGGAATTAAGGAAAAATAAACCATCAATATTGTAGATAACGGTCTAAAGAACTTATCTATCGAAAAATCTCGACCGATTTATACCAAAAATTTCGAGTAATCGAGAGAGTTAGATTTGAAATTGCTCTAAAGAGAAAAATTCAAATGAGAAAATATAAAAAGTACCAGATTTGAGTTCTACGTGCATTTTACGGTAGAATTGCTATTAAAATAAAAATGATCCTACGTCGCATTTCGGCGCTATAAAAGTTCAATTTTATCGGGTATATCCTTAAATCGTTGAAGAAATCGACCGTGTGGTGCGCTCAAGTGCGCCATTTCGAGAAGCCGTGCGTGTTCTTACGAAATTGCTTTGCTTCTCGATTTCGTAATTATGAATTTCGTGACCCATTAATTTTGAATTTTTATTGCCAATTTCTTATCAGAGTTTTAATTTCAGGCGGAAATTGTGCTTCCTCGTGACCCGAAAAATCAAAGTTCAACAAATTATGTTTGACCTAGGTGTAAGGATCTCGAAGAATAGGCGCTTTGAAATACGGTCAATCTTCGGGGTCAGGGCTGGATATTTTGAAATCAACAAAAATCTCAAACCCCTAAAAAATATGAATCAACCATCTGATTCATGTCAAAAATGAGATCCCAGCAATCTCAGAAATATGGAAAAAATGACTAGGATGTTGGAATCAATCTGAGATTTGAGATTGTCTGAGATGGTGCAAATTTTGAAATGGAAATGAGATTTCAGACAAAATATGATTTAAAATTTTTGGTGATTTCAAATTATCCAGCCCTGTTCGCGGTAGAATCCCGAAGGGCTACCAAGTTAAATAGCGGTCAATCTTCGGTGTCAAAATAAGCGTTTTCACCAGCAAATTTTGCTGCCACGTTATCAAAAATCCTTTCATTCGCCTGCCTTATGAATATTGCTATCAGCTGATTGCCTTCAGAAACGGAAAACCTTGTGGAGATCGCTTTAACTTCTGTCAAAAGGATCGGTCAATACTGAAAATGGCACGAATGGCACGAATGGCACGAATGGCACGAACTCACTGAAAATGGCACGAAAACAGAGACACATTTTTTGCGAATTAACCTTGAGGAATATTATGAATTGAACTGGGAAATTAACGGATTTTGTTGAAACGATAGTTATTTAACAACTTGAAAAGTTCATTAATCATGATCTAAAACAAATAAAAATATAAGAAACTTTTTAAATTGACCGCAAATTCAGGCCCAAAAGATACTTTTTGAGTGAAATTCCTCAATTTTGTCATTGTCATTGATAAAAATCGAAATAATAGTGATTTTAGCATAAATTATCAATTTTTCATTGAATCTTCAAGTAATAAACGGCCGCTCCGCGGGTTTAATGGTAGGAAACTCAAGGGTGGAAAAACAATAACAAAATAGTTTCTAGAATTTTACTGAAAATGGCACGATGAAAAGACATGTTTTCGTGCCATTCGTGCCTTTCGTGCCATTCGTGCCATTCGTGCCATTTTCAGTACTGTCGAAAGGATCCCCCAGGTAAGGGGTGGTTTGAATTGATAATTTTCTGTTGGAAACAACAGCGGCAAAAAGTGAGAAAAGCAGCTTGGAAGACCCCAAAGATTGACCGCTTTTAAGATTTGTTGCTCTTCGGGATTCTATCCCGAAGATTGACCGTATTTCAAAAAGGTTATAAGAAATCTGCCACGTTTTGGCCTTGATAACGCTGAAACCATGGTAAGGTTCATGGTAAGGGAGCAGAATTGCGTACCTTAAGGCAATTTGGGGTTTCCAGCTAGACATGGTTTCAAGTACTTCGTCACGTCCCGAATAATATTCTCGCAAATATGGAACGTGCCACCATATCTGGAAGCTCGGCTTGTTGGGACATAATACCGCAGCAGCAATCGACAAAATAGTACTGCGAATTCTGATGAAATAATTGATTGCGGAGCTAGGGTCGACCACCCATTTACAATGTCGGGTCGGGTCGGGCTACTTTGAAATGGCCAAAAACATGGTCGGGTCGGGTCGGGTCGGGTCGGGTTTTTTGTCGTGTCGGTGGTCGGTTTTTTTAAACACATGAGAATGATGGAAAAGCTTCGAAATCGAATGATTGGGGGTATAAAACTTTCGATTTTATGAATATTCTAGATTTTAAATGATTTTGTCGCTAGTGACACTGAAATAAGAAAAACTTGTCGAATAACAGAAGTGAATTTATATCGGAAAATATGCCCGAGAATGAGCGAAAACCGACCACTGACCCGACAAAAACACGACCATTGCCCGACCAACACCCGACAATGTAGATTTGGTCGAGTGTCGGCGCCGACACTAGTGCGGCAAAATTTCTTAAGGGATCCCCTCCCGATTTGAAAAATGTCATCGAGAGCTTTTTTGTGGTACATTTTTAAAATCTCCATCGTCTGAGGATCATTTTCATATATTATGTCAAGGGGCGTACTTCACGGGATTAGCCGTGACAAAGGTTTGAAAATGGCTTATTTTGATAAAAAAATTACTTAGAAAAAATTCTCAAAATTTTTGACTTTTCAAAGTCGACGAAATCAAATAAATGAGGGCTTTTTAGAAAGCTCCAACTTAGCTGAATCAGAAAAAAATAGTGATCATAAAATATTATGCCACTAAGAGGCGCTAGAGAGCATAGAAAGTCCTGAAAATGACAAAAGTCAGGCGAAAAAGTTTTTGTTAAGACAAAATCTACAATCCTTGACTAAATCAGATGCCTGTACTAGAGATCATAGAATAGGGATCAAGGAAGGTTTGGAGAATAAAAAAAGGGGAATATATAAGAAGGAAAAAAAGTAGTTCGACTTTGAAAATGGCCTAAAACTGGGTTTTTGGCGACTATCAATGTCTTTAGAGCTATTTTTAGAGATGATTCCCCTTATCAAATTTAATTTCCATACTAGACATTGCTCATTTAGAAATGAGCTTTAAAATAAGCCCCTAACCTTTAAGATAGCTAAGCCCAAAAAAAAGTAGTTCGACCTCAAAGTTGGCCAAATGGGGGGGGATCCCTTAAGGGGGGAGTCGTCAATATGGAAAATTTTCAATTTTGAAAATTGACCTGCTAAAAATCGACTTAAATTTTTAAAATGAGTGCGCGGCGGGACTTTGTAAGCAGCTGATTTCGGCCAAAAATAATCAAAATATCTGTTTTTATCGTAAGACATCATTTTTAAATGGTTTTTGAATCATTATTTATTAAAAATACCGAGTCTATGCGATTCTTGAAAAAAATCAGGCGAAAAAGTGTAAAAATATGGAATTTTTTGAAAATCGGATATTTTTAATCAATAAGAAAAAATTTTTTAAGGGAGTTACACTTTAATTTTTGATCGCCAGTCGATTTTGAAGGGTCCAATCTATTAGTAAAAAAAATCTGATTATCGAAAAAAATTAAGGGTTCCGAGATTTTTTGGTCAAGAGACGACCCCACTTTAACCCTTATTTTTGAAAAATTTTTCAAAAATTTTTTTTTTCTACTTGTCGCCGGTCGAAACTTTCAACCCTTTTCTCTTCACTCCAAAGTTCTTTTTGATTCAATCAAATCTGGTTTTCTCGCTTTTTTGGTCAAAAGAAGTCCCAATATTGACGACCCCCCTCTTAAGATAAAAAAAATTGGAAAAAAAATCATGAAAACAGAAATTAAAGCGTGTCGTACTTTCCAAGATTCATGCCTCTCTTTGAAATTGAACCTGTCAGATGATATTCACCAGGCTGATTGATTTTTTGTCTGATAAAATCAAATTTTGACTTGTGTTCTTTTTCAAATCGCACTTGGTCGAAGAATTGATTGTTGCTTTCGTCTTCTTTTTTACTGTCGAGAAGATCGGGCGTTTTGAAGATCAACAAGGAGGGCTGCGATTGGATGCTACTAGATGCGCGGGAAGATTATCGAGAAGAAGAACCGATTTGAACATGTACCACAAAGATGTTCAAAAGTTCCTCAACGATATTCTCGATTTCTGGCTGGACGAAGGAGTCGATGGCTTTAGAATTGATGCGATCGGTTATGCCTTTGAGGAGGAAGACTTTAGGAATGAAATGTACATTGACGAAACGGAGCCGGAGCCACTACTCGACTCGCCTCTAGAATCGACGGAATGAGCGAAAACGAGAAAAAGCAGATTTCTAAGCTCTTTGCCCGGCTGACCTTTACTCTACCAGGTAAAAATTTATAAGAAAAAAATATAGACATCAGTTTTAGGAACGAACTTTATTTACAAATTGTAATGGAGAAGAACTGGGAATGGTAGATTTGACAAAACAAGAACTACCAGATGAGTTCAAAGTCGATACTCAACAGGATTCTCGGGATTATGAGCATGTAGAGGTTTACTCTCTATATAATAAACTATCAAACTTTCATAATATTGTTATTTATTTGGTCAGTGGCTAATTTGAAAAATTGCTGCTCAAGTGCTCTTGAG